TATCTCCAAAGATGAAATCCTCAACTAATTTGTACCCATTTCTCATCCAATGAATTGTAAAACGTTTTCCGGTCCATAATGGTAATATGGGTCTTTTCCCTTTCGTAACGCTGCAAGTCACAAGGTAGGAACTCTATAAGACCGCGAACCAAGCTCAAATGCACCTGTGACCATGCGTCCTCGATTACCGTACGTAAGTTAGTAGCGTTATGGAATGTTCTTAATCGTATTAGTATACACAGATACGCCGGCCTTACATTCATCCCTGCGTATATTATTCTTGGGTACCTAACGTACAAAATGGCTAAAGATTTCTCCTCCCTAGCAGATAGGCGTTTTGGTGCACCTAATCGCTTCTAATAAGGTGCAATCTTAGTTGATTTAGCTCTGCTGGCGATGTCGCCTATGAGTTCAAACCGAAAGGTTGTCAACCGCGTTAGCCGCCTCCCTCTGACCTTTGTCTCATACCCTCGCCACCATAGTCGCTGCACGTACTTTAGGGCCATATTCACAGTTAGGGCCGCCGTTTCCGTTTATAAACATACTCAGCTAAGAGCCTGATGGGGATACAGAACGAGTGCCTCCGGGTAGTCTGTGGCGCCCACAAAGCGACGCCGGTTCGCCACCTGGAAGCAGAAGCAGCAATCCCGCCACTAGACCTCTATCTTAGTGCCCGGGCTGCTAAGTTTGAAGAACGGCTACGGCTTAGCGGGAAGAGAAATCTGCTTCGCAGCGCGAGCGCTAAAGCGTCACATATACTCCGGCAGGATAGGCCGGCGAAGAGGAAGCAGGCGTCGCAGCTACTCCGACCGGCCGGGTACACTATGGAGAAGGAGGCCCGGGGCTCCGAGTGGATGAGTGAGGAAAAGGAGGTCCCGGCTGCCCTCCTCGGCCACTGGAGGAAGAGATGGCTCACCGGAGCAGAGCATCACGATCGCCAGCGACGGGCTATCGCTGAGGAACCGGAGGGCCCTTCGATGCAGATACCGAAAGGGGGCAAGTATTTCGGCCTGAACCGACTGGAGGCATCTACGCTGTGCCAGATCAGGACGGAAAAAATAGGACTAGCAGCCTTCTTATTCAAGATAGGGGCTTTTGGCGTGTACTCGCCGCTATGCCGCTGTGGCGACGCCCCTGAGACGGCAGAGCACGTAATCCTCTTTTGCGGGCTGTTGGAAGGACCGAGGGAACGATTACGGGCCGCTATCGCACCACGGCCACTATACTCTCGCAGAGACCTCGCAACGGCAACAGGGGAACCAGTAGTTAGTGGGACTATTGTAAGGTGGCTGCTAGGGACGGGTCGGGCAGCTTCAAGGCCCAGATAGCATCGATCTTCTCAGGGGGGACTTTGTTGGTAGGTTGATGATGCGAGTGCATATGGGGTGTGAATTGTTGTATTGGAAAAGGATGCCAGGTCAGCTATTCTGGCCTGGCAGAGCTCTTTTATAGCTCTTATCTATCTTATCTATAGCTATAGGGTAACCCCCATGGGGTCACGTATCAGTTGAGAACCAACGTAGTATGGTAGTGAACGCAACGCAGTCGCCAATAGGGCGAACCGACGACGCAGGGTATGTATTTAGTCCAGCCATTAGGGCACGGTTTGACATACGGGAGTACTAGTAGAGGTACTGGGGGCTTCGAGCCTGCGGCGTATTTAATAATAATAATAATAATATAAAGATACCAAAAGATCGAATGTCCAGGATCATGTGTGATTTTTGTGCCCAATGAAAGTCAGAGGTGGGTATTTGTCTTGTGATATGTCAATTAGGTCGTGTGGCCGAGACTTTTTAAGGGTGACTGCCCCCGCAAATGAATCCTAACAATCAGGCTACATTCGATCAGTTTGTCGTTCAGTATAACAGACAGGCCGTAACTTACCGTAGTTTTACAGGCCTTGTATTCGAAGAGGTCGGCATGGTAAGTGCGGCGCAAGATATATGAGCTGTAAGAGTTGGTGAGTCAATACCTTGCCATCGTACGACACAGGATGATTTATCCCTTCGAAGCAATGGGCAATGAATAAACCAGTTAGATCCACCAATTATATTGAACTAAGGCCCAGTACCCAATACGCTGCAAACTTCTTGCAGAAAGTCAGGGCGATAGTATTGGACGGGGTCCTCCAATGCTCGGGCTCTAAGCCGGGCAATACATAGTCGAGATCTTTGAGCACGGCACTCGCACTCGCCAGCCAAGGCAGAGATTCTATATTCGGCAGGGGTTTAAACAGGGGGGTCCATGCAATCGAAAACAGAGGATTTCCGTTTCAACTTAATTACGGGACGGAAGCATGCCAATAGGCTCTTGCCGTGGTAACTAGCGAGCGGGTTCCAGTAATACATTCTTCACTATATCAAGATTCAGCAAGCTTTGGGGCACGATGACTCTTTATGGTATTTAGCAAGCCGTGAAGACGAAGCTAGAAAGACAATATAGCATAGCTGGGGTGGCAATCCCAGCTCTAAAGGTGGATATCATCCTCAATCCTGCGACTAGCCTTGTATGGGCAGAGGGTATGAACAAAGAGATGCAAAAAGGCGTTCTGACGTCCAGGAATGGCAGTGTCTGTTGTCTGGGTTGTTGTTTACTTTCTATAGTGGGTGTGGCCAGACTTTTGCTTTTTAAGTTTAGCTCAAAATATAGAACGTGAATGAAATTACGTAGAAGTATCTGGTATGCAATCCTATGAACGGAAAATCTTTTTCGTAATATTTGTGTGGTACATCTAGGTGTAACGTAGTCCACGGTCCAATTGCACACTTTGGCAGACCTTATACGACAATGTATAAGTTAATTCAACCACAACGCCTATCATCAATTGAAACTACTCAGAATCATTATCTTCAGACGTCTCTACATCATTTCCACAAGTGCGCGCATTATGTCCGGGCTCGCCGCAGATTCTACAGCGCCGTACACGCGCAATTCGCCGCCTCGTACGACCACCAATTTGACGAAATTCGTCATGTAACTGCCCATCAACCTCTCGTTGAGACTGTAGGTCCTGTCCAGCTTGTATACGAAGTGACCCTCCACTCTGTAGCTGTTTTTTCTTCGCACGGCGACGTCGACTTAAGGTCTCATTTGCCTTTCGAAGTGATTCGACCTCGCCTTCTAAAAGGGCAAGCCGATGCATAACCTTCGTTGTACCTCGCGCAATCTGATCTATTCCAGCAAAAATTGACGTTGGTGAGCTATTTTGATGTCGTACAATCCTATTTTTCACATAATCGCTTTGTGATTGGGCTTCGGTTGGGTTGTTCGGAGTCTTTGATTCCCAAGGGACGGGGAGACCAGCCAAGCTACCCGGAGGTGTTGGCGTATGTAATTTCACATCGAGCTGTGATATGACATAATCTGCATCGTACGGAACTATTCCTACCCCTCGGAAACCTCCTTGGATATTTGAAACCGTGAAAGTTGCGTTGTACGCGTTTAAAAACGCCGGTAAAAAGTCTTCTTTCGAGATATGACTTATATGTGCTCGCATGAGAGCTTCGATTTCTTTTCCGTACGCTCTTTTTAACCCGCGAAAACAACCAACATCAAGAGGCTGGAGCTCATGCGACGAATGAGGAGGCATACAAAGCGTGACGATATTGTTAGCTTTGCAATATACCTCGAAATCGGTCGAGTGATGGCTTTCGTGACCGTCGAGGATCAATAGGCGATGAGTACCTTTCGTACGAGACTTGGTGTGATGATCGAAGTGTTTTATCCAATCTTCGCCTCTCTCGTTCGTAGTACAGCCATTTTTAATAACTACGATAACCCAATCAGGCGATAATGGGCTATTTTCGTACCATGACGAGAGGTGGGTTTTGCCGACGAAAATGATGTACGGAGGGAGGGCATAACCGGACGACCCAACGCCTTGAATAACTGTAACCCATTCCCGATTTCCTTGCTAGGCTACTCTAGGCCTTCCACGCTGATCAGAAGTCGTCACGACCATTTCGGACGAGATTTGGCCCATCAAAAAACCGGTCTCGTCGAAGTTGTAGATATCCTCCTCCTAGATCGCATATTTCGCAATTGTATTCCATACCAGGTCAAACCACGCGCGATACGCGTCGGGATCTTCGCAGAGGACTCTCTAATAGTCGATCCTTCGATTTAAACGCGTCCAGAGGTCTAGTTGTCGTCTTACGAAGCTCGAGGCCCAGTTGACGCCGACGCGTCCCACGTCGCGACTTCGAAGTATTCGGTTGGCCATATCTTCAACACCACTCAATCGGGGAGGAAATGCTCGCGAATCTAGGTCGATTATATGTCGTAAGATTGCCTCTTCTTCGGAAGGAGTCAACTTTTGCGTTGGCGATCGCATAATCGCTCGAGCGGTTTTACCGTCGCGTCGATACGCAAGGGTTCTAAAAGGTACGTTATAGATCTGACCAGCGCGACGTACACTTAATTTTGGATCAGATTGAAGCGCATGTAATGCTAGAATCATATCACTTTCATTCCAAGAACCAACCATAGTTATGTGGTGAAAAACCGCAGGTCAAAGTGGTAGCGTACGAAAATCTGCCGAAGTGTGCAATTGGACCGTGGACTACGTTATATGGTTTTCATCGTGGTAGAACGGAAATCGCTTTTGCGTGGATGATATTCAAAGGCCTAGACTTATAATACACGATCTAAATACATGTTGTTTTCATTCTTTTTCATTCTTTCCATATGAGTATTGCATCCTGGATCTCCGAATGTAATAGTTCTATTATATGCTCTAAACGACTGTTGAAATTATTAGGTAAAGCAAAATCCCAATCTGCCAATTCTTAGGTGAAATACTAAAAAGACGTTGGCCCATCAATCGATACGCCAAAGTGTTCGTAGAATTCATGAGCAATAGAAACGTGCGTATATTGAGTGAATCTATCTAGCTACAGCGGGATGACGGGAAGCCTGCATATATATGTAGGAATAGGGCCATGTCACTGACAGTGCAGGGGACATACTTACATCAATTTATAGAATTACCACAAGAGCTATGGCAATCTGAGCTTCTCCAAATCCCTTTTTTCTTGTGTTAGACACATTTCGCTTAGTATTTCCTCGCTGCCCCCGCCGATGACGAGCACGCGTACATCGCGGCTGATTCGCTCGACACGGGCTCCAGGGCCAGAGCGAGTGTATCCCAGAGCACCCATGATCTGCTGACATTCTCGTACAGCGAGCTCGGCGGCCCTTGCAGCACTGACTTTGGTCATGGCACACAAACCCCCCATGATCAAGCCCACCTCCTTATCTCCCTTAGCCGCGCTATCTCTGACCTGCACCAGAGACTCGAGCAAGGCGTACGTGCTCATTATCTGCATCCCAATGTTGGCAAACTTGAGTCGAATTGTCTGACGCTCAATGAGTGGCTTCCCGAAGGTCTGGCGCGTGAGTGCGTGCTGATACGCGTCCTCCAGACACACGCGAGCTAGACGTAGACAGTTGCCCGCAATCCAGAGCCGCTCATGATTGAAACCTGTATTGTTGTATCAGTAAAGTCTTACAGGTGTAGGTTGAAATGGTACCCACTAGACATGATGAGCTTAAAGCCTTCGTTTAGTTTTCCGATGAGATTTGCGACGGGCACCTCCACGTTCTTGAAGTTGAGGCTGGCACATCCTAGATTCCAGTTCATTAGCGTGATGGAGCTGGGATTCCAGCAAGATATATCAACGTACCACTCAAAGCAACGCCGGAATTATGAATCTCGGTTCGGATGACTCCTTCCAGCTTAAGGGGAATCACCAAAACCGAGATTCCTGACTTTCCCGCGCCACCCGTCCGGACCACAGCAGTGCAGAAATCGGCAGACATGCCGTTCGTTACCCACTGCTTTGTGCCATTCACGACGAATACCTCGCCCTTCAAGTCGGCCGTCATTGCGATGCCAGCCACGTCGGATCCAGCTGGTCATTTGAAATTGTATTGTTAGCTAATGGCGTCCAAGGCCGCGGGGCTAGGAAGCACGGCAGGGGATAACCTACTCACCTTGAGGCTCCGTGACACCCAGGCAGAACCTGGCATCACCTCGAAGGACGGCTGGCAGCCACCTTGACTTCTGTTCCTCGGTCCCAAAGCTAATGACAGGAGGACAGCCGATCGCATTGCCGCATCCAAGACCCCATAGGATACCCAGAGATCCACAACGCGCCATTTCGTCGATGGCGATCAGGTCGTGGAAGCTATCCCATTCGTGCGCAGGCACATCACCGGGTAGTCTGATTTGCCCAAGGTATTTACTTACGACAGAAGGATCCACCAGGACAGCTGTGTAACCTAGATCCGAATGTCGTTTCAAGACCTACGCATTCTCAGTCGGGAAATCAGAGGACGGGTTCACCAACAGAAAGAGGCCTCGTTGACGAAAAGATGTTGAACGCAAAGCAAAGAGAGTATATATTACCGCTGCTGGAATTGAACCCATAGCCTCCCACTCGGAGCAAAATGGCTCTATTTCGGTGTCGACATACCGACGGATCTCATCCCGCAGTCGCCGATGAGAGTCGGTATAGTGCGGGTTTCCCGGTCGAGAATACCACAGAGGCTCCGCGAAAGGAGTCGTGGATCCAAAGAATTCGGTCATTGAGGAGAAGAGTGTTGACAGAACCTGGTTCAGTGGGTGACTTGGGGGGCAATGATTACGGGAAGTGTCAAACTTCAATGATTGTAGTCTGCAAGATGGTGATGGTGATGTCTCGTGAATCCGTGGCCCGGTCAGGACAAATTCAAGATACGAAAGGCTACGGTTATGACAACTTAACATCCCTGGAATCGAACTGTCGGTCAGTGGCCACTTTTGCAACTGCTCAAATTCTAAAATTCTAGACTATAGGTTCGTCATGGACTATTACTTCGAATGTGGAGACAGTAACTCTTCGGGAACGAGTCAGAGAACATGGATACGAGTCAAAAAAAGCTCCCGTGTGGGTTTACTGATGAGCAGGGTTCTTGCGGGTATTCCCATTCCACATTGATGCGAGTGCATATGGGGTGTGAATTGTTGTATTGGGAAAGGATGGCCAGGTCAGCTATTCTGGCCTGGCAGAGCTCTTTTATAGCTCTAATCTATCTTATCTATAGCTATAGGGTAACCCCCCATGGGGTAACGTATCACACATATTCATATTTAAGTTTCGCTCATGCCGAAACTGACAAGGTAAAAAACCTAACTCCTTGGCAAAAGTTCAGCAGGTTCTGGTTATGTTCAATATATCCGATCGCGATACGAAAAGCTTTTGTCGAATATCACGTGTGTCCAATCGAGTAGTCAGAAGTGCGTAATATTGTATATGAATGAGGTGTATTGTTCCCTGTCCTCTCGAACTCCCGTTGCTCTGTCTTTTATAGATTCTTTAGAACATGTCGGAGGTACATTGTTCAGGTATCTGACCCCTAAGTGGACAGTAACTTTGGTGTTACTTTTGAGAAAAGGGTTCCTTTCGCCTTCTGAACTTTAAGTGACAATAGTCTTCTCCAGTGCCATATCATTGCTGAGCCTAGGAACTAGGTGCCCTATCTGACACTTTTCACTTACTACGGTATCAGGCCAAAGTTTTCACCCCCTTGACAAGCACTAGTGGACTACTGCCAAGGTAACGCTATACTGATTCTTGCCTAGCCTACTTATACTAACGAAAAGATACTTCCACCTCTAATTCTAACTTGCTATTAACACGTCCTAATAATCGCGTATTTAGTAACTATAATTAGGACTAAATACCTTATAGAAGCGGATCGCTAACGAATGCGAACCTACTACTTCGGCGGTAGTATATTGAAAGCCGAAATTCATACTACTATTGTAACGGGGTAAGGCCGGACATCAGGGAAATAGGTTACGGGGCTAGGAGAAAGTTTATTTTCTCTTCTTTAAGAGGCACAGAGGCAGAGTAGGACACGAGTCCCTGTAGGGAAAGAGCCGTTGTGGCGGGCCGGTCTCAGCTGACAAGCTGAGTCGGGAGGGATTCGCCCCGATCCGGTAAAACCCCGGAACCGCCCAGCTTAAGAGGAGAACTCGAGACGCTCGCACCTAGTTTAGATTCTTCAAGAATCAGTCTTGCAATATACGCACCCATGCACTGGCCTACTTCTAGCTACCCTTTGCACTACCTGACTATTATATTGTGAGACGTGTGGTATCCTCGTTACAGTCCCCCATCTTCACGCATCATCATCCTCATCTTCATATCATCATCTCCTTCTTATCTATATCTTCACCTTCGCTTTTCAGTCAGTTATTTGGTTATTTTAGTTATTCAGCTTATCTTTACGTTCGAGATCCTATTATTGTCACGACCTGGGTTGCATCGCATTGGTAGAGACCTCGATTAGGTGCTATCGACGAAGATTCTACTCTAAGGAGCGAAGGAAAGAAGATGACAACTTAGGTTTGAGGGAGCGCGACTAAGTCATCCACGCTTGGCGGGGCTCCTACAAGGGTTATGATTGGCTTCCCATCTGACACTGCCATGGCAGGTGTTCCAGCTGTAAGTCACCTGGTTGTAGTGAGTGCGAGGGTTGACCTTCACAATTATCACGATACGAGTATCAGAGGCACGTCCGACCAACTCGCGCACCAGACGTATAAGAGCTTCGCTCTTATAACCAGTACCACGATCTTCGTCTGATAAGACCAACAGATGGGATCTGTTAGTACTGGAGCCGTCTGTTCAGTGTGTTAGGTGGTAGGTATATCCTACTGACCGCCTGACCCCGTTTCACTATAACGTTTTCTCTTAACGTAGTCCACGGTCCAATTGCACACTTCGGCAGATTTGTAACGAAACCTCTAATAGTCTAGCTGCGTAAACCACTAAAGAGTCTGTAAGGGTTTGTGCTAGTAAGTAAGTCCTGCTGCGGAGTCCTTTAGCAATAATATCGGGGTCTGACATATGGAGTAGAGTGCTTTGGGTAATTGAAGTATTCAAGTAGGGTAATCGGGAATAGAGTCGTTAAGGCAGTTTGCCTCACCAATGGGTTAGATTGATGCTTAGATTGATCACTGAAGTAGAGACTGTCTATCTATGAAATGCCTGGGAGTCCTGTCCCTTATATGCCCATCTCTCCTTCACTGATCCCCACTTGGATATGTTGGTTGTCCAACATATCCACCCCTGTAGATCACGTGACCTATCGGTCCTTTCCTTCCTCCGATGTGGGGTCCCGTGATCCTAGCGTCTGTATCCACCTAGCCTGCCGACGGGCCTGTAATGTTGGTTCAGGGCCAACGGTTCGTAACATTATTCCCCTCCTTCATAATCTTTGTCCTCAAAGATCCTGGTCGTTTGAAACTTCTTCCTGTAAGTCCTTCTTTCCTTCCTTCCGACTGCCATCATGTCTGGTCGTGTATCCAAGTCTCGATCGCGTGCTAAGAAAACGGAGCAGCGGGATTCTCTTCTTTCGGCGATTCTTCAGAACGCTGTCACTATGCCTTCTTGTTCGTACGGGGTGAACTTCAATCTGCTGAAGAAAAGGTTCTTCGTTTGCGGAAGCAGAAGAAGATGTGGTTCGAAAAGATGATGCGTGCGGTGCGTCGTGGTATTGACAGTGTGGAGGAGTTGGAGCGTGTTGATCGCGCGGAGGCAGAAGCGTTGTCTGCGCGTCGTGCTGTAGGAGATCCGTCTCCTGTGGTTACTCCTTCGTTTCCTGAAGATTTCGAATTCGAGTGGAACGACGTATATCCTGATGTGTCGTTAACTCCTGGCCTTCTGGCAGAGTTTGGTGTTATCGGTGGAACTTCTCAAGCTCCTTCTGGCAATGCGCCAAATGCTGGATAGGTTCCCAAGAATTGTCTGCGGGTGGGTAGTCCTTCCATTTGATCAGGTATTCCGTTTGTTCGTTCTGACTTCGTATATCCAGAATTTGTTCAACTTCGTATTCGTGTTGGTCGATGTGTGCTTCGAGCTGCGTTTCGAGCGGGGCGTTCTTTGGGGCTGGTTCGAGTAAGGAAATATGAAATACGGGATGTATCTTCATAGTGTCTGGTAATGATAGTCGATAGTTGGTTTCTGAAATTGCTTCGTCGATTTCGAATGGTCCAATTTTCTTGAAATCGAGTTTGTCGCTTGGTCGTTTTGTTTTTATATTTCGTCGTATGAGGTAGACCTTGTCTCCCCTCCGTAAGATTGGTCCTCCAATCCTTTTCTTGTCGTAGTAGTGCTTCATTCTGTCTTGAATGATTACTAAATCTTGTCTGAGGCTTGCTTGTAGTCCTTTTAGCTTGTCGGCCTGTGTGATAGCTCTAGGTGCTGTTCCTTGTTCTGAGCCTTCTCTGAGTATATCTAGATTGAATCCGTAGTTTGCGTAGAATGGTGTCGTGTTGATTGCTTCGGTGTGTGAGCTGTTGTAGGCGAACTGTGCTACTGGTAGTAGTTGTACCCAATTGTTCTGCTCGTAGTTGACGTAACACCGTAGGTATTGTTCGAGAGTCTGGTTCATTCGTTCGGTTTGTCCATCCGTCTGGGGATGATAAGCTGTCGATAGCTTATGTTTCGTGCCGAGCTGCTTCATTAAGGATATCCAGAACTTGGATGTGAAGAGCTTGTCTCGATCAGATACGATTGTCTCTGGCAATCCATGCTGGCTGGTGATAACTCGTAGGAATGTGTAGGCTAGGTCCTCTGCTGTGCTGGCTTCCTTGTAGGGTAGGGAGTAGGCGTACTTCGTAAGTCGTTCGGTGATTACGAGGATGCTGTCATACGTAGTCCTAGTTAAAGGCTCCTTAGATTTGGGTAGCTTGACTATAAAGTCCATAGCTATTGATTTCCATGCTCTGTCGGGTGGTGCGATAGGTTGTAGTTGTCCATATGGTTTATGTCGAGAGGCTTTGCTCTTATGACATAAGTCGCATTCCTTGATAGTTTCTGTGACTATCTGTCGTAGTCCTGGGAAGTCATAGGCTTCCTGTATTCGTTTTGTTGTTTTGTACGTTCCTGATGTCCGTGTACTGGGTGCTCGTGATAGTCTTTGACTAATTCTTTTCGTAGTTTCTCTGGTACTTTAATTCTTCCGTTATATTCCTGGTTTTCTGGTTGTATTTCTTGTATCCGGGTTTTCCATTGCTGTAGTGGTTGTAAGGAAAATGTTGCGTTGAGCTGTCTTGAAGGTTCGAGATTTCGTTCGTCGTTAATTCGTAGAATAGCCTGTGTATTCTTCGGAATTTCCTGTTCGTGGTCGGGTCTTCGGCTGAGAGCGTCTGCTCTTCCGTTTTCGCTGCCTTTGCAGTAGATGATTTTAAAGTTGAATTCCGTCAGGAATTCTGCCCATCTGATTTGTCGTTTATTCAGATTTTTCGTAGTCGTAAATGCCGTAAGGTTCTTGTGGTCAGTGTAGACTTGTACCTGATAAGTCGTACCACTGAGATAGTGCTTCCATTCTTTGAATGCTTCGATAATAGCCATCAGTTCCTTGTCGTGAATCTGGTAATTGAGTTCTGGTCTGTTGAGTTTCTTCGAGAAGAATGCTACAGGATGTAGCTTGCCGTTTTCATCTCGTTGTCCTAATTGTCCGCCGATAGCGTAGTCTGAGGCGTCTGTTTCGATTTCGAACTGTTTGTCGGGGTCTGCCATAGCGAGTACCGGTTCTTGTATAATCCATTGCTTGATTTTATCAAAAGCTTCTTGCTCTCTGGGCGTCCATTGGAATGGTTTATCCTTCCGAGTCAGGTCCGTTAAAGGTCGGGTGTCGTTACCGTAACCTTTGAGGAACATGCGATAAAAATTCGCAAAGCCGATTAATCCTCTGACTTCCTTAATACAGGTTGGTATTGGCCATTCTTTAACTGCTGATATCTTGGAGGCTTGCATTCGAATTTGTCCTGGGGATATCGTATATCCCACAAAGTCGACTTCCTTCTGGTGGAACTTGCTTTTCTCAGAGTTCACTACTAGCTTTGTTTGCTGTAGTTTCTGTAGAACTTGGTGGACGTGCTGGCGGTGTTCTTCGAGGGTCCTTGACTAGATAAGGATGTCGTCCAGGTATACCACAACGAAGTGGTCGAGGTGTTCTCGTAAAACGTGGTTGATCATAGCTTGAAAGCTAGCGGGTGCGTTAGTAAGGCCAAAAGGCATTACTAGGTATTCGAAGTATCCGTATCTGGTCCTGAAGGCGGTCTTCCATTCTTCGCCTTTCTTGATTCGAATCAGATTATATCCATCCTTTAGATCTAAAATAGTGAACCACAAGGCTCCGTGGAGTCTGTCGCATAGTTCCTTGATCAAGGGTAGGGGGTATCGATTCTTGATCGTGATGTCGTTCAGTTGTCTGTAGTCCACGCAGAGTCGTAATTCTCCACTCTTCTTTGGTACGAATAGGATAGGGTATCCTGCTGGAGATGTCGATGGTCGTATATAGCCTTTCGCTAATTGCTCGTCGAGGTACTTCCTAAGTGCCTGTAGTTGTTTCTCGTTAAGTCCGTATATCTTGTGGAACTTTGGTTGTTCTCCTGGTTTGAGTGGTATTTCATGGTCCCATGGTCCATGTTCTGGTAATCCGAAGTTAAGTGTACCACTGAATAGCGTCTTGTATCCTCTGTATTCGATCGGGATGTTTTCGTGTATCGCAAGGTATATCTCCTTTGTATCGTGTTGTCGTATTGGATGCTCAATCCCTTCTCACCTGACTTCCTCTGTCCGTTGGGTGTCAGTTAGGTCGCCGTGCTGTCGTGCTGAGTGTAGTGGTCCTGTATCTTCTTGCATCGGCTTAGACTCCTGAGACTCGTCGCGTCGAGTTCCTGCCAGTGTCTTCTGAATCTTGCTTGTGATCTGTTTCTTAGGTACCACAGAGGCTAAGTTCCTTCCTGGTCGATCCCACTGAAGTTGGCCTGTTCTCCAGTTGACTATGGGATTGCTCACCCGCAGCCAGGGTATCCCCAAGATCATCTCATGATCTGTGATGTCCGTAATCTCGAGCGTGAGACGTTCTCTTCGGTTTTGGATGTCGAGGGAGAGTTCTGCAGTTTATCGATCAACGATTCCTCCGCCGTACGTTACTAATTCTCCATCCACGGTCCTTAGTCGGTATGGGGCGTCTTTTCCTGTCCATGGTATCTTATACCGGTTGAAAATTCGTGGTGATATGTAGTTTCCTTGCGCGCCGCTGTCTAAGAGCGCCTTGATCTTTCTGCCCATCACTTGTACTTCCAGTATCAAGTGGGCGTTGCTGTCTTCACATTTGCGACAGCTAGGGACCTGGTGGTGTCGATCGTGCGTGGTCCCTGACCATACGATCGCACTAGTTTTCTGCGTTCTTTTGGGAGTTCTCTCCTCGTTCCTTCGCTTTTCCTTTTCGTGACAGGTTTCGTGATTCCTTCTTATGGTGCCTAGTCGCTATAGGTCTTGCTTCCTCGTCTGACGATATAGGTGCGACGAATTTGACGATTCGTCCTTGGTTTGGCTGGCTCTCTCGCCATGCTTGTGCCTTCCTCTCGTAGTGTACGAGGCATAGGTCGAGGTGGCATTCTTCCCAGGTGACTTCCTTAGTCACACATCGTTTGGGGTACCGGGGGTCGTGTCGTAGAATTGCGAATTCCCTTTCGCTGCGTAGCGTGATACGGGTATGTTGAATCTCCGAGACTTCGTAGGGGTGTGGAATAGCTTGGTCCTTCACACGCCTAGGGAACCAGTTGTTCGTTGTCTTGGCGGGGAGGTGTAGTCCACATCGAGGATATACACACGAGATCCATGCGAGTTGCTTATGGTCTGTCGCCGTAGGGTGAATTCTATCGTCGTCTCCGAATTTTGTCATATTATCGCCGGGTTGCCTCTTTATTGCTTGTTGGATAGCGTTTTCGTCTTTTGTATTTCTTCCAGGGATAGCGATCCAGCCTTCGACCTCTAGGTCCTGTTTCTCTCGTAGGTACCTGTCGAGCTGATCGTCGTCGTAAAATTGTATTCGGCCTGGGCTGGGGGGGTTGTGCGTTTTCTCTTTTTCGATGGTTTCTTCTTCGGCGGAGCTGTCTTCCGAGAGTTCTGGGTTTTCGCGGCTTTTCCATCCTTCTAGGACTTCCTTCTCAAAGGAGTCATCCTCACTAGTCTCGAGGTCTGTCGGAAGCTGCGTCGATGGTTCGATCTGTCGTTCCGATCCCTCAATTAATCCTTGCTCCTGTTCCCTAGTGATTCCTCCGCTGTGTCTGGTCATAGCGAGGGTCCTGGTAGTTCCGGGTCGTCGGGGGTACCATTGCGCGCCTTCCTTGTCGCTGAGGTGGACCGGGCAGCTGTCGTCGTAGCACGCTGTCCAGTGTAGTTTAGGGTGATTTTCCTCAAGGGGGCTGGTATCCTCCTCATCGATGTCTTCGTCATCGGCTGTGTGTACTGGGCACACTATTGGCGTGTCGCACACGCATCCTTCGTCGCGGGCTGCTAGGTTGAGATGGCGCTTTCCCTCGGGTACCGGTCGCCATTGTTTCTTCTGCCTGCATTCCCGTGCGAAGTGTCCTTCCTTGCCACAGTTGAAGCAACCTTTCCCTCTAGGCTTGCTTTTGTCGTGTCTAGTGGCGTCGATGTCCATAGGTCCTGAGTGAGCGCCGGTAGAAGTAGAATAACGGTTGTAGCTTCCACGTTTGTCGATTCGCTGCACTTTTTGGCCCATGTTGGGTCGTGCCTGCCTCGCAGGTTGACCTTTCCGTTCCATACGTCTCTCGTACAATCGATTGTCGATTCGTACGACCATTTTTGGTTACAGCAATTACCCAATCGGACGGGAATAGGCTATTCTCGTACCAGGATAAGAGGTGATTTTGACCCGCGACAATAATATACGGCGGGATAGCCCAGCCGGACGAATTAATACCCTGGAGTCGGCTGGTGTAGTTGGTCACTTCGCTGGTAGATAAGTCCCGATTTGAGCCTCGCCCACTTGGGTCGGTGACGAGTCGCGGGTTCGAATCCCGCAGCTGACACACAAGGGGGTTTAGTCAACCCTTACGGCGCGCTGCCCACCTTGTTGACTTCGCCTACCTAGCGATAATAGGGAGATTGGTGCAGTTTAGGATTACGAAGCATCCTAGCCAGTCGACCGTCAAGCACTACGTCGGCGGAATATAACTCGACAGCCGGTCCAGAATTCGAATCGTTAATCCGACCCCTTATCGGACCTTGCCTTTCCGATAACGCTCGTCGGCGAACCCGTCCCCTCACGATAGAAGGCGCGCAGCACGCCCTCTCGCCGCGATTCTTGCGAGCGTCTGACCACGTTACGGTCTATCCACTTGAGCGTATGGTTGAGATGTATACGCTCGACGAGAACCCCAATTAGCAGATACTACGACTTGTCGCGACAAAAAAAATAGTCGAGCATCTTCTGCACATCAGCAGCATCCCACCCCTGAGGACGAATTTAAGTGCCACATTACCACACTTATCGGTAGTTCAGGCAGGGGTTGTAGCACAGACTTAGGGAGGGACAGGAGGTTTAGTAGTCATTTGGCTACAAGTTTACCTGTATAACCGCCCGACGCGGCTTAAGGGCCCGCTATATCATCTATAGCCCCTTAAGGGAGTACTTGTAGAGGTACCGAGGGTTAACACCTACGGCGTATTTAATATTATAATCAATACCCTGGATTACTGTAGCCCATTCTCGGTTGCCTTGTTGGACTGTACGAGGCCTTCCGCGTCGTTCGGCACTTGTAACTACCATCTCGGATTAGATTAAGCCCATCGCGAACCCTGTCTCGTCGAAGTTATAGATATCCGCCTCTTGGATACCATATTTCGCAATTGTATTTCGTACGAGCGTAAACCACGCGCGATACGCGTCAGGATCTTCGCAATAGGCTCGTTGGTAGTCGATTCTTCGATTAAAACGCGTCCGAAGGTCTGGTTATCGTCGTACGAAGTTCGAGGCCTAGTTGACGCCGACGCGTCCAGCGCCACGGTCACGGAGCAGTCGGTTAGCCATAGCTTCAACACCATGGAGCCGGGGAGGAAATGATCGCGAATCTAGGTCAAGTATGTATTGTACGACCGCTAACTCTTCTGATTCCGTAAGCTTATAACTAGATTGTCGAGTATCGCGTTGAGATAGTAGTCCGCGTTTTCAGTTAGCTAGAGTTGTACGAGGGACATTGTAGAGTTGGGCAGCGCGTCGGATGCTTAATTCGGGTTTCGATTGAAGCGCCTGACACGCTAGAATCATGTCACTTTCTTTCCAATTCGATCCCATCTTGGTATGTGTAAAGATGTTAATTAAAAGGTTGTTCGTACAGTGCCAAGAAAAAGTGGCCAACTTGCTTGTGTGGCCAACTTGCTTATGGGGTACGTTAGTTGAAATAACTTATATAGAAGTTAGATATGTGGAAACAGTGGGTAGCTTAGTAGTAAACCACGTTATATGTCAAGGTTATGATTATGGGGACAAACCTTCGTAACCAGCCTGAACGCCTCAACAGTTGTTAGGGTTCATTGAATGAACTGTTGGACAGACCGCACCAGCCTTTAACTCCCAACGGCTGGTTTTCCGCTTCCGGCTATAATACCCAATTGACCGGATATTGGACCGTTTGCATCGAATCCTCTGGTGTATCAGGTATTGTTATGCTTAGACGTGATCAGCTCTCTCAAAATGTGCAGCCAATAAGCACATGTTCTGTACTGAAGGTCCGTACGGCCACCTTCACTCTTTTGACTTGGGTAGCACAGTGACATATTCAATTGAATGATTTAGTATAGCTTGAACTAGGTTCGATATGTATGATCACGCCATAATAGTTCGCCGTGAGGTCATATTTTGCAGTGTATTAAACCATAGATAGTCCCCTTCGTAGAGCAAAGCAAATAAGCACTCATTCATTGCTTCATTTCAAACTTATACGGCAGAGCTAAGTTCATCTGCAAAGAAACCGGACAGGGTTCAGAGAGTGGATAGAGCCACGGGACCTGCAGTCTTGAAGAGAATGCGTAGCATCTAGTATGGGCACCAGTTATCCTACCCGGAATTTCAGAGCAGTGAATCGAAATGCCTTGCTAGCACACAATTGCTCAGCGAATTGTCCATGATTGTTCTAGAGCTACTCTCAACTATTTCCATCACCGGCAATCCAGAATGAAACCATTTAGAGCCGAAATAGATGTTGGACTCGAATCCGTTATGACCCGAGGACCCGGGATCATGCTTGGTGGAGTACCCATCGAAGACAAATACGTTGAGATGCGACGAATCTGGAACTCGGCATTCACCATGGCGTGGTTGGGAAGAACTATATCAATTAAGACTTCAGCTCAAACATGCGCCAGATGAGTGTCGACTACCTACTGCAATATATGGACTTCGGCTATCGAGAGCCTTATCACGAATCCGATAGTCCGGTAAGTTTTAGCAAGCATGCTTCAGTAAGTCTCCTGCTCAATGAATATCTAGGGTAGTTTCCGTTCGGTGGCATCTACATCGATCTAATTCCAGTTGTATTAACATGCGTTAATTCAGAAAATCGATTACATTTCATACTATTATTTTAGTGCAAAGTATAAGCCATAGTTCCAAAAGATTTCGACTCAGAGTCGCTCGTGACTCGCTACTTAAAGAAACAAACTTTACTTCCGACCTGCCCCAAAGTTTGAGTAGTATAGGCCTCATCCTAGACCAAACCTGAAACATTCAATTCAGACCTGGGCATAGCCACTATTACACATTCCCAGCTGGCATCAACGCCAAGACTCTACGGGATAGGAGTTCAAGAGGGGAATTCGACTGTCAGGCTCACCTCCAAGCGTTCTGAAAATTCGCCAAGTAAACAGTAGGCAAATATATCACAATTTTCGTCGGCCTCGGACTACTTTTACCGCTCTCACCGTCATGTGAATCTGTTCAGGTCATCACGAGTGTTCCATCGGAGGGCTCACGACAACTCCACCATTATGTATTGTCTAGACTATAACAGCCAAATGAACCCAACAACTCGCTTCAGTATACTGTCCATTTGATAGCCTTGAAAGCAATAGTCTGTAGCGTGTTTATCAAGTTTCACGCCATTCAGACGAACCTTCTCTCCCACTCGTCTCATCGTGAAACAACTCCACAGGCAATTCTACACGCAGTATTGTAAGGATGAAACAAAACAACAAAAGCCCCGTCTGACCTCATGGACGAATGTCTGTGAGGGACATGTCGGACCAAAGTTGACAGGACATCTGTGCGATCAAACTATATCGGCTATTCTACATTTCAGCGTCACCACCATTCTCTTGTCACGATGGATGGGGAGAGCGATTACGAGATTCAGATTTAGACTCTGAACAAACCATGCTGTAAATAAATATCCGAAGCTGTGTTGTGTCTGAGAGTTCCATAGAATATATAATTGGGTTAGTCTTCTCCTACAGATCAAATTGCTTGACAACCGTTCTTTCATCCGTCGCAAACTTTGTTGCGTGTAATCTTTCTTTCCCGCAGTTGTGTCGCCTGGTCCAGTCACGTTTCAAAGATGCAAATTTCGACTCTGCTCTCGGCGCTGGTCGTCTTCGGTGGTACAGCTTACGCCGCTCCAACAGGCATTGAGGTACGAGCAGGTGAGAATGCCGGCGGCCTTCTGGGATTGCTCGGCGGAGGCGGAGGCGGAGGCGGAGGCGCAGGGGGAGCTGCTGGTGCCCTAGGTGCGTTGGGCGGCGGAGGTGGAGCTGCTGGTGCCCTAGGTGCCCTAGGTGCGTTGGGCGGCGGAGGTGGAGCTGGTGGTGCACTAGGTGCGTTGGGCGGCGGAGGTGGAGCTGGTGGTGCCCTAGGTGCTTTGGGTGGTTTGGGAGGTGCGTTGGGTGGCGGAGGTGGCGCTGGTAATGCCCTGGGTGGTCTGGGTGGTTTGGGCGGCGGGGGCGGCGCGGGTGGTGCGGGTGGTGCGGGTGGTGCCAAAGCTAACGCCGTTAGTGGCGCCGGCGGCGCTACCGGCGACGATGGCGCATATACTGGGTGATTGACTCCGTCCACACTATTGGAAACAGGAATGACTAACGAGACAAGGCTTTCGGCAACTCTCAATCAGCAGGCTCAGGCGGCAGGAGGTTGTAACACTCCACTCGGTAACGTGTAAGTGCCCTATCTACCTAGGCCACGATACCTGTCTAACATTTATGATTTAGGTTGTGCGAGGCACGGGACAACATTTAACTTCTACTTGGAGGCATCGCCGTGCTGGCCTTCGGCGTCTTGGATATGTTGATGATGCGTAGACGGGCTTACTGTATATAGTAGTTTACTAAGTGCAAGCTTTCAAGCGTTGTTTGGTATGGTCTGGATACCATAGCTATTATTTATGGTCGCAACCACTCTCGTTCTAGGACGCTCACGCCAGCGATGAGCTTCATACCTAGTCGATGCTACAATGCACAATGTTAAATAAGTACTGTGTCAAAAGACAGGTGGTGTTTTAATTGAGGAAACAAAGGAGTTTGCGCACGGTGTATCAGTAATGACAAAGAACCTAAGAATGTTCACCGGATACGGCATAATTAATTTGTTTTTGGGCTTTGATGCGATGGCTAGCAGCACCATCTTTGTTTTTGAAGACATATCTGACACTGCCAACCTCAGAAAAACCTAAACGAAACACAACCAGAGTGTTTAGAACATTCTAGATGTTGACCTGTGTATTCGTAGTGCCACCCGCATCTCCTGGCAAGTGCGGGAAGAATAACATTGGCACATATGATAAGGAAGTGGATCACGCTGTTATCGAGGCAGATCTGGCGATTTTTAAGGCTGCGAAGTGGAAGTTGGAGAGGCAGTTGATACCGGCTGGGTATACTGTGCATGAGACAGTGCGTAGGGATGTGCAGGTTCCTGTCCACGACCCGGCGGATTCGGTGCATTTTGAGTCAGGGCTGCGGATCTTTGAAAAGATCATGTGTATGTTGGAGAGGATTTCGCATTCTTTGGCAGGCCTGAAAGGAGGAGATGACGGTTTGTGGGAAGAAATTACGTACGATTTCAACGCAGATAAGGTATATTTTGGAGAATGGCTCCTAACATAGGTTTCTCAGGCTTCTACGTGCTCACCCACCTCTCCTGGTGCGCCAACTTCGCCATGGGCTGGCAAACCGGCACTACTGTTGAGACCACCCCAACTGGCTGGGCAATTCCCCATCCCCAGGGCGAAGAGGTCGAGGACATGTACTGCGACTCAATGCTTCCCGGTAACGTCACACACCCACATCCGGGACACCCCCACATGTGGGACGCCCTAAAGATAATACTATATAATGTGAATGTACACCGAGCTGGCCACTTTCATGCGCCAACGCGACCGGCCAACTTAATGTTTGATTTTCTCAACAACCAATTATGGTAAAGTCATACAACGAAGCAGACTTAATGCTAGCCTTTCAAGCTCTCAAAAATGACCAAAAACTTACCAAGTCCCCCGAAGCACCCTCCAAACGCGTAAAAACGCGCCCAGGCGCTGTGGTATTTGCAACGGGACTGGGCATAATGCGCGAACTTGTAAGATCGCATTGCCATCTTCTGGAGAGGAAGATTCAGAGTAGTTTCAATTGATTTACGGCGTTGTGGTTTTACTACCGTAAAATTTCTATGCGAGATTATGTAAGGGTGGCCAGCTCGGTGTCATGGCCAGCTCGGTGTACATTCATTCACGTTAGCCAAAACTAGAAACTATCTGTGAAGCATGGTACCCGGTCCGTGCCTTACCAACCTGAGTGGTCGGGATGATATATGCACTGCTACTCCAGGCAGCCACCCTGTTATTTAGGGATCGTCGTCCGATTTATGGGGCTGGGACAGCTTAGGGTTTGGCGATATTAAGTTCCTTTACTCCAATGGTAATAGTTCATGTCGATTTCAACCTCGTCTGAAAATTTGACACAATCAGCCTCGATAACACCGAGAATCTACGATCTCTTCCCACCTCAAAGAAGTCTAGCGGCGAAACAGAGTTCAGCCTAAATGCAAACCTACATGTATAGAAGTATCCAGACGTCGCTAAGCCCACCCTGCCCCTGAAGTCGGATGCTAAAGGGGCTCTGGAAGATGGTCCAAGAGCGAGCCGCCGAGATTCTCGAAGAGCTCAACAAAGGCACTTGCACCACACCAACCGCCGTTAGGTGCGGGCGAAATGGGCTGCACGTTTGTCTCCATTGGTGGGCAAGGCAGCGTTGCCCGAGTCCACGGCCAGTTGATGCCCCATCTCGTGATTCATGCTCGAGCTATTAACGAGTAACCTCCTTTACTCTTTTTCGTCGTCCTTCTTGACTCCTGAATTTCTAATAATTCCAGAGGTCGAAGAGACAAGAAGATGCAGCTTCTCGTGTCGGATTGGGTGTATGATGTCACCAATTTCTGTTCTTGGAGCAAATGATTTGCGCACTCGCACACCATTGCCGAACCGTTCTCGCACCATGAGGAGATGAAGGAGTAGGGGATATGGATAGGATATGAGATGTATTCGAGCCACTCTCTCAATCCAAGATGGTGCAATTTGGATGTGGTTTCTTGCAGTAGGGTCAGATCTGGATATGAAGATAAGTGGTGCTGGCTTTGAATCTAATCTTCTGGGCCATCCAAAACCATAAGAGGCCACAATGGTTTCACCAAAAAAGGCCAAGTAGTTGAATCAATATCTTGGACCCTCAAGGCTACTACACCAAGACAGCCAAGTCAAAGAGAAAAGTATATGGCCGCAAACCGTACGATTATGGGCCAATATGACCTCTACCCGTCGAACCACACAAGTCCTAGCTGTGGGACAGGCATCAGTGATTCCTGTTTATATAAGGCCCCTATGACCGCCATTTACTTCTCTCAAGACTATCCAGAGATCATGACACGTTCAATACAAGACCATTTGCCCACAATCCAACACAATAATCAGACTGTCTTATGTATGGTAATAATTGCGAGTGTAATATCAGTGAAGTAAGGTTGGCATTCATAAACTCTGTGTCCACAATGCCTTATCGATCGAGTTACCCATGTTCTTGAATTGACAAATATTTCAGTTTATTCTACGAAAATGTATTAATGAGAATTTGTATCTAGCAGGAGACACTGCTGTTTCGTAATTCCCCGCAATACCTGATTGCTCACCCTTACGATTGATGAGCTAAAAATGTAAATATCAAAACACATTCGTGCACTGCCTCGCCATGAGAGCTTGTAGTGAACATATTATGATGAAAGACGCAGCGAATCAAGTTTTGGGACGGTATACCAGCTTCTAACTTCTCCACTAGCTCAACCAAATATTCCATCATTCTTTGGCTTGAACTCGATATGAGGCCGGTTCAGCGCACCAGCCGGTGCGTCCAGAGGATCCTCAGGGGTAATTCCCTCCAAAATGGGCGCCGCCATGCCCAACTAACCATAGTCAGTATACTCATCACGTCAAGAGTTGACCAGTCGAACCATAACTCACCGCGAAGTACTTCAGCTTGCCTGAATGGATCATGCCCGCCATCTTGCTCGTAACCTGGAAGCGATTGACGGTCCATCCCAAAGGCGGCAAGTCGTGGGAGATCACCCGGCCTGGATTTTCCAAATTGAGCGCCTTTCCATCCTCAACAGCCTCCCGTACCGTCGAATACTCGAACAAGTCATTCGCGGCCGAGCCCATCAGCCACGACGGCGCACCGTGCTTGTACAACGAGATACTTTCGTTCAAGTCATTATGTATAATTAAATCAACGACCGAGCCCAGAGGAAGGTCCTTGATAATAGGCGCTTCCAAAGTGTCGTAGTCCTGCGTCAGATTGACAAGGAGCAAAGGCTTCATGGCGCTGCGGAAGAGCTGCCAGGGTTTCTTATTGAGGTAGAACTCGGGCACATGGGGCTGGGTGAGGGAGGGCTGTACGCCAGTAGTCAAGTGGAATGTGAAATCAGCATCTATGGGAGCTTTATGGCGAGAAGTGGGTATAGGAGATGCTGGGTAGGGAGGCACGTAATTGAGGTCGACTTGCTTGCATCGGGGGTCGACTGAACCGTCCGGCAGGACACATACAATACTGTTTGCTGGCGGTTGCGGGAGTTCCATGGGTTGGCCAAGCATTGGCTGCTTTCTTATGCCCTGGATTGGTTGGCTTTGTTAGTCTTGAATGATGGGAATCGGTTGAGTTGGTTACATGAGAAGCACGGCTGAAGACTTACAGGATAACGGAGTATTGAATAACCCTGAAGATTCTGCAAAATGCTGGTAGAAATATAGCGCATGGTATAGTCCCCAGGCTCGCGGTCGAGCTTTACTAGCACTGTCACTCGTGCCGCGTTGGTGATATATACGACCTGCATAATTTACGTGTCAGCAAGGAATTTTTATGTGCTTGAATGATGCGGTCGACCTACATCTGTCTCGTATGGCTCGGTGAACCCGTTATCGTTAGCGACCACAATCATCTTGTGGTCGTCTATCGACACCATGACAGAATGCTCGAACCCAAGGTTGATCAGGTTCATCATTATGTATGATTGACCATTCGTTTCTATAATCTGTTTGGTTTGTTAAGATTGCCTCGAACTAACCATTAGGTGGCTAACATACCTCATAGGGTGCCGTGCTTGGTTTACAAGACTCGGCGGGAAGTCCAGGGGGCTGAATGCATCCCTTTTCGTCAAGAGACTGTCCATTCAGTTGGGCATAGTCGGGATGTCTACAGTGGACTCTTCCATGTCCTGTAAAGGAAGGTGAAGTTAGTCTTGATGAAAAACCTCTGCAGCATATGGCGTGGAAAATATACCGTTGATAATAATGGAGTCATAGCAGTAAAACTCGGACCCCTCTGCTTTCATCCGCAGGAGCTTCCATCCGGTATCCCGATGCTGATGGTTCTTAATATCCAGGTGCTGAATGCGGCTCTCGGCCTCCTTAATTTTCCGCAGTTCGATGGGATCTGAGGTAATCAAGTGGTATGGCCTAGGCCGTGATGGACTAGGCGCGATCCAGACTACGCCGTACAGTCCCTGAAAAAATTCATTAGCTCAACTGACCCTGAGTTGGCGTCTTGATGTGACTATAGTGGAATCTCTTACATCGACAGAACCTGCAGTAGTGTGCTCAATATACCAGCGCAGACCCCATTGGTCAGTGGTATCATGAACCGTTGAAAAGTTCCCTCTCGACAAGGTTGGATACTTGTGCCATGTTAGCATTTCGAAAACTCCCGTCCGCAGACCTTGAAAGATTCAGAGACTTGCCTGTGAAATACCACCGGTTCCTTCATTCCACGGGCCAGCTCTGGTCAAAAGCTATATTAGTAATTCATCTCTTTGGATGACGGGTTAGGTTTTGGGTTTACCTGTTTGGATAATGTAGGCCCGAACTAGAAAGCCACAGACATTAGCAAGGTTTCACAACGCTAAGGCATCGGAATGGTGGCTTACATGTGAATCGAGTTCTGAGCGTACATGTCGTTCTGCAGGTGCAGAGCAATGAGATCGCCTTCCTCGGCATACAGTGTTGGACATGGCGACTCTCCGTTGCAAGTGAGCATTACTCTCCAGCGACCTCCATCTGTGAACAAAATTAGCGAGCCATAAAAAACACAATGCGTGCTGGCAGATAGTACCCGGATTCATCCAACGAGTGCCAAATTCCAGGTTGTAGTGTCGAACAAGTTGATCGGCCTGTGTGGCTTTGCCATATAGCCAGAGTGGCCACTGAATGCCGAAAATATCATGGTTGAAAAGCCCGAGTGCTAGGACGACGGCAGAAACAATGAAGAAAGTGGGAGAAAAAAACACCGAGCGCAATGTAGAAGACCTCTTGAGAGGCTTTCCCTTCTCGAAATCGATCTCAATGCTTGCCTTGTAGTCCATTGTCGTGCTGTGATCAACGACGTCTGGTTCGCGTCCGTACAGAAGGTGTAGAAAATTATCCTTATGTCAAGTACTAGATATCTGACGGGATGTCTTCAACTAAGGGTGTACTCTAATATGCTGTTGGGCCCACTCCACTCCGAGTCACACATCTACCCCAGGTGGACCTTCTGGGTATATGATAGACACCGAGTCTAGAAGCCGGGAAGACCACTGCATGCACAAACTTTTAGATTTCAATCACCTCGAAGAAAGACATGGAAGTGAAGTTGCTAAGATCCCTGCAAGCAAAATTTTCAAGTTCATAATCTACTATCTGCTATCACTGTCCAGATTCGGGCCGAAATCCATAGAAAAAGCGCCGATAGAAAAAAAAAACAAAAAAAAAACAGAAACATCAAAGTAAGCTATTTGCTTCTAAGCCGATTCAAGCTACGTAGAGACTGAAGTCTTGGAACGTGGGGCGACCCAATAAACCACGGAAGTGGTGGGGGTGGGTTGAGTGGAGCCAACGAAGCACCTGAATCATTCACCCGTAAGACTGTTCATAACTGGGATTCAGTTCAATATATTCGATTCAGCTCAAGGTCTTTAAAACCTGGTAATTAATTGAGAAAGCTGCAAGCTTCTGCAAAGTCTCCGGGGGCTAGAACGCGAAAAGGCAGATCAAAAGCTAAGGTCTACTGCGTCGATGTATGCTAATTACACTTGAAGCCATGAAATCTCCTTCTAGGCATTATTGTCTAAAACTTGTGGAGATCGAATACTGAAACGGGATCAGGCGGTCAGTAGGATATACCTGCCACCTAACACACTGAACAGACGAAGATCGTGGTACTAGTTATAAAAGCGAAGCTCTTATACGTCTGGTGCGCGAGTTGGTCGGATGTGCCTCTGATACTCGTATCGTGATAATAGGATCTCGAACGTAAAGATAAGCTGAATAACTAAAACAACTAACCGCATTGACCACCTTTTTGCATGCACCCCCATTTTGCAGGGTCTAACTGAATCAACCTAAATACTTCGTCCATATTATTTATATACAGAACATACTTAATTTAAGTGTCCGAAGACTTAGATATTTTCTTTCGAGCCCTCTTTTTAGGAGGGACCCTTGCTTCGAGAAAAGTATCAATTTCTAACTGCTTATCCGGTAAAATAGGCCGTATTCGCTTATTTCGCTTGTCCTGGGCTGTTCGGATCGCTGATAAGTTAACGAATACTTTATTCGGGTCTGGCTCGACGGGCTGGCGTATATCTGGAGCGTATTTATCGAGTTCTTTATATAGTTGCTCGTTTTCGATACGTAATTTGGCATTCTCGGCGGCCTGGAGTGTAAGGGTCTTGCCCGCCTTGCCTAGGGTACGAATCTTACGAGATGCCCCGCCCTCGGCTTTCTCTATCGACTGTAGTTGGCTAGATAGTTGCTGCGCTTTCTGAGGAGTAAAAGCAACTAAAGGTGGTGATATATGAGGCGGAGGATCTGGTGTATGAGGCTCCGGGGGATCACAAGATACGTCGACTAGTCCTTCGGAGCCTAGGGGCCATATTGTCAGGGTACGGCTAGGCCGAAGGCAATAGTACAGAGTGATGGGGAGTAACGGGCGTCCCTCCTACGTAGCACCGGGTGGTCACTGGCGGTCTCAGGTAGGGGTGCCCACGGTGATGCATTGATCTCTGCCCTCTCTATCTTCCTCCGTCTCGACTCCTTACTTATAGCCAGCCGAGGTTCTCTCTTGGATTCTGGATGTTTGCTTCCGTATGTCTGTGTTCCTCCGACTTCGGCCAATATCTTGGACAGCGGCTCCTTATCTGCAACCAAGCGATTCCCTATCCGCTGCAAACGGCTTCAACGGCTCTCATTCGCCACAAGCGGCTCTCTAGCCGCCACAAACGGCTTCCTACCTGGTGGAAGCCGGCCCGCCTCGGATGACACTTGTGGCTCTGACAACTCCTTCCCTATCCTACTTCGAGATGGTCCTTATATAGATAGCTAGGCCGCCGCTTGGACCCGGCATAACAGCAGGGTCGGCGATGCCAAGGATCTTGACTCTCGTCATCCCAAAGCTTCACATAGATTGTAATCATGATTCGGGAGTCTTTTGTCCGAAACACCCCTCCGGCGGCCCGCCGGTGTCCTGCGTTCAGTGTCCTGACACCCACTGGTGCCTATGGCATTCTGTTCTCTGACACGACGACCCCCCCTGACAAGGCCCTGCCCTCAGGGCCTCAACGCTCATCCCGTAGAACACCGGCCCTTCCTATTCCCACATCCTCCGATGCCGCGCCGGTGCCCTCCGGTGTATACCCCGTAACTCTTCACGCGCAACAGCGTATACACTTGTGGCCTAACCACAGTGCTCCGCGCTGTCACCCGCACACACACGTCATGACATCGGTCCAGCCATTGCTCGAAAACCTTTGCCTGACAATCGCTCACGACAACGTATACACTTGTGGCCTAACCACAGTGCTCCGCGCTGTCACCCGCCTTCCGAAGCTATAGGTGCCTACCGGAACAGCACCGGTGGCCCTACGCTCCCAATCGTCGGAACATTGGCCCAGTAAAACGCTCGCAAGCCAATGTTCGACACACACGCGCAACAGCGTATACACTTGTGGCCCAACCACAGTGCTTCGCGCTGTCGCTCGCTCTCACACGTCACAGCATCGGTCCAGCCATTGCTCGAAAACCTTTGCCTGACAATCGCTCACGACAACGTATACACCTGTGGCCTAACCCCAGTGCTTCGCGCTGTCGCCCGCTCTCACACGTCACAGCATCGGTCCAGCCATTGCTCGAAAACCTTTGCCTGACAATCGCTCACGACAACGTATACACCTGTGGCCTAACCACAGTGCTTCGCGCTGTCGCCCGCTCTCACACGTCACAGCATCGGTCCAGCCATTGCTCGAAAACCTTTGCCTGACAGTCGCGCACGACAACGTATACACTTGTGGCCTAACCACAGTGCTTCCCGCCATCTTCTGCCATAGAGAGACCCTGCTTGTTACCGGCTTCCCAACGGTGTACCGTTGCCCTCGTAGTTATGTAGATGTGATAATAGGTGACTTACCTGTGATCTTTGTTCCGTTCATGCCCCCTCCCTGAGTGCCGCTCCTGAGGCACTGGTGCTAACCTGTTCTACTCCTAGGTGGCAGGTGGTGTTGTTTCTGTGCTCTCATAGCCCCATAGAGGGCAATAGTTCCTCTTACGGTCAATGAGGACTTGTTTGGCCGGCGTGCCCTTGATACAACTATTGCAGTCCGAGTTGTCACCCGGTGATACGTCGTGCCACCGAGTCTTCGTATTCTTTTCGTAGCTCTCGTGACAAGTGTCGTTGCGGCTCCCACGTATCTTCTGACTCGTCGTAGCCCTTCCACCGGACTAAGTATCGCCTGCTCTTCAGCGGTCCCTTGTGTGCTACAATGTGATCGACCTCGTATTCTAAGGTGTCGTCGCTTTCCACTGGTATCACCTGGTGCTCAACCGGTTTTCCTTTGTAGGGCTCGAGCTGTGACGGGGAGAAGACGTTATGGATGCGGTAACTCTGTGGTAGATCCAGCTCATAGGCTCTCCCACCGTTGATCACCCGGTGCACCTTGAATGGACCTAGGAACTTGTCCGACAGCTTCTTACACGGTCTGCGCTGCCTCACGTTCTTCGTCGATAGCATCACCAGGTCCCCTACGGTGAGGGACATGGTCTCTCGTCGCCTGTTATACCACTTCTCATAGTCCTTGTTCGTCCTCTCAAGGAGTTGTGCAATGGTATCCCTATGGCTCTGGAGCTCTTGGACCCTTTCATCCGCTGCAATAGCTCGGATCGGCCCAGTACCGTCCTTTTCGATATCATGTGGCCCCCTTGGCATATAGCCAAACAGCGCCTCTGCTGGTGCCATGTTGATGGCCGAATGCCACGCCACGTTGTACACGAACTGTGCCATCGGTAGTAGCGATGCCCAGTCATCTTGATCAAAATTACAGAACGCCCTCAGGAAGTTTTCCACGTTCTGATTCTGTCGCTCTGTCTGCCCGTCGGTCTGCGGGTGGTATGCGGTACTCAGCTTCCTCTTGATAGCCAGTAGGTGGCACACCGTTGCCCAGAACTTGCTTGTGAACAGGGAACCCCTATCGGATACCATAGTCACTGGGATCCCGAACACAGTGAAGACGTAGTGCACCAGCAGCGTAGCGAGTCCATCAGCGGTAAGGCTCTTCTTCGTCGGTATATATAGTGCGTATTTCGTGAAGCGGTCCACTATTACCAAGAGGCTGTCCTTCATCTTCCCATTGGTGTCCTGCGAAGATGGAAGCCCTGTAATAAAGTCGAGAGAGATCTGCTCCCATGGTCGGTTTGGTACCGGCAGACTAGCTAGCTGCCCGTAGGGCAGATGGTGTCGCGCCTTTATTCGCTGGCAGACTGCACACCCCCTAACAAGGTCCTTCGCATCTCTTGTCAGCGATTTCCAAAAGTACGACCTACTGATTCTCTTGACTGTCTTAGTGACCCCCAGGTGGCCACTAGTCTGCTCGTTATGGAAGGCCATCAGTATCTCCCGCTGGATCGGATGGTTATCTGGTACGAAGACGCGGCCCTTATAGCAAAGCAGCCCGTCCTCCTGGTACCACGCACCCGGTACGCGGCTGAGCGACTTCCACGCTCCGCTACTGACGAATTCGTCTTCTGCCTGGGCTTTCCTGACATCTTCAAGTAATGTCGGAGCCAACTCTTCCGGCATAGGGACACCAGCTGTAGCACCGCTTGCGCGCTGTGTCTCCATTACTCGCACTCTGATACTCCTAAATCGTTGTAGGAAGTCTGGCAAGAACGCTACTTGCGCCTCCTGTTTCTCACCCGCTGTCGCGCGGTGGTCAGGTCGTCTTGACAACCCATCGGCAGGATTCTTCGTGCCTGGTCGATATATGATCTCGAAGTCATAGTTCGCAAGGTCCTGTAGCCATCTACCTTGTCTAGCGCTGAGCTGCGGCTTACTGGCTAAGTAGCGGTGGTTCAAGTGATCCGTGAGAATCTCAATCGTCTGTTGACTGTACAGCAGATAGTGCCGCCATCGTTGTGTTGCCTCAATAATCGCGAGCAGCTCCGCATCGGGTGTCCCGTAGCGTAGCTCAGCGCCTTTCAATTTCTTGGACATAAAAGCCACTGGGTGCCACCTGTCTCCGTGCAGCTGGCTAAGTACTGCGCCAATTGCGAAGTCTGATGCGTCAGTCTCTACACGTATAGGTAGTCCAGGCTCGAAATGCTTCAAGATAGGTGCTCGTGTGAAGGCCAGGCGTAGCTTGTAGAACGCCTCGTGTGCTACATTATCGAGCTGCAGCGCTCCAGATGATCCTCCCTTGAGTAGGTCGGTCAGGGGTGCTACTATCTTCGAGTAGTTCTTGATAAACCGGCGATAGAACCCAGTGAATCCGAGGAAAACCTGTATATCATGGATACTAGCCGGGGCTGGCCATTGCGCGATAGCATCCACCCTGTCGGTTTCCATGCGGATCCCCTCCGGTGACACCACGAACCCTAGGAACTCGACTTCTTGCGTGTGGAAGACGCATTTGTCTTGATTAGCGTACAGGCCAGCGGCGTCCAACCGGCGGAGGACCTCCCGGACATGCTCTGGGTGTGACTCTCTGTCCTTAGAGAATATAAGGATGTCGTCCAAGTAGACGATACAGATCACGTCCACAAGTCCAGCTAGTGCGTCGTTGATGTAGCTCTGGAAGGTCGCCGGCGCATTAGCTAGTCCGAACGGCATGACCAGATACTCAAAATGACCGTATCTCGTCCGAAACGCCGTCTTCCATTCGTCTCCTTCGCTGATCCGGACCCGGTGGTATGCGTCCTTCAAATCTAGCTTCGTGTACCACTTCGCGGAAGCTAGCCTATCCAAGATCTCACCGATCAGTGGTAGTGGCGCTCTGTTCTTCACAGTGATCTTGTTAAGGCCTCTGTAGTCCACACATAGCCTCAACTTTCCTCCTTTCTTCGGTACGAATAGGATCGGCGCCCCAGCTGGGCTCTGCGAGGGCCGAATCCATTTCTTGCTCAAGGCCATTTTCAAATATTCTCGTAGTTCCTCGAGCTCTTTCTCCGCTAGTGGATAGATGGGCCCGTGCGGCGGCTCGGCACCTGGCTCTAGCTCGATCTTGTGTGACCGAAACCTTCCATCTGGCAATTTCCCTGCTAACTGCGCGTCGAATAGATGGAGGAATTCTGCGTATTCCGACGGCACGGTGGCACACTTGGCCTGCGGCTCTGTTCCGGCTCCTCTGTCCTTGCTAGCTTCGACCCTTGCTACCGCGGCACTGCTATCATACTGTACTTTGCCTCGTGGTACGCATTCCGTATATCCTTCTTGCTGGTCACCAGTTGCAGACTGTCCACGTCGAGAGGGTACGTCCATCCTAACGAGGACCATCGAAATATAGGCTCAACGGCACGGCACCAGGGGAGCCCAAGGATTGCAACCCAGTCTTCTGCATCTGAGACTCGGAATTCGTGAGCCTTCGTCTTCGTCACCCCGAAGCTGTCCGTCATCTTTGTATGTAATACCCTCTTGCCATAGTTGGGACCTTTGCTTCCCCACATGCCCCGCAGCGTCTCACCGGAGTCTTGTAACGTACCCGGCTCGATGCCAAGCACTCTTGAGTCCACGACATTCTCGTCGGCTCCGGTGTCAATCAAGGCTTTTCCAATGCGCCAGCAGCCGCCAACCCGGAGACGGATGGTGGTTTCCAGACGGAGCGGCTGCTCGTACCCCTATTGAGGCTCGGTGTGGCGGACCCCCAGCGGCGCTGTGTTTGGGTTCCGGTCCTCAGGACAAGGTCCGTCATGTTTGGTTCTACCGCAGGTCCTGCAGTTAGGGCATTGTCGAGAGTAATGTCCCGTCTGTCCGCACGAGTAGCACTGGCCGTAAGCCACATCCCTCCTGGGCGCCTGTTGGCCTGCATTCCCGTCTGATGTTTCTTCCCTTGCTGGTGCTGGGGTCGAGGACGATGTTGCGTTGGTCCTCGGGCCAGGCTATTGGTACACCGGTGGTCTGCTGCTTATTTGAATCGCCTCGGCTTGCTTAGCTACGTCGTCAAGCTCATACCGAGTCGAGGGAAGTCCTCGGGTCATGACTTGTCGCTTCAACTCCGGTCGTAAGCGGTTGAGTACGTTGACGACCCGTATACGTTCCGGTAGTTGATCAGGGCACTCTGTCTCTATAGCATCGTATACGTCGATGAACTGCTGGTAGCTCTGGTTGGGGCGCTGGGTGATACTATCGAGTCTCTGCATCACGCTGATCACTCGCGTATCGTCGCTAGCCACACTCCTCTCCAGCCACTTCTCCATAGCGTCCCACCGGACGTTCCCCAAGTCGTTTTTGTAAGTAGTAGCAACGTGGCTGGTCCACCGTCGTTGCACCGCCCCATCAAGGCATCCGGTGGTGTGCAGTACACGCGCCGCATCAGTGTCGAAGTCCTCCGCGTACATCATGAATCTCCCCTTTAGGTTTAACATGAACGAGGTAAGTTCCGACCAGTTGGTGCCCCGGTACTTGAGTGTCGGCAAGTGGCCTCTCCCTCCTAGATCAAGCCGAGGTCGCTTTAGGCCTGGTCCGATAGGTTCAACCTGGGTCCCACCGGCGGTACTATTATGCGGCTCTCCCCTTCTTAAAGCTTCCAATTGTCCAATCCTTTCTCGTTTCTTCTTCCTCACTACTTCTTCTTCCACTAGACGGTCAAGCTCTTCTAGCTCGAGCTCCTCTAGTTGGGACCGGCTCAGTTGCCTCATCGTCGCTGTTGTCGTCGTAGCGTCGACAGTGCCACTGCTCGTCTGCGTCGCTGTCGTCGTCGTTGCACTACTCGATGTAGCTCCTCCGGTGTCACCCAGCGTGCCTGTGGCTGTGGTCTGGCTTCGCATCAGGGCTCTTCGCATCGCCATTTTCTCCCCAACGGTCCGTACGCCCGGAGACGGGTGGAGAGATCAACGTGTCAGGGTACGGCTAGGCCGAAGGCAATAGTACAGAGTGATGGGTAGTAACGGGCGTCCCTCCTACGTAGCACCGGGTGGTCACTGGCGGTCTCAGGTAGGGGTGCCCACGGTGATGCATTGATCTCTACTCTCCCTCTATCTTCTTCCCGGGCCTCCGCCCCTTACATAGATAGCTAGAACCCGACGTCGGAGCCGCGGAGCACTAGTTTCCCCGATTGTTCCGCAAACCAAGACTTCCATATCGTCATGACTCGCACATTCCTACACCGGAGCCCCACCGGTGTCCCACCGGTGCCTATGGCATTCTGTTCTCTGACATCATCCTAGCCTTGATAATGACAGATGATTGTATCTTGCTCTGATCAGAGCAATCTAGTGCCAGCGAGAGCTTCAATTCGACTTCCAGAGCCAGACGTCTTGTTCTGAGAATTATCCCGCCACGAGTATCAGAGGCACATCCGACGAACTCGCGCACCAGACTTGCAAGAGCGAAGCTCTTGCAACCAGTACCACGATCTTCGTCTGATCAGACCAACAGATGGGATCTGTTGGTACTGGAGCCGTCTGTTCAGTATGTTAGGTGGTAGGTATATCCTACTGACCGCCTGACCCCGTTTCAGTAGTAACTCTGTAGTATAGTAATCATACAGACTGTTAACCGCTCAACTTGTTCAACTTCCTCGGTTTCTAAAGCTATCTATACTTATATTTTAAAGAAGTACATAATTTTTATCTATCAAATAATATATAGAGTATTTCCTAATAGCTTATCCGACCTACCTAGAAGCGGATCGCTAACGAATTCGAACCTTCTACTTCGTCGGTGGTACATCGAAATGCACACTACTATAACGTTTTCTCTTAATCATATTAAGACAGCTATTAAGGTCTTATTAAGCTAGGTAGCGAAGAGTTAGCGCGTGCCTAGGTGGGGCACGGTACAAACACACAATTGAAAACTTATCCATGATACCATAGTACCATAGTAGAGATCAGAAATGGAAAGCTCCAATTTATACGAGTCATGCCCCTGTCTGAATCGGCTGCTTCAAGTACACGCGGCCTTGTTTATTAGACTCCTTAAGGGCTGTATTGAATTATTTTAACAATGGTAGAATCCTCCCGTAGCGTGACCCGCTCATGCATTACAAGCGTCATTGAGACAGGGGCTAACTTAGGATTTATTGGATCCAGTGGGGAGGCAGGTGCATGACGTCGGATAGTGATGCGTCCCCGAGGACCCACTGCGGAAGAGGCGAGAAGTCTCAGAGGACAAATTTTCCTAGAGGATAATTTACGAGTCAGGCTCCAAACTAAGTGCAAACGGTGAAGACTAGTATACTTGCTGAAACTTCGGAGGTGATTTAGATCCTCTACAACTTTCCCTATATGGTAATTAAGGTAAGTATGTATGTAGCATAGGGAGAAGTTGGGCAACACTTGCTTCTCGTTCAGCGGCCGTTCTAGATCAGTAACGGTTCTCGTCCATTAGCTCTTCTCTTCCTGAATCAATTTTCATCTTGCAAAAACCACCACCATCATGGCTACTGTGATAAGGTGCATTTTGGCGTTGCTTGCCTTGCCGCTAGCAGAGTGTAAGATTACACGACGATACAACTTCACAATCTCGAACGTATGGAACACCGGAGACGGTCATGGGCGACCTGTTTTTGCCATCAACGGTCAGACTCCAGGTCCAGTTATCGAGGCCGACGAAGGCGATGAGTTTGAGATCTTTCTGGATAATCAGCTCACGTTCGAGACGACTATGCACTGGTTCGTCCAAACACTACTTTTAACCCTTCCTCCCATGTGACTTGACGCTTACTCCCACGCCAGGCATGGAATTTACCAAATTGATCGGCCTTGGAATGACGGTGTACCTGGAGTGACTCAGTACGCGGTCCAATCCAGAGATAATTATACCTACCGTTTCACCGTCCAGCAGCAATATGGCAGCTACTTCTACCATGGGCATTTCGGTCCTTCCTTTGCAGATGGCATGCGAGGCCCGATCTGGATCAGACCTGCGGAGTGGCGGCCACGCCCTTACAGCTTGATTTCCTCGCTGCCCGCCGATATTGAGGGAATGCGAGCTGCTGAAAAGCAGCCTCATCATATAATCATCAGTGACCGGAATGCAGAGCCAATGGACATTGGTGAGTACTCTCTGATTTATTATACCCGATGGTTTACTGACTGTGCTTGTAGTAAGCGGGCCTTCCAATATTCTCGCATCAGGTGCTCATACGCTTGACTCGTGATGACATTGCGACCTGAGCACACCAACAATAATAAGAGATACTGACTCTTCGCAGCTGTTAGTCATGTACCGAGATGCCGGCATTGTTCCCTGGTGCAGCAACTCCCTAGTTTTGAACAGCAAAAGCCGAACATACTGCCACTCGAAGGAAGTCCTCGAGTCGGTCGGTGGGCCGGGCCGAAACTCGCTGGGATGTCTGATGCAGCCTCGACAGCTGGAATTCTCGAATGAGCTGGTGTGCGAGGAAACACACACGCCTTTGGAGGTTGTCCAAGCTGCAGACGGACAGGAATGGGTCTGGATTAATTTCATCCACTCTGTGAGAATACTCGCCTTGGACGCAGACATGGAGTGGAGACTGACATATAGCAGGGCGCACATCATGAGATTCAAATCAGCGTCGACGAGCACGAGTTCTACGTCGTTGCCGCTGACGGTGAGTTTGTCCATCCCCAGAAGGTGCACGCTGCAAACTGCAACCTTGGCGAGCGCATCAGCATCCTGGTCCACCTTAACAAGAAGCCTGGCGACTATGCCATCCGACTTACCTCGCTTCGCCGGGAGCAAATCATCCAAGGCCTGGGTATCCTCCGCTATCCTAACACTGGAGATTCCACAGCCCTCAATGCCCCAACACAGAGCCTTGGGTCTTCCTCAACGGAACTCTCGTCTCCCCCTCCCTATCCGCCATGGACGAAACAAAGCTCGCCCCCTTCCCCGCGCGCCCTCCGCCCCAAACTAGTGACACAACGCTCAAATTCTTTGTCGAGATGCTAGGCGCCTCTACCTGGGCTCTCAACATCGGCCCACACCAAGCCTTCCGCCAACAATTGCCGCCCGTCCTGTGGGAAGAGAAGTCTCGCGGCGACACGACGTACGCCGAGGGCTCATTGAAGAACGGGTCTGTCGTCGATATCGTTATCGAGAACGGCGCCAACGTGACCTCGCAACACCCGTTCCACAAGCACAACCACAAGGCCTTCATCATCGGGAGGGGCACGGGTGGGTTTCCCTATGACACCGTTGAGCAGGCCCTCAAGGAGGGTGACCTGGCGGACAACTTTAATTTTGTGGATCCGCCGAATCGCGATGGGTGTCGGCTGGGTAACTCCACAGGCGATTGGACCGTGATTCGGTACGAGATTTCCTTCCCGGCAGCTAGTATGCTGCATTGCCATATGATCCACCATTTCGGAGTAAGCATCCACCCACACGGCGTTGTGCTGTACTTTGCTAACTTGGAAACAGGCGGGCCAACAAGTTGTCATATTGGAGGGCGTTGAGTCGATGGCACCAATCCCTGAAGAACTCAAGGACAAAGTCCATGCTGACTTTGAGCCGCTGCTCAGATATGGTCCACTGGATTAAGTCTTGGTGATAGCTCTCAGTCTGGGGCCCAGCCGAAGTAAAAGGGGAGTGATGAAAGAAAAATCACGTGTATGGGGAGTTTAATGAGCTCGGATTCTCAACTTCATTCCTAGCAAAATCGCAAGTCTTGACTGATTGACACAAACACTTGATGAGCGAAAGAAACATATTTGTATGAGGTAAATCTTATCTAGTTACAGCGAGACAAGGGGAAGCCTATGTATCTCGTGGGGACAGGGTCATGTCGATGGTTGTGTAGGGGATTCCTAGTCATAAGTCAATACCATGTCCCACATTATGTTTGTTCAACAATTATGTTTTTCCCATGGACCATGAGAGAGAGGAGATCATAATTACACAGACAGAATAAAAAAAGTCCCCGTGCTACAATTCAAACGTCATATTGTCTCAGAACAACCTACTTAGGTATACAAGCTGTTTGAAAAGTGTTCATGAATACTTGAATATCCAAATTGAACTTCTGTTCCGAGTCGCACGTCTTGAGCCATTTGTCGTGTCGCCTGACAGGACAAGGCCCTACCCTGTCCTTATGTATTCTAATATGCCAGTCCTGGAAGAGGTGCTCGATCTCAACGTGGTTGGAGTAGCATTATTCCCTTTCATTCACATAGCAGATAATTGGTCTGACTCAGGTAATGGATTCAACGCATACCTAGCGCCTCTCATGAGTGATGATGAGAAATGCGCGATAATAATCGAGGGAATATATATCGACCGCCGTTTGCACTGAAATGGCAAGAACTTTCTATGTAGAGCAGCAAGTTTTCCCACAAACGCCAGTTTTCCCCTCCCATCTATCGTTGTCGGAATAGGGAACCCGAGGTTTATAAACTCAAATACATCCGTTTCCGTCTCTATCTTCCCACAGAATAGCTTTGGTCCCCTTTCGAAATTGCGCAACTCCATACGACGATTCCGAGTTTTCCGCCAACATGGCCGCAAATACCTCGCCAACCGTGGTTTCCGTGTCGCCATCCCAGGCAGTCTCGCGAACCAGCATCTTACACAATGCAGAAGCTTGAGGGGCAGCCAACCTCATTGCCGACAGAAATTCTTCCGTGATTTTCTCCAGTGAGTCGATGTCTGGTGCGAGTGCGTGGAGTACTCCCGCGCCGTAGAGGGTTTGTGACTCCACCCTCCGGCCCGTCATCATGGCCATTCTCGCAAGACTAGTGCCCCACTCGCGCACTATAAACCTGGAAATAATGGCGGGACACAGGCCTAGCTTGACTTCGCTCAAGCAGAAGAAGCTAGTCGACAAAGCCAAGCGAACATCGCATACAGTGGCTAGTCCAACGCCTCCGCCGAAGGCCGGTCCGTTGATAACTGCAATCGTTGTCTTTGGACATGTGTCGATGACACTGAAAAGGTCTTGAAGCGCGGTTCTTCGCTGTGAGACCGAGCCAAAGAGATCCTCCTTGAGCTGCATTCCGGTGCAGAAATATCGGCCGCAACCGGTGATGATAATGCGGTGCACCGAGGCGTCCGTCGACAAGGCTTTGAATAACAGGGTGATATCCTGCATCATGGACAGCGTCAGCGCGTTTCCCTGCTCAGGGCGATTCAGACACAGTCTGATCGTCCCACCCTGGCGCGAAACTTCGTATCCATCGTGCGTCTGCAATGCTGTCCAGGGCTTTAGACTCGTTACAGTCGTTGGGCTTCTCAGAAAGCTGAGGCGGGATGACGAAAAGGCTTGCTTGATGAGGTTCAAGTCCAGATAGGACAAGAGCATTCTGGTAAAAAAGGTGTCCATTGGATGGTTTCGGCGAGACTGCGAGACTTGGATGTACGACCAGCGGGATGGAGTTGAAACGAACGGTGCGACTTGGACAACTCTCATATGTGAGAGGACCATGATGCCAGAGCCAAGAGGCGCTCCATGCCCACAAAGGGCGGCATCACGGTACTCGGCATCCTACGAGATGACGTGGATCTTCCAGCGAAACCCCGATCTGGAAAATTTGTGTCCTTTCTACCCCTAGTAACTGATATCGACAACGCTAAGATTCGTTTCAATCGAGGAAAATTTCGAGTATGAGTCAAATAACAAGGGCTATGACTACGATGGGGGTTACTAGGCAACTGCCACATTTGCCGTTGGCTATCCGATCGACTAACCACCGTATGTTCCAGTACTATCTATTCGGTAAATTGCTCCTAAACGCGTGAGAGCAAAGCCTCCGAGTTCAGACGATGTGTCGGGAACTACTCCAGGATCTACGCAGCGGTTATCAGGCGTAACAAAAATTTGAGCACGTCAGACGAAACTTTTACTGAAATGCTCCATATAATACGATTCATAATCCTATTACTCTACTCAGCTGGTTAAGGCGGTATCGTAGCCCCAGTAATCAGGGTGTGGCAATTTCCCTAAAGACCTAGCTCCTAAGATAGTGTGTTTCGTTACGAGGCGGTCTATCTTTCCCCCTTTTTTTTCTTCTCTTTTTTTTTCTTCTCTTTTTTTTTCTCTTTTTTCCGGGATGAGGGAGGGCCGGAGGAAAGGGGGGTGTGGGGCGAGGTGGATGAAAGGAAGGGGGGCGTAGGGGGAGGGTGTAGGAGATCGGTAGTGGATTACTAGATTACTACTCGAGTCTAGATCTGCGCCTTGGGCCGTGCTTGTTCTCGTTCGATCTGTGGATAATTCTATACCCGTTGTCACTCACTTAATCCCACTGTTCTTCTGCAACTGATGCGAGTGCATATGGGGTGTGAATTGTTGTATTAGGAAAGGATGGCCAGGTCAGCTATTCTGGCCTGGCAGAGCTCTTTTATAGCTCTTATCTATCTTATCTCTAGCTATAGGGCAACCCCCCATGGAGTCACGTATCAGTATGCTAAACTTGAGTAAAAGGTTCATACAATTTCTACATTTCCCTAATATTTATTAAATATATTGATGACAGACAGTGAAACCACCCGCAGGTTTAAGGTGTGAAGATGATGGCAACGAATAACAAGATTCTCAACAAGACCTTACTATCCGGGAGGTGGAAGGAAATAACAAGATCAAGAGCTCCTTGCCCTGATCGGAACGTGATGCGAGTGCATATGGGGTGTGAATTGTTGTATTGAAAAGGATTGCCAGGTCAGCTATTCTGGCCTGGCAGAGCTCTTTTATAGCTCTTATCTATCTTATCTCTAGCTATAGGGCAACCCCCCATGGGGTCACGTATCAGAACGACAAGTACCTCAACAGGTACTAACAACTGTAGCCTCAGCAGGCTGGGGAAGAAAAGGAACCTCAACAGGCCCTTGAACAATCACCTCAACAGGTGAAAGATGGGAACAATGGCCTCAACAGGCACAATCAGATCTATAGGGGAACAGAAAGTACCTCAACAGGTACGTCAGACATTGAATGCCTGTCCAAGTAAAGAGAAATTGGTTCAGATTACTGTGGAAAAGGCCGCTTGATTTTCTATCTTTTTCTCAAGAGAGTGACTATGTACATAAGGTCTTAAATACCCGTTAAGAACACGCTTAACGTAGTCCACGGTCCAATTGCACACTTCGGCAGATTTTCGTACGCTACCACTTTGACCTGCGGTTTTTCACCACATAACTATAGTTAGTTCTTGGAATGAAAGTGATTTGTTTCTAGCATTACATGCGCTTCAATCTGATCCAAAATTAAGTGTACGTCGCGCTGGTCAGATCTATAACGTACCTTTTAGAACCCTTGCGTATCGACGCGACGGTAAAACCGCTCGAGCGATTACGCGATCGCTAACGCAAAAGTTGACTCCTTCCGAAGAAGAGGCAATCGTACGACATATAACCGACCTATATTCGCGAGAATTTCCTCCCCGATTGAGTGGTGTTGAAGATATGGCCAACCGATTACTTCGAAGTCGCGACGCGGGACGCGTCGGCGTCAACTGGGCCTCGAGCTTCGTAAGACGACAACCAGACCTCCGGACGCGTTTAAATCGAAGGATCGACTATCAGAGAGTCCTCTTCAAAGACCCCGACGCGTATCGCGCGTGGTTTGACCTGGTACGGAATACAATTGCGAAATACGCGATCCAGGAGGAGGATATCTACAACTTCGACGAGACCGGTTTTGTGTTGGACCAAATCTCGTCCGAAATGGTCGTGACAACTTCTGATCGGCGCGGAAGGCCTAGAGCAGCCCAGCAAGGAAATCGGGAATGGGTTACAGTTATTCAAGGCGTTGGGTCGTCCGGTTATGCCCTCCCTCCGTACATCATTTTCGCCGGCAAAACCCACCTCTCGTCATGGTACGAAAACAGCCCATTACCGCCTGATTGGGTTATCGCAGTTACTAAAAATGGCTGGAATACGAACGAGAGAGGCGAGGATTGGATAAAACACTTCGATTATCACACCAAGTCTCGTACGAAAGGTACTCATCGCCTATTGATCCTCGACGGTCACGAAAGCCATCACTCGACCGATTTCGAGGTATATTGCAAAGCTAACAATATCGTCACGCTTTGTATGCCTCCTCATTCGTCGCATAAGCTCTAGCCTCTTGATGTTGGTTGTTTTCGCGGGTTAAAAAGAGCGTACGGAAAAGAAATCGAAGCTCTCATGCGAGCACATATAAGTCATATCTCGAAAGAAGACTTTTTACCGGCGTTTTTAAACGCGTACAACGCAACTTTCACGGTTTCAAATATCCAAGGAGGTTTCCGAGGGGTAGTAATAGTTCCGTACGATTCAGATTATGTCATATCACAGCTCGATGTGAAATTACATACGCCAACACCTCCGGGTAGCTCGGCTGGTCTCCCCGTCCCTTGGGAATCAAAGACTCCGAACAACCCAACCGAAGCCCAATCACAAACCAATTATGTGAAAAATAGGATTGTACGACATGAAAATAGCTCACCAACGTCAATTTTTGCTGGAATAGATCAGATTGCGCGAGGTACAACGAAGGTTATGCATCGGCTTGCCCTTTTAGAAGGCGAGGTCGAATCACTTCGAAAGGCAAATGAGACCTTAAGTCGACGTCACCGTGCGAAGAAAAAACAGCTACAGAGTGGAGGGTCACTTCGTATACAAGCTGGACAGGACCTACAGTCTCAACGAGAGGTTGATGGGCAGTTACATGACGAATTTCGTCAAATTGGTGGTCGTACGAGGCGGCGAATTGCGCGTGTACGGCGCTGTAGAATCTGTGGCGAGCCCGGACATAATGCGCGCATTTGTGGAAATGATGTAGAGACGTCTGAAGATAACGATTCTGAGTAGTTTCAATTGATGATAGGCGTTGTGGTTGAATTAACTTATACATTGTCGTATAAGGTCTGCCAAAGTGTGCAATTGGACCGTGGACTACGTTATGTAGTTATAGTTCAGAATAGACCCGAGTACTAGTATAGTAGCCTAGTGATGCGTGCACCTAGGGAGGAGGATGCTATAATGCAGCAGTGCGCAACGTTATAGTATCTAATTGAAGGGATTCACCTAACCTGTGGGTCCGCCTACCTTTTCGTATCACCTAGCTATTAATAATTAAAGCAGAGGCAATCATCGAGGTAGTACTACTTAATGCTAGGGCGTAGCCTTTCAACGGCTATATTAAATTTAACGGGGACGGCGAAGGATCACAAAAGCCTGTGGGCACTGCAGAGGTGGGCTAGGCTACGGAGCTGGGCCCCCCCTGTGGCCCACGGCTTGCCAGATCTCCGGAGGGACGCCGGCGACACGCTTACGGCACGTACACATGATGAGAAGGCAAAATTACTAGCTGAGAGGTTCTTCCCAGACCCGTGTATAGATCTATCGGACCTCGATCGCGGCCTATTACAGACGAGACCAGAGCTGAACGTCCCTAGGGAGGTGACCACAATGGATATCGAGTCTATCATCAAAGGAACGGCTGCTCGGAAGGCTCCCGGCGACGACCTGATCCCCACTGGCCTGCTAAAGGCCTGCGGTGAACCTCTATGGGAGATCCTAGCGGATCTGGCAACAGCTAGCTTTAGGCTGGGGTACTACCCGGAGCGCTTCCGCTCAGCGAGGGTGGTTGTTATCCCTAAGCCTAATAAAACGACAGCTCAGAAGCAGACCCCTGGCGGCTGGCGCCCCATTGCCCTGCTTAGAACGGTAGGGAAGGTAATAGAGACGGCGATGAGCCAGCGTATCACCAAAGTAGCTGAGGCGGCCGGCCTACTACCAAACGGCCAAATGGGTAACCGCGCTGGGAGGTCCACCGAACTGGCAATACGTATAGTTGAGGACGTGGTCTATACGGCGTGGAGACGCGGGGGCATCGCCTCGCTGCTACAGCTAGACATCAAGGGGGCATTCGATACGGTCAATTACAGACGGCTGATTTCCATATTAGCCCGGAAAGGCTACCCGGAGTGGGTTCAGGAGTGGGTACGCAGCTTCGTGGAGGATAGGACGGTACGCCTCCGGTTCGATGGCAAGGAGTCAGAGCCAATCCCCCTACGAGCTGGCGTCCCCCAGGGGTCACCGCTATCCCCGATACTGTTTATATTATACATTTCAACGCTGTACGAGGAGCTAGCGGAGCAGCATCCACTACTTTTAGTAGTCGGGTTCGCGGACGACACGAACCTGCTAAGCGTCGGCACCGATCCAGACACGACCTGCCGCCGGTTGGAGAGCGCATGGGCTACGTGTCAGCGGTGGGCAGTGAGGCACGGGATGGAGTTCGCTCCTGACAAGAGTGAGCTAATGCACTTTACTAGGGCCCGAGAGCCCTTGCCGCAAAGTATTCGCCTTGGGGACGCCACAGTGTCGCCGGTAGTCTCAGCGAGGTTCCTAGGAGTCTGGTTCGACCGCAAACTGACGTGGCACGCCCATGTTGAGCGTGTTAAAACAAAAATGGCAACTCAAAAGCTAGCCCTGACAAAGCTAGTCAATATGTCGTGGGGCTGCGATCTTATACGGGCGAGGCTGTTATATACGGTGGTTATCCGTAGCGCGATCGCCTTCGGGGCGACTGCGTGGCATACTATAAGTGAGGAACCGACAGGGCCAGCTAAGAGTCTGATGGGGATACAGAACGAGTGCCTCCGGGTAGTCTGTGGCGCCCACAAAGCGACACCGGTTCGCCACCTGGAAGCAGAAGCAGCAATCCCGCCACTAGACCTCTATCTTAGTGCCCGGGCTGCTAAGTTTGAAGAACGGCTACGGCTTAGCGGGAAGAGAAATCTGCTTCGCAGCGCGAGCGCTAAAGCGTCACATATACTCCGGCAGGATAGGCCGGCGAAGAGGAAGCAGGCGTCGCAGCTACTCCGACCGGCAGGGTACACTATGGAGAAGGAGGCCCGGGGCTCCGAGTGGATGAGTGAGGAAAAGGAGGTCCCGGCTGCCCTCCTCGGCCACTGGAGGAAGAGATGGCTCACCGGAGCAGAGCATCATGATCGCCAGCGACGGGCTATCGCTGAGGAACCGGAGGGCCCTTCGATGCAGATACCGAAAGGGGGCAAGTATTTCGGCCTGAACCGACTGGAGGCGTCTACGCTGTGCCAGATCAGGACGGAAAAAATAGGACTAGCAGCCTTCTTATTCAAGACAGGGGCTTTTGGCGTGTACTCGCCGCTATGCCGCTGTGGCGATGCCCCTGAGACGGCAGAGCACGTAATCCTCTTTTGCGGGCTGTTGGAAGGACCGAGGGAACGATTACGGGCCGCCATCGCACCACGGCCACTATACTCTCGCAGAGACCTCGCAACGGCAACAGGAGAACCAGTAGTTAGTGGGACTATTGTAAGGTGGCTGCTAGGGACGGGTCGGACAGCTTCAAGGCCCAGATAGCATCGATCTTCTCAGGGGGGACTTTGTTGGTAGGTTGAGAACCAACGTAGTATGGTAGTGGACGTAACGCAGTCGCCAATAGGGCGAACCGACGACGCAGCGTATGTATTTAGTCCAGCCATTAGGGCACTGTTTGACATACGGGAGTACTAGTAGAGGTACCGGGGGCTTCGAGCCTACGGCGTATTTAATAATAATAATAATAAATTTAACGAAATTAATATCTGAAGGTCGCTACTCTAAGAGATTGGCCTATGTGCAACTCGACAGCGTCATTTTATCTCTCAAGAAAATCTTCGAGGGCGATCGTCGATACGTAATCGTCCCTAGAAGCATTGGGCAGGGAGACTCCACTGTTGCTTTGGGGTTTCATATTTGATATGAGACTGGACCCGGATTCGGACACTTCAATCAAGTATGTCCAGTTCCGAGTTTACAGAGCGAAACGATGGACTTGTCGTTCAGGTCCAACACGACTTCTTCTGGTCATTCCATACACTAATAATGCAACATCAGTTATATTTGTGCAGTCGAGGTCGCAAAGTCTCATTATACTAAGGTGATACAGTGCTAATGGACGCATTCCGAACTTAAAGCTTCAGTTAGATGGCGCGGCTATACGGGATTCCTTGCCTGAGCTTCTGGACTTTCCTGGTCACATTCTCACCCAAATGGGAGAACATTCCACTGCGTTCAGCTCTACTGATCGCTGCCTTCATGGGTTATTTTGAGAGTATCTAGAAGCATGTCTAAGGGACAAGACGACCTTTTAACGCGATACGAATCAGACAGTTGAGGACAGATTCCAAATAGCAGTCTAAAGGTCCTGAGCACCTTAATAATAGTGTTCTTCCTTTTAACTTCATGCAACCAGATATGAATTGGCAAGGCCAAGGCCCGGGAAAGCGTAAGCTACGATGTGAAGCTCTATTCTCTTAGCGGGCCAATCACTACCGAATTGGCAAGGCCAAGGCCCGGGAAAGTGTAAGCTACGATGTGAAGCTCTATTCTCTTAGCGGGCCAATCACTACCGATTTAGGCATTCGTATGCAATCCTCGGGAGTTACTCGCACACCGTGCCCCGCATTGCATCTGTCCATCACCTTATTTGCCAGTTCGGAAAGCTGGGGAAGGGGTTGGACTGTGATATACCAAGCTCCACATGGCCCCCATTGTCTGGTTCGGCTTAGGTTCCGAATAGCACCTTTAACTACGGCGAATTCTTTTTCAGCCCGTCTTACATTGCAGAACCTCGTGATCAAAAGAACCCGTCTTCTGTTCCTGTCCACATATGTTTTGCTTCCCACTTTCATCATCATAACGTCTGTTGTCACTCGCCATAGACTTTCCATGGCAAACTCATAGCCTTTCTCAATCACCCGTTCTGCGCCACCCGTTCAGCCTTAATTGTACCTTTGTCTCGATTTTGTCAATGCCAACAAGCATGGCGCAAGTCCAAGGCCACTGCTCTGAGCGCTTCCAAGAAGTCGCATCCCTCTTCCAGCAATTCCTTGACTCAGGCGAAGAGATCGGCGCCTCCATCACCGTTAATGTAGATGGCGAAGAAGTCATAAATCTCTGGGGCGGCTATGCGAATGAGGACCGTAATCGGCCCTGGACTGAGAACACAATAGTCCCCGTCGCCTCGTCCACCAAAATGGTCTCGAGTCTCGCCGTACTCATGCTCATAGATGGCGGCGCCATCTCGGTCAATGACAAGGTGTCCAAGTACTGGCCCGAGTTTGCCGCCAACGGTAAAGAGAACGTCGAGATTCGACATCTACTCTCGCACACTTCTGGTGTCGCCGGGTGGGATGATAAGATTACTATGGAGGAAGTCTGCGATGTTGGTCCGTCGACAGCTAAGTTGGCCGGACAAGCACCCTGGTGGGAGCCTGGCACGGCGTCGGCATACCATGCTTGGAATTTCGGTCACCTTCTTGGCGAGATTGTGCGCCGTGTAACGGGGCTGAGTTTGAAACAATTCGTCGCCGAGAGGATCACCGGACCATTAGGAGCCGATTTCCAGATCGGCTTGTTGGAGGAATCCTGGCCTCGCGTCTCTGAGTTCATTGCTCCGCCCCCACCGGCGACCGCTCCGGACTTCACACCTGGGCCCCTTTTCATGAAAGCGATTGGGAACCCCATAATGCCGTCTGGATTCGGAAAAACTCTGGCCTGGAGGAATGGCGAGGTTGGTGCTTCGAACGGATACGGCAATGCCCATGCATTGAATACAATCTTATCGACCATCACACTTGCGGGCTCCGAGAATCTCGATGAGAACAAGCGCTTGCTGTCTAAGTCCACGGTCGATTTGATCTTCGACGAGCAGTCTCGGGGTATTGATCTCGTCGTCGGGGTGACTCTCCGTTTCGGCATCGGGTATGCTCTCAGAGGAGAGGGAGATACGTGGGTTGATGGGTGGTTTCCGAAGGGCAAAATCGCATACTGGGGTGGTTCGGGTGGCTCACTCGGTCTTATGGATGTGGATCGCCAGGTCACTATCACGTATGCTATGAACAAGAGGTCGAATAATCCCATTGGTAATACAGCGTCTAAGGCGTATGTGGAGGCGATCTACAAGGCTTTGGGGGTCGAGGTCAAGTAGCTGATTGGCACTGCATATAAAAGGGTGATCCGGTCGGTCTTCACTGTTCGAATGTTTGAAGAAATGTGTTTTCATTTGTTGCTAGTGCTGATCTTACACGATTTCAAAATAACGCGTAGTATCCTCAGATCGAAGGGTCATGTCGGACTGCACCATCCTTTGACTTCCAACGACTGTATTTTCCGTTTACGGCTACTACAGCCAGTCGACTGATAATGGAAGGACCCTGCGCACCAAAACCTTGGAAACTGCCCGCTGCTAGAACTTCAGGAACCAAACGTCTGGTGCGTCAGCAACTAACTCAAGTGTGCAGCCGAAAGGCACACTTTTCTGTATTTAAGGCTCTTATAGCAACCTACACCCTTTGGGCGTGGAAATCAGAGATACATTCAATTATATGCTTTTTTAAAGGTTGCAATAAGTACGATAGGTCAAAGGCTGCATTGAATATGTAGAAAAGACCAAACACCAGGCTGAGTAGAACTTCAGTCCTGACTTTGGTTTTCTCCCAGTTCTTCTAGGCAAACTATATTACTGAAATCCTGTGATATCAATGACCTTTTGACCGCAGGAAAGTCTCGGCCAACGCCCGTTTTTGAATACACCGCTTGGTCATGAATCCCTCTTAAGGATATTTGGTCGACAAATGAGCAAACACCCGAGTACAAAGCTCGTCAGGGATTTTGGACCAATTGGTCACGTGGATCAATTCCAGGGCAGACTCTAATTTCTCACGAAGTGACGAAGTGAAGGTGATCTCCTGATCGTATTCACGGCTACTTTCATCACTTTTGTCGGCAGTCGCTGCTGACGCATTGGTTGCCAAGTCGCACATCGCGCCTCTTTGACTTGTCAACCCCGAAATTCCATCCATCATCTAATTCTCAATATCGAGCGAATCTACCGCCTGAAGCATCTACCTAATCACCAACACTAATTTCTTACTAATTCTTACGACCTCGTAATGATTGTTTGCATAAAAATGTACTACCCCGCACGCCGGCACAACAATGAGGATTACATCAGATGTAGAGGCTTGCGCGCCTGCCAAAGCAAGGACATACTGTAAGATAGATTTGGCCCAATCGGGGCCTTGGAAGTACGATCAAGCGTTTGTAGGGCTTGGCTCTTGCGCTTTAGCGCAGTCTTCTTCCAAAGGAAAATTCGAATCTCGGGTTCTCATTCCTCGATCTCATCTGTTTCCCCTTTTCTCCAGAATTGGGTTCTCGTTGTTGAGGGGTCGGTCCATGGCCTTGAGCATCTCATAGGCTTCCTGGACTGATGCAAACAGTTTTTGGGTTTGTCCAAATACCTCGTTGATCTCCATTTCGGCTTTTCTATTAGCCTCTCTTGCGGCCTTATACTTCCAAGGTTATCTCTGTGAGTTCACCACACGGAGGCAGGGATTAGGGCTGCGTGATCTCTCTGTATCCTATGATGGGTGTTGATGTGAATTAGTAGTTATGGGTGGTAAGCAGAATTTCGCAAGGTGTCTGAGAAACTGAGAAGGTGCTTGGCAGGATACAATTGTAGTATACAGTGGGTATAAAGTATCGATTTGACTGTTGATAGAAGACCTTGAGTACTGGCTTCTCTATCTCAGGGGATTTATGATGGTCCTACAGAAGGGCTCGAACAACTGCTGCTTCTATAGGGGGTAAAATTGGAACGATAGAGATGAATCCAAAGAGTTCTTTCAGCAGGCCATCAGAATAAAGCATCATTAGGTTAGTAGTAGCAAGTATTTTACAGCATGAGGCGGTAATCTTTCAGGCTTCCAGAAAGGTGCGAGAGCATGCAGACGTGGATATTCAAAGGGATTGTGCAGATTGCTCAACTACGGATCATCAGAACAAGCACCTCTTTTGCTATCAACGCTCCTCTCCTAGTCCCCTATGTTACTCTGGGGCATGCTGTCATGTACCCTGGAGCTCAGGCTATCTGATTCTTCCCAGCATCTTCAGACTGGTATCCATCCCATGCTTGCTGACTTGCCAATGGTGACTCGGCTTTGGAAAATACATATGGTACTTTTGTCGCGAGTTTAAAACTTGTTGGACATATCCCATATTGGGACTCCCTAGTCTTAAGATCTTGACCAGCTATACGGACTGCCAAAATCCCGAGAAATATCTCTGGAACTGCTGGAATATTGGAGAAATTTCTTACGAATATTCAGATGAGTTGTTAGATATTGGGGCAGTCTCATCCCTCACGAGAATGGTGACTGATGCTGGTATTTAGATTCCGACATCCTAGAATTTCTTCTTGAACAGCTTGTTAAGAGAAGTGATAATGCCTCCCACGGGCTATGGACATGATGGTTGTTCAATGATACGTCGTGGTCTGCATAATATCAGCTGCAGATCTAGGTGCGTTGCTGTCCCGGTGAATGTGGGCTGTGAATATACTCATTAGGTCGTCAGAAGCGACTGCCTTCTTGCTTAATGTAGCGGGGGTTTTCTAAAAGAACATTCCACGAAAAAAAGCCCAGTCCTAGAACAATCCCTAGAACTGTGAACGTCGTTGCTGAAGTCATAATCTTCCGTTCATAGAGGAAATCTGGCATGGAAAGGACAATATGGTAGTTTCCCTCGGAGTTTTGAGAGCCAAGCTTGGGGATGAAAGAGACCCTTAGATAGATAGAGTCCAAAATAGGGAGGCCAGCCACAACAATGACTGGTGATGGTACACGTGACACCCATGTTGCTCAGAAGACGTGAACTATTGCGCACATGGGTGCCTTGGGCGAAAATCGCATTCCCCACCAGTTTATCGATAGTACGGCCCAGGTTTCTATAAAGCCAATGGTTCTGATTGATCTTTCACCTCCCATCCTCTTTCGATTGACCCAATCAAGCTATCGACAATCACGAAACCATCAGCCATCCCAAAATCACTCCCAGTCACTACTCCATTTTGTATCGTCGCTTCTTCCCTTGGACGATTCAATCAATTGAAATGTCGACCAAAACAGACACTCCCAAGGAACTCAAGGCTCCCAAGGCCACTGGCGTTCTCACCGAACGTGAGATGCAGGTCCTCGGCATCGCCTGGCAGTGCTTCACAAGCCCTCCCGAGGTAAGCACGCATAACTCACTCCCACATCACAGCAAACCAAATGGAACATTCCTTCATTGCAATTGTTGGAAACCATATCTAACCTCATCCCTCCTCAGATTGACGTGCCCAAGCTTGCCGCGCTTGCCGGTTTTGGCAACCCCCGCTCGGCCACCAACTGCCTGGCCAATGCCAAGAAGAAGATTATGGCTTTGGGGAATGCCTCCGTTGCTGGCAATACTGATGATGGCGATATCAACGGCCCTGGACCTTCCACTCCTGCCAAGGCCAAGACTCCCCGCAAACGAGCCCCCCCTGGCTCTGCTGCGAAGAGCACCACCGGCAAGCGCAAAAGGATTGCTTCCACTCCTGCCGAGGAATCTCCCACCAAGAAGCCCAAGGCTGCTGCCGCTGTCGCCGAGGAGGCTTACGACGAGGAAATCAAGGATGATGGTATCAAGGAGGCTGACGTCAAGGAGAAGATCACTAGTGAGTGTGACAATGATGCTGAAGCCTAAATCAGTGGCTTTGGGATCTCACGTGCTATTCACGACTGGCAGTTTGGCATAACCTTTCCTTTGTTAGTCTCTGGCATGTGAGAACAGCAAGACTGGTAATTTCCAGTTCTTTCTCATGGCAAATTTGCGGTAGATTTGCTGGGAGGGAAATGCGTGAGGATTGTGTCATAATCTGCTACATAGGCAGACATTACAAGTTGATAGACAGAAGCATGTTTGATATCACGCTTTTCTCCACCCTTGTTCAGGTCTATAAATGCCTTCTTTCTGTGAATGATAACTATCCTATTGAGCTTTGGTTTCTCTTGATAAGGTTAAGGACTTCTGTCAACTCGTCAGATGGAGTGTAAGATGTGGTGCAAGCCCTTTGATACTATCTAACGACTTCACCTCATGATTTCCAACATCCATTAAACTACCAGTCCAGTCAGAACTTGAACAGCAATGAAATGACATGAGTATCCCAGACCCTACCTCTAGATTTATGAGTAGGCTATCCAGGAGATCAGGGAGGCTTTGAACGTCCCTCAATAGCAGTTTCACTATATCATATTACATGCAATACATAGCAAACTAGAAGTCTCAGTAAAGATAAGATATCGAGCAGTACACCTCAGAAGTAGCAAAGTATGCCCCTCGATTCCGTGAAACAGAGGGCCAAGTACCACTATCGAATTGACGTAATTAATGCTTGCTTATCTGCCCGGACTACAGCCCACGTGGAAGGCGAGTCAAAATTGATAGCGCGTCACTCCCCCAGCAAGGATTCAAGGTATGAAGTGTGACTTACTAACATATTCGACCAAATCCAAAGGAATCGGCTTACAGTTTTCATCCGGAGACAGTGAAACTACCCATAATTGACATAATTGATGAACTCCAAGTTAGTTGAGGCCACTTCACGCTTTTTTGTATCAGACTTCTTGCAATATATACCAAAGAATGAACTGAATCTGTCTGTATCCTTTCAAAGTAAAAAGTGTCAAAGTGGCTATAAGGCCTTAAATATAGAAAGATGTGCCTCTTAGCTGCATATTTGATAGTGTTGATTCACGTCTAAGCATAACTCTGGCTGATATACCAGAGGAGTTGGGGCACAGGGTTCAACAACTTGTCATCTAGCTATTATAGCAGGAAGCAGTCAGACTGCCGTTGGGGGCCAATGGCTGATGTGGTCCGACAGTTTGTCCCGCATCCCCCCATTGGTGGTATGTACAAGCCTGCTGGTCTCCACGTTATTTTCTGCCATCGTTTATAGAGGCTATATCAGTATCATGTTTAATGGTGCGTGATGAAGATAGGTTCTCCTGAACATGGGATGTTTCAACAAGCATATTCCATGGCTGATGCTGAGCAACATTAAGTAATCCGATGCTTCTGACTCATCATCGCTCTGGCAAGACATTAGCATGCTGATGCTGAAAAAGTAAGTCGATATAACCCACATCATACAACTCTGCTGAGCTAAGTCAAGCATAGACATAGGATTTCGAGGACGCTTCTCGTAATCGGCAAGATCTCTACTTCTCAAAGCTCCCCTGACCTGTGCAGTCTCCCTCCTCAACTTCTTCGGCGTATCCACCTGCGCCCTAAGATTATCAGCGATACTGGTTAGGTTCTTCATTGCCTCGCGGCAATGAGCAAAACAGTGTCGTTGGATAGGCGGGGTTGCATTGTGGCCCGGTGTTGGTTGACTTCATTTTTTATATCCCAAATCAAAGAATCGAGGATCTCGATCTGTCGCACCAAATCTTGGGTAATGTCAGAAAATCCTGCATCTCATCCCATATCAATTTCAGCCTGGGGACGACATTGCCAGCGTTTGCCGCAACTTCGGCGATGGCGATGGCGCTGACTACGCCGAACACCTCTGCTATCGCATCGATGGGCTGCGGTCAAATATGCAAAAGCTATGAGGTTCTATAGAAACCGTCTCAAGGGTGAGAAATTCTAAGATAACGTAAGTTCATTGTAGATCGGGGTAAGGCTTTAAGAATGTTGATTGGCGTGGTAGTGCTTAATCAGTATACCTCACAGTATAGCCCCGGTCATACAAGCTCTAAGCCGAATACCAACCTACATATATGTAGCGAATTAAAGACAGTTATGTCTACAGATTGGTTGTGACCATGTTTATCACGTTACCAGCAAGTCCATGGTATGATACGAAGGCGTTCGTAACTTGTTCCCATCGTTCTTCAAAATAAACAGTACCGCGTACTGACTTTCATGTGGAAGTTGGTGACAACATTCAAACAGTCACTTTCTGCACTATAAACAGTATTAATTATAATTGCAGTGCATATCAAATCGAGCAGCAAGGGCAACATGACATCCATGCTACCAAGTCAACTGCAGTTGGTGAGTCTGGGGCTCGAGCATATATACATATAGGTATTAAGGGCAAGAACCATCCAAGATCTCACACCATCGCGCGCATCTGGCTTAGATTTATCTTGGCACGGGGCTATGGAAGCCGCGGCCACAACAAGCTGTGTACATGAACTTGTAATCTTAGCTGAGCGACATGATTGGACGCCAGAAACTATGCAATTTGTGGAGAGAATCATCGCTTGACATACTGCGGTGCTTGTGAGAGGTTTACAACAAGAGATCTTGGGACATCAGGAGGATCGTTCATGTTAGGAGGCGTTTTGAGTTTTATTCATTTCAATTATTTCAGACCGTATGACGAGATACACACGAAGCTTTTAGCTATATATATACGGTATTTCTATAGTAAGGGGCTGAATGCCTAGATGACGACTGGTGAAGCTCTGATCCCAATAGTATCTTATCTTGCAACTTGTTAGCCTGCAGGTTCCTGAGATCTGGGGAAATCCCACATGACACAAACATGAAATGAGACGAAATGAGGACTAACCTCAATTGTACAAGGAATCGAACATCGTGAAGATAGTGACTCCAGTGTCTTAGGCTGGTGCTGGGGATGCGTTGGGAATATACGGGTAAAGAATTGCAAAGGGCTGGGCAAATACAAGCCTGAAACATCTTTAAAAGCAATGAGACACTCCGAAATATAATCTCGTTTAGAGCTTTTCGAGAAGGGTTACTCCAGAATATTACTTACGTACTTTAAGTAGAAGCAGTTTTGTTTACGGTAGACAAGATACTTGCTGATTGGTCAGAGCTCATCTTTGCCCCCACATCTGCTGTTTGATAAATCGCATTTGTGCATCTACTTCGCAGAGACAGCAGTCCATCTTTAGAACATGCAACTGCATAAGGCTGCGACAACAGCGACCGCGCAGCATCAGTGGAAGCGCCAATCGCACCCCGGTCGATGCTGACAGCACCAGCGATCCTAATTCCCGCGCGTCCAAGCAAATTCAGCCGCGAAGATGGAGGACTTCGACAGGAACTCGGATGCCAGCTCCGGGGAGCAAGAGGACGAGCTTATGGCCGACGTAGACGATGCTGAGGAGGTTGAAGACGAGCAGCAAGACCACGACGACGAGGAGAATGATAACGATAACGACGACGATGATGATGACGACCAAGAAAACGAGAACGACGAGGAAGACGAGAACAACACACAGCAAAGCAGCGCACCGAAGCTAACGAGAACATCAGCAACCCCGGCGCCTATCTTCGATGGATCCAAGTGGCAGCTTAAGGTCCGCCCTGAGGTGCTGACGGCGACATCCTACGACATCGTCCCGACCATGGCCGCGCCCATGGCGACCAGCGTGAATGCCATGTCCATTACTCCCGACCTGCGATACTGGATGACGGGCGGCAGCGATGGTTACATCAGGAAATACGATGGACCGGGCACCATCAATGGCAAGACGCCCCTGACGGTCGCCCAGCGACATCCATTCGTCGAGTCGGTCACCAAAGCCGGCATACTCATGTCGTATTGGGAAAATGCCGAGCCTCAGCCTGCTTCGACACGCGCCGAAGATATCGTCTTGAGCCCCGTCTACTCTCTTGCAGTCAACTCATCAGCACTGTGGTTGCTATCCGGGCTCGAAAGCGGCGGCATCAACATTCAGAGTGTGCGCCATGACGAGGGCAAGCGCATCACTTGTCTACAGAAACACACCAATGCCGTCAGTGTCCTCACTCTCTCAGCCGACGAGAAGAGCGTGCTAAGCGGTAGTTGGGACAAGAACATCTTTGATTGGGACTTGAATGTTGGCCAGGTGAAGAGGACGTTTGATGGTAGTGGCGGACAGATCTCAGCACTGGAAACCAGGCCGATGGGTGGGGTACTCGTCCCGCCCGAGGCGAGCGTGGAAGAACTACCCAGCGATACCTTCTTTGGAAACAACGGTGCTCCTATCAATGGCGACTTCGACTTTTCCCTGAAGAGCGAGGCAAATATTGGCGGCAATGGGGGGGGTAACGGTGCGGATGGAGCAATAAATGGCGTGCTAGGCCATGACGACAACGGGCTCGCAGATGCTCAGGGTAGTCCGGCTCACGACAGTCTGTTCGGCGGCAGTCCTGCCGGATCCGATTTGTTTGGCGACAACTTCGGCGGGGAAGACGACAACGAGTTCTCTAGAGCCATGATGCAGGATGCGAACGCGCAGGAGGCCCAGGAAGCACAGGAAGCTCAGCAGGCACAGCAAGCACAGCAGACGCAGGTGGCACCGGGTGAAAACACCATGTCTGACTTCGATATGACAGTATCAGCTGGGCTAGATGACCTGAGCAGGTCGATGAACAGCGGTATAGATAATGTGCCCCTCGACGGAACCACCGATGTGCTCAATACTGGTGTCTCGAGCGAAGGAACTCTCGAGGCTGTGAACGGAAGCTTCGACAGCAATGTCAATTCCACGCTGCTTTCACAGACTCAAATGACGGACTTTTCTCAGACAATGACCACTCAGCCAGAAACGACGCAGCCGGAGGTTCAAACCCCATCTGCCTTCCTGCACCCGGAATCACCATCGGCAGCCTTCGTTGAAGCTCCAACTACGCATTATGACACGACACAGACGTCCAATTCAACCTTCCTATCTGCTTCCATCGACGGCCCTCTCCGCATCTGGGATCGCCGCGCGCCGAATCCGATTGCCCGCATCGGCAACCGCCACAACGTGCCCCCGTGGTGCATGGGTGCCTGCTGGAGCCACGACGGGAACTGGATTTACGTGGGACGACGAAACGGCACGATCGAGGAGTTCAGCGTGGCGAAAGCACGAGGTGGACGAGGCGGATGGCAGCCTGAACGAACTTTCAAGTTTCCGAATGGTAGTGGACCGGTCAGCTGCGTGCGGCCTATGGTCAATGGACGACATCTCGTGTGTGCAAGTCACGATATTCTACGTCTGTACGATCTTCGATCCGACGAGAAAGGGACCAAGCATGCGCCGCCTCCATTTCTTATTGTGCCGGGGCCCCCTAGAGCTGGGGTTATCTCAAGTTTGTACATCGACGCGAGCAGCAGGTTCATGCTGTCGGCTGCTGGGACGAGAGGTTGGGAGGGAACGAGTACCGAGGTGCTGATTGGATACGAGATTGGGGTGCCTACAAATAGGTGAGGCGAGAAATGCTGGCTGAGCAACATACTCTTTGGACTTGCTGTGCTCTATTGGATTTACTCGGAGACGATACCCTGGAGTTGGCTTTCATCCGGGCGGGCGTTTTTTGGCATATATATCATCGAACCGGCATTGCTGAATTTATCAACGGCGTTGGGTCCAGACTGCTTCGCTCGAACTATCTAATGGTTCATCAAAAGGAGTTAAGAGATCGAAGAGCTGTGCCTCTCAGCAATTCCCCGGAGCCGCGCATTCAAGGAATCTAACGGGTGAAAGGACTCGCGCAGCCCGTACTTCAATGGCATTCGCCGTTGGCATTCAAGCGATGAATGCCAGGGGGTTGGGGGCACCGCGTCAATATCATCCCATCGCTCATCGCTTTCTCAGACTGCAGGCAGCATTTGCCGTGTCCGACGCTTCTACAAGGGACCTAACATGTTTGAACCTAACGGCGTAACTTTCAACGGTACGCTCACACTTTTGGTAGTTCCTAAGGCCAACCTCTTTCGTTGAGCCCTGAAGCTGTCTGCTTCGAAGATTGGAAGTCGCACACACGCCAGATCTTGAGCTCGCCTAGCTGAGAGAGACAAAACAACAAACCCGGGGGGCGCAGCTAGAGTAAAGCTCCGCTTGAATGAATCATTCCTCACCTTTACAACATCACCACTCACAACAAGCGACTGTTCGCGCCGATCTACTGGCAGTATTGACGATGATCATGGAACACAATCGATATAATCCGAGCGACAACAGGGTCAGAAATGAGACTGAATTTGCGAGACACAAAGTAAGGGCCTTACTATGTGGTCGCCGGCTGCAGGATGCCATCAGATTTGTGCGTACCTTGGTCGGGACTGCACGAGCACGAGCGGTATCTCCGAGATCCGTATTAATATCTAATCTCTCATCAAATGCGCGATCTCAGTTTGCCGATCGACTGGAGCCATCAGATACGCACGCCAATTGAGTTGAGCTACGAGTCCATATGCTGGAAATCGGATTACACGCTGGTTGGTTGAGATATATTGACATTGCTCTGTGCCCACGAAGAGCTTCAATACGTGTCCATCTCCGCATCAACTCCATCGAATAAAGACCAAGATTGCTGATCGTCATAATTGTATATACTAATAGCCAAGATGACGAGTACACTCAGACTCAGAAACCCATTGCCACACCCCAGCATCCCTGTTACTGTTTAGCTCCCGCGGCTACTGCACCTCTACCGAACATAGCCATCATATCCTGTTGAGCTAGCAAATTGTCCATTTTATCTCATCATTGACTTGAACATGTCCGTAAAAGTTGCTTAATTCACCATATCCTGTCGACAGGTGCCGGGAAATGATGAGAGTACCTAAGATGGAGCCATAGCGTGCGTTATTCTCTGTTCATCTTACTCGTGCCCACGCCCTACGATGGCTCCAGGGATATAGCCTACTAATGCTTCAAACCGGGTTTTGACTTCTTAATTTACGTTCATCTGAAGTTTATCTCAACTCAGCAACCATGGGGCCCTCAAGAGTCCTAGCTGGGACAAATCTATTCGTGTTTGCTTCACGAGCCATTGCGGCTCCGCTGACCGCTACCACGACCTTTGCCGCTATGGCCAGCACTACAGTACCGAATGTGCCAATTACCAATGTGACCTCCTACCGACCATACAAGGGCACGGCAACAACCACAGGCGCTATATCGACGACTGTCTTGGCCGCCTCCGTCCACGCATTGCCAGCGGACCCCAACAAGTTCGCATACCCTGCCGATGGAAAGCTTTAGGCTCCCCAACCGGCACCTTACATGCCTGCCGGCGGCTTGGGTATTAACGGCTCCGTCCCGTTATACCGCGTTCAGAGCGATTTCGACTCCGAGTCCATTGCCCTAGGTCTGTATCAGGAACGGGAATGGATCGAGCTCGACCTCATCCGTTGGGGTCGCGCCATCTTCTCCGTTGAGTACTTTGAAGCCGCAGGCCTTACTTCCGAAGATCGTGCTTTTCTCGAGTACATGGCGGACCAAGAAATTGGCCACGCCACTCTTCTGACCAATATGCTTGGCCTCCAGGCCCCCAAGCAGTGCACATACAATTACCCCGTGTCCAACGTGCGCGAGTACGTCGACTTCTTCCAGAAGCTGACCCGCTTCGGCGAGTCGGGCGTATACGGCTTTCTCAACCATCTAGATTCTCGCGAGGTCGGTCAGCTGCTCCTATCGAGGCGCGCCAGCAGATGATTTTCCTTCAGTTCAACGGCTTATTTCCTATGCCAGTCTGGTTCGAAGTTGGCATTCCACAGTCCTGGGCATGGACCCTCAATGCCACCGGTTCGACGGAGGACTGTGGCCCAGCTACCACCCAGAACCGTGCCCTCCCGTTGTCTTACCCCGGACGTCATGTCTTCCTCAACTGGGACGAGCCCGGCAAGCCTGTTGGGCCGGACAACAGCTACGTTACTTCCACCTCGGCCAGTGCACCTAGGTTCGCGGTGTGGGTTTCGCAGCTTAATGTTACGTACAGTCCGTTGTTGAACATTAGTGGGAACAAAGCGTATACCATTCAGCCTGACGCCAGTGTATATGAGGGCGATCCGGCTGCTAATGGGACTATGTTCATGGCGCTTACGGATGAGAATTTGTTTTTTGTTTGTGACGCCATTTAACTTGTCAATGATCAATCCATATGTGGCTGCTTTAGCGCTGTACCAGGCTGGATAAAATTAGAGGCAGTATTGGGCACACTGGAGACGATTTCGATATGGAGAGTTAATCTAGTATTGGGATGATAAGTTTAGATGAATGGAAAACTACCACTTGAGTAGCGCTTGAAGAGTTCTTATACGTATGTTGATGAATTCAGACAGCAATGAATTGGTATACGATGAAAACCAATTCACAATATCTATGTGGATTTGTTTACTTGCAATGACTTTTGGCACTCAACCCAGCTATGTGAATCCTTATCCAATCCCGCGACAGAGGGTAAACGTCGGTGCACTGCCTTGCTAAATATTGGTTGCACTACATTTCTAACACAGAAGTGAACCCTTCGTGGGGTTTAAAACTGGTTCCATCCGTCGCCTGCTGGTACGTTGAGTTTTTGAGGCTCGCTCTCCCTCAAGTGAGGGAGCAGATCCAATCCTGCAGAGGAGCTCTCAGCCAAGCAGCCCCGAGCTACAATTGAAGACGAAGTGCAGAAGAACGATTCCCTAGACAGGGCTCTTAGAAACTGAGACAAAGCTATTGATGGCCTGAAGATGAAGCCGATAATATCGGAGCAAGACCCCGATGAAGCTCGCAAAAACAGGCTTTCAGGTCGAGAGACGTTTGTACTTGGGCATAAGCCGATCTTCGGTCGCATGAGGTCCTCATATCATGAAACGACAACTAAAAGACTGCTTGTATGAATACCAAAAGAACTGGTTATGCCTGCTCATTGGTTGCATGTAACCTTACGGGGTGTTATGCTGTAGAATTGAGACAGACAGACAGGATTTATAAGTACAAGCGTTGTATCAATTATGATAGCAAGACAAGCGGCATGGAGAAATCCCCAACGCGCACGTAAGGAAATAAATTTCATTTGTGCCCTGATGCATTGCTTAGATGAATTACTCAACATCAGCTTTTGCAGCATGCTACCAACAAACATATGTTCGGATCTTACAGGTATTGCCCGCACCACAACAAGTCATCTTCTCAACTGACTATCCTCTATACTCGGCAACAAACGCCTTGATCCCACTGCTATCCGCCGTCCCAATAATAAACCGATCGCTAGCACATACGACGTCTTTGGGTCCTGCACCATCAAACTCGAAATCGAAGCGTTGCACCAGCGCAGCGATGACCATATACAATTCGGCCCAAGCAAGCCTGGAGTCAGAGAGTCAGCAAAGCACTGCGTACCAGTCCTCATAGATAGGGGAGCAAAAGGAAACGAAAACAAAAGACAACATACTGCATGCCGCCACAATTCCTCGTTCCCCTCGAAAAAGGTGCAAACGTCTTGTCCGCTTTCTTCCTCACCTCTGCGTCCATCCACCGGTCGGGCTCGAACAGATCAGGCTCCGGATACAGCCGCTCATCCATGTGCATTAAAATCGTTGTCATTCCCACGGGCGTGCCGGCGGGTATGCGCCAGTCACCGTACATCAAGTCCCTGTCTGGTGCGATGCGAGCCATGCGAGTTGCGTTACCGGGGCCTAGACGCAGGCCCTCCATTATGACGGCAGTGAGGTAGGGAAGCTTCTTGAGTGTACTGAGAGTATGATCTTCGGAGTCGCCGTCTACTTTCGGGGCTTCAGCAAGCTCGGCACGGAGACAACGGAGCATGGTTGGATTGGTGTAGACATAGTAAAGGATGATGCGCAGAGCATGGGCGGTGGTCTCGAAGGCGGCTCCAGTGACGGCGCCTATTTCGGAGTAGACGCGCTCAAAGGTTTTCTCTTCTGGTGGAAGGCTGGATGACGCCAGAATATCGTGAATAACGGTGCGTGGGGACTCGGGGTCTGAGGCAGACGCCATAATGTCTTTGGTGAGTTGCGTCAATTCCTGAGAAAGCGTAAGTATATTGCGAGGCCGCCCAAACGAGAATTTTAACAAGGGGGAGTATATGTATCTACTCACCCTACGAAACGCAAGAAACGCCCTTCCGCCCTCATCTCCCACTTTCCTCGCAACAATAAACGGCAGCGCCCTCATCAACGGTCCAAACCAGGGTGCATGCTTACTTATCCTCCACAAGATCCCCGAGCCCTGGAAAATGGCACCGATGCTGATATTGAAATCCTCCATATCCAGGTTATGGATATCCTTCCCCAGTATAAACTCGGTCGCCACGTCTCTGACCAGTGCGCCCACGGCAGCACTGAGATTGACAGTTTTCGTTTTTGAGCCAGCGAATTCCGCTAGGCGATAACAAAGCTTATTCGCTTTGTCGTGGACAATGGCTTGTTTCCTGTTCACATTGGCCTTGGAGAAGAAGGCGTTCAATGGCGCCCGCCGGCGCCGGTGCACGTCGTGCTCCACGCAGAAAACGGTCGAGTGTCGAGCGTGGAATCGGGTGTACGACCAAGCGTACTTGTTCCAGCGCCCGTCTTGGCGGTAGAGCTTCTCAAAGTAGGCTGGGTCGTTGATGTGCAGTTCATATGGACTGATGCGGATGATGGGTCCTTTGGAGGTTAGGTTTGGATATCATATGATCATCAGAGATTCTCACCGTATTTCTTATGCATCTCTGCGATTTTCCAAGTGTATTGACCATGGCAAATAACATCATAATAGGCTTCGTAGTAACGAGTGATGGCGGCCAATTTGGGCCCGGGATATCGGGAAAGCGGATGCAGAAATAATTGGTAGAAGGCAAGGCTTGTAAAATATACGAAAATCGAGGCGGCCACATGCTGCCAAGACAGGCCGCGTATTGTCGCTAGAGTGTCCATGTTGGTTGAATGTTTGGCACTATGCCATTAACTTGAAGCTGGATGAGGTTCCAATTAAGTGACCTTACAAGTGGAGATGGTGCATGTTCTCGAATTTCTGTTCGCTTGAAGGCTACTTTAGATTATGAACCATGCGCATCGGCCTGGCACGACCGGCGACTTTCAGGGGCAGTAGAAAAGGTTATGACCGGAACCCCAACAAGAGTTGAACCGGCGAGTTTTCCATTATGGAGTGGATCTTCTCCAAAGCACTTTGCCAATGGCGTATGTTACCATACAGTGCAGTCAGGCATCCAAGAAAGTCGACACCACCCAAACGGCTCAGAGTGGAAGTGGAGATAGTACACGACGGCTAATTTGGTAGAAACCACCGCTCGTTGAGTTCAAATTTGTTTCGAAACTAAACGGTCGAAGATGTCGGGAGCAAACTTCCGAACCATTTATTTCCGTTATCCAGATCATAGCTCGAAACAAATCCAACAAATACTTACAGAAGTAGGATCGAAAGTGTGCGTAACACTCTGGCTCATACCACGTTGGAGGTGAAGACAATGATGGTCGACAAACCGATGCTCTATGGTTAGTTACATAGTTAGCTAGATAGATGAGTATGCTGATCAATTTTCTAACCTAGACCAAATATCACGTCCCACTTGCCTGCTAGTGGTGGATTACGGGGACTGGGGTGTGAGTAGTGGAATCCAGCCCATAGTTGCGGCATGTCTTGGCACGTATGTTTAGCCGCCCGTCCACTAAAAGTAGCAGTGATACATTTTCAGTTGGAAATAGCAAGTCTGTGCCACCCCCATCGACCTTGATATCCACCAGGTCAGCCAATTACTTAAGTCTTTGAATAGTTTACTCTGCCCTTCTCCCCTTGGCGTGGTCCAGTATTTTGAACCTCAATTAGTTTTATGTGAGAATTCGATCAACGAGCATCTACTACCTGTCCCTCTAGATACGCTAGCCGTTGATGTGATCTCGGTTACTCGAGTCTCGAGCAATCTTGTGATCAACCATGCATTTGCTTGACCTGCCGCTGGATTGCTTCAGTTCTGGGAGGTTCAGGATTTCTTTCTACGGGACAATTACAGCCCAACAATAGAGAACAGCCCCAACAACATTATCGAAAAGTCAATCGAAATGTAGGTAGCTAAGATATCGGGTCGACAGATTTGAAAGATCCTCCGAAGTCTACTTAGATATTCGTTTAAATTTAATTTCTTCTCTGAACCTAGATATTCGTCGAATAATGAAGGCGGAAGAAACGTGTCTTCGCCGCAATATTCAGCGTCAGGTTATTGGTTCACAATTCTTCGAATTTTTATGATTTACCAACGCGCCAATCGCTTATGTGAATGCGAACAACAGTGTATAATGGAAAAATATATTTGCTTCTTCTGGGATAGGACTGTACCTGGTACGCCGCAGTCCAAAGACCATAAAAGGGGGCGGAGCCAGTTTAATCTAACCATGCAAATAGATCGAGCCGTTATGAGACAATTGATAAGCGTATATTAAATGCCTTACCATACCATCTCATGACCGAGCAGCACCATCTCGAAACCAATTTGAGTTACAACACAAGCCATCTGACGACATGTGCCCCATTAGCCAGCAAGTAAAACATCATGATTATTCGACTATAGTAAATGTAACTTGGAAATTCACCCGTTACCAACGAGCCTCTTACGTTCTAGTGTAACACCTCATATCACAAGATATGTGCCTTCCCATTCATTAGAATCTACTTCGTGTGTCCAATCGCCGCATCATCGGCTTTCTCGGCCTTCTGGGCATACCCCCTCGCAGTTTGCACGCCACCATGAACAAGATGTGCCAGCCCCCAAACATCAAAGATCACAGCAATGCATCTATATCCCTGCTCAATCATCATGGGAATCATTTCTGGGCTCATTGCACCACTGAATATTCCGATCTGTCAGCCACAAACACCATTTGTCCGAGAGCAGGGTAAAAGGAGAACTCACCCGAACAAAGGCTTCCCATACTTCTTTCCCGCCTCCGCGACCTTCGCAATAGCCCCGACAAATTTGGGGTGCGTATCGCTACTCCTATCGAGTGGCAACCCCGCGTCAGCCTTGAAATCTCCCGGCCCAAACATCAGCCCGGAGATTCCCTCGACGGCTGCGATCTCATCCGCGTTCTCGACGCCCTTGATGCTCTAGATCTGTGCTATCAAGACAACGTGGCGGTTCGCCGTTGTCATGTTGAACGAGTCGTTAGGGTATAGGGACGCGTCCGATATGCCAGGGGTGAAAGTCCACGGGCTGAAGGAGCGGGCACCGATGGGAGCTGTTGAGTGGGAAAGATCCATATGTTAGTGGACAGGGTGAGGGATTAAATATAAAAGGAGTCACTCACGATAGTAGACCTCCTTGATAAAGTCCTTGACTTCTTGAGCAGATTCCGTGTGAGGGATCACGATGCCCGATGCGCCCGCGTCCAGGGCAGTTGACAAGCAAGTCTCGTCGTGCTTGGGAACTCGGACGACGACCATGGTTTTGCCCTCTGAGTGGTGTTGGGCAGCATGGATGGCGCTGAAATTGAATTAGAGCACTGTTTTCCCCTTTGGGATTGGATGACATATATCACTTACTCGTGAAGGGTCAGGCGATCGAACATGCCATGCTCGACGTCTATCCAGATGAAGTCTGGCTTTGTAGAAGCAATCACCTGTGACATATCAGCACCCGCTGCAGGTTCGTTATGATATAATTTCAGATGCACACTTACTTTAGTGACGAAAGTGCTTGGGATTCCTTGAGCGACGCCAAATAGTGTCTTCCGGGGATCTTGCTGGGCTTGTCGTAGTGCTTCGCGCAGATTTCCAGGGTGCGTCAAAAGAGACGAACGGAAGGACGCATTGGTATGCAAATGCGGTTGTTCAAGGTAGCCCTTCACGGCCATGTTGGCTGAAGTATCAGAGACGGAACCCATGTTAAATTTCTAGTAGAGAGAGGAGAGATGATTCAGTATGTTGTGATGTGAATTGCAATTATAAATGGGACGTCTAAGGCTTTTATCTTTCAGAGGATGGCAGGTCTTCGCCTCGCTTCACTTCATGTAGCCTCATATCGGGTGAACAACCTTCCCGAGTTCCTTGGATGTTGGATGGAAATGATGCGCGTGTCTGGAGCCGTTGGGCCGGTTCGATAATATCTCCTAACTCCTGCGTTAACCATGGCCAACTGCAGGAATGGTGTGGCGTTTATGGCGTGGCGTCGATAGCGCTTATGGTCTTATGACACTTTAGTTGGCTGACAAGGCTTTCGTAGCCTAGGATCCCGGAGACGCCTAAGCCCGGCTTCCAAAGCGTCGGCAGGTCTAGTTTAGACAACATATTATCAACTGTTGAGGCAAAGTAACATTATTGGAAACAGAGGCATGGCCGAGCCAATAGTGGGAAGTATTAGTTATACGTGATTTCTAGCAAGATACGAAGCCCAACTATGGCAGGCTGGTTGCCTCATATTGATCTTTGTCAACGGGGGTACGTGCATATCCACCACTACTACTTGGTTCGAGCCCACCAGCACTAGCCTCGCTTACCTAAATACATCACTCTTCTATCTCTCTTTGTGTGCCTCCACGTCAACCAGGTTCGGTTCCGAGTAGTACCTGTTATATTCCGGACTCGAGGGTCAATCGTCCACCGAGAGCTCGAAACTCGACCACTTTGTCGTTATTTTCTTAATCCACCTCCTGCTTCTTGATGATTCTCCACATACTTCGAATCAAACTGGCTGAAGCGTAGCACTAAAGACATCTGGCCTCCTGGACAGCGTGGATTTGACAACTGAATGCCATTGTGAAGCCAGTGACACCAATGCGACGGCCGAAGATTGCGGTCTTACTCCAAATTAGTGCCTGTTTTGCTGTGTTACGTTACATGCTTTTTGCAACTGCCGGATACCTGATTGCTGTCGTGTTAGCTATCTACGCCACGTCAGCGCTATATACCTAGACGTCACGGGCTAATACATTATTAATCATGCTTTATTCCGCAAACTGGTGAACAACAACGGCGACATGACAAACTTCCTCCGACACCTCCGGTTTCCAATAGAAAATTTAAAGACGAACAATGTAGTTAGATCAGCGTCGTGGCAGATTCATGCATAGAAGACTTGTGAGCGAGCCCGGCACGTGTTTTTCTCGGATGCGGACAACATTACATTGCAGATGGTCTTAGGTAATCTCTTAAGCCACTAATTGCGATTCATAACCTGAATGATAGTGAAGTCCATAGCCCAAATGATCAATACTTCGACGATCAGGACTATAGTGTTTATCAGCCTGAATAGGCTCTGCGAGTGCTGCGTAACAACTGCGAAATGCACAAATACGGATTCACGGCAATGAGAGATAGTGAGCAGAATGGGGCACGAATAATAAAATAAAATTGCGAAAAAATGACCAATGAAAACACCATAATCGAACACAGCACAGTAAGGCACAGCAAGGCAGTTATAGTGTAGAGACCAAAAGAACCAAAAAGGAAAACAATGTGAATCCGTGTTGGCATTTTCCGAGAATGAACTGTCTCCCTGAAAAAGCACGATCCAAAAGCCCGAATAACAGGCGCGGTCAGAGACCAAAACGATAACGTCAGCATAGGCATTTCACATATAAACTACCACAGCAAGTTAAGTGTGACCAATGCGTTCGAGTCTTGACTATCGTCACTCAATTATAGCGTTGAGGAAGGTGGCCAGGATTTACCACCGACTTGGATTTCAAACGCACAGCCCACGGATTTACCACGGACTTAGATTTTGAGCACCACTACGCCCGGATTTACCATGGACTTGCATGATTCAAGCACCAATGCTACTAAATATCGGTGCTGATATTCAAAGTTTGATCTACGCTACACGATGCATTCGTGCTTCCTACAAAAGGTCAACCTGGTCAGTTATTGGAACTTGACCGTGCACTGCTGAGGTGATCCATACCGCGCGGCCGACCAAAGCTTTGACCCCCTGAAGGTCTGAAGGCAGCTGTGCACATGCTAGCTGGTGCAATGCACAGCTTTCATGTCTGGTGATGGATCCAATCGATCACTCAACTAGGTGGGCAGAAACGTACGTCCAGCTGAACCGTTACTAGAGCATGAAGTAAAGTATACACATGTGTAGATTGCGCGATGGGAAGATTGGAGAGACAGGACATACAATCACCGTCACATACAACCTTGTAGTCACAGAACAAGGGTGGGAGCGGAAATGGGCTACAGAACATCGCATCTGGTTAGTCGAAAGTGCTAGAACAGGCAGGGTGGGATGCTAGATATGCAGCAACATGTGCAACCCGGTGACTCGTGTGCTACACCTGTATCCATCCTTGGTTCACTGCGGAGCACCTGGGAGTGTTGCACCTGATAATTGGGGTGAAGGGGGTTTCGCGGGCAGGCACAACTAGTCGGGCAATCCCATCTTTAGTCCAAGCAGATTGTTGCAAGAAGGACAAGGCGGTATGGCGCCTCCCCTGCGTCTCTGTATCTTATGTCTAACATGAATGGAGCGGACAAGTCGCCCGTTTGACATGTATCTCGATCACCTGCTGTACGGCTCGTGCGACATGAAATCTCGCATTGAGCTGGTCTTCTTTCGTCCCGTGAAGATGAAAGCAAGACTCCAGACTCGAGACTCAACTGTCGCACAGCTCCCGAACCAAGAGGATATACTCGTTGGCACCAACCGCCGTCAAAACATGCCACCAGCCATGAAACTCCAATAACCACGACCACGGCATCCCAATCGCACCCCTAATCTTCCGCAACTCAAAGCACCTCTCCAAGTCGATATTCCAAAGAACATAGCCGCTAATGAGTATCACCAATGACTTCCCATACCGTCTCAGAAGCCTAGCCTTCTCCTCCTTGGACCTTCCCATGCCGTAAAACATATAGAAAGTGCGCACACCAATGACAGCCAGCATGGTGTTGAAGATGTAGACATGATGCAGGATATTCCCCGTGTAGACGTAGACGCCGCCCCAAAAGCACGAGTTGGCCACGATGAGGGCGCTGATGACCCAGCTCATGGTGGGGGATTGCCCCGATGCGTAGAGTTTCTGCAGATATGCGGTTCCCAGGATTATCATCGCGAGCTCGTCACAGAACTGCGTCGCTTGGTGCATGGTGGCGTGGAAGACACCGGAGAAAACGCCTAGGATGAAGAGTGCGGTGGCCATGCTATCGAAAGGCCAGAATGCCTTTTTTGCGCCTGGGCGGCGGGGATGCCGGAGAGCAAGGTAGACTGCATCATGTCAGGATCTATGTGCCTCTGTGTCGTTGCCTGAAACGCTTACTGTATGCAAGATTGGTGAGAGAGTTGATGAACTCGGCTATGTATCGCGTAACTGCATAATCCTCTTCACAGAAACTAGTGTCATAACGAATAAGCCTGTGCATCTATGCTATGGTGGTCTGTGGCATGGAAAAGGAACATGAAGAATTCGCCTTACTTTGCCGCACTTGTCGGTGTGCCCCAAAAGCCCATTGACGCATGTGGATCGCCCGAGAAATGGTGGTTGTGGTGTCCCATGATTGCTCGAACAGCGTTAGGTGCTTTATGCGACGGTGAATACGGTCGATTGCTGGGCGTAGGTCGGGATCAGCGTCACATGCAAGGCTGGCTAGGTGATTGCTTTGAAGAGATCTTTGCGAATTCTCTCATACAGCTGCTTTTAACCAGATTTCGGAACGCACGGGTGCGCTAGAACGTACGAGCCGGAAACATGAGATACTTGTGGGGGTCGGACATATATGTATGTATCCACGTATATGCACTTTGCCCATTTTGTTACAGGCGATAAGGTCCAAATCCAATTGAATTACCTATCATCAATATGAGCTGCTAGCGATGAGGTATCAAAAGGGGTGAAGTCAGTTGCCTTCTGGAATATGTTCATAAAATAATTTAGTTCAAAAGTCCAAGAAGATAACCAAATCAGAAGTTCCAGCAACCTCAGCCACGATGTGTCCAAGCAAAGCAAGATCGTGTTGATTTCTCCTTGGTGCCGGGAACTTTGTTGATACCGTCTTTTGCTGCGAATGAAGTCTCACCATTAAGGTGGCTGCTGTAAGTCTGCCATGCTGACTGTTGTAAGTTTGTCATGCTGACTGTGGTAAGTCTGTCATGCTGACTGTTGTACCTCGTGATGCCCGAATCCCGACCCCTGAATCCACGTGTAGATCTACCTAATAAGTTGGCCAGGTGTCGGCTATAATTGACCATTCAACTCTCAAGCTTTTGTTACATGATACCCTACTTCAGCTTGTATAAGGCATCTTGGATGCCACCCAGCGCACCAAAATCAACCTGTACTGTATCATTTTGTCATTCTTCTGCCACTTTGAACAAACGCAACTTACTTCCAGCACAAGATTGCTTCCCAGTTATCGCTTACAATTTTACAAAATAGCCGGGTTCTCCTTCTGAAAATCATGCTTTTCGCAAAAGACTGCTCCTCACCCCGCCGTCGCATGTACCTCCCCAACGTAACCTGTCTCGGGCACGCAAAAGAAACCATCAAATATAAATCGCCCATCCGACCCCAAAACGCATGCAGCTGAATCAATGATAACCATCTCGCTAACTTCAGGACCAATCAGCGCCTTTATGTCTACCGACACGATAGCATTTGTAATGCCCTTGCCGTTATGAGTTCTTGCCTGATTGTAGACCTTAGAAGCTAATTCTGGGGTGAGGGAGCCCGTCGCTAGTTGCTTGCCCAGTAAGTTTCCCAAGGAGATGTGGTGGGCCTTGCGCCCGTGGAACCTGGAGGTCAGGAGATTGCAGTTTGTCCCCTTTTTCGGCGCCGGGCTCTCCTGGTGGTGAAAGCTTGTGTCGTTTTGATCTAGAGATGATTTCCTATTATTGACCGGGCACGAAAATTATATATGCCCTCGTTGTCAAGATGTGTTGGTTGCGAATTGAGGCGATGTAAATTCTGGCGTCCAAAATCATCTCATCTGATATGGAATATGGCGTTGTTTGGTTAGCTCTTCAACTTGGACTCTTCAGCAAACGTATAGCTGCCTGAAGTTTCCAGAAATTGCCTAGAAATTCTGCCCGCAACTCAGAACCTAGAATCTCTATGCAGCAGAAGTGATTGCAGAGCCATGTGGATTTCTTTGTGACAATGAAGCAGGTCTTGGTGAAGTACGAATACTTCCAAATCTTTAACTTGAACTGACCAACGTAGTACATACTAATTCATTCAGTCTGCCCCGTATACTCTACTCCATCTTGGCACAATTGGAAGGCTTCCCTCCCTCGCACCCATATAGTCTAATCACCCCACGTGATACACCCAATCATGGCATTCATTCCACCACTTTTGCCTAGCAGCAATACCGGTCACATTACATGCCTCCTACTGTTTCTAGACCTATATACCGCTTCGTACTTATATGCAGTGACCAAGCGTCTGCAAAACATCACGCCCCTTCTCATCTCCGTCAATTACTTCCCCAGCCGCCTCTGCAACAAAGAATGCGCTTTGTGCTTCCACAACGTAAAAGTCTCGTACATGGCATCAAAATACGACATCAATCGGGGCCAAATATTTTCCAAGTGTGCGGGAATGAAGAACCTCAATATTGCAGGCGGTGAGTCATTCCTGCACCCCGGCGTCCTCAACGCGCTGGTCAGGTACAGCAGATATGGTCTCAAACTCGAGAGCGTGTCCATCATCAGCAATAGGAGTAATATTAGGAAGTCTAGATAAATGGTGTACGGCGCGTATCTAAACATCCTGGCCATCTCGTGTGATTCGTTCGATGAAGCGGTTAATATTAGGATTGATTAGGGATAATGTTTTTGATTTCTTTCGCATCGTGGAATGGTGTCTCAAGAATGGAATCAATTTCAAGATTAGTACGGTGGCATGTCGGTATACATTTGGCGAAGACATGGCGGCGCGTGGCGCCGAGCTGGAACCCTTTCGGTCCAAGGCTTTTCACGGTTTGAAGGTCGAGGGTGAAAGTGACGGGTCTGAAGAGATAATGGAATGTTAGGACAAATGGTGTTTTATTGAATATGAGCATCTCTGAAGAGTCCTCTCAGGATTGTACTGTGTGCAGAAGGGTCTTATATAGGTAAAAATGAGCGGTGCCTGCGCCGCAGGCAGAAGTTAAATGGTTAGAAGGGTGGATGCCACATTGACCGAAATCGTAGGATAATTGTGATCATGTCATCACAGGCTGGCAATCTTTGGTGTAATAGCATTGGAAGTCCAACAACAGACGCTGCGAGATGTGGCCAACTTCGAGATCAAAGACCATGAATTTAAGCTCTTCTGCCATCGGCATTGATATTTGCCTTGTTTCTGCCTGAGAGCAACGTGATGTTGGAGTTGAGGTGACTATGTAATCCGTGTTCTGGGATAAGAAAGCCTTCAATCACCGTGGTAGTCTATGTAGAGTCTATGACTGGTTCAAACAGGAACTCACGCTTGAGGGTACTTGTAGAAATGGCTTGCCTGAGGATAAGTTTTTGCAATGGTGATGCTTCGGTTTCGCATGTTCCGGATGAGTGTGTGCATCGCAAGTTGAGAGTTCAGGAACAGATATTATCACACGTGTGGTGGGGCGATCAAGTCTTTCTTTGTGAAGTTCAATAGCCCCACTAGTATACTCCTTCGTATTACGTCACAGCCACTTAGTCATCAGCGAATGATGATCTAATACTGCTACTCAATAAACTTGGAGTGGGACTAAAGGGGTATTTTTTCCTTGACAGGTATGTACGACGTGTCCTGTGAGATAGAAACCGCAACCGCAACCGCAATGGCCAAAACTGAAACTATTGAAAACAAACAGGTTCCGAGAACCATGCGACCCTGTTCAGTCCATGCCCATCTGTATATAAATTCTCTCATATCTCGTTCCTGACCGAGAAACCTGATTGCCGTAGAAATGGCAGAACCATCGGTGCTATCCACCTTAAAGATCCCCGATCCGTCTTCGAGCCAGCTTCGGAACAAGTTGCTCCTGTTCTGGATAAGATCTGAGAACTGAATTGCTCCGACCCCCAATGCCAGAGCGATCTGAGTGACATTCTTTGATTTGACTCCGGAATCCGAGCGCCCACTCTGCCGACGTTGTAGGACCTCGTGCTCATGCAACATTTGTCGGGCTTCTGCCGATCCTCTGCGTACCAGCTTGGTTGCCTTGCTGACGGTTGTGTTGCCCTTAACAATGTGTTCGATGAGCTCCTGATGCGTCGTTTGAATATCACTTTGGACGTGAGAGTGTCCGACTTGGTCGCTGAGCTTTTTGAGTTGGTGGCTATAAGTTGTTAGCTGAGGTTATCCTGGAATTAACGGATCAGGGACTGTCATGAGTTCTGAAAAATGCCGTATGCGGGTCGCTTTGGGTTACTTACCTTGTATTCAAAGCGACTATGCAACTCAGGTCATAGATGCATCTCTCCAAATTAATCACATAATGTTCGATCTCCTCCTTGCTGATCATATCCCTCATCCACGTCCGCGCATTTGATTTCAGTTTACGCCCTCTTTGCACGCCGCACTTCTCCAGTAGCATCTGCAGGGTATTCGAAACGGCCTTTATCCGTGATATAGCATCTCCTGCGATTTCGCGAAGTTGTATTGACACCCGATCTTGTGTCTCAATGCATAACTCTTTGCTGTCGACGAGGTCGCAGATGACTTGCATGCTGTTGAGACATTCCTTCATGCCCCTTTCGGCTTGTCTCTGAGTTTGCGATGATTGATGAACTTTTTGGAATGCCTTAACCCGCCTTAAGGCAAGGTTTCCAAGGTCAAGAATGCTGCAGGAGAGGTCTATCGCTGTGGCTGGATCCATGATTACGGTTTGCGTCGTATAACAGTTTACAATAGAGATTGGCGGTAACAGGAGAACATGCACAAAGTTCCCGGGTTCTACACATCAGCACTTTAAATCACTTTTAATATTCACTGCTCGGCATCATGACGATATTTCTCATATTGTTGAGAAGGTGAAGCACATGCCGAATGGGAGGCTGGATCAAGTCATGTGGCTGGCTAGTGCACATTGGCTGGGTAAGGTTTGAGGCCGAACGTTGGGCTTTGCTACAAATGAGATTAGGTAGTGCACCAACACTGAGCGCGGTTGAACTCAATACGGTTTGAAACACAAAGGCTAGGTTTACCGCCTCTATTTGGGTCATCTTGATGGCGGACAGGCCAGTTTCGCGCGATAACCGCCAACTGTACCTAAACAAATTCGGTCACCATGGCCTAACACGATGTCGGTGTAATATTCATATTCGCTCTTCGTTCGCAGCTACCACTGGTATCCTGGAAGTTGGTCATGCGACCATTTTCTGGAGAAATCAGCCAACGCCTTGTTATAGCAGCGGTCCCAATGCTACGCTTGTTCTCGTCGGCACCCCAAGCGACTAGTACCAGATGAAGTCCAACATGATTACTTACGTCATAAATAAGTACGCTAAAAATGGTAAGAATAATTTCATTTCACTGGGAAAATACAGAAAGATACATAAATCTGTAGATATTCCGAGAGATCAATTGTTAGATTATATTTCAATACTGTGTATAGTCTGACTACTTCCTGTTTCATTTTTATTTTCTTTTGAATTCGAATTTCTAAATCGCCTGTGACACTGTATTAATGGGCAGATTTGTGCTGGAAACACCATCCAACGCAAAGCTCTTCGAAGCGTTGGTCGGCCTAGACCTGCAAACCATCATTTCTCGGCTCAAATCACCTCTCCATGTTTTTGAATGCCGTCATTTTCTTCTGCTTCCATATAACCAGCTAACGATCTATGCTTGCCGATCAGTGGCGCTTAGCTGGGCGATGCACGTCTCCAGTGCATCTCGATCACGGCAAAGTCATGAGACCCCCCACAAAAGAAATGGCAAATTTAAGAACACAGAATGATATTTAAATTAAATTAAGCTTCACTATTCACTTGGTATTCATAATTCGGCTCTTCAGATGCTAATTCGAGTTTAGTTCGATATGGCGTTTTTCGTAAACGACAACGCCGCAATCAAGCACTGCGAGAATCACATACTAGGCCTACTATTGTTAGAGACCGAGAACATTTCGGAAGGCCCAAGACTTATCATTGAGTACGCCTTGATAGTCCACAACTCACAGGAGCAAGCGATACAAATTGTCCCGGAAGTCTATCAGCGTTTCCAGGATGAGGAAAGACATATATTCCATCGATTGTATGTAACAATCAAAGACAGTGATCCTCTTTTATCCAAAAGGGATTCAGAATGAACAGAAAGTCCTCAGGCTGAGACTGAGTAATACGGCTACGATAAAACAGGTTATTGTGGTGGAATTAGCAAGATGGTGAATATGGACGCATAGGCTTGGTATTGGACAACGATGACTATGAGAATCGGTAACGGTACATGCATGACTAACATGCAGTCATTTCCACGTCTTTCTCCACGGCGGCAAGTCCAAAGAATTTTCCGTGATGGCATCAATGATCCCTTACCCCGTTCTATATCCATCATGGCACTGGTCTGATATCCTCAAATTGGCATAGGTTTTGCCAGTGCTCTCATGGAAATCCCATCGCAGTTTCATTGCCTGGGCATCTCAAATCGGATCGCTACCCCCAGGCCAACCCTGCCTAGCATATCCTGGCACCTGTAGTGCGAGCACCCAGCTCAGCATGAAGACATACGGCTGATAATAGTTGACACTAATATCCACACCCGGATACACGGGATCGTGTCTGAGGACCTCTTCGCCATCGAGCCTCACTTCAGGACACCAGCTGGCTCAACATCAGTCTTGCGTGATTCTTCAAAGCTAAGTGCAAGATTCGGTCAATGCTTACTGCATTCGATTCTCCGGCTCATCGACAGAGGATGCGGTGCCCATGTACAAGCCCTGTTCATTAAAAAGCACACGTGTGAAACCGGGGTTCATACCCGACTCCCACGGCCGCCCAGATAATACGGGGAACTCGTAGATAGGCTCGTCCCAATTTCCGGCGCCGGAACTAACTTCGTATGTGTCCATGCGATAGTCGGATATACGACTACGATACCCTATCAGTTGGCCAAGAATACTAAACAACAAAAGACACAACGAAAGTAGAAATAGTTACTGAAAAGGGGAAACTCACAGTTCGTGCGGGTACGGATACCCGTCATAATCCGGAAACTCTCTAGTGTCGGCGTATGGGTTGTTATGGTCAGGTGCGATGAGCATAAAGACTCGACGCGCGGCTTGCAGAGCACGAAAGATGTCGTAGCCACGGTAAAGGATGCCGTTATTAGCGTCTTGTCTGTACCGGCTGGTGGACATGAGGAAGAGCGGGATTTGATTCCGACGGTTTTCATTCTGGTACCGCACGAATGCGTCCTCTGAGTCATTCTCAGGGTCTCTCCAGTCATCATCATCCTCTGTGCGGGCCATGAGACGTGTTTCAAGACTGGTGACCTTGTCACGGCTCGATATGAGGTTGTTGCATGTTTTTGAGTTGGGCAGAGGCATACATGCCACTGCGATGTCCCGAGAGTTGGTATTGGCTTCGATGGCACGTCCACTCGCCAAGACCACCAAAGCTCCTAGTACGACGATGAACTGTGGATTGGTATAAGGAAAAGTTGTGCCACTATATCAGAGAACTTACCTTCATGTTTGGTAGTTGTGGAGGTAAGTCTTTGAAATGGAAGAATATGAAACTCTGGTTAAGGATAACAGGAGAGAGTTCAGAATAGTTTGTTTTCCTCGTCAATATTTGTAGGCAATGCCTCCGATTTAAATTTCTTAAACATAGAGACAAACATAGAGATTAAGAGCAATCAGACAACAAAGCCAAGATTCAGGGGTTGTGGCAGACAACACATCTTTGCCAATATAACATTTTGTCAGAGTTGAAGTCATAGTGCGGACATATGAAATCCAGTTGTTTTACATAATAGACACTGACATATCATGTTGGTCTGTTATCCTGGCTAGACTGTTAGTACGGAAAGGAGTCGGAGGTTTATCAGAAGTGCTTAACCCGATATCGTGTCATATCTTCCGAACTCGAACCATTTTTATCCGTGTTGTTTCTTGGAACTAGCTATGGCAGAGCCTTGTTTTATTTTCTGTGTCTTTTAACTTTCAGCACCTAGGTTTCGAGGAAATCTTTTCTGGTGTTTTCAGTCTTACTGGAGACTACTCTACCGGTAGCCATCCGAGATAGTAGTCGAAAACAACTCTAGTAAGTATTGCACTGTATTTTAGCAAATGTAACTAATGCTATTCCAGATGAAGTTTGATTATGGGAGGAACTGCATCATGCACCTTGAGAAAGAGAAACTGGTTCATGCAGTTTGCTGCCTCGAGGCCATTGCGCGTGTGTAGGGAGGGGGCAAATGTTTGTATCGTGAATGTCGAACACCCTCTGACGATAAAATGCCTTCATTACCAAGTATAACTCTAACGTGGAAGCTTCCCTTATGTTTAAATCGGCATGAAACTTGGTCTTTAATGCTAGGGAATATGGAATCATATGAGGGGCGACGAGTGATCAGCCTTTCACACGGGGTACGATGTTTGTTGTAGCAAACAGATTGCCACAATAATGACCGTAGATCGAAATTTGAACCGAGCTACGATGTTCGTCACCATTTAGTTTGTGTTATGCATTCCGCGAGAGACAGAAGTATAAATCGGTGCTCCCACTACTCGAACAATTTGGCGATTAACACATTGACAGTCAGAATCAGAACAAACAAGCCCCAAAAGCTAACTATACTAACAATAATTGCTTGTCATGCGATCTGTTCAGATTTTCGTTGTCACTCTCCTGCTTCCAGCAATTCTGGCTTTCCCTGCCAGCATCATCATCCTTGATGATGTCGATGCCATCAAAACCAGTGGCTTCGCCCCCAAGAACAAAACCTCGCCTCCAAATGTCTCATTAGCCAGCCAAGGCAAAGACTGCGCTTGGGCTGAAGCTCACATTGGGAAGACATACATGGACTGCGCCAAGACCACCGGGAAAGACAGTGACCATATTGACTACAAGATTAGTAAGACGGGTTTCAACTACTTCTTCCGCTTCTCGGACAAGTTCAGGAGCAAAGAGTACCGAACAAAGCTGGTGCTCTCAGTCCTCGGTCGAAACCTGCATTTCATTCTCTTGTCTCCAAAAATATGAGATTGCTAATAGTCGCCGTCCAAGCCCTCACAGGAACGGGTCAAAAGCAGACAGACTGGGTCAAGGGGATCTACGACAATATCAAAGACCAGTGCGGCGGAAACGCCAACTTGTACAGCACGAGTTCTGTGCAGAAGAACAGTTTCGAGACGCTCGCCTTCACCATGAGCAACGGATACGGTAACCCCAAGAAAGGCGAGAACTCGCTCGTTCTGGTTTACGGTGTTGTCTTCTCGTTCACGCTGAAGTGGCCCTGGGCGGAGGAGGATGCGGATATGAAATGCATCTCGACGGCGGTTCGCAAAGCAACTTGTGATGGGGTGGCAATGGTGAATGGACATACGTGTAGGGACAAGAAGGAGACAGAGTGGAAGAATACGTTGAAACAGCCTGAGGTTCTGGAGTCACACAGTCTGTTTGGTCCTGCTTAAGACGATATTCCGGCATTCTTGGACTGACCGATGGACGACGGTCAAGTGTACTTGAAAAGTTGCAATGAAACCGGTCATCTGATTCACATTGGCTTTCAGCTAGATTCTGTGCTAAACAGACTAAATTTTCTTCAAGAAGCCACAATGATCTTGCAACCATCTATCGGCTTCATTGATTTACAAATAGATAATACGGCAAGATAATCCATGATAGATGGAGATGCAGATCAGTCCAAGAATCGAACAAGTCAAGAAACGTTGAATTGAAGCCTCCAAACGTTCCGGAATAGACTCCTTTTTGACAGGCGAACATTCAAACCTGCCTATGCCAACTCATTTGGACCCGATGGACCATTTAAGCATCTAGTTAAGGTTTATATATACATTGAAACATTTGAAGACCTGCGAGATGCTTGGTCGTGGTTTAACACGATCGGGAAATGTCTTTCAAGTATCATGTCCGGTGAGACAGACTTGAGCAGCATGGGTATCCGATTACATGATAAAAACAACTTGCCACCCAATCAGGTAGATGAACATCTTCGGAGCTCTACACCGGCTGATGACGGCAACAGCGGTTTCAGCACCACCGCACCAGCAACACTATTAAACGACTGGAAAGCAAGCACGGAGAAATTGTACGAGCAGCTGAAGGTCCACGCATAGTTACCCCTTATGTTTTGGAGACAATCTCAACAGAGGACGAAGAGCCAGTTCTGAGTCTCAAAATACATACCAGTCTTCGAAACACATTTGCGGAACTTATAAGGAAGATGGAACTGAGGCACGTGGGGTTTCGCAGGGTGGGCGCTCAACAATACCATTGAACTCCATGCTGTCATGGGAGCGATATGTACCTTGGACTGGCTGAAGCCAAGTTGGGATGACTCTTTGCCACACCGAAAAGACTTCCAGCGCGGGATCAGCGAGTTTGTGCTGGGTACATTGTAGGATATTGTGATTTTGTAAATCGGAATGAAATTTTCTTGGGAACACAGTATCAGAATCAATAACAGCGAAAGGGCCTTGGGGCCTTTATATAGCCGAAGTGCTGGCGACTGTCAACAGGTGTTGTAAATATCAACAGCCCTCTGTACTGTCCAATTCGCTTGGGTGATGAGCACAGGTAAACTAAGCTGGCCCGATCCACCAACGCATCAATGCCAGAAAGAAGTAGCTACTTGAGGCGTATGATCCTTACGGTCAGTCCTGTGTCACTCTGAAAGCATATTTTCAACGGCTTTTGGATGTGGCTTTCATCCTTCACGAAAACGGGAATCCTCTCCAGAGCGAAACATCCAATCATACGGCCTCATGGGGAAGTAACACTGCCTTGGTTCATGTAAGCACTCCCAGCCATACGGAGGCATTGCCATGTGCTTGGGTCGTTGCCTACATGCTTTAGCTTAGCAAGTATTGCCGAGTCATATGATATCAGGGACCGATCCTTGAAGTTGGGAAATTGTCCCGGGTTTGCTTCACTTGGGCAGCTAGCTCGCCCACGTAGCATTCAGTAATGGCAAATTTGACTGGCTTGGTATACTGCGCACGACAGCACAATGTAATATTAAAAAATGGCTATGCATGAATGCCAAGATTCACTGCTGTATTCGGAATTAGACTTGAATCACTGTATGCTTCCACATTTCTAATTCCCGCAAGGCCCAGCCTTTTCGCCTTGGTTACGTGAGAACTTTCAAGATAGCAGCTTACTCGTGACATTAATGCACAGTGCACACGACAAGATTCCCACCGTAGCGGATAAGCAACAAAAACCGCATGGAGCAAGATACAAAGGTGTAATAGACTTATTTGCGGAACCCTAGAACCTAGCATCTTCTATTATTAAGAGAAACACATCATCAAATATCAACTAGGAACGTAAACGAGTAAGCTCAATACGTAATGGTGGCAATACCGGAAGCGATGCACTTCTATACCGGCAGCCTTTTCTCCAACTCCGGACGAGCACGCGAGGATGAAGAAATTCGAATTACGATTCATATCACCGGGGCTCTAAGCTACCAAAAATACATCATCAAACTATACCGTGCTCTCATGACCTTCGGCACAACGCCTCGAGGAGTCGCTGCGCATGACCGCCCCCATTCTGGAGATGAAGAGCCAATTTGTATATCCCGGATTTCATGGTTGTCTTATAATATTGCAGTATCACGCTCACTACCGAGGTTTATTTAGTGTGCGCGGGCGAAGACATGGATGTTGGCAGGTTAAAAGGCATCCCTGACATATACAAGGAGGTGTTGCATGATGTTATTGATGGCGAGGAAGCTACCGAGTGATTGACAATAATTTACCCGGAAAATAGGCTAAATGAAAGCAAACCCCTTTGATGTTCCTGATCGGCTTCGTCGAATACCAGTTGGCTTCACCGACGGTAAAGCCCCCCCCCCCCCCCCCCCCGCCAGTCCTTACCCAAATTGCCAACCTGATGGGCGCCTTTGATATCGGCATCACGGGGAATCTTCGTTTGAGAAGACAAGTTCATATTGCGGCAGCAGCGCTTTTGCCCGCGCTTTTTTTGCAGGTGCCTGTGGGCTAGTAGCGACTGGAAGTCTCCTGAGTGGGTTGGTCAATGGGACGAGTTCGGTAAGCTATCTTGGAATAATCGAAATACTGAGTCTGATTACTGATAGTTCGGGTTTTGACAGGTAACACTTGACCTTAATCAGGGCTCAGATATAGATCCGGTGGGGCGCTGCGTCCATGATCGAGATAGCCATTGGATTGGCCGTAGGGTTGTTCTGGAGTGCCTTGGTCGTATATCCATTTTGTGAGCGCGGGAGTGGCTTTTTTAGCTTCTAGTATGTGTTAGCAGAAGCATAGCAGCGGCATACTCAGTTTTGTGGTACGGAAGAGTTTTGGTGCGAATGCGACAAGTTGCAACTCGATTGCTAGAATCTCTAGATTGCAGAAAGGGGACAGCCTCTTGCTACTTATGACGTCGCCATGCCAAACCAGTAAAAACCATTTATCGGCACGTCCGCAGCGAAAAAAAGATACATGCAGTAGTGCTGGTGTAGTCAAACACAACTGGCTTTTATTGCGAAACCTTGTGAAGGGTATATCTAATATAGAAAATCTAATAAGTGTAGCAAATCTACCCATGTGCTCCGGAATGCCAGAAATAAGGAAACAAAACAGAAAGGAAAGGAAATCCCCCGCGAAGGCTACCCCAGATACCCAACTTATCGGAAAACTCTATATCTCATAATCAAACCCCCTCCGCACCGCTATGCAAGCCAAATCAAGTTGAACCATGGAAAGACAGGCAAAGTAGCCTAGCGTCTACCACGTCCCACCCATTCCCAGCCCTTGGTTCATAGCCTCCCATGCCTCAGCCCTGGCAGCCTCGACGTCAAACCCATTATGCATATACGACCACTTCCACCCCAGCCTCTCGCCAATCAATACCGGATCGAGCCCGGCCCCGGGATCCCTTCCCGTAAGCACATCCGCCAGCTCAAAGGTATCCTGAGCGACGGCCTCGGCGCGCGGTCGGCACACTTGATCAAACGCCTGTAGGGCAGCCGGAATCTCCGCCTTGGACATTGTGCGGCCGAGCATGGTGCTTATGATGAGTGCTTGTTCGAGGGCGAGGTTGGTGCCTATATTCTGCATAGGGAACAGGGTGTGGGCGGCTTCGCCGATTAAGCAGGCATTGGATGAGGCATAGGTGGGGGTGTGGACGTGTTGCATTTGACACATGCCGGCTACTTGGACGGTGTAGTGGCTTTGAACGAGCTGGGGATGTGTTAGTATTTAGAGCACTGAGACACTGTAGTGGGATCATCTATGACGTACCCTGACCATGCCTCGACAAGCCTGAGGCGTGCTCCCGCAAAACATCTGCTCCATCTCTTCAGGCGTGAAAAGCCTCGCCCAGGAGAACTCTTCCTCGGTGTCTCCGATCATGGCATACAGGACGATTTGGACCTCACGGCCGTTGCTTAAGATATCATGCTGCATCATTGTGCCCTCGCCCAGCCAAACGACTTGACGCGGGTTTTGCGGATCAAGAAAGTGCGAGCCCATCATTTGGCGTGCCCTCGCGATGGGGACCTTGATCGGAAGTCCCCAGATCCCCGACGGCGTGGGATACCCAGCTGGGTCGTTGGGGCCGACGACATGTGAGCGTACCATGCCGTGGACTCCATCCGCACCCACGACGACGTCGTACACCTTTTGAGTGCCGTCATCGAATGTCAACAGGATGTCTCCCTCGGTCGTCTTCTGTATAGATGAGAGACGGGTGTTGGTATGTAGCATCCGACGGGAAACACCGGACAGCATCTGAGCGAGGAACGCGTCATTGTCTACGCTCTTCTTGGAGGGAGTTCCAAGACTGGCGATGTCGACTTTGCGGCCCGTGTGTGAGCCCGAGGCAACTCGTAGCTCCATGGGTCCGTAGACTGCGCCAGCCCGGTTGAGGCAAACTTCGAGGGCCGGGTTAATAGCCTGAAGAGCCAGTTCTGTAGATGGACTGAGGGATATACCGGGTCCTTCTTCCCGGAATGACGGACGGGACTCGTACATGTCGACGACTAGGTGGGGATATTGTAGCAAGCCGCGGAGTAGGGCTGCACCAGCGATTCCACCGCCCATAATGGCCACGTGGAGAGTTTCGTACGATTCCGACATAGCGGTTGGAGAGAATGGACACGGACTGATTTATTTCAGGGTGATAACGGGGCTTCTCGTTGCCTGTTGCAACAGTTGTGTAGTGCGACATCTTGGCTAGGAACATTTCTCTTAAATGCTGTATAAGTTTGTCTGCCTGGGATTGTTGAGCTCACATCAATGATCCGAATATAGAAAACTCGACTTGCGCCCCCTTGGTGGTCCCATGGACGGATTTTAGACGACTATCTTGGGATTCTGGATCGAAATCGAATGCCTGACTAAAATTCCACAGGTGGAGCGCAGAGGTGACAAGCGGACTTTCATTATAAATCCTACAGTATGCCAAGTACCCGAAGCCTGCAAGCTTCCAGCGTGCGCAATGGGAAAGTGGGGTGGATGCTGCATGTTACCGAAAATCGCACGTTCTGCGAGTGCGACTTCAAGTCACAGAACCATGGCAGGGTGTCTCGTAGGGCTGATGAAGACCCATCTCGCTGGAAGGAAACAAACTGCACCCAGGTGGTAATGTTGATTGACAGATACTGGTGCTGCATGTTGATGCAGTTGGACATAACGCCGGTATAAGCTCGATGGCTCAAAGAGGAAGGGCAGGCGAGGTTCTGGTTGCTATTGGACGACTCCGCATCCGTGTCCATCGATTCCCTGACGGTCGTATGCTGAATGCGAAGATGATGGGACACAAAGTAGCCGTAGCGTCGTTGATTGGGTGCATCCTGATACGTTGTCCGGTAGTCTGGTAGACGTCAGCTTCAGTTCGCAGTCGAGTGCTTGCAGGCAAGGGCTTGATTGCCCAGAAATGGCATGCGTCGTCGGGCTGGACCCGACAATTTGATGCGGCGCTGGAGAGGAGAAGAAAAGTCGCATTGTGGTCAATTGATGGGAAAGGCCAATAGGGTCCGTCATTGGGTCGTTGGCATAATCCGTGTCAGATCTGGTCAGATGTCAGGGGCGATGATCAAGATATCCATTGGTACTCCTAAAGACCGAACGGGCGAGTGAGCAATGGAGGAATACAGGCAACCCTTCCGTCGGGCCGTGCTGTTGGGACCTTTGATGGACGCTTTTGATGTTCGGATTGTAGCTCTGCCACTTTCCTGCGCACCAGCTCCAACGCGTTTGGCTCCACCGAATAAAGTTCGGGGGCTACGGATCAAACGAGAGCTCTACAGAAGGAGCAGGCAGATACATAGCTGGGAATAGCTTCAAATCACACAACAGAAGCTAACGTGGGATGTCCACTAAGCCTGGTCCGAGCCGCTCCAGTTTGTCGGGTTCCTTTCATCCATGCTAGCCCAAGGTTAGCAGTCCACTCACTGTTGCGCTTCGGTCTTCATCACAAAAGCCCTGTGGCGGGGTGCAAAAGAATCCGTCCTGGTTGTGCAACAGTAGTTGAATTTTGCGATTGACTCGTCTGGGAGAGTGGCGTTGATACTGCCCATTCTTTAATTATCAATTCCGTCGCCTGGGAGGAATGGTTGGTCTCAATCTGCCAAGCTTTGGCGGGGTTAGCCCTGCCGGTACAAGCAGCGAGTAGAGACCCCAGCCATTTAGTGCATTCGGAGTGGCCAGTGTGCTGGCGCCCTCTGTCCAGGTTGGCCAACGCTTGCAACTCGGTGTGCTTGCGACCCGGGTTTAGGAATGCTGAAATCATCCGCCGTAGACACGATAGACACATTCATCGCGAATCAAACAACATCCTACATACTTCCCAGTCCCCAGGTGAAGCTGCAGTAGAGTTTCCAGGCGTGAATATGGGTTTGCCCCCCCGGTCACTTTACACCAAGGCCGCGTGTCCTCAAAGCACTCACATGTTGCACAACGTCCCATTGCAACCGCGAGGAATCTGGCAATGCTATGAATATCTTTTCTCAACCCCGAGATCCAAAATATGTTCGTTTAACCATCTCATCATTCCCCCGACATCATGAAACGAGGCTCAGCACTGAAAACATTCGTCGTGCTCGCCAGCGGCGTTTCCGGGCCCATGCTTGAGAAAAGAACACACGAGGGCTACCTGTCACAAGATATCCCACCAAAAGAAAACACCATGACCGTGGTTCCCATTCCAAGTTGAGCATCTTATGGCAGTGGTTAGCGAGTACACACGAATGCAATTGGTAAGCAACGTGTTCTTACAGTAGGTCAGATCATGCTGACCAACGTGAAAGGCAATGTCGGTACTCAGCAAGCACCTGACTCCTGCTTAGACGGCCATTGGTCATCCTGGCATAATAGTTGGCGACTTCGATCAAACCGTCATCACAGAACTCCCCCCAGGCCACGGAAGCCCGTGGTTGGGCAGCATGCGAACAGTGATCAACATTTGCATCTAATGTTGTAGGATAGTAAGACGGCATTCTCGGAACAAATCTGATCTTTTCAAGTTCTTGATGGTATGGTTGGCAATTACGTATCACGGGGTTTGTGTCATTGATCGCAAGGGATAGAAAAGGTTGCCATTATTAGCCGTTATGTATATTTACCAATCCACTAAACGGGGTAAAAGCTTAGTGGCGGCCACGGAGGCGCTACGTGATAAAAGTAGAGGAATTATATTGTAACTCAAAAACCTGAGAAGACTCCCAATATTTTTTTATCACTCTCCTGCTTACATAGAATTTAAGTCACATCGCCGTTCATTATATGTGTGCTTTATGGCTGCGTTCTCGGATTTTCTCTCATCTAGCTAATATACCGGATAGGAGCATTTCCGGTATCCTAATATTTGTAACACAGGCTATCCGTTTCAGTTGTCATAACAGACTCTACCGTCACGTCAGTCCCTAATCCCAGAAACTGCAGGCTGTCCCCCAACGCCGCGGGCGTCTCATCAGGTTCCTGGTTCTTCCTGCCACTGTAATCACGATTCCGTACACTCGCATCTTCCTGTTGCCAAAGCCACCAAAGCCGATCAATCTGGCAATGATGCATGATGAACAGCGGGTCTAATCAATGTCAGCCGTCGTGTTCAAGAACGCCCTATTCCACCTCCTTTCTTACCGTTCGGCGAAGTCGCTGGGACCATATCACCGCCCAGCACGTTATGAATCGCCCCATGCGGCCCATTCTCCAACGCATCCCAGAAGTTCTCAAAATCATGATTAGACTCCGTCAAGTTCTTGATCGCAGCCGGTGTATACCACGCCGCCATCATGTCTTTGTTCATCTCCGGATCCTCATCGAATCCATCCGTAAATCCGCGGTTGATACAGTGCGGGCGCGCATCGCCGGCGTAATAGGCAACTGTCAAGTTAGTGAACGCGCCCGTGCTGATGCATGATGTGAGCGGATTGGGCCTCGAGGGCGAGACAAAGCCACCCGATCCGTCGCCGCCGAAGCCCGAGGTCGATGAGTTTGAGAGCACGGGGGAATCGCGCATGTGGCCCGCATCTAGGGTCCAGTCCCAGAAAGGCATGGGCGATGTGTAGCCGCATTCTGAACGGAGGGCTGTTTCATAGATATGGACGAACCAGCGGTGCCAGGGGAGGAACGACGCGACAAAGTGGACTGAGAATGGTCAGAATTGCATATGCGTAGGACGAGAAACGGCATTGGGTTTGAATACTTACTCTGGCTGTTAAGTTGGTTGTGAACGTAAGGAAAGTCGTCGTATAACGTCGAATTAAGTCCTAGTTTCGAGGGCTTGCTGGCGAGACACTGGACGGCTGATATATACTCCTCCCTTTGCACAACGGGCAGAGATCTCCATTCCGTTCTCTGCGCCGGAGCAGTACATGATGACTGTTGACGGGGCAGGACGGTGGCATGGCTTAGAGAGGTGCCGAAGGCCAGCACCCAAACCGAGTATTCAAATATCGTCTTCATGACTGTTTACGTCAAACTATGATCGCTTATCAAGTTTACATCAAAAGATTCAGAGACGAAAAATGTAATATGGGCGACTGTGCCAAACGACGGGGCCCGCGAAGAGTAGAGTTTCGCAATTCTGGAAGCATTTCGTATTCACTCATTATGACCCACTGTACGAGGATCCTCGTATAAGGTATGGCATTGAAGCTCAATCTGCCATCTAATTATAGTTTGATATCGTTGGATCCCGAGTACAGGGGGCTGCATTGGTATTAAAATCACCCCAAAAGGTCTGGCACCAAATCAATAGTCGGTCAATAAGGGCCTGCGGGATTGCCCAACACGACTCCGGGTCCAGGGTCTTCATTGTCCCCTTGTCAAGTTCTTCGTTCTGTAATTCGTGTAGATTGGCGTGTTTTCCGTAGATATACGCCTTCATATGATTCCACACATGCTTAGTGAACGACTGATTAGGACTATAAGCGGGCCATTCGATGGTCTGCAGTCTATACCGCTCCTCCCACTTTTTCGAGACGTTGCTAGTATAAATCCCGGCATTATATTGCTGGAAGGAAGTGCACGGAGTGTACTACGGTATCAGGCCGAAGTTTTCACCCCCTTCACAAGTACCAGTGGACCACTGCCAAGGTAACGCTATACTGATTCTTGCCTAGCCCACTCATGCTAACGAAAAGGTACTTCCACCTCTGATTCCAACTTGCTGTTAACGCGTCCTAATTATCGCGTATTTAATAACTACAATTAGGACTAAACACCTTACAGAAGCGGATCGCTAACGAATTCGAACCCTTTACTTCGGCGGTGGTACATCGAAAGCCGAAATTCACACTACTACAACGTTTTCTCTTAATCATATTAAGACAGCTATTAAGGTTCCTTCAAGCCAGGTAGCGAAGAGTTGGCGCGTGCCTAGGTGGGGCACGGTACAAACACACAATTGAAAGCTTACCCATGATACCATAGTAGATTAGCAGTATTGCTTCTCCCAGAGCTTAAATGAAAGACCGTGGAGAAATCCCTTGTTGAAACTGTAGATCGCTCCATGCTAACGATACCGGACGCCCCCATACATAAATGGCCCCCAGACTACAATAGAGATATTCGGCTTCCCTTGATCTATATAATTTACCATTAGCTTGTAAAATCCCTCGTAGAACATTCGCCAGATCCAGCCGGTGCCAGAGTTTGACGTGCTTTGGACCGTACATTCGTCGCTGAAGATTCCCCGTTGATTGGGTAGAATTAGCGCCGAATGGCGGAATCCGACGCCCCGGTGCCATTTATACGTACTTCTTTCAATTGTGCCTCTCTGCTCTTTCAACAACGGTAGTATTTGGTCCGTTTACCATCGGATTTGGTGGTTAGCCAGATGCGCCTTGTGGACTTTCGGTGCTTGAGATTCTGGTTGAAGGCTATGCATGGGGTAGTCCGGATTGGCGATGTACATAGCTGTTACTTGACAGTACGAAAGAGCGCCGACCAGCCGGTTCGCGGCCTTTTCCGAACGATTTATTTCATGTAGCGATAGTCACGTATAGAAAACTTCTTGGGGCTCCCCGTACGCTGTTACGAAGCAAGTTATTAAGTGGCTTCAAGGCGGGTGCTGTTCTGGCTCTTAGATACACTAGTTCGTGCCTGTGTAGCTTACACCCCTCTATAACTAAGGCCACAGTTACTCGCAGTTATCATCTAATGCGAACGTTACTTCACATCATATGGTTACTAGTAGTTGACTCAAGTCTAGTTCCGTGTAATCTCTGACGATTATTACAGCCAATAACTACTTATACGAAGTACCGGGTTCAGGTGTAGTCAGAGAAGTAATTATGCAAGACTAAAGGAAGCGAGGCTGCAAACCCCCAGCACTTGTGGAAATCTGAATACGTCGTTGATGAATAACATGATAGCATGCGTTATTTTGTTGTCAGCATCTATCACGAGGAGTACGCGTAAATTTTATAATAACGTAGGGTTGACAGAGGTGAATAGTGGATGGACAAACGAGTACACCAACTGCGTCATGCGCTAACACAGCATGTTCGTCGCATCCAACAGAGCGAAACGATGTCAACGTACTTACATTGAGGTTTAATCATGAATCACTCGTTCGGGGAAAGGGAGGGTGCGGGCACATAATATAGTCTCAAGTCATGTAGTATATGGTCTGGCGTAATCCAGGCAAATATATGTTTATCCTACGCCCAACACGTCAGCATTGAGGCCAAGCAAATTTCCGTACCAAATGCAAGCAGTATAACGTGGTTTAACACCGAGTCGCGCATATCACCGAGTCGCGCACTTTTTCAACTTTTCCAACCTTTTGACTTCAACACTTATTTCCTCAACAACAACACCATGTCAGTTCAAACCCAAGAAGCCAAAATCAACCTTGCCATCGAAGCTATCCGATTGACCAAAAATATGAACCAACGTCGAGCAGCAAAGCTATACGGTGTACCCGAGTCCTCACTCCGTGACAGAATCCACGGTCGCACCCCACGTACCGAAATCTGGCCGAATAGCGCACTACTCGCCAAGATAGAGGAAAGAGCTATTGTTCAGCATGTACTTGACCTAGATTTGAGAGGGTTTCCTCCTCGGCTAGAGGGTGTGGAAGATATGGCCAATTCCATTCTTGCGACGCGGGGTACCCGACGCGTCGGCAAGCTCTAGGCGCATCGCTTTGTAAAGCGAACCCCAGAGTTACAGACGCGTTTTTCTCGCTCGTATGACTTCCAGAGGGCCCTCTGCGAGGATCCAAAGATTATTGAGGACTGGTTCCGGCTTGTATCGAATATGAGGGCCAAATACGGGATCCAGGACTGCGATATGTGGAACTTCGACGAGACGGGCTTTATGATGGGCGTTATTTAACGCTCGATGGTCGTTACCTCGTCTGAACGTAATGGTAGAGGCAAGAAGGTCCAGCCAGGTAACCGGGAATGGGCCACGGCGATTACCTGTGTCAATTCGGAGGGTCGCGACATCCCGCCATTTCTGGTAATTCAAGGGAACTATCACCTTGCTAATTGGTATACTGAGGGGGACCTACCAGCCGATTGGGTAGTCAAACCGACCGAAAACGGGTGGACGAACAACGAGACTGGTCTAGACTGGATCAAACATTTCAACAAGCACACTATCTCGACCAAAAGAGGCGTGTATCGGCTGTTAGTATTGGACGGGCATGAGAGTCATACATCGGCCGATTTCGAGTCTTATTGCAAGTCTAACGGCATTGTTACTATCAGTCTGCCCCCGCACTCGGCTCATCTGACCCAGGCACTTGATGTCGGGTGCTTTGGGGTCTTGAAACGTATATACGGTCGAGAGATTGATATATTTATCAAGTCCCATATGAACCACATTACTAAGGTCGAGTTCTTTATCGCCTTTAAGGAGGCTTATTTAAAGACAATAACCGACAAAAACATCAAGGCAGGGTTTCGAGGGGCCGGCCTAGTCCCCCATGACCCTGAAGCCGTTATCTCGAAGCTGGATGTTAGGATTCGGTCGCCTACACCCGTTAGCCCCTCTCTTCTAGATACTGACCCTTGGGTTTCGCAAACGCCAAATAACCCGACAGAGGCTCTCTAGCAATCCGATTTTGTCAATCGCCGAATCGCCAGACATCAGGGAAGCTCTCGGACCCCAATTTTTGATGCTGTTGGCCACCTTGCGAAGGGTATAACTCGATTAGCCCATGAGAATACCCTCTTGAAGGCTGAGTGCTCTACCCTTCGCAAGGCAAATGAGGCACTAAGCAAGCGTCGGAGGGCAAAAAAATCGCGTGTCCGGCAAGGAGGTGCACTTACTGTCGAGGATGCCCTGGACATTTTGGCCCGGAAGGACGCGGAGGCCCAGGTAAAGGAGGACAAGCGCTCTAGGGGGGGTAAAGAAAAGGCTGGTCCGTCGACTGTACGACGATGTAGTAAGTGTAAGAAGACCGGACATAATGTAAACACTTGTCAGGTCGAACTATAATTGTCAGATGTATATAGCTCTGAATAAATTTCAATAAACTTTAGTCTGTTGTGGCTTTTTAATTGAACTTGAAATTATAGTGTGGTAAAAAGTGCGCGACTCGGTGATATGCGCGACTCGGTGTTAAACCACGTTATGAGCTGTTTCTTCCAGTCCCAAAGTCCTCTGCGATGTGCATCTGTCTCCGCGAAAGGCAAAATCATGATTCCCTCTTCGTCAGTCACCTCGGTAAGTATCGCGGCCTCTGCGTCCACTTCGGCCATTTCCTCTTCCACTTTTATTACGACCTCTATGGGCCGCAGGGAAGAATGTGATGTTGTTGAAATTCAAACTTGAGGGTGGCATGGAGCTGTTCACTGTGTGCGCGAGGTTCGGGTGGATACCAACGCCGGGCTCCTTCTCAAGGCGGAGGAACACAGCATCCTCCTGACTGATGGCCCAGATAGAATAGCCCTTGGCCACACTAGCGCGCATCGTCTCGCGCAGCACATCCGTGAAACTAGCAAGGCTCGGGAAAGTTTCAATTCCCATCTCAAGCATGAACTGGTGGAAATTGTCCACCGTATGCAAGCGACGTACTTCTGCGGCCATGCGTTTGGAAGCACCAGGAGGAGGGGCACCATGGCGAGCAAAGAGCTCATCGCGGACTTGGGTCAGGGGAACGTTCGAATTTCGTGCCATGCGACGGAACAGCTCAGAGAACATGAGCAAACGATATGACGTGTGAGAGCCTTCGAAGGCTTTGCCGAGCCGGTAATGGGACACGGCATCCGTCTCCATGTACGAAAGCTCGGGGCTGTTGCCGCCCTTTCTGTCCAGTAGCCAGACCACGTTGCGCGTGATGGCCTCGGTAATGATGGCTTTCGTCAGCTGCTCGGTAATCTCAACATCGCTGATCAGGAGGGCCACGAGAAGGTGACCGAGATTGGGACAGTCGCCCTTGGATCGCTTGCCTTCACTGAAGTTGTTAATCAATTGATTGGCTTGGCTGATAATGGCCGGGTTCTCGGTTGCCAGGCATACCAGGAGGTGGAATAGGTGGAAGTAAGAGTCGATGGCCTTCTCAGATGCATGACGCAATGTACTTCTGGAGGCATGCAGGTCACTCCAATCCACAGCGACTTCGTTGAGTTTCACTACAATATCATTCATGAAGGAGTATAGAACTTGAGGGTTAGATGGGTTGTCCATCTTAATATGCTGCTTCAATCGAATTAACGTTTCATCGGCGTCGTCTTTGACAAGCCTCCAGTGTCGCTCGGAGATAGGAATCGGGAGCCAGTAGATAAATGGAATGTTGTGTACAGACTGACGAACACCGAGGTCGTTGTAGGCTTGTTGGGACAGAAGATCGAACTCAGAGTTAAGGCCATTCCTGCGATCAAAGGACACACCGACGCCAAGATTGACTTCGTGGTAACTCTGTTTCAATGTGAAGCATTGCAACTCGCGTTGACGAACGATATCGAAGTTAGCGATGAGGCGACTGATGTGAGACCAAGCGCGTGCAAAGTTGGCCAGATGCTCGAAGTCGTCTATGCCATTCAAGATGAGCAGTAGAATCTCATCAGGCAAGTTGTCGATGCTGCTGCCGTGGATGTTTTTCTTTCCGTTTCTGCCGCTAATCGAGCTCATACTTGTGACCAATAGACTGTCAGTCCTGTCTCTCAACGTGACGCTAACTTCACTCTCTGTGCTGGTTGATCCAGTCGCGCTACCGGGTTGCCATCCTCGCCTTCGGCGCGAAATTCGGGTGGGGGTCTCATCAACGTATACAGCTCCTGGGACTTCTCTGTTTCTCAGAGAATGGCCCCTGTGCTGCCCAAAACCACACTTCTGACAGACATGATGATCATGATTGGGGTTCCATGCCCTGTATTCCTGCAGATCGTAGGAAAAATGACCGCCTTGTTGCTCGATGGAGTCGCTACCAAAGAAGCTCAACAACTGGATTGCGATGCCCTTCAGTGTGTAGGCTGGAGTGTACGCGGTGGAGTCATTCAGAATCGATGCGCAGATATAATTACCGAAAACGTTGGGATGATCGACGTCGGAATCCATTCGGATTTTGGGGGGCTTAAGAGGGTACCGACCAAGATTCTCAATGGTCAGGTGCATCTTTTTCCATCCCACAGGAGACAGGAGGAGGCAAATCCGCTTCAGGTCATTATCTGCTACGTGAATAGCTATGTTTGGGTAAGGCTTTCGGACTAGCTCATCCACATCTTTCATCAGTCGCTGGTGACAGTGCTGCGTGATTGTGTTACTGTCGGCCCTTGAATCCATTATGGAACGGATGCGCAACGGAAGTTGGGGGTACGGTGTGAAGTTGCGGGTGAGGTTGGGTCGACGATGACACGGCCAATCCCCAGTTGATGCAGAAAGACGCTTGGTTGCGAGGTGCCAAGTTGAACAATCCTGAGCCAAGCGCCTTTTACTAGAATTTATCGCTCATTGAGTTAGGCTTTTGAACTGGTGGCCGCGTAGAATTTCTTCATGAAGCGCGGTTAGAGAGGTAAGTGATGCGTCTGCCCATTTATAATGGTAAAATGCGGCTTGAAACCAAGCCAATGATTCTCAATAAAGACAGAACCAGGGCTGGTGAGCCAGAATACGCCTGTGTGTGTCATAAGGCATGCGCGCTAGACCTGGCTGAGCTCGCCGTCACCGTGTGAGTCAACCCGTTTGTAGACCACTAAAACTGCGCCTTGATCATCCTGCTCGTCGTAACTGCGATTGTGCTAAACCACATTGCTCCAGGTCGCATAGACACTAAGCTAATCCATATTTGCCTAAAACGTTGCTTGAAGTCCTGGAGTCCTTCTTCTGGGGATTAGACCATTGCTGTTTCTTGGTTGGTCTTGGCACTATGGCTGCATTTCTCTCTTCAGCCTGAACATTGCGCTATGAAATGCCTCCTAGATATTGTTTCAGAGGTTCAAAGCACTTACGGCAGTGGCTGTACCCACTTGAGAACAGGTCTAAGCAGCCTTCCAAGTCCATGTTAGGTAAATTACAACAATGGCTGCCCCCATTTGAGTTTCTCTCCAAAGGCATTCATTTCACTTGCTCTGGGGAGTACGTAGCAGTAAATATGGTTGTATCATTGTGCAAAGATCGACGGTATATCAAGGAGCGATAAGGGGTAATTAGTCTTGGTCACTGGCTTGAGCATTCTGGATATCATAGCTCAGTAAGGAAGGTGCCGGCGTGTTCAACAGTGAATTTGTAATGGCAAACAAAAGATATAATGATAACGTTAAAGGAGCACCCTTGGTGTAATGGTAACATATCAGCTTCCCAAGCTGATGCTTCGAGTTCGATTCTCGGAGGGCGCACTTGGTATTCTTCATTTTACAAGGTGTTATGTCTTAAAACTGTTGTTTCCGTTATTCATATGTATCTATATTTCCACATTTTGTGGTCTTCAGTTCATCTACATATGGTCTGCCGGGAAGTACGATCCTTTTTGTTTGAGCAAAATATTACAAATATTCGTTCCACTTGTGTTGCGACTCCCTGGCCAAGCAAGGACTTGAGACACTATTTATAGATCTAGCCCTACGTAGCTTGGGTCTTTCTTACTGGATATTTCATAGAAGGACCACAGCTTTTCGCATTGCGAGTAATCCTTCCAGGATGCTATGAAAAAGCTAGATCGAGTGCAACCGTGTTGACGTTTCGGACATAATGCAGATACCGCTACCATGTGATTCGGTACATAAAGAAACCGTATGATGCATTTTCGGCGTATTCAAGCTCGGGGATAGCTCTGGGGCATTTCGGTGCCATTTTGGCGCTAGAAGCAAATTGGGAAGCGTACTGGGGAAGTGTACTGGGAAGTGGTGCAGATATCTGGGGTGTAACTCTTGTCGGACCGCACCAGCCCCTTTTTCCTAGCTCATTCATGCTCTTTTGTGTTCGGTGGCTGATTTAGAATCCTACAACTTGCACTGGTATGACCCGCCAAGAGGCGCACTTTTCTATGCTCACTTTCTGTACTTAAGGCCCTAATGACTACCTTTACTCCTTTGTACTTGAGGAGATCAGACACATTCAATCCTATGCTTTGTAGTAGCTTGCGACAAGTCCGAGACCTCTATCTCTTCACAGATTATGGACAATTAAGAAAATCTTTGAATCATCAAGGTTTAGAAACGGCTTGGGAAAGTTATCACACATCTAACTCAAAGTCTTCAGATCTTGTCGACACATATAACGGGCCTTGCGGTTCTTATCTAAACAACCCCTATGTCGCTGGGCTTGACAAACTACAATCTGTGGTGACAACCCGAATATTACACCATACAACTGCGATATGAAATACACGTTACCAGACACTCCCTTCCATCTTTATAGGCACATGCAACAACCTGTATCCCCCCTCCGTCTGCCGCGGCAACCTTCCAGCTCGAATATTGACCTGCAGCGCCTGATGTATGAGCTTCGGTTCGGCGAGGGAATTATCACGCTCGCTCCTCCACTTGATAAACTGCTCTGCTTGTGTGCCCAACTTCAGATGCTTGTTTGCTTTCCTTTGGTCGGCGACCGTCATATACGGCAGTGGCTCAGACCGCCCTTCTGATGCTGGAGGGTAGTCATGGCCAGTCCAGATCCTAAAGTTCTCTGGGAGACTAAGCAACTTCTGCGCTGATTTGTAGAGATCCACGGCATTGCCTCCCGGGAAGTCGCATCGGGCGGAGCCGACGTCGGCATTAAAGAGAGAGTCGCCGCAGAAGACGTTAGCTAGGGTCAATAAGAGTTAGCCATACATCATGAGGAAGGCAATATGGAAAGAGTTACTCACCTCCGATCATATACCCAACGTGATCAGGGGTGTGTCCTGGGAGATATAATGTCTGCACCGCTAATTCCCCAATCTTGAAGATTTCGTCGTCCTCTAACAATTTGTCGAACACACCAATATACTCGTCTGTGCTTAAACCATATTTCTGCGCAAATCTGTCCTGTACCTCCGTGATTCTGCGACCAATGCAGACCTCAGGGCGTATGCTTTGTATCTTCTCCAATTTTCCCTGAAGGTAGTTCGCAGCCGTTAAGTGATCAGCATGCGCATGCGTCTCGAGGAGTCTGTGTACTGTGTATCCCTTTTCTTGGACTAGCGCCAATAGTAAATCGGCCGTTTCGGTATAGATCATGCTCTTGACCGGGTCGAAGTTGAGCACGGAGTCAATAATTGCCGCTACTTTGGTTGACGGGTCTGCGATAACGTATTGCCATGTTCCCGTCTGGGGCTCAAAGCATGGGTGCACAAGAAGTTCGGTCGACATGGCTTAATTCTGGTGGTGATATTCAGGGAGCATGTATTTGCAATGGAACTATTTGGACTCAAAATTGGAAAATGCGACGGACGGAGACATTGGTCATTTAAGTAGACAAACGACACTACTGTATTTTGGGGACCGGCGACTATGCCTCGGGGATCTTCTCCACTGGACAATATGGTGACTATGGGCCTGCTATTTTTGACCGCAAACTTTATCTGCTAGTAGACTTTCACTAGCTTCCCCCGGAGCCACGTTTTGTTTCTATCTTTCTAGAAGTCGGCGAGCAATGAACATCAGAGTGCGGGGAGTGTTGCCAAGGCCGGTGGTTCCGATGCGTAACTCGTCCGCGTCAGTGTGTTCGCCGAAGTGAAATGTCGAGAGACCCCGGTGGTCACCGAATAGCGGAGGCTTCATTCTGAAACGAACATGATGACTTCCATCCCAAGTTTCACTGGGCACTTTCATTTCAGTGCATGCAAACTCCAGACCCATCAATTTTGGCCAAGTTGCTGGGTATCATCAGCTGAGAAATGTGACGTAATGCAGTAGTCAAAGATATTCCCAAACCCACACTTTCCTCCTCAATTCAATATAGAATATTTATCAACTCGTTTGAAAGAAAGCCGCATCGAACGCACCCCAAGTCTTACATCTCTAGGCTGTAGTGCCAGTGCATCGACGCGCAAATACGATGTCATATCAACGCTCTCGAGACGCGACCATAGAGGTATTTCGAAGCCAAAGTCCTATGTAAGTATCAATAGGAAACTCTAGTAGAGTAGATACTATAAAACGGAGCCTACGGGCGGTGCCCCTCAACGTATTTTACTACCGCCTTCGCGTAAAAGATGCTCAGAGTCGTGATACGTAAGCCCATAGGGGTCCACGCCCCCCTGTAAAGCAGATAAGATAAATGATACGAAAAGGTAGGGGGACCCACTGGTTAGGTGAATCCCATTCAATTAGATACTATAACGTTGCGCACTGCTGCATTATAGCATCTCCCCCCCTAGGTGCACGCATCAATAAATTAGGGATGCAAGGGTGCCAGCTAGCTAACCAAGCTTCATCAATACATACGCCTTAATCCCAATATGCACACACATCAGGTTGGTAGGGATAACAGCCCTTTAGGCGTATACTAGATAAACGGCTTTATTCAGCGCTATAAGTCTATCCGTCCTAACATTAGGCGCTGTCACGGTGGGAACGTCAGGTCTAGGTCTTCACTGTTGCTGTTCTACAAGAAAAGAAGGAAATAACTATCTAGAAGGTTGCGCATAAGGCGCGAGGTAAGTGGTGTACGGATGCACGGGCCAGCTACGAAGGTGCTTGGGTAAGATCAGGGCAGGTGCTGTGACAGGCGCCCGGTACCTTGAGAGAGACCACTCCCTATTAATATTATATATGTGGAATTAAGCGCCATGGTCATGCCCTAGTAGTGTAGCTAATAGGTTAGATCCTTACCTTTTATCCCAGAGTACCTCGCAGAGCGTCTTAACTGGAACAGGGATATCACACGTGTCAAAATACTAGTAAGGTAGTGCAAAGAGCCACTGATGATGTGTCAATAATGCGAGTGCGTATATTGCAAGACTGGTTCTTAAGTAGTCTAAGTTGGGTAGAGGCGTCTGGAAAGTGGACAGTAGAGATAGCTTAACTACGTTAAGTCAATGCGCGATTAAAGGAAAAACTTGATAGGTTTAAGCCGGATATCCATCAGACTGTTAAGAAAGATCCTGTGAAGGTTTTCGCCAACTTATCAGATATCCGGCGCGTAGAGGATAAGCGTAGGAAGCGATCATGGCCTCTAGATGCAGATAAACAGCTACAAATTGACGCTTCTCTCTTTTCTCAAAAGAAGCAACGGCCATATAAAGCGACGAAAAGTTCAATTTTGCACATTAAAAAATGGAAATCATCACTGTTTTGCTGCTTTAATCGATCGAGTGACAGTGTTGACTAATTGTCCGGTTTGTTGTTGGAAACGAGGGTACGTACCAATGGGGTGGTTCAATGCGGTTAAGTAGGTTGGTATTCGAACGGATGTATTGAAACATTTAGAAACCCAAACTGCGTACTAGAGTACAGCACAAGCTAGTGGTGCTTACACATATGAGGCGGGATTGTACCATGTCCAATTCTTGACCGAGTTTTGCAGCATGCCACAGATTATGGCAGAGCATTGACGGCATATCACGGACCAGGAATTGCAAAACAACCACCACTACCCGGATTTGACGCCAAACCTCACGGCATAAGAAACCTCCGTTAGTCCAGGTTTAATAAAAGATGCCGGATCGTTCGTGCTCTAAGTGGCTATTTGATATACCCGGTCCATATTGCCCTCGGAACGTGCCTAAGTAGGAAAGCAGTATCCAGCTTTATTATTGGCCATCACAAGCTTTCGAGTGGATACTGGGAATCACGCAAACGTATATCAAGGTAGCGGTGATCTCGCGGCTTCAAGCTGTGATGAGTGGTTAAGCTGTTTACCTTGCACCAGGATTATATCGATAGATCTATTCACTGCCAGTGAATCTTGGAGTAAACCCGGCATAACCCAGCTATTTGTTTGTTGACAATGCGGTTCACCATGGGGATTTTGGCTCTAGCCATCACGGCTTCAGCGGCACCACACTGTATGACCCTCTTTTTCTATTTTATATCGTCCCGTATCTAACATGGAATCTCGTAGACACCTTCCCCAAGATAGCTGGGACCTCTGACTGGACTGCCGTGCGAAAAACCAAAAACTTTCAAACCAATGGTCCCGTAACAGACGTCAACTCCCCTGACATCCGCTGCTACCAACTCGCCGCCGGCAACGAAGGCGCCACAACGCAGCCTTTCAAGGCAGGCAGCACCATCACCTGGGTCGCCGCGCCTAATATATACCACGTCGGTGCCCTGTCTGCTTACATGGCGAAAACTCCCGTTGGGACGAAAGCTGAAGACTGGGATGGAGCGGGTGCGGTCTGGTTCAAGATTTTTCAGGACATGCCGACAGTTTCAGGTGGGCAATACAACTGGCCATCAAATGGTGCGTCATATCCGCAGAGTCCCCCCTTTTCAGTACTAACCCATTGCGGCGACGCCAAACTTTGAAATACGAACTAAAACAAACTCGTTCGATATAGGCAAGGAACAAGTTAGCTTCACAATCCCCCCTTGTATTGAAGACGGCGAATATATGTTCCGCGTCGAGCACGTTGCGCTGCACAGCGCGGCTGCGGAAGGAGGTGCGCAGTTCTACCTTTCCTGCGCACAACTAAGCATCACGGGCGGCTCTGGGTCGAAGAAACCGACAGACCTGGTTTCTTTCCCGGGAGCATATAAAGCTACGGATCCAGGACTGATGATTAACATCTACAACAACGGTGGCAAGCCGTACACGCCGGCTGGGCCGCCAGTGTTTACGTGCTAGAAATCACAATAGGGGCTGATGCAGAGGGTTTACTAGGAGTTGTAGTTAGGTTTATGCAAGTTCAGGCTGCAAATATCGTCAGATTACTAGTTTGAAGGTTACTAGTCGAATGCTTTATGTGTTTGAATCATATCAATTCAACAGATGGCCGAGCGTTGCAGTTGAACGACTTTGCGTACCTACGTGCCAAGAAATTGACACTGCCTCTATTCCGGTCCGGGGAGAATTGATGGAAGGCCAAAAAGATATGTTGTATCAGCTATCGTCTTATGGCTACTTCTGGCTTAATGCGGGGTTTTGAAGGCCTTCGACCGTGTACTTGGCCGTACCTTCCCATCTCAGGGATTGCATCCGGACTGTGTGGAACCATTGGGATAAATTTAACCCATCGTAATTCATAGCAATATTGACATGCTGATTCAGCACAATTTTGTCCTTAATCTCAAGCTATACACATCTTTCAATGCCTTCCCATAACTTGTTCGTGTCAGAGTGTCGAGTGCAAGACACCGGTACAGGGACTTGCTAGTCATGACCTAATATGGAAGTCTTGATATACTGAGGAACCAGAGGAACTGGTGCTCTGCTGCTCCGATATACAGGCTCTAATTATCTATGTAAGGGAGTTATTTTGGATGAAGAGAGTACGAAGGTTAGAGATCAATGACCTCTGGGCACCTCTACCTGAGACCACCAGTGACCGCCAGTGACCACCCGATGATGACCAGTAGGGACAAATATTACTCCCCTTCACTCTTTACTGTTTCCTTCGGCCTGTACGTACCCTGACCATTCGGCTATGGCCCCTTTGCTTGATATGATATATTAATGTCCCAGGCAACTTTTGTCGCCAGCTGTGAAACCGAGAACCGATTCTCGATCGGAAGTAAATCAGTCTAGATGGCTTACTCAGTAGAGGCGGTGAAACTCCTCACTAACACAAAATGTCCACGTAGTGAGAATCACTAACCCATTAACACCTCCCATGATGGGGAGTATCGAGGCTCCAGACGACCATTCACATGTGACCCCAAGCAAGCACCTGAAGCAGTCTGGAAAATAACAGATAACGGCAATTTCCTTCTCCGAGCACTAGGAAACAACATGGAAAGACATTTCGGTGTTCGGAATACTTCGAGACACCGATCCCAGAATGCTTCAAGGTCTCAATATGGTCCTTGCCCACTCGTATCAAAGCTTTCCGCTCCAACAACAGATTTCCAACTGGCCCAGGCCTCCAGAGATACCGTGATATTGTCACGACAGTCCTTGGATACTTTGTTCATCGCAGCTGCGTGAATACCCATGGAAGCCCCAAAAGAGCCAACGGATGCTGTGCAATGATATGGGAGCTCCTCCGCCAGGTCATCATCGCCGTGGCCCGTGAAACGCACCAGTTTCCCACCGAAGTCCAAAACATGCTGACCGCATTCCGCTGGTACTTCAACCGATGGTCCCGAAAGCTGTTTCGTCTGTAATACAACGTAAATATCATCCATCGAGGGAAGCAAGGTCTAAGACGAATAAGAGATACGAGAAGAAAGAAAAGAAATTCGAAATGGGAAATGTGGTCGAACTTGCCCTAAATTAGGCGTTCGGCAATAACGCCTGCTCATGTTTCTATGCATTATCTCCGACAAAAGCTCAGCTTAGCCTGTGACCTCAATGGTCTTCCTAGGATGTTACGGGGGTCCTCGCTCAGAAATGAGGATTTGTCGGCGAGTGCCCAGGCTGAGGAAGATATTCGACATGAGCAGCTCGACAAGCAGGAGGTGATCAATTCTATAAGGCAAATGCTCAGTCAGATAACGATTACGGGGCGGTGCTTGAAACAGCGCATATTAATCTTTGTTGAGAAGGAATGCAGGTAGAAAGAAGATGTCTGTGTTAGAACGGGTGATAGATTTCGTTCGAGGCAGAACCTTGAGTTACGAGCGAAGTAGCTACAGCCAGCGGCGACACAAAGGGAAGGCTAGTGTACGAACACCGCTCGAATATGGCTTCCTGCACAATCTGTTGAAAATTAGTCTCCGAGACCGTTACAAAGTTGTTTCTGGCGGTTATAATGGGACATTAATTATGATGAGGGAAATTCCACCCCCCGAATCAACGAAAATTTCCAGGCATGAGAAGTGGCAATTTTTGTTCCACATATATATGTAATCATATGCTTAAGTATCATGGCAACGTTCATTGGCCCCGTCGGCCAAAACCACCATGCTTCACATTTTACGCATCTGAGAAAAAGCTAATACTGGTTTAAAGATGTTTTGACTGGCAGCATTTCTTTTGCTGGTCCACATGTGGTATAGTGTGGCTCGAAAGCTGAACCGAGATAGCTGAGATCATTACAAGCGTTAATCACCCTCTTCAGCTACGAGGTCCACCAGCAATATCGTCACAACATGTTATTAGCCCTTGGCACCATTAGAATCACATTCGTAGCCGCCTAAACGCTTCGTAGTAACTTTTCATTCAGCACATCAACCCTAAGCCTGCCAATGGATGTCTACATGTCCTCAACATACGCACCTTACTCTGTGTCCTCACTGCTTTCTGACAGAGCAGAGCAAATCCAATCTCGCTCTCTTTGGAAGTCATACGTCACAAACCGTGGTCCCCACGTCTTCAGGAATTCTTCGCCAGAGAGTCTGCTAATATCCAGCAGGAAATCCATCTCTCCCGCCGTCGAAGTCATCATTAGAAGTTGGCACGACTCAGAGCTGACACTCGAGAACAATGCACGGTCCATAAAGGGCTCGATATCGTCGAATCCTTCCTGAATGTCTGAATACTTGCATTCCCAGCAGCACACTGGGTCCATGTCGTACGGGTCCCACTGCAATTCTCGGAGGAGTCGAATTTGACCGCATTGTTCTCTCGGCAGTGGAGTTGCGTGGTTATTAAATGGGATCTCCCAGGGTCTATGTCCATTCACGCTGGGTATGTTGAGCCACTTTTCCTGCCACCACTTGTTCTCGAGAATACGCGCGCCGCTGAATTCGAGAAAAAAGATGTCCTTCTCGATATTGACGTGCACACAACCTTTGCTTCTGTCTTCCTGGTTCGTCGACCAGATGTTGAGCTTGGTCGGGTAGGCAACAAGTGCTCGCTTGCGGCTTTGTGCATTGACTGTCAACAAGGCCGAGGAAAGGTGTGTGGTGGGATAGATGCGTCTATCATTATCGTTCAGTAGGATGAGACGTATGTCCTGCTGCAGTGATGCATCCCAGATCTGGTCTTGGAGCTCGAAGGGCAGCTGGGGGAACTTGTGGAATTTCACCATGGTGCGCGATGTGCGTGGTCTAGGACGAGGGTTATAAGTTGGGAAAGCTAAAGACTCGATTGGAATGAAAGGCCAAGATGAGAGGACGGGTCACACAAGTTCACTATCTTAAATATGGTCGTTTTCTTCAACTAGAAGCGGGATTAGGCGGTAATGTTATGGCCAGAAACGGTTATCTGAAGCAAACAAAGAATGTGGGCCCAAAGCTGGTTGTGCCTTCCTGAAGTCTCCAGATTGTGCTACTCTGTCGAATTTTTATTACTATTAAATATAACTTTGAAGCTGGAGCTTAATAATCAAATTCATACCAGCAAATTGATCAACTTGTGGTTGTCCCCTGAACGAGATGACGAGATTGTGAGATCTGGCGAAAACATGCATTATAAAATTACAGCGACTTTTATGTGTCATCTTCATCCCTGTTTATGAGCTGGATAAAATGGTGACAATAGCCGTTGTTACTCTATTTGAGTATCAAGCAAATTTCGAAATGCGACGACCCCAGTCACGAAAATTCCCTTTCCCACATTCAGGCACATTTCCTGGTATTAAGAGCTCTTTCGAGCGCAGCATGAGCCGCCTTGCCCCAGAAGACACAGCTTTGCCGCTCAACGGCGGTAAAGAGAAAAACTTGTCGTAGACACAGACGGTTCAAGAAAAAAAGGCAAACGATTCGGCGACGATGAACACCTTCTGGTCGCTTTCTTATGATATATGGTTGTACACCTGGCAGATGTTTAGTAAAGGCGCCTACTTCGGTAATATGCCATTACGAGGCTCACTGGACGAGTGGTCAGGCGATGAAGAAGACGCCCAAGAGTTGTATATTGGCCGAGCCATTCCGCCTACCAGTGAGGAAGCTGGCACTAATAGCGGCGGATACATAGCTGCAAAACAACCGTTTCTTGAGGATGGTGACTGACAAGACTGTCTCATAGCACACTTATTGATTTAACAAGTACAACTACGATCCACTACTCCGGATTACATTTCCTAGGCGCGGAAAACATGGAAACCCCATCCCTTGTATGACTTTATGTTGGGGCACACAGAAATATTGATGTATTGTGTTATCGAGTACAGCTTGACTAGTGCTGATGGCCTGGGACCAAGTGGTGATGGCTACGTACGGACTACTGCTGACACTTTAGGATTATGTGCGTATTGGTGAGCCTATGACAAGGCTTCACTACCCCACTGACTTACATGGATTGGACAACAGCCCAATGATCGGAGCTTTGATTGGCATTGGATCAGATAGATCGATTGCACGAACAGGATTTAAGTGGGTTCGATCTGACATTTCAATCTTCCAGGAGATGTGTGGACGAAACATCTCGACTTCACTATCTATCGACTTCTTGCCTCGAGACCTGACCGCAGGCTGCCATGGAGGGTGTCAGCATTTTCAGCGCTTTGTTGGCCAGTATCACCTTTGGATCTTTGGCAGTATTCTTCATCGGAGCCTCATTTTCGTACGGCTTCTATAATGCATTCCTCCACCCCCTCTCTCGGTATCCCGGCCCTCTTCTGATGCGCGCATACATGTTCCCACTCATATATCAGCTCTGCACTGGCCAAATCGCGCATAACCTGATCGCGTATCACAAGAAGTATGGTCCCGTGGTTCGCATCGGCCCCGACGCACTGTCATTCATCTCCGGCAAGGCCTGGACCGACATCTATGGCCTGCTACCTGGACGGTGCCAGAATCTCAAGGATAAACATTACTTCATCCCAGGTATGGGAGGGATCATTTTGTCGGATAATAGCACACACACGCAGCGGCGGAGAATGTTGATGAGTTCCTTCTCCGCCAGGTTCCTGGAGGAGATACAGCCAATGCTGATGAAGTACGTGGATCTCATGATGGCGCGATTGCGAGAAAGAATCGACGAGGATGATACAACGCAGGATATTGGAAAATGGTACAACTGGGCTTTGGTTGACTTTACTGGCGACTTTTCCTTCGGACAGTCGTTCGAATGCCTCGAGAAGCAGGATTGGCATCCGTGGATCAAGACTGTTTTCGACGGCATCACAGCCGGGTTTGCCATTAGCCAGCTCGAGCGCTATGGCCTGTACACGTTTCTCAGGATGGTTCTGCCCGAGTCGGCGTGGAAGATGAAGAAAGACTTTGACGATTTTGTGCAAGCTGTCGTTCACACGAGACTCGAGAAAGGGCAGGGAACGAAGCCGGATGTCTTTCGCAATATTTTACTCAACTCTGGAGGCGAGGAATTGGAGCTGCAACCGCTGTACCATGACAGTACGAGCCTTATCATTGCTGGCAGCGAGACGACGGCGACCTTACTGACAGCGGCAACTTACTATTTGCTTCGAGCGCCCGAGAAGCAAGACCGTGCCGTTGAGGAGGTTAGGAGGATGTTTCAGTCCGATGTGGACATCAACATGCATAGTGTCAATGGGTTGAGGTATCTAATTGCCGTTCTGCAGGAGACGTTGAGGATATTTCCCCCCATCCCCGGCGCCATGGCGAGAGTCGTCTCACAGCCTGAGGGGCAGATGATAGAGGGAAACTTCGTTCCTTACGGTGTAGGATGCCCTCGAGATTTGTCTTGACACTTTGTCCGGAAAGCTGACCTCGAGTAGACAGCCGTTGGAGTGCATCAGCTCGCAGGCTCTTTGTCCCCACGGAACTGGACAAGACCAGACGAGTTCCTCCCGGAGAGATGGCTTCCTGAAAACAAGGAGGAATTCGAGGGAGATCACCATGATGCCTCAAGAGCTTTCAGCTACGGTCCAAGGGATTGTATTGGAAAGAAGTAAGCGAGATAACATTGCATTGCCCGTCATTCGTGATCGCGAATCTTGCTGACGCTTAAAACTAGTTTGGCACACATTGAATTACGCATCATTATGGCGAAATTGCTCCTGCATTTCGACATGGAACTTCCTAAAGAGATGGAAGAATGGAGGAGTGGATGCCAGCCTCATATCGTTTGGGATAAGCCGCCATTGATGGTGAAAATGAAGCGAGCGCGTAGATAACAGCCCCGGGTGGTGCAGACCGTGTTATTCGGCGGATAACTTCAAGAGAACAGTGCCGAACAAGTGAAGTATGCCATATGGTCTGGTTTATAGTTTTCACGTGTCCCATCGGCGCCACTGGAGTCACTCACAGTACACTACAATTGGGCAAAACCGGCGTCGTATCATAGATATAGCAAAAGGGCCGAAATGGAGATGACGTGGAAGTTGTGATGATTTCCCCAGCAGCTTCTCCACCATGGCCCCTGTCGGTTCCGGGATCTCCACGACATGTGCGACAGCTTCCCCGCAACCTGCCAAGAACTCCCAAGTCTCGCAGATCTTAACTTTCTTGCCAGACTGACTCATGCTTGCGTGCAACTTGAAACGTATCCGAGTTGTGGTTAGATTGTGGAATTCCTTTCCTTTTGCCCACTTTTCCGCTACTTCCACACGACGAGTTGGACGGCGGGATGCAACTCTTCTGCAACCGCCCAGATGGAGTCTCCACGGCAGCATTCCGAGTCGCCTACTCTCATATCCACCTCGACCAGGAAACGGAAAAGAAGCACGGATCGCGTCCGCGTCACACGTGCCTGTGACCGATGCAAGAGGTCTGTCGTTACTTAGCCTCATTATGCTCGGCTTTTGTGCCTCATACTGTACTGACTGGCCTGCAGGAGAAAGATCAAATGCTCAGGTGTTCAGCCATGCGAGTTGTGCATACTTGCAGGCCTCAAATGCACCTTCGAGGCCACCTACTCCAGGGGCAGGCTACCGTCAATCCCAGCAGTAGCCAATGTTGAAGCTAGAAGTGCATCTTCCAGGCAAGATGTGCCGGCTAGCGAAAGAGCGGATCTTTTCCCAAAGATGATCACGCCCAGCAACAGTCCCCCAGTCCATGAACACCAGAGCTCAACCCCATCTCCTTCGCGATCCCGTCGCCAGATAGACTACCATTCGGAAATTCACTCAAACAGCCTTCAGCCCCCTGGTCTGGCCTATGCTCCAGCATCCTTAAGAACCTCGCCTGAGCCATCCCAGACCGATCTCGAGGGCCACTACGTTGGCCCAGCCTCTGGCGTGTCATTCCTTCTCCGGATTCAGAAGAGGTTGCACCAAGCCGTATCGTTCTCACATGCTTCTTCGATATTCACATTTGGAGATGCTCCCATGCCAAGTTTTGATCCGTCCTTCTGCATGCTGCTCCCTCGCGAGGAAGCACAGAGACTTGTGGACCGGTATTTCGATTTTGCTATGCCCACATATCGGTTCCTTCATCGACCAACCGTTCAAAAATGGCTCGGCGAGTTTTACGACACCATGGGTATCATGGATGATCGAGACAGCGCGCCCGCAAAAATTGCTCTGCTGTTCATGGTCTTTGCCCAGGGAAAGGAATACATGCCGCCCTACGAAGGGTCCACATATGCTGATTTCAGGTATGTCAGTCTGGAATCAAAATTTAATAGTGCTTTGAGTTGACCTCATATAGCCAACGATATTTCCTCGTTGCAGAGAACCAGCTTTCCAAAGAACGGGGCGCAGTGCGTCTGACAAGTGTGCAAGCCCGTCTTGCGCAATGCTTCTTCCTACTTTCGCAGTCTCGCATCAACCACTGCTGGAGCCTCTTTGGAACTATGAGCCACTTGGCTCTTGCTATTGGCTTGAATCGGGGTCGGAAATCTGAACCCACTAGTGCTTCCAGTCAGATAGAAAATGAGTGTCGGCGCCGAACCTTCTGGTGTGCATACACCCTGGATAACTATCTCAGCGCTGCCCTTGGTCGCCCTCGCACGTTCCACGACGAAGACATTGACCAGGATCTCCCGTCATGTGCTGACGATGACGAGCTTTCGGGTGAAGGTCACTCTTTCCGTCCCGTGAATTCTATCAACCGTGGCCAACCAATCATGTTTGCTGCCGTTGCACATTTCAGGTAATTCGGATTCAGCTCAAGCCTTCGGAACCCGCTAATTATTTCAGGCTTGTGCGGATAGTCAGTATCATCCTGCGGAATCTCTATTCAATACATCCGCTGTCGATGTCCACACGCGCGTCGTTGGCGGCGAAGTATTCAGTTAGTCTCGTGGATTGGAGAATGGAACTATCCAGTTTTCTTGATGCCGATGGTTTAAACACGGCACCGCTGATGCCAATATTCCAAAGACAACGCAACATCCTCAACCTGGCCTACTGGCATGCCCAGATCCTTATTCACCGACCATTCCTGCTCAGCAATTTCATGCGAATGCAGGGCCAGAGCCACCATTCTAGTGACCATATATCTAGTTCTCAGACAGAAGAGAGTGTCAAACAATGCTTGACGGCCGCCATGAAAATCGTCGAGACCATTGACGAACTGACAAAAACCCACTTGATGTTTCGTGCATTTTGGGTAGGCCAAAGTTCACCCGTAGAGTAGAGATTCATACACTAACTGTGACGCAGGTCACGACGTATTTCGCGTTCACAGCAGTGATCATCCTTTACGTATACACTATTCAGCAACGCAACTCGCCACCCGAGACATACAGTCGCTATCTCTCAGCAGCCTCACGCTGCCAAGCCCAAATCGCCAATGTTGCGAAAAACGAGTCTCTCACCCAACGGTATTGCGTTGTTCTAGAAGAGCTGCGACTCGAGGCATTGAGGCAAACCAAGCGGGTGCAGCTGCCCGCCATGACGGGGCCTCAAGATGTCGCATCGAGAACCATCATGCCTGGTTCATCGCATCTTCCGTCGGTGAAGATGCAAAATACTTCCAATGATGCGACGATGTCTGATTTCTCGGGTATGGGTCTGGGTGACTTTACTGACTGGGGGCACTTTGCATCTATGGTCTCTTCTGGATTGGGGAATTTGGATGATTTGCTTAATGATAACTCGTTGGGTCTGTGAAACGATGAGATAGGTGATTATTCCTTGTTTTATCACGTCTTGGTCAACGTGATCGTGGTCTGCGCGTCCGAGTCGCATCTTTCTAGGTCCCACTAGTACAACCGAAGATACACGCTGCTCACAGATGGAGCGGTCCATGATCAATCAATATGTTTCATTAGAGACAGGCCGCAAGGCGGGAGCAGACTATAGTTGAAAGATTTAGAACATAGCAAAGTTTAGCCTTGAAACCAGACTCGAATATAGCGCTGCCTGCGTGTGGCATATCAATCTCACCTCATTGATGGTCGACGAGTTTGCGCTGCGTCAAAAGGCCGATTTACTTCGTCGTTGCGGAGACTGCATGAAGCTCAACTTACGCTCTTCATCCTCACCGCACCATGGTCGAAGAAAGAGATCACCACGGGCCGCAGGATCGGACATGTTGGTCATAGGTACCAAACACCAGTGATAAATAGTTTTGATCCGTGCGAAGCCATTGTTGAAACGCATCACGGCTTCGGGAAGCTCGACCCAAGCTACACTGGCGATGAAGACATTCGCGAGTTTTCTGCAATGATGGGCCTCGAACTTCATATCGACTGGAAGCTGAACGACTCCTATCTACTATAACTGCCCCGCAGGTTGTTCTCGACGCCATCACAGCTTCAGAATCGTTGGGTTGCCGGTGTCTTTAGGTGTATAAATACTATATCGACCACATTATTCTTAACCATGCGCAAACCTAAACCGACCTGATGGATTTGATTTATACCTATGCAAAGGTTACTATTATCGCCGCGGTCGGACTAGACAGCAGTTACGGGCTTTCTGGAGCAGGAGAGAGATGCACACGTATAGCCTTAATAAATTCTGGATGGTCTCAGACCGTCGATCCACGAGTATGCCTCGCGAAATCTGAGTCGGCCTCGAGACTCGCTGGCTGCTTTCCTCGGGATACTAAATGAATTGCTGCAAGGCTAGGCCTGGAGACGCCATATCGTATCTTTGTAGAATTACTTATCTTGGACCGCCAATTGCATCGGGTGTCAGACTTTATCGACCGGATAGCTCCGATTTTATACCTCATCTGTGTTAGTCCCATTCAGCGAGGTCGCCGGAAGGAATCGTCGCTCTACGTCGCGAACAGTTTCCGTTGTGGCCGTGGGCTGGTTGGGAAAATCAGGTCCAATATTCGATCAGTAACGTGGCATGTGTAGTGGAAGGGCGGATAGTGATGGCCGTACTACTGAGCGTTCGATCCGGAAGACCTTCGGAAAGGGTCTTGATTAAACTATCAGCTTTGCCCCTGCCAGTTGAGAAATTTGATTTCGACGAACAAACCTCCTCGTGGACTTCAGCAATACGAAAAGAAAGCCATCTATTTGAAATAGTCTCTTGGCACCTCGAAACGGTCCAACAAATGAAGGTGGCCATAAGGGCATTAAGTACAGAGCGATAAGCGGTCTTCCTATCCGAGAGAAACTGACTCAAGGGAGACTTTTGTCATTGAAAGTCGAACCCTACTGACGTTTCAGCATGGCAAGAGTTACGTCAGTATTAAGTGTTATCGGACTCAGTTATGACAAGTTGATAGAATTTGCTTCAGAACTTTTAAATTGAAATCAGTGGGATGGACGCAATGATCTCTGGTGAGTTTTACTGAAGGCATTCAACGGCAACTTCTCGACGATGTTTGCTACGAGAAAAGCGGCCTCTAATAAGTATGGAGTACAACTGCCTTATTACGAATGCTAAGTAACTTGACTCCGCCTGTGTTAGAACAGATTTAGCGTATCACAATGATGATATCGCTCACGTGAACCCTCCGGAATTCCACCTGTTCAAGTCATACTAGGGGTACTTATTTTTTCCCAATAACATGTGGCCTGTTATGTGAAGCAGGATTCTACGAAGCTTGAGTACATAACTCTACATCCCTGCGATCGTACAGGAGATCTTGATTTGCCTGCCTACCTTTAGACGGAGGCATCCACCGACCATTCAGGGACCAAGTCTGTGTTTTGCACAAGTTAAACCAACATAGAACTTGATTGACCGAATGGTCGATTGGTAATCCAATTTCTGAATCCAGAATAGGTTATAGCTAAGCCATATTGGGTTACATTTCAGTGGAGTTTGCGCGGATCACACCCCACCGTCTTCCCTAAGAGGTATAGCGGACAGTGAATCTGTAAACTTGTCATTCTGAAGTTCTGAGAAGTCGCATTGGCAGTGTTCAATAGACTTTGAAAGTGTCTTTACTAACGTACCTCATGCAAAGGTTGCTTTCCGCTCTGTTGCCTTCTACGTACCAGTGCGCTCTGGACTAGCGTATCCGTTCGCGTTCGGCGTTTTCCTCGCAGCCGCATTTTATGTCCGACGTCACCCTGAATCTCTATCGACCTCAATGTTGGTTCGCATTGAAGTGGCCGAATTAGGTAGTGGTATCCGTCTTTGGAACTAGCGACACGTGTGTGACGGCTCGATTCGGCATGGCCGCATCCTTCTTTTCCGCCTTCAAGGCGCCTTCTCGCAGCGGCAGCGCATGGTTCTCAGTTGGCCTCGCCTCATCATTCCCAGACATCACCGAGTCGGGCAGTACTGCTATATCTCAGCGGCTGCCATGCAAGTCGTCTTCGGTACCAGGATGCAAGGTCTTTCGTGTTTCACGCAACGACAGCTCTTCTGCTACCGAAGTACCTCTAGACGATGTCCAAGATCCCGAGTTGGGAGGGTTGAAGGATCAGGTGTTGGTGTTCCAGTATAAAGGAAAATTTCATGCGGTGAATAACGTGAGGCATTTCCCTGTCTTCTCATCTCCACTCTATGGCCTGCAGGCCGGTGTTCAGATGCTCATGTCACACCCTAACAGGAATGTCCACACGCATCATACCCCCTGTCGAACGGAACCCCCTTTGATATTGAAGATTTTGGGATCAACCTAAGCTCTGGTCTCACATGCCCGAAACACGGGTGGTCATTCGATCTCTTCAGGGGAAATGGGGATAGGGGAAACTATAGATTGGCTGTGTGGGAGGTTCAGTTACGTCCAGTTACGAGCAACACAGCTATTGCCTGTACCGAGAGCACAAGTGAGGACGATCCAGTCGAGGAAGTGTGGGTGAGGAGAAAACAGAGAATGGGATAGGCATTGCTCAGTACGTAGTTATTTAATCTAAACCCCCGGGGTGTTGGTCATATCCAAGCTGTTGGACCAACATATCCTGCCCTGCACACAATATTGACTTATATGCAGATACAGTATTTACCCTTCGTGACCACCCAAACCATGCTATGTGAATGCACAAAATCCCACCCCAGTATTTTCCATCACTACAGGCACAATATGCTACTGAAAATGCACGTGGTAAATAATCATGACATAGCGTCTAAAATTGACTTTCAGTATATTTATACTATAAGTACTTACCCAAGCCTCGTAATCTATCAGGACCTTCGGTTGTAGCAAATCAGAGAAAGGGAATACAGTAAAAGAGATTATACATGAGAATCTGCGGTGCGAAAAATAACCCCGTTACACGACTGATAGCATATTTCTGCGATCTTTCGTCTCTTGCAAAGTCTATCAGCGGGCTCGGGCCACATGATCGTATATAACCCACTGTGAGAATTTCAAGCAACAATGTCACAGGAATTAGATAACTGCTTTGTGCTTAAGAAACTGCCGGGTCATGAAACTTATCCCCGTGGCGATGTGGTGAAAATAGCATGCCTTGGTTGCGCCAAAAATGAACAAGGTGGTGACACCGTGAAACGCTATAAATGTAGCAAAACCACAAGCCATAAATTTAATAATGTCATGAAACACCACCGTTTGTAAACGCAGTAACGCCATGAGATGATATTAAAGAAAAAATAGTAATGCCGTAAGATGATATAAATGTGGCGACGACTTGAAGTCCCAAAAGCAACCAGAGACACATTTTTCCTGCTAACACGCAGTTTCTGGCCCCGTCCGACCTTAGTCATAATGCAATGAACCTGGCAGCCAAGCCGTTGTTTGAATAAGTACATCATGTCTTCTTATACACAATTCCCAACTGGTCTATTGATCTTGCCAAGACTTGGATCGTCGAGCAGGCCAGCTTCCGGGGCTTCACTTCCACAGAACTGGTTGGCCAAAGGGTTCAAGTTCTATGCGGTGAGATAACTACTAGTTGAGTCTTTGTAATTCTGCCAACACCCGAAGAACAAAACATATTGATTCGAGGTCGAAGCCAGGAAGTACGAGGTAAGTAGTTGTCCTGCCGATAGCACTTGGATTTGATGTTCCCGTTGAAGGAGCAAAAGGAGGGCACATATGCCTAACCTGTATGTATTGTAGCTAACTCTGGTCCTCTCTTCGAGGGTCTATGTATGGAAACAAAAGGGTTCTTATATAGTCAATGAATGGTAGACTTGCTGATTAATTCAGACAAGTTGTAGAAGCATATAGATAAGTAGGGAATGTTCTATCCTTGCCACATTTCTCGTAATAGAGGTATGTGGGGATGGTCGCCGTTCTAGGTGGCGATAGTGGCAAGTATAGGACCCACATGGCCCACAGGGCCCATATTGTCCAACTATAGCCTTGATGCATTACTTTTGTCTCCCATCTGACGCAACTGCAAATAAGGCTTTCTTCATTCAAACTCATCTTAACCACAGGTTTAGGTACTAATAATTCTACCCAGTCCGGACAGCCACAGTCATTAAAACACCATTACAGCCAAAAATGTCGTCAAGAAGGCTACAGTTGCCTAGACAGGTTCTCGACAACGAAGCCATCATGGCATCACCGATACCGGAGTTCTCCTCGGCAGCCCAACCCAGAATATCTCCCATGACACTAAACCATCACTAATATCCTGACTGACTATCTGACACTACTAGCAGAAAAATCCGATACTCTACTCATATTTACCAGTGATAGTGGCCCGTAGGCGCTCTCTCGATTCTTCCAGCAGGCCGCAAAAGAGGATTACGTGCTCTGCCGTCTCGGGGGCCTCTCCACAGCGGCATAACGGCGAGTACACACCGAAGGCTCCTATCTTAAATAAGAAAGCTGATAGTCCTATTTTTCCGGTCCTGATCTGGCATAGGGTAGACGCCTCCGGTCGGTTTAGGTCTGAGTACTTGCCCTGTTTCGGCATTCGCATCGAGGGGCCTTCCTGCTCCTCGGCGATAATGTGACGGTCAACCCTCGCAGACTCACTACAACCAGGTGACTTACAGCTGGAACACCTGCCGTGGCAGTGTCAGATGGGAAGCCAATCATAACCCTTGTAGGAGCCCCGCCAAGCGTGGATGACCTAGTCGCGCTCCCTCAAACCTAAGTTGTCATCTTCTTTCCTTCGCTCCTTAGAGTAGAATCTTCGTCGATAGCACCTAATCGAGGTCTATACCAATGCGATGCAACCCAGGTCGTGACAGATAGCGCGTCGCTGGCGGTCGTGTTGTGCTGCCCCGGAGAGCCATCTCTTCTCCCAGTGGTCTAGGAGGGCGGCCGGGACTTCCTTCGCCTTGCCTATCCACTCGGAGCCCCTAGCCTCCTTCTCTATCGTGTACCCCGCTGGTCTGAGCGATTGTGACGTCCGCTTCCGTCTCGCCGGCGTGTCCTGTCGGAGTATGTGTGACGCTCTCGCGCTCGCGCTCCGAAGCAGGCTCCTTTTGCCGTTATTCCGTAGCCGTTCTTCAAATTTCGCCGCCCGGGCACTGAGATATAGGTCTAGTGGCGGGATAGCTGCCTCTATTTCTAGGTGTCGGACCGGTGTCGCTTTGTAGGCGCCACAGACTATTCGGAGGCACTCATTCTGTATCCCGACTAGGCTCTTAGCTGGTCCCGCTGGTTCCTCGCTTATAGTGTGCCACGCAGCCGCCCCGAAGGCGATCGCGCTGCGAATAAACGACGTGTACAGTAGTCTCGCCCGTATGAGATCGCAGCCCCACGCCATGTTCACTAGCTTTGTTAGGGCTAGCTTCTGAGTCGCCATTTTTGATTTAACCCGTTCGGTATGGGCGTGCCACGTTAATTTGCGGTCAAACCAGACCCCTAGGAACCTTGCCGAGACCTTCGGCGTTACTGTAGCGTTTCCAAGACGGATACTCTGCGGGGAGGGGTCTCGGGTTCTAGTGAAGTGCATCAGCTCACTCTTGTCCGGAGCGAACTCCATCCCGTGCTGGCGGCCCACCGTTGGCACGTAGCCCAAGCGTCCTCTAGTCGGCGGCAGGTCGTGCCCGTGTCTGTGCTCACGCTAAGTAGGTTCGTATCGTCCGCGAACCCTACGACTAAGAGTAGGGGGTGTTTCTCCGCTAGTTCCTCATATAGCGTCGAGATACATAGGACAAATAGTATCGGGGAGAGTGGCGACCCCTGGGGGACGCCAGCTCGTAGAGGGATCAGCTCTGACTCCTTACCGTCGAACCGGAGGCGTACTGTCCTATCCTCTACGAAGCTGTGTACCCATTCCTGAACCCACTCCGGGTAGCCCTTCCGGGCTAGCATAGAAATCAAACGCCTGTGGTTAACTGTGTCGAACGCCCCCTTAATATCAAGTTGTAGTAGTGTGGCGGTCCCTCCGCGCCTCCAAGCTGTATAGGTTACGTCCTCGACTATACGTATCGCTAATTCGGTGGACCGCCCCTTTCGGTTACCCATTTGGCCGTTTGGTAGCAGACCGGCCGTCTCCGCGACGGTAGTGATACGCTGGCATATCACCGCCTCTATCACCTTCCCTATCGTACTAAGCAGCGCTATCGGTCGCCAGCCGCTAGGGGTCTGATTTTGGGCTGTAGTTTTGTTCGGCTTAGGGATAACGACTACCTTTGCCGAGCGGAGGCGCTCCGGGTAGTATCCTAGCCTAAAGCTTACGGTCGCTATATCCGCTAGGATCTCCCATAGGGGTTTACCACAGATTTTCAGCAGGTCCGTAGGGATCTGATCATCGCCGGGGGCCTTCCAAGCCGCTGTCTTCTTGATAACAGCCTCGATGTCCTTCGCGTTTACCTCCTTAGGGACGTCCAGGTCTGGTCTCGTCCGTGGCGGGTTGTGATCGAGATCCGACAGGTCTATATCCGGGTCTGGGAAGAACCTCTCAGCTAGCAGCTTTGACTTCTCGTCGTGGGTGCGCGCTGTGGGTGCATCGCTTGCGTTCCGTCGAAGATCCGGCATCCCATGGGTGTCAGGGGGTGTCCAGCTCCGCAGCCTAGACCATGGCCGCTGCATACACGTACAGACCTGGCAACGGCGACGGGGAAACCAGTAGTCAGCGGGACTATCACAAGGTGGCTACTCAGGACTGGCCGGATAGCGCTTAGGCCCGGATAATATCGATCTTCTCAGGGGGACTTTGTTAGTAGGGTGAGAACTAACATAGTATTGTGGTGGACGTAACGCAGTCGCTAATAGAGCGAACCTACGTAGCAGCGTATGTATTTAGTCCAGCCATTAGGGCACGGTTTGACATACGGGAGCACTTGTAGAGGTACCGGGGGCTTCGAGCCTACGGCGTATTTAATAATAATAATAATAATAATATTTACCAGTATTTCTCTGCTGGTTCCCCAGTCATTCTGTTTTTACGTACATTCAACACCTGCAGTAATCTCAGATGGCTCAAGTTTCAATGAAGAAACGCCCAACATACAAACCATCACCAGCTACAAGAATAACACATCAGTAGTAACACAAAATCCATCCTTGAAGTTACCCGTAATTCTACTCAGCTCTACCAAACGCCCATTCCTTTATCCATGCTGGTCTCTTTCTTTTGCAGATGTCCATATACTGTCACGTCGTATGTTCAACTTAATATGACGCGCGAACGGGAAAAGAATACAGTTATGTGTAACGTTGACGTCGTTTCACGTTTTCATCGTAATGCATGATTTAAGCTTTGAAGCTCGGTTCATGTTCTTTCGTCATCAGTCCTGCTCCATGAATCTCAGGATCGCTTAACCGAGGAGTGCAGTCAGATCGGCCATAATTCATCGGACCTTTTGGTAAGGTGTCCTACCTACTGGGACCATAAATTGCTCTCTGACATGAGATCTCCGATACGTTCTGAAAATCTTACTTCGCTACCAATCTACACTCCCAATGCTGTCCCGCCTATACGCTCCTGACCTCGGAGCTAGACTGGTCGATGCTCTACTGAAGTCAGTTTTGTTAACCCTTTCCAAACGCCTGCCATACCTGTTCTTGAGATAAAAGCTGAGCTAGTCAATAATACCAGCCCCTCTAGACAACCGCTGCTCGTGAAAGAGCTATCAAAAGTGACAGCCGTGAAAACGTCGAGCATTTTCTGAACAGCATCCTCGTAGTCTTCGTGTTTAGGTTCTCAACCTCCGTGAAGAGAATAATTGGGTGGTCACACCTCCTTCATATCCTCATTCAAGATCTCGATTACGTGATATCAGGTTGCGTCTGAAGTAAGGATACAACGTATGTATCAGACACGGGACCAACGATATTCACCGCTAGTTGCTGCGTGGGGGCCAGGATACCAAGCCGAGCCGTTGGCTTGCCGCTGCTCCCAGGGTCGACTGGTTGAGAAAAACAGTCGAAATATACGGCGTCGCTGACTATTTCGAAGCGATCGATCAAAGCAATCCACCACCTTCTAAGTCTCCTAGCCCGGAAAGAAAACTGCAGATCTATAACCAGTTGGTCACTTTTTGGACATTAAAATAACCCAATTGGCTCGGAAACTATCGAGCGAGTCATTATCTTGTTGGATGGAAGTAGAGCTGAGGGGAGGATGACGGTTGATACGGCAACATATGGCAACATACGGCAACGGTACGGGGCATGTAAGTTGAGGCGGTCAATGAACTGGAGTGTTTGCCATTATGGCACGGGAAATCGGCAGCGAGAGTTGGATGTGAAAAGTCACATGTAGCACGTGGAGGTTGATACTCGGGGTCCTTCAATGTGAATGCTGGCTTGAAAACTTTTGCATTCGGCAGGTGAAAAGAACCGTTGACAAAACCCCATCAACCATTCGAGCATCATCGACATCTTTCAACGACCGACACCAGGGTTGGCAAGTGTTGCCAGCAAAGCCCAGTGACCCAGCTTGCCTTAAACACAAGAGATGAAACGGATATTGTGCTCCTTAACCAATGAAACAGTCCAGACTGCACACTATTATCGAGGCTCAAGTTATGTTGTGGGAGTGTCAAACCCGTACCTACGTGTAGACGACACATAGGGGTTAATTGTGTTCATTACGACAAAAGGTAAATTTATTGTTCCAGGACTGTATATATCGAATCCCTCACCACTTATAGCTGTAGCAAAAGTTGCAAGATTCACTGCCTAGAACTTGGAATACAGAATATGGGAAAAGCTCATGATCGACTGGTGGTATTCAATGTAAGTTGTGCTACTTTATTGCCATAAGTACAAATGTAACAGCGCCGGTTACCACAACCACATATCTGGGCGCAGAGTCTCATCTGTAAGTGGAATTTGATGCACGTGGCTGCTGCTGCGGACATAGAACTATAAATTAGTACAGCATATGGAACATTACCATTGGCGAATGAGAGTCGGGGATTGGATGCAAATTGACGTATGATCGGCCCGAATTGAACGATACAAGGTCCTCATCGGCAGCGTGTCCAGCGGACCTTGTAGGGTCGACTCGGCACATCGTTTTTTTATTTATCGACAGCTAATATGCCACTTAACCTATTTTGGCACTGATTTTGGCCACAACTGCATCCACTGTGTCCAGACGAGAAACTTGGCATGTACCGCGCTAGACAGGGGCTCATCCGGGGTATGAAATAGGTAAGGCGCTCTAATTCTGCCAAATCTGTGCCCAAACGCAGTGTGCCCAAATAACAGTCCAAGCGGTCGGATTCTGCAGTATTTTGACTGCTGGACACCAACTTGCTGAGTCAGCAAGCGCTAAGATGGCGAGCGAAGTTACTGATATCCGACGGACTGCCTTTATTATAGCAGTCAACTCTGCGTTACAAGTGCTACGCGATAGCTACAGTCTCGATCGGGAAGGGGACCGTAGGTTCCTAGGCGCCGAGGATCGTGAAGTAGTCCACGAGGGGGGGTTCGTGGCGGCGAGGCGGCTAGCGAATCGACTACTGAAACGGGGTCAGGCGGTCGGTAGGATGTACCTATCACCTAACACACTGAACAGACGGCTCCAGTACCAGTATGTCACGACCTGGGTTGCATCGCATTGGTATAGACCTCGATTAGGTGCTATCGACGAAGATTCTACTCTAAGGAGCGAAGGAAAGAAGATGACAACTTAGGTTTGAGGGAGCGCGACTAAGTCATCCACGCTTGGCGGGGCTCCTACAAGGGTTATGATTGGCTTCCCATCTGACACTGCCATGGCAGGTGTTCCAGCTGTAAGTCACCTGGTTGTAGTGAGTCTGCGAGGGTTGACCTTCACAGGTAGAGCGTGGAACGCCCCATCGGAGGGAAGCCTGGCGCTGGGATGTCCCTTGATTGATATCGTTGAGAGCGCCTTGAATCGAATTTTCTGAATATCGAGGCATTGTATAATAATAGCCAATACCGACGATAATCTGTTGTGCCGAAGGTGGTTGTAGTCGGCAGATTAGGTGGCCGGAAAGGTGGGTGGCCGGAAAGGTGGGTGGCCGGAAAGGCGGGATTGTACGTTAAACACTAATGTTAAGTGGCAAGTTTCATTGACACCGCCTGCTTAATTCGGTAGGGTTCCACTGCTAATTTTGATTTAGGTACGTCCTGGGCCCTTTACTAGCTACATCTAACGCTAGTAGGGATTAGGAAGTCACTTTGTGCCGAGCGAAGGTGTGCCCAAACGAGCAGCCGATCAGGACCTAAGTTCTCGCGTCCCAAGATCAGCGGGTTAATGCAATGCCGATTTATCCCACTACGAAGGTGGGTTCGGATCCTTTGGAAAAGCTCAAGCCTCTGTAGTACAGGTAAGATAAATAATAAGCGCTACCCTCCTAATATCCGTATCGATGAAATGACCATCAACTTAGAACAATGTTGACGATGAAGTCGTCCCTGCAGAAGAACCGCCCTCTGCGGCCGCCAAAGTCACAAAGTCAACCGCCCAACTGGCTGGTCCTTTTTGTCCTAGCAGTTGCCCTCTTCGAGCTCTGCCAGCTTGTCGCGAACTTGACGCGGCGCACCCGCGCCAGCGACCATGACATCCTCGCTCCGAGCCCCACCCCTTCTACAATCGACTCCTCCTCGTCTCCCTACGGCCGGTTCCCCGTACCTAACGACCCCTTCCGCTTCATCCCTTGCACCCACACGAGTCTGCCGCCCGATCTCGAAGATGCTGAACCGGAGCGCAGCTGGGCCGCGCTGTTTGACCCCAATCCGGAACACTGGAGCTGGGGGAACTCTAGCGCTGGAGGGAGTAGAGAGGAAGACGGAGACCCGTATGCCGGGCGGGGCATCTATCTCTGCGGCTACCTCGATGTCCCATTAGACTACACCAATCGGTTAGACAAGCGCATTGCCCGGCTAGCAATCAACAAATTTCAAGTCTCGGGCCTGGCCCGCCAAGACTCTCCCAACTCGGTCGCCGGAAAGAAGAGTGAGCGCACCATCGTGTTAGAGCCCGGTGGACCTGGTGAAAGCGGCACAGCGACCATATGGCGCTCAGCTGAGATGTTCACCAACCGGTTCAGTGATGGAAAGTTTGACGTGTTGGGATTTGATCCGCGAGGCGTCAACATCTCGCTCCCTGCTGTATCCTGTTTCCCGTACAATGCGGACCGAGACCGCTGGTCGATGCTCACGCGGCAGTTCTACGAAGTATTGGCTTCACCGAGGGCGCAGCTTGAGATCGCGGATGCTATGAATAATGCCACGTTCCGCGCTTGCTGGGAGAAGCATGGTGATCTAGGGCGATTCGTAAGTACGGCTTTTGTGGCGCGCGACATGGAGGAGATTCGCAAGGCGCTCGGCGAGGATGACTTGACCGGGTATTTGGTGAGTTATGGCACGGGCATTGGGCAGACGTATGCGAATATGTTTCCAGACAGTGTTGGGAGGATGATTTTGGACGGGACGGAGTATGTGCGTGACCACCGCCTGCTGGGTGGCTTCGGCTGGACTGCGTTGGACAACGGCACGGATGCTTGGCATGATGGCTTTTTGGGCGAGTGTCTCCATGCCGGGCTGGAGCATTGTGCTTTGGCGAAGCCCAGACAGGGTAAATCTGTGACGGTTCGGGAACTAGAAGATCGCATGAAAAACTTGCTCAATTCACTCATTTCCCGCCCCGTTTCCGGCTACAGCGAGGAGAGCGGCCCGTCACTGGTTACCTACTCCGCCGTTGTCTCAGCGATTTTTGGGGCCATGTACAATGCTGTCAGTTGGCCAGCGCTCGCACAAATGTTATATGAGCTGGAGGACGGGAACTCGACGCTTGCTACGATCATGCTAGAAAAGGAGGCATGGGAGTACGACCCGACACTTCCTACGCCACCATCTCCCAGACCTTTTACGGACGAGCTCACATATCTCGTCGTGTGTGCTGATTCCTACGATGCACCTCAGCCAGAAGGCCTTGACTGGTGGGAGGAGCTTTGGACCAACATGACGACGCGATCGTGGGTGGCCGGCAATCAGCGATTCGAGGTTGTGTTCCCTTGCCGACACTTCAATACGTATTGGCCACAACCCGCCGAAGTGTATCGTGGTGACTTGAACAACACCTTAAGGAATCCGGTTTTATTGATTGCAGAGACATATGATCCCGCAACACCGCTACGGAACGGGAGGCGGCTACTTGACGAGATGGGTAAGAATGCACGATTGATTGAGCATCATGGATATGGACATTGTTCTCGAGATACGTCTGACTGCACCGACTCCATTGCGAAGACTTTCATCATGAATGGCACGCTACCTCATGAACAGACCACGACGTGCTTTGCGAACGAGAAGCCCTACCTTTATGGAACAGCGGCCAAGGGAAGATCGACAGCTTTTTCTGCAAAGGTTGAGGCGTGGGACCCCGTCGCTATGTGGGAAGAGCACCTTCGAGAGTTGTCGAAGTCAAGCTCGAGGCTTCTACCGAGGCCTTAAGCATATTTGCCGGGTGTAGATCCATGAAATCGCCGTTCACAAATTGACAATCCCTGTCTTGTTGCTTCACGAGATGAGGCTCTGTTCTACTCATCCCCGCGTTGCCAGGCTGCCAATACTATTTTGTAACTTGTTCGAACGTTCTTGGAAGAATTTGAAACTTGTCGCCCTACTGTTCAATACCTGCAGCTCTGATACACGACCTACACTGCTAGTCTCTGTGTTTGGCGGGCCGTATGACCTCCCTCGGACCTTCGGGATGCCGGCGCTTACTGATATAGTGTTTATCAGACAAAGTTTGAGTGGCCCGAACTCTCACAAGAACCACGCGAACTTCGCTTGCCATGAGTGCGACAGCACTCAGTATGCCCGTACAAACTCTTTCGATGGCATTTTTGCAGAGGCAACATGATTCACATATATGAAACAACGAGTTCTGGCGGCGACGGCTCCGCTTGTTCGTCGGTGAACAAGCAAATTAGGTGTGAACGTTAAATTTTCAGACTCAAATGTCAGATGTGCTCCGGTATCTAGGTACATTAGGTTGATGAAGAACCCAGATGACGCGATGGTGCCCTTTTCGTGCCTTTTGACGCGCTCAAGTCCATGTGATAGAGGGTGCGAGTTAATGAGGAAATTAATACGCCAACTCGCATATAGATGTGGTGCCGCCATCGAAGGTGTAAAAACCCGAAACATTCATCGAAAAGCAGCTTAAATCGCTGCCGAGCCCACAATTGCTCCCAAACCTCGTTGATGTAGCAATCAAGATGTCGACCTTCAGAGCCTCCGTACTTGGCTTTTCGTCAGACAGTGGTGTCGCCAAATCGACTTTGGTGGCCGAATGCTCGAAAGTACGGCAGGTCGAGGATTTGTTCGACCCGAATAAGGAATGGCCCATCTTGAGACAAGGAGAGTCGGACTTGCGCATGTTCAGTCGGCGGGTGTATCTGATCGAGTCGTCGTTTACGCGATGGTCGCATCCCACGGCGCGGGATGATTCATTCAGACTTGAAAGACTGCTTAAGGAGGCTTTAGGGGTCCCTGAAGATTTCTTCCGAGTACACTCCCGCGAACACACCAACTTCAACTCTACTGAGGTGATTAGGTGCCCCCGTCTCCCTACCGCTCAGAGCCTCGATAGAAGATTCTCTCTGGAGCATTTTGAGCTGTGGACTTATTTGGGCGCTCCGGAGAAGCTACGGGGGCATTGCTTGAAAACCAACAAACATTTGAACCCGGGAGATGTTGGGTACACGATGACTTGCAAGTCTACAAAGCGCCAGATTCAGTGTCATAAGTGGAAGTCGAGAGGGGGGTGGTTGTTGGTAGCTCCACGCAAGTGTTCGTTTTGGTCTCGGACAACGCGAAATGGATGGGATGGTAAGTTCGTGGAATCTTATTCCGGCGAGAGAAATTTCTAACTCTGATAGTGGTCATTCTTTGCGATCCTGCCCCGAACCGACTCCAAATTTCTGGCGCACCGCGTGTGGTGGATGTGAGGCCCTTTCACGGAGGACCGCACGGCTTTATCCCCGAAGAATTTCTTGGTCCACACCCTATTCATTCAGTTCACGTCAATATTGACACTTCTCAAGTGGATTTGGCCGATCCGAGACTGTTTTACTCTAATGGCCGTAGGCGGTTCCTCGGATCACCAGCACCGTCCCACTCCACCATATCTCCTGATACTGACATGTCCCACCCGCCTTCACGAGATGAGCGTGAGGACCGAATCGCCAACACGACGCAAACTTCCCGGACCATGGTTTCGACATCTATCTCAGGCTCTGAAGCCTCATCCAGGCATCGAATACACATAAGGCCGTCATCCGAGCCCTTCGTTCCACGGCCTGAAATAGAACGTCCTCCCCACAAGTCATTATTCGATGATCTCACTTATTACTACCGTAACCATGCGCACCTCCTTGGCGCTATCGAAGATCCTTTCTCTACATCCCTGTTCCTCAGAAAGCTCGTCGCCAGTCACTACTCCCAACTTGTCGGTTTCGTTGCCCATCAAGCCGCTACCATGCGGTCATCAGGCAGCATGGTGCCTGGCAAACATGGCCAAGCAATCAATGAAATGCAAGCTGCCATCGAAAGCAATTGGGATAAGTTCCGCTGCGCCGAGTATATCGAGGCAATGGATACTGTCATGGATCAATTGGGGATCCCAATCTACGGTGATCAACATCAGCAATCCACCAACGCACCATTATCTCTCCATCCTCCCCATGCCGATGTATCCCATACTCCTACCAATACTTTTTACCTTCAACCCACGCCCTCCCCACCCTCTGAATCAGAAAACTGGCGCTCGTCTACACCAGACTTCCTTTACCTCCATCGTGAATTGCGCCTGCGCTTAGCCGACCATGACCGCATCACTGTCGCTGCCGCGGTGCTAACCTCCGCCATCGGAAATCGGCAGCGCCAGAAATCCACCAAATGGTTGAAGCTTCTTACTCTTGTAGTGGTGTTTTTCCTGCCATTTGCGGCGGTGGCGGCTATTTTTGGGGTTGGAGAACAGTTTGCGCCTGGCGGACAAGGGGGTAGATTTTGGGAGTACTGGGCTGTAGCGGTGCCCGTCGTTCTGATTGTTGGGTTGCTAGGAATCGTTGGATGGCGATTGAGGGAGCTGACAAGGGGCATGCGGAGGGTTGGATCATGCTTAAATGGGGGCTGGCTGGAAGAGGGTGAGCAGCTTTGAAGAATATATACACTTGGTGTGTGATTGCTGCTCGATTTTGAAAAAGATCGGTTCCGATGGAGACTATATACGTATGATTAGTTAATATTATGCCGCGGCAAGTGTCTATCAATTAAGTGGTTCTCCTCCATCTGGTGGCAATGTCAGGAATGTTGTGTTCTATTGTGACATACGTGAATTTAGAGTTGCCATTTGATCGATGATTACTCATTGTATGAGCAAAACATTTACAGCTCACAAACAAAGCCACCTTGATAGAATCTCGTCTCATTCGTCGAGTAGATTCGGTTTCGTTGATCGCGGTAGGTTGCATGGTCCTTGCGTCCTCTTCTCGCTCACATTTCCCGCCATAAGTTCAAATTAGTTGTTTATAAATTGTATTGAAAACATCGCAGATCTAGTAAGCTCATCTTTAATGTCGTCCTTGAGCTCACTCTTTAATTCACACCGTAGTTCCTCCTTCAATTCATTGGCAAATTCCCTAAATTCGTACCTAAGATCATCCCTAAGCTCCTCGGTGATATTCACCTTGGCGTCAGAGACTTCGTCTTCAACCACTTCAAAACGCTGGCTCAGCTCCAAGATACGATCACCCATGGCTGCCACCTCTCGGCTTAGTGCCTCAACCTGCTTACGCAATATCTGGTTCTCGGCCTCGAGTCGTTGGACTTTGGTGTCTGATTTTGGATTGGTAGCGTTGTCCTCAATGTCAGCATCTGAGGAGCTAGCCCCTCGTGGCCGCTTTCTCGACCTCGAAAGAAATGCTGAGTCTGCAATTTCTGCATATATAGTTAGCAGTATTATTAAAACTGCGTGGAATTTGTGATGCCAACCTTTCTCTGCAGGAATTTTGTCATCAAGGGGCGGAGCCGGCGCAGGAGGACCAATATCAGCATATGCAGGGGGGCAGTCTTCGTTTTTGTCCTTGTCACCGTCGAACTGGTGCACAATGCCGCCTTTTCCATTGTAGAGACTGCTAAGGCTGTCGTGGCCGGCCGTTGGTGCAAGACCAGGACTGGATGACACGGCCCTGGCGAGGGTGTGCCGTTGCGCTTTAGACAACACTCGACACGCTATTCGGACAGCGAAACAGGTTTGCTGAGCCAATGCGCGCAAGGAATCCAAAACAGCTCCTTCTTTCGCATTCTTAGCTCTCAGCGGTACCATATGTCTGGGACCGACGAGATCACAAGGTTTGGTCAAGGTGAAACGTAGACATATAGTAGTATTTCGCAGCTTGTTCTTGTGTGAAGACTGCTCGTCTTCGATAGCCAGCTGTTGGATCCGATCGGGAGTAATAAAGACGAAAAGGCTTGTGGGGGATTTGCTGACAGTGTTGTTGTGCTTGAGAAAGCAGGGAACTCGAAGCTTGAAGAAGGCGGAGCTCGCTGAGGGTTCGAAATGAAGATCCATGGTTACGTTCGCCGCGTCACCGAGGGATCGCGTGGCTCCGTCATTGTCGATCCATTCTGAAACGGCTTGAACATTCTGCGCGTGAATCTTAGGCTTGATGTCATGCGAGAAGAATTCAGTCGGCGGTGGAGATGGTGACGGCGTGTTGCTGACGGTCGACTCGGCTGATGAAGCCATGGCCCGATGGATAACGGATACCTACAATGTGTCAGTGTATACCTACCTCAAGGAGGGAAGAGTGGACAGCAGGTGGCTCTGAATCTCGACGAGGGTCTGGAGTCTTGAAGCAACGTCACAAATCCCCGCACGGTGGCCAGACGTCAAGGTCTGAGGCGCCAGAGCCGATGACAGGCAGCTTATTGTTCACAATGAACAACAAGCTCCTTACCAGGACCCCGGGTCTTTTGACGGGCGTACGCGTCAAGTAGAAGCCAGTATTTGATGGTCCTGGCCGCGGCGAGCCAGCGCGACTCAGATTGACGTCCAGATAGTGTGCGCGGTCACCCGCAACCTGCTGGATGCAACGGATCGCGGATACCTTTGGACTGCGACAACTGACAGAGTCGGGTATGCTATGATGTTGCAACTTCAGAGCGTTGATACTTCATGAAATCAAATGCAGTTGGAAACGACGTGGATGGAGTCATCAAGAAGTGGAGAGAACCGGTCATCCCACGTGATGTTGAACCAATGACAAAGCCAGGTTAGCGGAGCCACATATCCTAGCGGACATGGTGGCTGGTGGCGCGGTGTGGTACCAAAGTATCTGGCAGCAACCGGTACCCGTGCCACACCCCACTTATTTCGGATTCGCTTGAGCTCACCAACCTAAGTTGGTGCTCACCACCAACTTGGCCAGCTTTTCGACACTTTCAACTTCAACCTATCGTATCTTCGTCAATTCATTAGCTTTTTCCAATCGCAATAGACTCACAGCTACAGGAAGCCGTCCTCTACATGCAAGAGCATCCTCAAGCCAAAATTGCCAAGATTGCGCGAGAAAGCGGCGTAAAACGCGAGACCCTCCGATACCGCGTCAAGCAAGCTGGGAAGACTAAGAACCACGGAGGACTCAACAAACTACTATCTGAAGCCGAAGAAAAGGCCCTCTGTAATTACATCGACCGCCTTGATAGGATAAATCTTGCAGTTCGCGTAGAATTCGTTACCGACGCTGCAAATACGATATTACGTGAGAGAGTCCAGGTTCTACCAAATCAGCCACCACCAACAGTCGGATCAAACTGGACTACACGTTTCCTCAAGCGCCATAGCTACTTCCACGCTTCCCAGTGGAAGCTCCATTCAAACCGCCAGACTGCTGAAAACCTCGACACTATACGAGAGTATTTTACACGGCTTGAGAGAGTCCTCCGGGAAGAAGGAATCGATCCCTCTGATCTCTGGAATATGGACGAGACTGGCTTCCGGATTGGTGTTGGTAAGGATCAACTTATCATCACTAAGCACAAGAGGGCCCATTACTTCGGCCTACCAGAAAATAGAGAGACAGCGATAGCTATTGAAGCTATCTCTGCTGCTGGCGACGTAATACCAGCTTTCCTCATACTCACGGGGACTATCCACTCGGCTCAGTGGTACGCGCAAGACCTTCATCCAGATACGAAGCTACGGCCGGTCGATACAGGCTATTCGAATGACGAGATCTCTCTCGAGTGGCTTATGCATTTCGAACAACACTCTAAGAAAACGCAGAAAGGTCGAAAGCGACTATTGATCTTAGACGGCCACGGCAGCCACCATACGAAGCAGTTTATCCAGTACTGCAACGACCACGATATTATACCCTTCGGCTTTCCCCCCCATCTTACTCATCTCTTACAGCCACTAGATGTGGTTGTTTTTCAGCCATATAAGCACTGGCATGCGAAGTCCCTGGATGTCAGAGAACAGAATGCCATAGGCACCAGTGGGTGTCAGGACACTGAACGCAGGACACCGGCGGGCCGCCGGAGGGGTGTTTCGGACAAAAGACTCCCGAATCATGATTACAATCTATGTGAAGCTTTGGGATGACGAGAGTCAAGATCCTTGGCATCGCCGACCCTGCTGTTATGCCGGGTCCAAGCGGCGGCCTAGCTATCTATATAAGGACCATCTCGAAGTAGGATAGGGAAGGAGTTGTCAGAGCCACAAGTGTCATCCGAGGCGGGCCGGCTTCCACCAGGTAGGAAGCCGTTTGTGGCGGCTAGAGAGCCGCTTGTGGCGAATGAGAGCCGTTGAAGCCGTTTGCAGCGGATAGGGAATCGCTTGGTTGCAGATAAGGAGCCGCTGTCCAAGATATTGGCCGAAGTCGGAGGAACACAGACATACGGAAGCAAACATCCAGAATCCAAGAGAGAACCTCGGCTGGCTATAAGTAAGGAGTCGAGACGGAGGAAGATAGAGAGGGCAGAGATCAATGCATCACCGTGGGCACCCCTACCTGAGACCGCCAGTGACCACCCGGCATTACGTAGAAGGGACGCCCGTTACTCCCCATCACTCTGTACTATTGCCTTCGGCCTAGCCGTACCCTGACACTGGATCAACTAGTACGGGATGGATGTACCAATATAACCAAGCTAGAGTTCCTCTCAATTATCGAAGATGTACGCAAAAAGACCTTCAAAGCGAGTACTATCCAGTCAGCCTTCAAGAAAACCGGTATATATCCATTTTACCCTCATCCAATACTACAAGAGATTGAAGAACGTATACCGAAGACGCCATCACCACCACCAGCCCCTTCATCTTCGTCATATGAAGGCACACCTACTACTTTTCGACAAATTAATAAAGTAGCTAGCAAGATTACGAACTGTCTTACTGATCCAGAGCTTGGTATTAGTCCAGATCTAGCCTATCGACTTAGTCGTTTTGGTAAAGGGTCCCTCGTTAATGCGACCGAGCTTATACTGTCACGGGGCTAGGCCCGTGCACCGCATGTATATTGGTACTGCACGAGCTGGCTGATGTTCCATTCTTCGTGCTACAACAATAAACTACTGGTACCCCCATACACGACCCTGACATATACAGACTAAGCGCGATCTTAGCCGTACAAAGTACGCCGAACGTATATCAAAACAACGGCGCGCTATGAAGAACTATCATCTTAAATCTGGTGGAGTTTTATCCGTTGCAGAAGGTAGAGAGATGGTGAAGAGGAAGGTTGAAGATGAGGTAGCTAAAGCACAGAGAGTTCTCGCCAAGTATCATGAAGGACTACGTAGAGTAGCCAAAAAGAGCTTTTCTGATGCCGCAAAAGAAGCTAGAAGACGTCGATTGACAGGCCAATTACAGCCTACAGATGTCTTCGAGACAGGCCTTGGTTGGCGGTTATTACATAGATTCTAATTGAAGGTTGAAATCCGTCGAAAAACTGGCCAAGTTGGTGATGTGGCCAAATTGGTGGTGAGCACCAACTTAGGTTGGTGAGCTCAAGCGAATCCGAAATAAGTGGGGTGTGGCACGGGTAGTTTACAACTGTAATAAAGTGAATCAACCACTTTCATACCCTTAATTCGCATGTATTTGTTTATTGTTACAGACACGCTGTTCAGATAATAGATAGGATGACATTGATTCATACATGCAAATCATCTCGCACAATGACCGAAATACCTGTCATTTGCGGAACAGACAAACCCGACATCCCGTGCAAATGCATTGCCCGTACATTTGAAGCTGTGAGGCACACATCCATTCCCCCCTTTTTGCCCACTGCTTCACCACCCCAGGACCACTCCAATCTCATTTTCGCCTTTCTTTCATGTTCATATCATATCGACAATGCGAACCTTCTACAACCACGTTCTTCTATCATAATTATGACAAGAATGACACAATTAATGACCAACGAGACAAGCTCCTGACTACGAATTGAAACTGCTGGCATTTCTTGATACTTCCGCAGGTGAGAACCCATCACTAACTCGAGGTGCAGATGAAGATCAACTTAAGAAAGGATTTCAAAGTTACTCAAATTTTATACCTCTCGTGGCGAGAGCAAAACTGGCTACAAGTATCTTTCGAGAAATTTGGCTCGTCGTCTTAATGTAACTCGCCAAGTGCGCACCTGGTGATCACCAGTGATCTTAGGCTGACGTCTGATAGACTGGGATGAGTCTGATTTGATTGAGTATATGGCTATCATACTCCCGGCAGAACTGAAACTGGATCTGATTGCCGCAGGCCCTCTGCTTTACTCATGTGTTCTGCATCTTACCTAAGGATTCTTCCCATGGCACCGTCACCCTGTCCAAAATCGAGGTCTGGGAATTGATGAGCTTGTCACTGCCGTCATAAGAATGCTGCATAGCCATCAGCCCTTTACATTTCCGAGCGTTTATCGACACTGTAGACGATAGAGATGAGGCTAAAACACAGGGTGAATGGTTGTATTGGCTCTTGTTGCAGTGCATACAATGCATATTTACTTCCTCCGACTCGAATGAGCAGTCTGGAGCAAGATTCCAGATTGATAGAGATGCTAAGGATAACGCCCATCTCCTGCAGGCTCATGCACTCGTTGCGGCCTAAAAAAAGCGCGCGCCGGGTCCAGCATGAAAACTGTGTGCGTGCTAACTCGAAATAGCCATACCACTTTTCCGCCCTGTCTCGGATACTTTCCTCATCCGTCTTGGACAGTCGTGGACAAAGACGTAGATCACGCCCTGGTCATAGCAGTCTTATTGCTCCAAGATGCTTTTTCCAAGACCATTCCAGCCCTAAATTACCGAATAGAACCATCTTCAACCTGCCTCTTTTAGCATAACTAACGACGCTATTATCGACTGAACTCCATTGCAAACTATAACTCGGGAGGCTAGAAAAGTTTATATTGAAGTTATAGCGATTTGAAGGGTATTAGGAGCTTTAACGGCCGTACGTTCGACTTCCATAGTTAAGACTAAACCCTGCTTATGATTTTCTAAACCTGTAAAATAATAAGAATTAGGGTAGCTTTATCTTACCAATTTCTACAGCTAATAAAGCCTGACGTCAGTAGTAATCGATCTAGCGCCTTCTGCCGATGATACGAAAAGGTAGGGGGACCCACTGGTTAGGTGAATCCCATTCAATTAGATACTATAACGTTGCGCACTGCTGCATTATAGCATCCTCCCCCCTAGGTGCACGCATCAGCCGATTTAGAAGAATAACGGCTGAATATCTCCGGGTTTAACGGACCCTAAGATTCAACCAACCCAAACAAATCAGATATAAGCTTGTATTTGGAATTTGTGGCCGGCATATACTTGGTCTGCTTTATGTCGGGCGCTGGATCTGCCCGAGGAGAAAGCCCGAAGTGTCGAATCACGACTAAGCAGCGTCTCAAGCTGTCGTCCCCTCGTACTCTCGCCAGTCAAGCGCGGGAGCCACCGCTATAATGTGCGTGCTCGCCGGCCTACTAGTCTATCGCTGGTTCAACTCGAACTCGTGCTGCGGGCGACGCCGAGTCTCACCTGAAAGAAGGCCACCGACAAGGCAGATTCAGCATGTGATGACAGCTTAGTGAAGTAGAATCGACTAGTTCTCTCGACCCCTGACAGCCGAAGGTGCGGGGTGGCAGCTAATAAGGCAACTGCTGGAAGCCGCAATGTCTATATTGATCCTCCTGCTCTGAAGTTGCGAGCCTTGGATTCGTAATGTTAGTATGTATGCACCAAACAAGTGTTGTGCTTAAGGGCTAGCAAAAGTACCATGTATGCCCGATGACCGACCACCTGCTTGGCCGGCGGTTATGTGTACGGACCGAGATGAACATCGATGCTAATTATTGGTCCCGCATACTTTATCCGACATAATTACCGGCCATAGCGCTGACATGGCACCGAAACGTAGCCGAATAACTGTTGGTGAATATTTGGACGAGATGAAACGGAAAGTCCTTCATCCGACGCAATTAGACCGTTTGGGGGCCGCAGTGCTAATGTTGCGCTGAAAGTGGCCCGAACGGCCAACATTGCTCAGCCCGCGGACAAGCCTCTAGCGGAGGGGGGAGCATATGCGGAGGGGGGGGGGAGTACACCACCCACTACTAGCAGCTCTAATAAAGTGGTGTTGAAGAGATCGGCGCGGCGCGATGGAGGATTTCCAGCATCATCATACGCGAAGGTCAGCCTCGAGTGCCCACGAACTCATCGTGGTTATAGCTTTTATAATTAAGTATAATTACATTGAAACAGTCGAAGGGTCTGTCAATTGTGCCAATAAAGTTCCGCTCAGCCGAAGAATAGAAGGTTGGGGGTTGACTAAATAGGGCAGGAGGAGAGGCCTCAAGCGTTGTAGCTCGAGCATGCACAATAGTCCTATGGAGAAACGGAGGAGAACGGAGGGTGTGACGGTTGTTAGGAATTAAGAGGATTTCATGATTACGTCAGGACTGATGGGGGAGGGGGGGGAATCAGTCTTATATAGGTATGTTGTGGTTGTTGACAGGGATACGAGGCCGAACAGTACTGAATCGAGAAGGGGGCTAAACCTGGGAGCTGCGACAGCGCATTCTTGACTATAAATCAAACGAATTGGGTTCTCTTCCTGTTACGCAAGGGGACAACGTCAGCTATAGCTAAGCCTATTATTCAAAAATATGCAGAATTGGTTACGAAACGAAGTCGTTTATTTGAGGATTATCTGAGTGCCATCAATGCTACCACTTCGCAAACCACCGAAGGCCAGAATAATGATTTGTAAGTTGGCAAACCGATCTGCCCCTTCGGAAATTGGAGCTCATAACCAGCATCAGGGCGGATGTGGAAAGCTGGCGGGACTCGATGGAAAATTCGCCCTCTTGCCTTCAGCATACACATTCAGGATATGGGTCATACCGTTATCTTGGGGAATCATGTACGTTCATCTATCTAATCATAGAACGCTGTCTATCTCATCTAGTCATACCACATGTGTCCGCAAGCATGTCCAATCTAACTGCAAGTGCCCCTCTCTAAATGAAGGACTTGCAGTCGCCATCCTTCAGCTTGCCCGCGGCAACCAGTCTCTCGACCTCGCCTTTCCAGACGGCCTTGATCTCATCAGCAACCTTGAGGCCGTTCAGCTTGGCTGCCAGAGCCGCGATCTCGTCGGGGTCAACCTTGCCCTGGACCGTCTCGACATCACCCAATACAGCGTCGATCTGGCTGGCACTGGCATCACCACCACTGGAGAAGTAGTTTGCGTCCTTGACACTGCCCTTGAGAACACGCTTGTTCTTCTTGACGGCGTTCTTGGCAGCCTCCTTGGCCTTCTTGTTAGCCTCACGGTCCGTCTTGGCCTTCTCCTCAGCCTCCTTAGCCGCCTTCTCTTCAGCTTCCTTCTTCAGACGGGCGTCTTCCTTGGCCTTGCGCTCGGCCTCCTCCTTCTCAAACTTCTTCTTGTTTTTGGCGGCGTTGGCTTGTTGGCGGAAGCGCTTGATGCGCTCATCCCCAGCGGAGCACTCATCAAGCATCTTGCGCAGACGGGCGTTGTCTTCGGCCTTCTTCTTCTTGCGAGCATTGGTGTTCTTGCGCTCCATGTGACGCTTCTGGTCACGGTTCTCGTTGTCATCGGGCACGTCCTCATCGAGGTATTCAAATGATCGCCACGAGTCGAAGTTGTACCAGAAGTTGTAGAAAGCATCTACCTCCTCCTTTGTCGCATCCTCGCCACCGAACGACGGTACGGGTTGGGTCTTGCTGAATCGGGCCTCAGCCTTGAAGACACGACTCCACAGCTTGTAGAAGTTCTTAGAAGCGTCCTTCTTGGACGGGGGCTCGACGTCGGCCTTCTCGTCGACAGAGTCGAATTGGCGGCGTTTGACGGGGTCGAGCAGCACCTCAGTAGCCTTCTGGATGCACTTGAAGAAGTTGTCGTCTTCGGTGGCACCCAGTGCAGCCTTCTTGTCGGGGTGATGCTTGAGGACCTTCTTACGGTGGGCACGCTTGATCTGGTCTTCGGTTGCCTTGTAACGGTACTTGGAAAGACCCAGAACTTGGTAGTGATCTTGAGACTGTGCAAGAAGTAAGCATCCATGGTTTACAGACTAGCGATCAGATATGACCGGGTAAGAGAGTTTTGACGTACCTTCCAGTCCTTGGCCTCCCGCTGGAGCATCATAGGGTCCTCGGGCTCGCTGACATCGTCGTCGTCATCCTTCTCAATATTCTTGGCCTTCTCCTGAGCCTGGATACGGTCGTCCTCGGAAAAGGTGCGCTTGTGTCTTGCGCGGCGGGCGTGGGCCAGGAAGTGAGGGCCAACGGGCTCAATGGTACGCTGCGATGAAGAGGTGATGGAGCTCAGCGGCTTGAAGTCCTTCTCAGCAGACCAGCCTTCCGCCAAAGCGGGGATTGGCTTCGATACAACAGTTGCAGTAGTCATGTTTGCTGCAAGCGATAATGATCTTTTGTATTGAGAGTTACGATTCGGAATCAACCAGTGCTGGTTTTTTTTTTGGATTGCGATTGAATTCTTGCAGGGATCTCGTTGGCGGGCAAGTGGGTCGGCTGACTTGGCGCAAAAGTCTTTAGCCACACTTGCTTAAGCCACATTATTTTTTACGATGGCCTCGAACAAGAATGAATTAGAATGATTCTAATCAACCATTGCTCTCAAATCTAACAACTTGTAAACTGCCTAATAACATTTCGAGATTACACCTGCCGGTCACCTCAACCTTAACCTATTTTCTGCAAACTAGTATCGGAAATGGCAGCCATTGCGGCCTACCGTAATCTCTTCCGGGCAGTTCGCATAGCCTTCAAGGGTACTTCTCCCCGATCCGTTGCGCCTACAATCTTTTAACAAACTATAGGCGATGAATCGATCCTCAATGCAGCCCAGTACCAAATCCGCACCGGCTTCCGTGAGAACGCCTCTTTAGACCCCACGAATCCCGCAATCCCTGAACACATCAAGCATGCCGAGGACGTAGCAACGATATTACGACGAAACGTGGTGCAGGGGCAGAAGGATGGAGAGGCTTATAGTATGTTGAGAACACACTACACTAGGATTGGAAAAGAAAGATAGGCTAATAAATTTTCCGCTATAGAATTGAGGATACACGAATACACAGAGCGAGGCGACAACGACACGGTTAAAATGCCCCCAAAGCCGACACCAATCGATGGGAAAACTTCACGCTGTGGAGGCAGTCAACTTGGAAATGAAAGCTTGAAGACACTGAGGTGATGTGTCGAGCCTAGAGTGGCTTGCCTGTAATATACGATGATACCCATTGTACCAACAAATTCATGATCATGACCATGAACTATTGCTCTCTTCAGTCTGGGCCAAAAGCAAAAGCATTGATATATACCCTGATCGGGCTGGCTTCCCGCACTCCCGAACGCCGCCCATGCAGTTTCTGTACACAAAGTCCGACTGTAATACCTCAGTTGCCCTCGAGACTGGCATAATTCACATCCCCTGCCCCCGGCGGCGCCGCAATTGCTGACAGGCTTTCAATGTTTTCATGTTGCGCACCTCCACTCTCACCTTGCGTCAAGGCAGGTCGTTGTCTTCCTCCCTCAATCGTCTTCTGCTTCCTCATATCGCCAAAAGCACTCCGTCCATCACGAATCATCTCTGCTCTCTGCTCCTTGTTCATCGTTCCAACGGGCTTGGGCGTCGACCACCGTACCCTCAACGGGCATCCCGCAATGACGGCTCGTCCCTGGCAAGCCTCTGCCGCCTTCTCGGCACCCTCTCGAGTTTCGTAGTTGATAAATGCACAATGGCTCATGTGACTGCAGATTAAGCTCTTAATCTTACCATGTACCTTGAAGAAATCGCGAATCTTGTACTCTGGTAAGTCGTCCTCGACACCAGTGACGAAGAGCGACATGATAGATCGATCAGCAGGAGGTATGTAATCCTTTGGACCGGGAGGAAGCTGCGATGCACTGGGAAATGGGCGGCCGGGGCGCTTTGGGCCAGCGCCTACTACAATCGCTGCTCGCGAGTCGCGCGTTCGTATCGGTCCAGGGCCGCCAACGCCTGCGCCCACAGTTGCGTCACCACCCGTTGCGCTTCCCTCTGCGGCGCTGCCATCTTCGATGGCGCGGCCTTTCCGGAAGTAGGGCTTGCTTGCAGCCAATCTCCGCAATAGTTCTCGGGCCTTCTCATCCGTTTTCTCGTAGACCTCTGTGCCTCCTCTTCCTTCCTCAATCTCTTTCTCCATGTTCTGCGCAAAGTATTCTCGGTTCACCTCGCTTCCAGGTCCGGGAGCCACCATCTTGAGTGCCGCATCTCGAATAGCGATAGGCAGTCCGAAGCTCAGGTCGAGCATGCAGCATTGACAGCAGTTCTTGACTCGAGCACATGTGAGGCAGATGTTGGTGTGCTTCTTGCGGCCGTGGGCACGATCGCCCGACCAGCTGAAGACTGTGTATGGGCGTGTGCATATCTTGCAGGTCTTTGCACCGTAGTCTTCGCGTAGCATTTTGACGTAGGGGTTCTCGGGCAGGCAGGATTCGCAGACGGAGGGGAAATCGGTTGTTTCCCAGCCGGCACGATTGAGATCTGCTTTCATTGGTGGCGGCATGGTGATGGATGATGTCGCCTTTCGTGAAGTAGTGGGTTAAATCGTGTAAATGAACCTGAGAAGCCGTAGCAGATCGTATTTGGGTTTATCCACGTTGATTCTTTCGAGATGTTGCAAGGCGATAAAGACAGGCAATCCCAGGTGAGCATTTGATGGAATTGACGGGAGCTGTGGCTTACAAATTGTTTATCTTATCAATATGTGGCTCATTGAAAAGTACTGTAACAGTTGTATGCATATGGCCGTCATTTAATGCAATATATGCATTGGATCAAGACTTGAAATATATCCTTCGTAGGAACTCAACTCATGCCCATACTTCCTACACTCTCAAGCCAATGGCTTCTGAGTCCGAAAGTAACTACGCCCCAGGAAACTCTGTAATGCTTCCTGCTCACCTATCTTATCAATGCCAACGCCTCTAGCGGCATCTCGAGTACCGATGCATGCAACTCGCTCTAACCTGCATCTTGCAATGCCAACTGCTTCTGTTTTGGCGTCTATCTAGCATGAATTCTAATGGCCTGCCTCTCGACCTTGGGATTGCTCATAATATACAGTACTCCTGATGATGCCTCAACAACGCTTTCACAAACCAGTGGGCATCGCGAGTGTCGGCATGCTGGCTAGGCCCACGTACTTATTTCAGCCACATCCTAGTTATTCACTGGCATTTTCATATTTGCCAATCAATGCTAGGTCAATAATTTCAACTGGCATGCGATGCTCGAAATTTTCTTGTCAGCAAGTTCAAGGAACCTCGTGGCGAGCTGCAATCTTTCGGTTACCGGTTGAATGTGCACTGTACCGGAGCGACGACACTGTCATAGAACAGCCTGCGGAAAGCCCTATGATCGAAATTTCAAGAACCATCAGCTGTGAAATGGCATTCGAGGCATGTCTCAACAGCATCGCCGTAAGATTCCCCAACATTACGACGCACCACGTTCAAAGGTTTTCCTAGCGATTCCATAATCGTTCTAGAAAGAGCTTGGTATTTCATCTCCTAAGGCCCTTCTTAAGTTGATGAACTGTTTTTTTTTCGCGCCAATTCGATGAGGAGTATTCCCAAGGAAAACATAGCCTTGGATCTGAACTGCATGTACGAGAACTGGTCAGACTCAGGGGTGGGCTCGTTGGTGGCTCCCTTAAACACATATGACAAAGCTGGCCGCCAGAGAGGTCGCCCCGCCGACACTCTTGCATGAAGTTTTTTCCATGAGATTGTGTACCGTTGAAGGTGGAATCCACGAGTCGGTCGATAGCCTGATTGGTAGGCCTGCAGATCTCGTGATCTCATTTCCCCTCTTCAGACAAATGAACGGATGTTCAAGGTCAAGTCAGGCTGGAATACGATTTCCCACAAGACAGCACTTGCTAACATCGTGAGCATCGGCTTCGTTACTAACTAGCTCGGTATGGCTACCCGCACCTTGTCGCACAACAGTTACGGAGATAATGCCCGCATCCACCAAGGCGACGTTATTCTTGATAATTCGCGCCAAAAGTAAGTTCAGTCTAACTTGCTAGGCAATTGTAATTTAATTTTGTCATTAGTCTCGACCTTCAAGTTGCGCAAGATGCGTCATTCGATTCGCGTGCCGATGAACATAACGAGCAATGTCATCCCGACACCCGTACCGACCTGCTCCAATATATACAAACATGGGCCGACGATCCTTACAGCGAATGCATATTCTTGCTGAACGGCAAGGCAGGCACGGGCAAGTCCACAATTTCCCGCACTCTTGCGACCCGTTTCAATGAGCAGAGAATTCTCGGCGCCAGCTTCTTCTTCAAAAGAGGCGAGCGGGGCCGAGGGGACGCAGCCCTTTTCTTTACGACTATCGCTAAACAGTTGATTGATGAGGTGCCCGCTATGGCTCCCTACATCAGAGATGCTGTGAAAAGTGACTCGAGCATCCACGACAAGGCCCTCAAGGTGCAGTTTGACAAGCTCATCTTGCAGCCACTAGGCAAGATGGGCGAGTCTGAGATTCCTCCCGTGCTTGTGATTGTGGTCGACGCTCTGGATGAATGCGACGGTTTGGACGATATCAAAATTATTATTCACTTACTCTCTCGATTAACATCTTTGACTCCCGTGCGCCTCAGGGTTTTCGTCACGAGCAGGCCTGAGCTAGCTATTCGCCTCGGTTTCAAGGACATCCAAGGCACGTACCTGAGTGTGGAGCTTGATCAGATACCCGATGATGTGGTCGAACGCGACATCACCACGTTCCTAAACTACAAGCTGGCAAGGATCAGAGAAGAATACAGCAGTCAGGTATATGACGATCTACGTCTCCCGTCGGATTGGCCCGGCAAACAGGTCGTCCAAACATTGGTCCGTATGGCCGTTCCGCTTTTCAGCTTTGCTGCAACTCTCTGTCGCTTCATTGAGGATGAGCAGTGTTGGGACCCAGCAGGCCAATTAGAAAAGATTCTGAACTACAGAACGACTGGAGATGACAAGTTTGACAAGTTCGGTGCTACCTACAACCCTGTACTGGATCAGCTGCTCGTTAACAGGACTGGCGCTAGAGCAGATCGTATACTAAACGAGTTCCGGAACGTCGTTGGCTCCATTGTTCTACTTGCGGAACCTTTATCAGCTTTATGTCTTTCAAAGCTTCTTCAGGTCACTATGCAGTCTATCACCCCACTACTCAACCGTCTGCATTCTGTTCTTCATATCCCATCTCAGGCGGATGTCCCTATCAGGCTCTTTCACCTTTCCTTCCGCGACTTTCTGATCGACCCTGCTGATCGCGGCAAACCCCAGTTTTGGGTAGATGGGAAAGAAACCCATGCGCATTTGGCTTCAAACTGTCTCCGTATTATGAATGAAGTACTTCGAAGAAATATTTGTGGTATTCAAGAACCAGGAACACCTCGTTCATCGATAGACCCACAGATGATAGGCGAGAATCTACAACTAGAAGTCCAGTACGCCTGTCGGCATTGGTCGTATCACTTACAGCAAGCCTCGGCGCTTATCTCAGATGATAATGAAGCGTATTGCTTTCTCAACCGGCACTTTCTTCACTGGCTAGAGGCATTGAGTCTCTTGGGAAGAGCATCTGAAAGTGTCCAGGCGATCAAGACATTGAAAGCCGTTGTACAGGTAAGTTTGCGATATAGGAGGTGTATAAACTCCGAGTACTAACACGTGTTAGCCCGATAGTTTCAAGGCTATCAGCTTCCTGAACGATGCCAACCGCTTCGTCTTAGTTATGCTCCCTATTATTCAACAGGCGCCCCTCCAAGTATACTCGTCAGCGCTTGCCTTTGCGCCTACCAGTAGTGTTATTCGAATGGTCATCGAGCAAGAAATAACAAGCCGGGTATCTCTTCTGCCAAAAGTAGAAAGTGATTGGGGCCAATGCCAGCAGTTACTCGAGGGCCGTAGCAGCAACGTCAGATCGGTGGTCGTCTCGCACGACTCGAAGCTCGTGGCCTCCGCCTCAGACGACAAGACGGTCCGGATCTGGTCAGCTGACACCAGTGACTATATACGGAAACTCGAGTGCCATAGCGATACCGTCAACTAGGTGGTCTTCTCACACGACTCGAAGCTCGTGGCCTCGGTCTCAGACGACGAGACGGTCCAGATCTGATCGGCCAATACGGGCGAATTTACACAGAAGCTCGAGGGCCACAGCAGTTGGGTCACGTCGGTGGCCTTCTCGCATGGCTCGAAGCTCGTGGCCTCAGCCCCAGACGACGAGACGGTCCGGATCTGGTCAGCCGACACCGGCGACTGTACACAGACTCTCGAGGGCCATAGCAGTTTGGTATACTCGGTGGCCTTCTCGCACGACTTGAAGCTCGTGGCCTAGGCCTCAGTCGACAAGACGGTCCGGATCTGGTCAGTCGATACCGGCGACTGTCTACAGACACTCGAGGATCATAGCGATACCGTCAACTCGGTGGCCTTATCGCGTGACTTGAAGCTCGTGGCCTCGGCCTCAAGAGATAAGACGGTCCGGATCTGGTCGGCCGACACGGGCCTGTGTTTGCAGACAGTGGAAGCCGGTACTACCTATACCTTATCTTTCGATTATAGCCGCTTTTATCTCTATACATATGTTGGGGCTGTTTCTCTCCAAGGTCTTCTAGAATTTATAAGAGCGGCGAAAGCTGTAACTACCGGATCATCTAGAATATCTTCTACTTAAATCTTAGCCAATGATCAGAATATTGCTCTGGCTGCGGTATAAACACGGATGGTTGCTGGATAACTACACGAAAAAAAAATTGTTTTGATGGACGCTAGGTTTTTGACCATCTTCTTCAGCGGTATGCGGCTATAATGTAGTGATTGGATGTGGTTCTGGAAAAGTCATTATTTTCCGGCTTCCTGATGAAGTATGAGGGTTACGATCTAGCGCTTAATTCTCTTGCATAGCTTGTAAGTCTATGTTATATTCTTCAATCTCATTGCGAAAGAGGTTCTTAGGAGAGCGGGTTCATTTACATTGTATAGTATTTGTTATTCGAAAGTTCTAGTGCATTCGCGATTATTGGACGCTATTTGTCAGGACCTGTATGTCGCTGATTAGTTCAGCAGTACAGTGTATCATGAACAGCGATGAACTTGTAGAGATGCACTTATATACTCAGTGCAAACAGTAGCTCAGAAGTAGCGCGTGAGAACTGATAGTGTACTCAATACCTAGGATTGGGCGAACAGCCCTTATGATGCGAGTACATATGGGGTGTGAATTGTTGTATTGGGAATAGTTGGCCAGCTCAGCTATTCTGGCCTGGCAGAGCTTATTTATAGCCCTGGTCTTATCTAATTTACCTAATATGTGAGGTACTCCAATCGTCCTGTATCACCCTAACAACTACCTAGCTAGTACGAAATAGCTGTGAGGAGCTGTTATTTACACTAGTGAGAGGAGATAACGTTTTTTCAGTATTTATGGACGTAGAAGCGGGACGGAAGTTACTTGTCTTCTAGGATAGTAAGCTCCTACGCCTCAATAGCTTAGAAGGGCTTATAGGGGCGGACTGCTGCTCTTTTTCATGTACAGTAGCTAGTCTACTTCGTTTCCTTCATAAGCCATAGGCTCCTACAGGAAAGTATAATAAACGAGATTCAAGTGCGTATAAAATTTCCCAAAGTATTGTGTGATGTGTGCGTGTATAGAAGAGAGCTACCTAGTTAGCTGAAGTGGTTGGCCTATATATACAGGCAGGCGCACGGGCCACTGCCCTGACACAAAGTAAATGGGCGGAAGCCAGTTTCGATGGCGGCTGTATGAGCTAGAGCCGCCATGCTTCGGAATTGATATCAATTATAACAGGGATTTATAACCCTGCGATGGAAATTTCCTGAAAAAATATTACGAAGCCATTGTACAACTGCCATCGGAAGGTACTGTGATCGAAGTTGCGAGTACCCTCGTGACACAGAAACTGGCACTCGAGACATCTTTGCGAGACATTACCATAATTGCTCTGCCTCACTGTGGACGGCGTGCAGTACCATCTCGATGATCCGGAAGTCATTCAGTATCAAATCGTGGCCAGGAAACCGTACGTACCGAGCTTCAGCACGTATTGTCTCAAAAGGACGGTTGAGACTAAGCTCCATGAAGAGCATACCAAGAGTAAACAGGGTCTGGTGCCTGACCTGTTTACTCTGGAACCCTTCAACCCTGTTTAGGTTCGGCTTGGCCGCCTCTGGAGGTGTAGGTGGATGATAGCCGGTTGCTGAGAGGCGGCCAAGCCGAACCGAAACACGGGGATGAAGAGTTCCAGATGACCAATCAGACTTTGAATAACTCGTCACGGAGAGCGACTAAAGCAAGAGAACCCCAGTGACTCATGATCTCAGCGGAGATGATACATTGTCCACCCAAAATTTGTCAGATAATTAATCAGACGGCAAAACTGCATTGGGACCAGATGATGACGGGCTCCAGGATCTAGCTATTCCGTATACACGATGCCTAGCCATCCATTGGTCATTGTTCTTGAATCTAAGCGGCAAAACGGCTGTCTATGACAGTCCCCAGGCCGAAAGAGTGCTGGAAGAATACGAACGGCTCAAACTCTGCGGTGATCAAATAAGAGCACCGTTGCCTCTTGAGACAATGGTCGTACTCTCTTCTGTACTGCGGCATTAGGACGACCTTCAATAGACTATTCTGGAGATATTCGAAGAATTTCACGCGTTTTTGGCTCAAGGTAAGTTCGTTGGACTAATATTGTGGTTGAACAAATACAACACTAGGAGGATCATTCAGGCACAATCATTGCTGTTGACTGCATAGTCGAAATTCTTGATGTATCGCATGGGACCTATTGCGACTGAAACAGTAATAGCTCTTCTGATGGTGATGATCCACTATCACATCGGAATGATGCGACTTCGCCGCCCCGGTCGCTCTCCGATCTGCTTCCCCGCGTCTTTGATAATAAGCAGGTGTTTTGAATGGGCCCAAAAACCTCACTAGGGAGATGACGCCAAAGACAACAGCATAACCGTAGGCGACAACAAATAGGAGTCATTGTACCCTGGAGTGTTGACACAGAGAGGACGGAATCAAACAAAGCCGACAGAGTTTGCGAATATTTTCTGTAGTAGGTTGGCAATAGCCAATTCTGGGCAACACTATCAGTTTCGATATTGGCCAGCTCATGTGTACAGGGAAACCCTGGATGCGATAGATCCAGATAAACCGCAGGAATCCTTGAAATATGTAGGCAAGCGCGCTCTGTGGGACTTACATCCACTCGACTATTGTCAGAGAACAGAATGCCATAGGCACCAGTGGGTGTCAGGACACTGAACGCAGGACACCGGCGGGCCGCCGGAGGGGTGTTTCGGACAAAAGACTCCCGAATCATGATTACAATCTATGTGAAGCTTTGGGATGACGAGAGTCAAGATCCTTGGCATCGCCGACCCTGCTGTTATGCCGGGTCCAAGCGGCGGCCTAGCTATCTATATAAGGACCATCTCGAAGTAGGATAGGGAAGGAGTTGTCAGAGCCACAAGTGTCATCCGAGGCGGGCCGGCTTCCACCAGGTAGGAAGCCGTTTGTGGCGGCTAGAGAGCCGCTTGTGGCGAATGAGAGCCGTTGAAGCCGTTTGCAGCGGATAGGGAATCGCTTGGTTGCAGATAAGGAGCCGCTGTCCAAGATATTGGCCGAAGTCGGAGGAACACAGGCATACGGAAGCAAACATCCAGAATCCAAGAGAGAACCTCGGCTGGCTATAAGTAAGGAGTCGAGACGGAGGAAGATAGAGAGGGCAGAGATCAATGCATCACCGTGGGCACCCCTACCTGAGACCGCCAGTGACCACCCGGTATTACGTAGGAGGGACGCCCGTTACTCCCCATCACTCTGTACTATTGCCTTCGGCCTAGCCGTAACCTGACAACTATTGTCACACATACGGCAATGACAACAAATGACGGAGCTCCACGCGCATCCTATGCTTGGTCCATAGTTAACAACAAATCCCGAGTCTCCATTAGGGTTAGAGATGTGCTGTCATGGGCCCTTATTTACGTACAGTCCTTCAGTATCACACCTGTATAATAGTCATCTGAACTAATTAGACAGCGAAAATTTATTTTGGCCCGCCATAGCCTGCTTGCCAAAGGACTTCCACAACTCTTCCCAATTTCTCACAATGCACCAACCTTTCTACTGTTCTTCACTCCTATCCATCTCTTGCCGGTGCCTGAGTAGCAATCTCATCCTCTTGCAAATCCGCCGAGATCGAAGCCTGCGTGGCCAGAAACACGATGACAGTAAACACCAGAAGGATCGTAAAAGCAACACCAAGCTACAGTTAATCATCAGTATTTTCCCATTCGCACAGTTGCAACTGACCTTGGCATTCTCATCCCACACGCCCCGACTGATCCCTTCAAAATCACTAGCTTCCCAAACAAACACCGCCATTCCAACCACCATGCATACCACCGAAGCCGTCAGGAAGCCAACACCAGCCTGCCACGCAAATACTTGCGCGTTTCTAGGTCTGGTAATCCCATCCAAGCCCGTTTTGCTTGCGATGCATCCCCTGATGAGGGATAGTCCATTCCGGTGCGCACTGAGCCGGTGAAGACGAAGACTCTGCTGCGCGGCCGTAAGAACCGAGAAAAGCGCAAAGACGAGACCTGTTAGCCACATCGTGCGTACGAACCATGGTTGCGCGTCATCTTGAGAGGGCATCATGGTTGGCCACCCGGGGGTGCTACTCAAGACGCCGGCTATGAGTGCTCCCTAGAATAGTCAATTCCCTCACAGTCTTTGCGCCGAAAATACTCAGTTTGGAGTGGAGTTAAAGGAGGAGCTCACTACGACGCCAATGAAATTGAGCTCTTCCAGCTTATGGTGACTCCAATTTGCCGTCAGCCGGTCGCGTTCTGCCTCGTCCTCGGCGTTGAGTAGGTGCACCATGGAGCTGTACGTCGTGGCGTTGGGGGCGATGAGGCCGCTGCGGAAGACTTTGAAGAAGGATAATATACGACCCTGTATAATCAATCAGTTAGTGTGAAAAGAGACGCTTTGGCGTAAGATTGTTATACCGTCGCTCGGTTCCCTGACTGCGTGGTATAATTGCTGGCGCCTCCCATGTCACCGAGGAGGGGTATCTGGTCTGCCATTGTCTGGATTCGGCTCTGGTTCAAGGATGGGGATTGTTGACGTGGTATTAATTCTGAGTGACAGGCTTGGCCTTATAAGATGAGATTTGAGGGTAGTTCGTAGTCGTTGGGGTGCAATTCGAAGCGGTCACCAACTTGACGAACACGAGTTCATTCACGTTTGCCACATGATACAGCGTACGTGGAATGCCTTGATTGTTGTCGCACTGCAGGGAACCTGACCTGTAATACTCCAGCAATGCACTGCGCTGCTCCCGGCATAACCTAAGCCAACTTGGCAGAGCACAAGTCGATGCGGAGAGGCCCGAAACATGTTTACTCCCCACATTCATATGCATTGGAGCAAATCCTCCGTTCTACGACCAACCACTTAGTTTCGGCAATCTGAGTTGTACTGCTGGTCATTGAAATCCAGCCAAATCTCCAACATTCCATATATCTGGGCAACCTGTGTTCACAATTCTGATAATGGAGCAATCACCGTATATATCATACCTTGTATTGAATCAAAAAAATGACATTTAAATCTTTCATTACCCCTTTTCTCTTGGTTATATCAGTTATTTACCACCCATTATCCTATCGTAGTTCCCCCTTGCCTCGTCACATCCTGCACAGACGCTCATCCTCCTTTATTGCCCACCCCTCACTACCTACAGCCGTAGTACCCCAAAAGACACCCAACGGATCATACTTGTGCTTGACTTCCAGCAGCCTCTGGTAGTTGTCACCGTAGAATAGCCGTTGGAAGTCGGGCTCGCGGAAATTGGCCTCGTTCAGATAGGCGGCTGGCGACTCCGGCATGAGGGAGTCCAGCTTGGGGTCTAGCACGTCGCTGATGAGCCGCTGGCCGGCGATATTGGCTTCTAGGCTGGTGAGGTTGTAAGGGCTTTTTGAAATATAGGTCAGTTGGAAAAGATTGACAGTAAAGACAGAAAGTCGACGGACAGGTTCATGGGTGCGTGATTAGCTGCGATGAACAATTGAAAAGTACTTACGTGCCGATGGCAGCACTGACGATGGCCTCTCTCCAGGCTGAATGCACGGCATTAGGAGCCGCCGGTGCACGGCTTACATCAATGGAGACACCAGAGACAACGGCGTTTTGGTCGACTAAAAAAGCTAGAACGTCGACGAGGGATGCAATGGAATCTTTAGACTCCAGGAGGGAGCGTGGAAGAAGACGGCCGCCGGCATTGAGTTTAGTAACGTTGGGAGCTGGGTTCATGGCGTAGAAGCTGTCAGTATATGTGGGGAACTCCGCAATGTGATAGTCTGTTGCGGACAGGATTAGTTAGTTCTCATTTGAAAGAAGCTGTTCAGTTTTGTTACCATGTGCTATCCCCTTGTCTTTAAGCGCGTCAAGTGTAGGCTGAAAAAAGACCTGAAGCTCATCGCTTGTCATGCCCGGTGCCGTTGTTGGTTGGACCTGGAAAACACCTGGTGCAAGTAACCAGATACAGACGGCGCCGGCTTCGGTGATCCCAGGCAAACCTAGAAGAAACGTCTGCACTGCATAGTAAAATGCGTCACTAGACACCCCCTCGCTCGTGAATGTTAGATTAGCCGCAGCCGTCCTGAAATCAGGATACGCCCTAACTGTTAGCGACAACACGGCCGCATACGTCCCACCCCCACCCCCAGATAGCGCCCAATACAGATCCTCATTCTGTTCCGTCGTGGCCATTATCTGTTCTCCCAGCGCCGTAACAACCTCCCACTCGAGTACCTGGTCAGCCGCAAGCCCAAACTTTGAAACCAGTGGTCCATGGCCACCCCCTGAGTAAACCCCCCTGCCAGACCAACAGTCCTCCCATTCCCCCCCACAACAACAAGGCCATGCTCATGTGCGGCCTCCTGTGCCTCCCAGCTCAGCACGCCAGCTCCCACCCTCATGGCGGTGCCGTTGTAGAAGGGCGACTCGTACGACTCCAATATCTCAATGTCCCGCAAGTGGTGCGTCCACAGCGCTAAGGCACCCGCTCCCGTCGATTTACCCAGGTAATCATGCCCGGTGTTACGAACCACCAACCTAATATTATGCTCTTGAGCAAACTTCATCGTGAGCCGGTAGTGCTCTGCCGTCGTAGCATTGACAGCGTACTGAACGTAAGCACCTACAACACACTGGTCTTCAGGGGCCGTGAAGGGATCACAACTCATATTGGCGAAGAAGAACGCCATGGGAGAGGACGATGTCTCAATATGGGTTGAGGTGTAGTCCCAGACGGAGCGGAGCTGATCACAGGCGGTGGCATCATAGGGGCCGAAGGAGCTGTTGTGGCAGGGGCTCGCAATGGGGACGATGGCTATGAGGCGCCCGTTGAGGGTTTGGTTGAAGGAGGACCAGATTGGTGGGGACGGCCAGCAATCGTCGCCGGGGAAGCAGCGGCATTGATGGGTCTCGGGATGTTGGTCTTGCAGGCGTAGTTGAACTCCATTGTCTGTTGGGGGGGATGATTGGGTCGCTAGTATAATTGGAGACAGGAGAGTGAGGGTCCAAAAGAACTGATGCATCTTGTTGATCTGATACTAGCCAAATATCAGTATGAAAGGTTCTCAAATGGGACCGAAGTTTGTCTACAATATATATACTGGCATGCAAGCCTGCTTTCGCCTCGCCATGACCTACTACTAGATATTTGTCATGCTTTGCCAAACAATCAGCTTATGACCGAGGGAAACATAGCGGCCAAATATTACGAGAGGGTTGCATACGCCAGGTGGCCACCATGCCTGCTGATCCATGTGGGAACCTTGCTAACCCGAGTAATAGTCTCCACGGCTAAAATGCCAGGGGTTACTATCAAAGCCAAGTGGGGAAATGTAAGCCATGCAATAAGGCTACATACACCAACAAATCCTTCTAGCTTGCGTGATCAATGAAACCATAGGCTTACGACTTACACACATATCTCCACAGAACCACGATATGACCACCGACCACCCACTGTCCATACAGTTTCTGCCTGTGGGGCAGGCATCATTCACCTTTTTGTATTTAAGGCCCTTATGGCCACCTTCACTCCTTTGGACTTGGGGGGATCAGAGACACATAAATCCTATGCTTTGTTATAGCTTGCAATAAGTCCGATAAATGGAGTCGAGATTAGAAACACCTGCATCAGACCTCGGAAATACCATAAAAAAAGCCATCCAAATATGCAGAACCCACTCATAAAACAAGTCGTCTACAACCTCTAACGTACCCCACAAGCAAGTTGGCCACTTTTTCTTGGCACCGTACGAACAACCTTTTAATTAACATCTTTACACATACCAAGATGGGATCGAATTGGAAAGAAAGCGACATGATTCTAGCGTGTCAGGCGCTTCAATCGAAACCCGAATTAAGCATCCGACGCGCTGCCCAACTCTACAATGTCCCTCGTACAACTCTAGCTAACCGAAAACGCGGACTACTATCTCGACGCGATACTCGACAATCTAGTTATAAGCTTACGGAATCAGAAGAGTTAGCGGTCGTACAATACATACTTGACCTAGATTCGCGATCATTTCCTCCCCGGCTCCATGGTGTTGAAGCTATGGCTAACCGACTGCTCCGTGACCGTGGCGCTGGACGCATCGGCGTCAACTGGGCCTCGAACTTCGTACGACGACAACCAGACCTTCGGACGCGTTTTAATCGAAGAATCGACTACCAACGAGCCTATTGCGAAGATCCTGACGCGTATCGCGCGTGGTTTACGCTCGTACGAAATACAATTGCGAAATATGGTATCCAAGAGGCGGATATCTATAACTTCGACGAGACAGGGTTCGCGAAGGGCTTAATCTTATCCGAGATGGTAGTTACAAGTGCCGAACGACGCGGAAGGCCTCGTACAGTCCAACAAGGCAATCGAGAATGGGCTACAGTAATCCAGGGTATTAATTCGTCCGGCTGGGCTATCCCGCCGTATATTATTGTCGCGGGTCAAAACCACCTCTTATCCTGGTACGAGAATAGCCCATTCCCGTCCGATTGGGTAATCGCTGTAACCAAAAACGGTTGGACAACAAATGAGCGAGGCGTAGACTGGATTCAGCACTTTGATCGCGATACGAAGGATCGTACGAAGGGTGTTTATCGTCTTCTTATCCTCGACGGGCATGAGAGCCACTCGACTGACTTCGAGCTATATTGCAAAGAGCATACTATTATTACACTTAGTATGCCTGCTAATTCGTCACATAAGCTCCAGCCTCTCGATGTAGGCTGTTTTAGGGCTTTGAAAAGGTCGTACGGCAAAGAAATTGAAGACCTAATACGGCGCATATAACCCATATCTCGAAGGAGGATTTCTTTTCGGCATTCTATAGGGCGTATCGTACGACTATAACTAAGTCGAATATCCAGGCAGGTTTCAGGGGGACAGGACTTATTCCGTAAGACCCGGAATATGTGATTTCACAGCTGGATATTAAGCTACATACGCCTACACCTCCTGGGAGCTCATCTGGCGCCCCCTTAATCTGGGAATCAAAGACTGCAAATAACCCAACCGAGGCGCAATCCCAGTCTGAATACGTTAAAAACAGAATCGTACAGCATCAGAATAGCTCCCCGACGACAATACTTACGGCTATTGACCAATTTTCACGTGGTGCGACGGCTGTTATGCATCGGTTAGTTTTACTTCAGGATGAGGTTACTACACTTCGGAAGGCCAATCAAGAGCTAAGCCGTCGTCGAAGGACCAAAAATCGACAGCTACAAGATGGAGGATCTCTTAGTTTACGAGACGCTCAGGACTTACAGTCTCAACGGGATATTGAACAGCAGCTACAGGATGATATACGTGTAAGTCGTCGTCGTACGAGACCGGCCGAACCACGCCGACGGCGCTGTAGGATCTGCGGAGAGCCCGGACATAATGCTCGTACTTGTGAGAATGATAAAGATACGTACGAGGAAGAGGATTCCGATTAGTTTGAATTATTATTTTTTAGTCGGCAACAGGAGAACCAGTAGTTAGTGGGACTATTGTAAGGTGGCTGCTAGGGACGGGTCGGACAGCTTCAAGGCCCAGATAGCATCGATCTTCTCAGGGGGGACTTTGTTGGTAGGTTGAGAACCAACGTAGTATGGTAGTGGACGTAACGCAGTCGCCAATAGGGCGAACCGACGACGCAGCGTATGTATTTAGTCCAGCCATTAGGGCACGGTTTGACATACGGGAGTACTAGTAGAGGTACCGGGGGCTTCGAGCCTACGGCGTATTTAATAATAATAATAATAATATTTTTTAGTTTAGTAAAGTTATTGAAGTTATTCATACGGTGCCAAGAAAAAGTGGCCAACTTGCTTGTGGGGTACGTTACCTCATCTGGGAGTTCACCGAAAGCAACTTCTCCACCTTCATCATCCCCAACACTGCCTTCGGCGTGCTAGGTGCCCTAGCATCATCAGTCCTTACCCCAGGATCCCAAGACTTCTCCCCCCAACCATGGGAAATCCTGTCCCGCATCCCCGCAACCCTTTTCTTCAACTGGACCATGACATTCATCTTCGACCTATCCAACCAGCGCAGCTCTGCCTCTGTGCAAGAAGACAGCCTTAACAAACCGTGGCGCCCCATCCCAACAGGCAAAATCACCGCCCAACAAACACGCGCCGTAACGCTGGCCATGGTGCCGTTGTCCCTGGGGCTTTGCTACGCCCTTGGCGTGTGGAACGAAGGGAACCTGATCTTGGTTTTAACGTGGCTGTATAATGACTTACGGGGCGGCGACACGCTCGCCCGCGATCTAATCATTGCAGTGGAATTTGGGCTGTTCAACAGTGCATCACTGCAGATAGCGGCCGGTGGTAGAGCCGCCAATATGGGTCACGGTGAAAACCTCCTAAGCGACATCGGGCTGCGCTGGACGGCCCTCATCAGCACCGTCATCTGGACTACGATGCAAGTTCAGGATCTTAAGGACCAGGCTGGCGATCGCGTGAGGGGCCGGATGACATTGCCACTGGTTCTTGGCGAGAGGGTTTCGAGGCTGTCAATTGCTGGGTTTGTACTATTTTGGTCAGGAGTCTGCGCGTACTTCTGGCAATTGCCGCTTGGGGCTTATGCGTTGCCGGCTGCGGCGGGCAGTATAGTGGCGCTAAGGATCTTGTCAAAATGGACGCCCGAGGAAGATGCCCAACTTGGAGGTGGTGGTGCTTTTGGACTGTGACGCTGTATTCGCTACCGGCTGTTCGTCTTTTGGCAGTTTGGTGAACGCAGTTTCAAGCTTGTGTAGACCATCAAGTTACGGGTGCAGATTGCTCAGAATTAGGGTAGAGAGGCTGTTTACTTCGTCTCAGGGTTGGGCCTACTTGGTATAGGGAGACTTCATGTTAGATTCCAAAAAGTGACTAGATCGACACAACAGATTATATCAAGATATTTCATCTCTTTTAAACTACGTTCTATTACATGGAGACTTTCCCTTTTGTCACAATAACATTCTCCAATATGATATGGTGCATGGGTAGAGAACCAATCGAGCTATAACGGCTAGTTAGGGTTCATCATACTTTCCAGCCGTATTGTCATTCTTGAAAAGGCCTTGCAGTTCCTCGAAGGATCAGATTATGATCGTCATCGTATGATTACGCATCATTCTTGTGTTACTTGAATCAACGACTGCGAAATTTGCATTGAGTTTCCCCGTTTTGGTTGCCTAGTCCATTCTGACATGCATTTACATAATACCAGCACCACCCCAGCTCTATTGTGGGAAGTAAGATATCATCTGGGCTCCCAAAACTCAGTCATGTTGACGTGTACCCAATCAAACCCTGCCGTCCGCTACATTAACCAATAGCAGCAACACTTGCGAAGACAGCTCACTGCATCGACGCGAGCCAAGGGCCGCAGGAAAGACGACGATCTACCATCGGCCATTACACTCAAGCAGGTAGGATGTCCGCGAATTAGGACACGATAATTACCTCTTCTGACGCTTACATGCAGCCCAGTTGCACGGCGGGGGAACGAGATCGGCCGCAATGTATCCACATCGAAGGACGCGGCGTCTTTGATCCCCGACAGAATCCCTACCTCGGTCTAAGCTACAGGCTGCACTCGAAACTACGGCATGTCAGACTGCACTCATCCGCTTAGAGCGTGAGATGTTTTACTCCTCTTCAACAAATATCAGCGACACATCGTTCAGGGCTCCGGACGATTCGAGCAGACTGTGGCACAGTTTGGGTGTACGGGTACAGGTGCTGGTACTCATTCCAACCAATAAGTGAAAAGGGCAACATTGCTATTCACCGAAACTGCGTGCATATTATCCAAAATCATGCTCTAGGCATACTTGACTCTATCGTAGGTCTAGAAAGTTATCTACCTTCTTTACCCTAAGCCCTGCTAAAGAACGAAGAACTATGCAAATCAGATAGAGCCAAATAACAAATATCAAGCTCTTCAATAATCAATGCTCCTCAATGATCTATCTCAGTAAAGAAAATGTAAAAGCCTCAAGTCATGCCATCATCTCAGCTCAAAACACAAATCCAACCCTCCCGGATTTGGGGTGAACTGATCCCGCATATCACCCATTACGCGCATTCCCGTTTCGCCTGGCGCAAGTCGGAACCGATACTTTTTCACCAGTGTGGCCGTTACACAGAAGCAAGTGGTTGACCTAGGCAACTCTTATCTCCTATAGACAAATTAGTCCAAAGTTAGTGAGTAAGTGCGTACTCGACAAGGAAGAAGTGTATGTATGTTGCACGTGTAAGTAATCGGGTATTGGAGCAACGGATAACGACAAACAGCTGGCTTACCCGTGCCCCAAGGAGCGAATGCCGCAGCGTTTCGCGTCATTTTGGGGCTTATTGTCCACCGCTGTGGGAGGAATTCAGTGGGTTGCTCGAAGCAGTCTTCCCCTGTATCACATGAAATTAATGTAGCGGTTAGCTAGCTTTTTCTACGCCTCTCAGTAGGAAAAAAATAAACTGAGCGCACTTCGAGATATGGTAAACCGAGGAGCGATGATGGTGGTGTGGGGCGGGATGAAGGTACCCCCGACGATAATACCTTTGTCGGTGGTTTTTCTAGCACCACCGGTAAGGAGCGCGGGGTATAGTCGGAGGGCTTCGTTAAGGACGCCGTTAAGGTGGCCGAGCCGGGAAAGGGTTTTGAGGTCCGTGGTGATATCGTCGCTGTCGCTCACGGCGTTGACGAGCTCGTCGTAGATAAGGTCTGCGTGATGGGGATGCTTGGCGAGTTCGCAGAAAACTCCTAGGAGGGATGCCGCGGTTGGCTCACTGGTTATATTATATTATTAGTGCGATTTATCATCTAAGAATGGAATTGATTGAGAGGGGAAGTTGGATGGTAGGAAACATGGACAAAGCTAGGTACCTTCCCGCCACAATAGCCAGTAAACTGTCCCCCTGTAACCAAGCTACACTCGTTTTATCCCTACTCTGATTCTCTTGCTCCATAAGGTAATGCGTCAGATCCGGAGACGGCTGCTTCTTGTATCCTTCGTCGAGCCGGGTGCGCATCTGCCCCTCGCACCAGGCTACCATGAAGAACCAGTGCCTCAGGACCCCAATGCGTGGACTTAGCTTCAAGACAACCTGGATGAGCCAGGGGGTGGGGCTGAAGGGCCCCAGCAGGGAGAGGGCCTTTTGCAGCCGCACGATGACAGAGTGCCAGCTCTGGTCCTGCAGCATGCCGAACGACTTGCTGAAGACGAAGTCACCCATGGTATCGAAGCTGAACCAGAATAATATGTTACGCAAGTTGGAGGGTCGGGACGCCCGCGCGTCCGCTTCAATACATGCATCTAGATTGCCAACGTGCTTAAGCATCTTGGCCTCGTGTTGCACAAGGGCTGTAGGTGTGAGATATGGATTCAGCTCCGCGTGCTCCATCGTTCTTGTTAAGGGTTAATGGGGCGTGGATGGGAGATATACGAACCGCTATGAATGAACCCGCGTTTACATTCCTTCCGACGGGCGGCATGGGTAGTCTTACACCTTTCCGTGACGAGTGATATCGACGGGTGCAGAAGATCGTACCATTCTCCCTTGATACATTCCTTCCGCGGTCCGTCCATAGCCTGGAACACGTCGGGATGGAACACGGTGATTTCCGCCGGGCCCGTCCTCACAAAATCACCATATATCTCATGGAGCCGGTCAAGGACGAGATGGTTTTTCAATTTCCGCACTGCCCAGACGTGCCACAACTTGGTTATGCGCGCGTACCACGGGCCCCTGAAACCGGCCTTGCTAAGCGGGTGGAAAAAAGCGCGGTAGAGGGTGATGCTGATGGTGAGAGAGAATATGTAGGAGTAACTCATCCATAGGGCAGCATCGGCTTGAGGTATGTTGAGGCATGTATTGGCGACCAATATGGATAGGAATAGCAGCCCGTGAGATACAATGATGGCTGGCGCTTGGACGTGCCATTCTCCTCGGATGAAGACGCCTTGGTGTGCGATGACACCAGCAAGGACACCTCCGCCGCAGGAAACCCAAAGGCGGAGGGATGAAATGCTAATGCTGCTGGGCATTTCAGACATGATTGCAGGTAGGTAGGGGACTTGATCTGGCATTTAGATTCCTGGGTATGGTACTTTGGTATATATATTAGGCAGTATCTGTACTTCGAGGATTAAGCACACAGTTATGTTCTAGCCTGAATGCGGCATACTTGCTAGTGTAGATAGTGGGTCAGATCCTTCCTTTCTTCCACCCGTACAGAGAGCAAGAGCACCTCACAGGGCCTATCAACACCAACCTACGTAGTAAGCAGGCATGGCGATCAATACGACATCCATCCAGATTCATCAATTTAGGGCCGATCCCTTCACTTCTTGGTTAAATGTTCCTACCCGTGCCACGCCCCACCCTTTTTGATTTCGCCGAAGCTCACCAACTAAAGTTGGTGCTAGACACTAACTTCGCCAGATTTCGCAAATATAGCTGTTATTAACTAAAATCGACGTAACTGCTTAACTACACCACCTGTAGTTACAATCTCTGCTAGCTTCAAAATTCTATCTTTTCGCTATTATCTGGACTTTTTAGCTGCTTCTGAAAAGGCCTTCTTAGCGGTCTTTTTCATACGTTCGTTATAGTTATCTAAACTCCGTTATACCTTAACTGTCACGGGGTTAGGGCCGTGCACCGCATGTATATTGGTACTGCACGAGCTGGCTGATGTTCCATTCTTCGTGCTACAACAATAAACTACTGGTACCCCCATACACGACCCTGACAGTTTGTAGCACCAAAACACTCGCGCGCAACATAATCTCGACGAATTGTTGTTCGACTCCTACGATTTCGATTATACAGGAAGACGATTTACGATACGACAGGACGGGCAACGCAATACTACAAAGCACCTAACGACGACGACGACGACGACGACAACGACGACATTAATAAAACCATGGACACGGGCAGCAACCCTGTCACCTTGGACGGCGTGCTCCTTACTGAGTACCCGGCCACTCATGACGTATTTTGCAACAACGCGGCAAACGCCGAGCTATTCCAGATCCTCACGGAGGTCTACAATAGCACCGAGCAACCCGAGGCGCGCTCCAAGTTAGTCACCCTCTTATTTTCCTTCCTTGAGAATGGCATTTCTCACAGCAATTTCCTCTCCAGCGAGGTGGCAATGCACAAAGCGCGTGCCGACAATCTCCAAACGAACTTCAACAAACTGACAGCTCATTTCATGGAGGCGTCCGCTGAGGCCAGTGCCGCCAGAGCTGCCAGACCAGCAGGCCCTGGTAAGAAGAAGGCCCAGGACCACGTTGAGAAGTTCAGCGGAGATCAGAACGTCCAGAGCGGCGAACGACAGCGTGCCTTCCGAGCATGGAAGAATAGTCTGATCTACAAGTTAGACGAGGACACCGATGACTACCCTACGGAAGAATCAAAAATCAAGTACGCGGCCTCCCGAACCAATGGATCTGCGGCTGATATGGTGTCTGGAATCCTTCTCGCTGTTGCCGACGGAATCCCTTTCCACCAGTGACAGTGGCAGTCTCTCGACGATATACTGAAAGCTCTCGGCGCGATATATGACGTCACCAATCCCGTCAAAGACGCTGAAGACGCTTTGAGTACTCTCCGTATGGGAGGACTCTCTTGGCCCGAATTTTACGGAAAGTTCTGCCAGTACCACGCTTTTCTCAAGTATGACAATTCAAGCAAGGTTACTCAACTCTCCCACAAGGTTAGTGATGACCTCGCAAACGCTGTCGCGCTACAAGTCTCTACACCCGCCCCTGATGACGTTACTGCCTGGGTACATCTGTATTCTACCCTCTTCGATAATCAGCAGCGCCTCAAGACTCGTAACGCTGGCGGCAACGACAGAGAAGGCAATAGAGGGAACACGCAGAATCAAACCCCAAAAGACCCAGACGCTATGGAAATCGACAAGATCAACAGCATCATTCAGAAGGCCGGCGGACGTGGCATAAACCGCAAAATGTATAACTACCGCAAGAACAAAAGCCTCTGCCATGGCTGCGGCGACGGAACCCATTACTGGCGCAGCTGTCCTCTTCGAGGCTACGACGGTAACCAGCAGAGGGGCCGCGGTCGAGGCCAGGGAAGAGGCAGAGGCGACTATGGTGGATGGAACGCCTATAACGCTTACAATAACGGAGGCTTCAACGGAGGCGGCTGGGGTCCTTGGCAAGGTGGCACCAATGTGAATCGGGGTGATCGTGGCGGCGGCCACCGAAACCGCGGAGCTCATTCTGGCGCCAGTGCTGGAGGAGGTTTCACAGTCAACCATATGGACTTCGGTTTCGGACCCGTTGCCTTCAACCCCTACACAGGCCAGCGAATCGGAGGAGAGCAGGACCGCCCGGAAGAAAGCAGCGGCATCGAGGAAGCGGAAACGAGTAGCTTCTGCTCAATGCCGCGAGCAGAAGCATAAATGTCCTTCTTCACATGAAATAGCTAAGCCATTACACTTGACACAGATGGGAGCAAAAAGCCTCTCATTACTCTCTTTGATACACGTAGGTATTCGGCGACAACTTACTACATCAATGATAGACTCTGGATGTTCTGGTAAAGCCTTCATTGACTTAGAACATGCGCAACGGGTGGGACTTGACTTGATCCCTCTTGACAAACCACGGCAGCTCTTGATGGCCGACGACTCTTCGAGCTCATCAGGTCACGTTACACACAAAGCCCAGGTTTGGCTGCAAATCGGCACCCACATCGAGCCCTTGGAGATGTTCATCACTAAACTCAACGTCGACATCATCCTCGGCCTCCCCTGGCTTCAATATCATAACCCAACCATTGACTGGCAGACGAATACAGTTTTCTTTGATAAAACCGCTTGCGTGCTTGAATGCCTTTACCGACGCGAGACCACGGCCGTCCAAGGAGTCGTCGTTAACCGCTCCCCACTCCCGGCAGTTGACGAGACTACTTACTGTAGAAGGGCTGCTGACCGAGTCTCCGACGACCAGCAACAATTAATCCGCGAGCCCCTCGCCATAGGCGACGCTTACGAAGGGGACCCGGAGTTCATTGACGATGAATACGATATACCGATTACAGGGGGGCCCGCAGCGGCAGGGTTTAGACATATTCCAGATGCGTGGGCTGTACGTCTTACGGGAGGGCCACCCCTACGTAAGGGCGGCCATCGGCAACCACGGAAAATACGCTTCAAACAGTTAGACAAACCACCGCCCATCGAGTTATCTAGCGGGGGTGACAGCTCTCTCCAGCTCAGAATACTGCAAGCCACCTCAATGGCTACGTTCTGCCGGCAGAAAGGAGTGACAGCACACTGGACCACGCTACAGGATCTCCTCCGAAACAGTGACACGCCAGATATTAATTGGAACGACATCCCAGACGACGTATGCCGTGACGTCCTCCAGGGCAACATCACACCTATCGAGGCCAAAGAACGCCTACCATCAGAATTGCACGAGTTCGCCGACGATTACCTCGACCAAATTGTGCTAAATCGAATCACGCAGAATGATATCGACCGGTTTATCAAAAACAGAACAAGACCCCATATACACTCGACCAGCTCAAGCAACGGATACCGCCTCAATACCACCACCAGGTTGACGCCTTCTTGAAACAGAAGGCAGACGAACTGCCACCACACAGGGCGTCCGATACGAAGATTCATCTTAAAGAGGGAACGACCCCACCGTAACATAAGTTTAGACCGTTTAGTGCCGATGAGAACAAAGTCATCAAGGCCTGGCTAGACGAGCAGCTAGACAATGGCTTCATACGACGATCTACATCCTCTGGAGCGGCACCGATCCTCCTGGCAAGGAAACCCGGTGGCGGAGTGCGTATTTGCCAGGACTACCGTGGCCTCAATGAGATCACAATCCTCAATCGCTTCCCATTGCCACTGGTACACGACACGCTCGATCGTATACGGCAAGCTAAGTGGTTTACAAAGTTGGATGTTGTTGCGGCATTCAACAAAATACGCATTGCCGAAGGAGATGAATGGAAAACAACGTTTATTACACGTTACGGGTTGTTCGAGTGCCCGGTAACGCCCTTCGGGTTGTGTAACGCTCCCGCTTATTTCCAAGATTACATTAATAAATCTCTTCATGATATTCTCGATCAATACTGCTCCGCGTACCTCGACGACGTTCTTATCTTCTCTGAGTCTTTGAACGAACACGTCAAGCAAGTCGATGAAGTTATCAAGAGGCTTTCCGAAGCAGGCCTCCAACTTGATATTGATAAATGCGAATTTCACGTCCAGAAGACCAAGTACCTAGGGTTAATCATTGGCGCCGACGGCATCTCAATGGACCACCGTGCTCGAATGGCGATCCCCTGATACGGTAGAGCGTGGCCGGCTCAAAGAATTGCAAAGATTTTTAGGCTTCGCTAACTACTACCACCGATTCATCAAGGGATACTCGAAGATCGCTAGACTCCTGACATCCCTTACGGCGGCTAAGGACTGGTGCTGGACTCCTGAGTGCCAAACAGCCTTTACCAGCCTCAAACACGCCTTTACCGTTGCGCCAGTCCTAGCATATTTCGACCCATCTCGGAAGAGCATACTGGAAACAGATGCTTCTGATTGGGCTTCGGGGGGCATATTATCTCAGATCGGCGACGATGGACAGGTGCGCCCAGTGGTATACTATTCCTCGAAGCATACTGCTCAAGAATGTAACTACGAAATTTACGACAAAGAACTTCTCGCCATCATCAAGTGTCTGGAAGAGTGGCGCCCTGAGCTTCAAGGATTGACACACTTCGACATATTTATCGATCACAAGAACTTACAATACTTCATGACAACGAAGCAGCTAAACCAACGACAAGCGCGATGGGCGGAGTTTCTGGCACAATTCAATTTCACCATCGTTTACCGATCAGGGGCTCGCTCCGAAAACCAGACGCATTGAGTCTCATGCCGGAAACCACCCCAGACTCTGCTGACGACCAACGCCTTGATTATAGAAAGCAGCAACTGCTACCAGATGCTAAGCTGGAGCAGGGCGTCAAGTTCCACTTAACTGCCCTCGATTGCATCGAATCTGATGACGAACGTATCGATGAGCTGCGACTGTACACGCGGGTGCTCGACTATGACGATATCCCGATTGATGACCTGATTGAACAAGCATGTGATACATCCGCAGATATTACTCTGATGAAACAGGCCTTACAGAACTCGAAGCGCAATTGGCCTAAACCAATCCGAGCACAGCTCCAGCGCATTACTATCAAGGACTGTAAGGTCATTAGGGACCGTATCTATTGTGATGGCAGATTGTTCATCCCTGATGATGACGACTTGATTCTCCAAGTTATTCGACGCTCCCATACGGCTCCAACAGCCGGCCACCCGGGTCGTACCAAAACAGCAGAGCTGGTTCGGTGCACCTACATATGGATCAACATGCACAAGGACATTGCATAGTTCGTGAGGAACTGTCACCAGTGCCTGCGGTCAAAGCCCTCTAGGTCAGCCAAGTTGGGACTCCTTCAATCACTTCCCGTGCCTGAACACGCATGGGAGGATATCTCTATTGATTATGTCGTAGACCTACCGGAATTCCACTACAGGGGCGTCAAGTATTGCAATATACTCGTCGTTGTTGACCGCCTGACGAAGATGAGACACTTTGTTCCGGTGAAATCGCTTGAAGTGTTGGACCTGGTAGATGGATTCGTCGACAGAGTCTGGAGCCTCCACGGTACACCTCTGACAATCGTTAGCGATAGGGGTGCTCAATTCCTCTCACTGTTCTGGCGTCAACTCTCTAGACGACTCGGCACTGAATTGAGGCCGTCTTCAGCTCATCACCCTGAGGAGAACGCCAATGCAGGAATGGAAGCCTACATTAGAAGCTATACATCTTATCTCCAAGACGACTGGGCCCGGTGGCTCCCCTAGCGGAATTCGCAATCAACAACGCAACGTCCGAGAGCACCGGCATCTCGCCGTTCTACGCGAATTACTTCTTCCATCCCCGGCTAGGAAGTGAACCTACCGGCCCCCGACCTCCCAAGATGACCAAAAAGCAGAGGGAAGATTATTTCGAGGCTAACGCCATGGCGGATAGATTTGAGGCCATGACCAACTACTTACGCACGGCTATGGCGGACGCCCAGGAAACGCAAGCACGCTACACCAACGCCTCACGCAAAGCAGCCCGTTTCGAAGAGGGCGATATAGTGTTTTTGGACACAAGAGACATTAAGACAACTCGGCCGTCGAAGAAGTTCGACTCCAAGCGGAAGGGGCCATATGAGGTTGAAAAAGCATACAAGTCTGCATGTAGACTAAAGCTTCCGGAAGGCTCCAAAATCCACCCAGTCTTTCACCACAGCAAGTTGACTAAGGCCCTCGACGACCCTTTGCCTGGCCAATATCGCTCAACGAAAGACCGGTCCAGAAATCGGTTTTGGTGAACCATGACGACTTGGAGGAAGACCGAGTGGAGTTCGAGTTTACTGATATACTAGCACAACGCGGTAGAGTAAATATCAGCTACCTGGTTCAATGGAGCGAGGCTCGTGCCGACTGGCAAGAAGCTGAAAACTTTAGGGGCTGCTGGGATCAACTCGCTGAGTTTTATGCTAAGCATCCCAATAAACCACGACCTCGCATGTACATTGAATACCTTGAGGAACAGGCAAAGCAAAAAGGAAACAGGCGACAGCGCGAGCGCCGATTTTACAATGTTTCATAAATACGAAAAGGGGGAATACGTGTCTACATATATCTTGTAGGAGGAATTGGTCTTATATTCAACGCCGAGATGACGTTGTTTAGAGGGGGGCATCTGTCACGGGGCTAGGGCCGTGCACCGCATGTATATTGGTACTGCACGAGCTGGCTGATGTTCCATTCTTCGTGCTACAACAATAAACTACTGGTACCCCCATACACGACCCTGACATTAACGACTTCACTTTCTGTCAGGGTACGGCTAGGCCGAAGGCAATAGTACGGAGTGGAGGTGAGTAATGGGCGTCCCTCCTGCGTAGCACCGGTGGTCACTGGCGATCACGGGTAGTCTCAGGTAGGGGTGCCCGCAATGGTTCATTGATCTCTGCCCTCTCTATCTTCTTCCCGGACACCTGCCCGTTATATAGATAGCTAGAGCCCGGAGTCGGAGCCGTAGAGCACTAGTTCCTCCGATTGTTCCGTATACCTGTAACGAGGCAGAGGCACATAGGTACGAATCAAGGTTGCATATCAGTGCATCTCTATTGTTGAATACTAAACTAGGGAAGAAAGAGAAGGAAAGGGTTACAAGTATGTCTGGCAGTTCTCCTATTATAAGGGGAACGCGCTCGTCCAGATCAGGGCAGGCCATGTCAGGATGTCCCTGCTTATCGTCCATGTGTCAGTCGTCACACGCGTTTAACTTCGAAAGCGGCTACTACCTTCGTTTTTAGGACTTCCGGATGTTCTAGGGAGTATTGAACGATATCGTGTAGACGTGAAGCTATCGCAATTACCAAAATTCAGTTATTTTAGTAGTTAAATAGTAGTGTCAGCAATATTTAGTATCTAGTACTGCACTCGCTTGGAGATATACAGGTGTCCGAAATGCACCTGAAACAGCGCTGGAGGCGGAGTAAACTCTACCTATGTATATAGTTCAGATTGTCCAGACAAGCAGCATGTAGAGAATTGAACCTCACTTCCAACCCGAAATTCTACAAGTAGTTTAATAATGGATATTTGCGAAATCTGGCGAACTTACTGTCCTAGCGAACTTAATGTCTAGCACTAACTTTAGTTAATGAGCTTCGGCGAAATCAAAAAAAGGTGGGCGTGGCACGGGTAGTAGAAACTTATACTCCAGCAAAATCCAAGTTGTTCCTGTTGGTACATATATTCCTTGCTGGTTGCGGCAAAGGTTATAGATACGCCGTAGATTGGTTGAGTTTGATCATGTGTTCGTATATCTCGTATTAAACCCCACTAAAAACATTGTGTTACTCAAAGTTCAGTCTCTAAGCCCGCGACCTAATTATTATTATTATTATTATTAAATACGCCGTAGGCTCAAAGCCCCCGGTACCTCTACTAGTACTCCCGTATGTCAAACCGTGCCCTAATGGCTGGACTAAATACATACGCTGCGTCGTCGGTTCGCCCTATTGGCGACTGCGTTGCGTTCACTACCATACTACGTTGGTTCTCAACCTACCAACAAAGTCCCCCCTGAGAAGATCGATGCTATCTGGGCCTTGAAGCTGTCCGACCCGTCCCTAGCAGCCATCTTACAATAGTCCCACTAACTACTGGTTGCAAAAGAGGATTACGTGCTCTGCCGTCTCAGGGGCATCGCCACAGCGGCATAGCGGCGAGTACACGCCAAAAGCCCCTGTCTTGAATAAGAAGGCTGCTAGTCCTATTTTTTCCGTCCTGATCTGGCACAGCGTAGACGCCTCCAGTCGGTTCAGGCCGAAATACTTGCCCCCTTTCGGTATCTGCATCGAAGGGCCCTCCGGTTCCTCAGCGATAGCGCGTCGCTGGCGATCGTGATGCTCTGCTCCGGTGAGCCATCTCTTGCTCCAGTGGTCGAGGAGGGCAGCCGGGACCTCCTTTTCCTCACTCATCCACTCGGAGCCCCGGGCCTCCTTCTCCATAGTGTACCCTGCCGGTCGGAGTAGCTGCGACGCCTGCTTCCTCTTCGCCGGCCTATCCTGCCGGAGTATATGTGACGCTTTAGCGCTCGCGCTGCGAAGCAGATTTCTCTTCCCGCTAAGCCGTAGCCGTTCTTCAAACTTAGCAGCCCGGGCACTAAGATAGAGGTCTAGTGGCGGGATTGCTGCTTCTGCTTCCAGGTGGCGAACCGGCGTCGCTTTGTGGGCACCACAGACTACCCGGAGGCACTCGTTCTGTATCCCCATCAGGCTCTTAGCTGGCCCTGCCGGTTCCTCACTTATAGTATGCCACGCAGTCGCCCCGAAGGCAATCGCGCTACGGATAACCACCGTATATAACAGCCTCGCCCGTATAAGATCGCAGCCCCACGACATATTGACTAGCTTTGTCAGGGCTAGCTTTTGAGTTGCCATTTTTGTTTTAACACGCTCAACATGGGCGTGCCACGTCAGTTTGCGGTCGAACCAGACTCCTAGGAACCTGGCTGAGACTACCGGCGACACTGTGGCGTCCCCAAAGCGAATACTTTGCGGCAAGGGCTCTCGGGCCCTAGTAAAGTGCATTAGCTCACTCTTGTCAGGAGCGAACTCCATCCCGTGCCTCACTGCCCACCGCTGACACGTAGCCCATGCGCTCTCCAACCGGCGGCAGGTCGTGTCTGGATCGGTGCCGACGCTTAGCAGGTTCGTGTCGTCCGCGAACCCGACTACTAAAAGTAGTGGATGCTGCTCCGCTAGCTCCTCGTACAGCGTTGAAATGTATAATATAAACAGTATCGGGGATAGCGGTGACCCCTGGGGGACGCCAGCTCGTAGGGGGATTGGCTCTGACTCCTTGCCATCGAACCGGAGGCGTACCGTTCTATCCTCCACGAAGCTGCGTACCCACTCCTGAACCCACTCCGGGTAGCCTTTCCGGGCTAATATGGAAATCAGCCGTCTGTAATTGACCGTATCGAATGCCCCCTTGATGTCTAGCTGTAGCAGCGAGGCGATGCCCCCGCGTCTCCACGCCGTATAGACCACGTCCTCAACTATACGTATTGCCAGTTCGGTGGACCTCCCAGCGCGGTTACCCATTTGGCCGTTTGGTAGTAGGCCGGCCGCCTCAGCTACTTTGGTGATACGCTGGCTCATCGCCGTCTCTATTACCTTCCCTACCGTGCTAAGCAGGGCAATGGGGCGCCAGCCGCCAGGGGTCTGCTTCTGAGCTGTCGTTTTATTAGGCTTAGGGATAATAACCACCCTCGCTGAGCGGAAGCGCTCCGGGTAGTACCCCAGCCTAAAGCTAGCTGTTGCCAGATCCGCTAGGATCTCCCATAGGGGTTCACCGCAGGCCTTTAGCAGGCCAGTGGGGATCAGGTCGTCGCCGGGAGCCTTCCGAGCAGCCGTTCCTTTGATGATAGACTCGATATCCATTGTGGTCACCTCCCTAGGGACGTTCAGCTCTGGTCTCGTCTGTAATAGGCCGCGATCGAGGTCCGATAGATCTATATACGGGTCTGGGAAGAACCTCTCAGCTAGTAATTTTGCCTTCTCATCATGTGTACGTGCTGTAAGCGTGTCGCCGGCGTCCCTCCGGAGATCTGGCAAGCCGTGGGCCTCAGGGGGGGCCCAGCTCCGTAGCCTAGCCCACCTCTGCAGTGCCCACAGGCTTTTGTGATCCTTCGCCGTCCCCTCGAGCTTCTCGTGCCAGTTACGCGTCTGCGCTTCGCTGATTTCGAGCCGTTGTTTTTGGCCGGCTCTTGTATATTCGTCCCAGTTGGTCTGCGACCTTGCCTGGAGGTAGTCCCGCCGTCGTCTCTTCGTCTCAGCGCAAGCCTTGCTAACCTGCGGACCTAATTAAGGAAGTTGAATAGTTAACGGTTCTTTTGGGACTATAAATGTTGCCTGACTTGGGGACTGTGTTACCTTTACCGCTCCTTGTCACATTATCAACACCTCCAGTAAGGTCGCATCGCACTAACAATATACGGGCCTATTACGATAGTTTCGTAAGAACACAACGTCCATATCCGTGCACTATACCTATCAAGATAGTGTAGCCTGTGCTGCACCATTCTTTGCATCGATTGGTTGTTGAATTTTCACGCTGCCGTGCATTGACGTTTTGATTGTTTCCTAACGTCACCTCTCTACCGCGCGCCTTGTACTGCAGACATATGCTTTATTCATTCAAGTCAAGTGACAGTGGCGAGGAAAATCCTTGACTTCATCATCAGCCACGCGACTTTTGGCTTCACTCTTGCCATCCGGGTCTCTAACAAGCCCCAGACGTCCGGGCACCCGAGGCATCTGGTGCTAGTGAGGGAGGCAAGCGATAACACCATTGACGACCGACCTAGAATAGAAATAAATGTTTGTATACAAGATTGACTTGATACAATTATTTGCCTGTAAGCTATTAACAGTATTCTCAACCGAATTTACAGCTTCGCCCTTTCCTCCTTTGCATCACTCACACGCAAGCCTTTCACCCTATTCTTATCCTGATCCATGCCCTTTAATACCCTCCTCAGGAGCTTCCCCGCCCCATTCCTCGGAATGGAGTCCGTGAACTCAATCTCAACGAGCCACTTATAGCGAACCTTTCTCTTCATGACAATATCCAAGAGCCTTCTCCCCATTTCGACGCTTGGCCATACTCCCTGCTTAAGAACAACGAAGGCCTTCGGTCGCTCACCCGTGTATGAGTCCGGGATGCCGAGGACGGCGCACTCTTCCACGTCTGGGTGGCTAAGCAGAGAATCTTCCAGCTCAGCCGGTGGTACTTGCAGGCCCTTGACTTTGATCATTTCTTTGATTCGGTCTTCGATGTAGATGAGGCCTTCTGTGGTGATGTGGCCCACGTCACCGGTGTGCAAGTAGCCTTCATCATCAAATGACTCTTTCGTCGCAGCTTCGTTGCCCAAGTATCCCATAGCGATTTGAGGTCCTTTGGCGCATATTTCGCCCGTTTCACCCGGACCCAAAAGTATGGTGGGATCCTCCAGAGAAATGACTTTGGCGAATGTATTCGCAACCAAAATGCCAGCGCTTTTGGCATATTGGTAGTCAAAGTGACTCGGCGGATGGGAGGAAATGCAAGCCGTCGATTCAGTGGCTCCGTAACCCTGACGGAAGCCTGTGTCTCGAAACTTCGCATGCAATTGCTCAATGATCTCTGGAGATGAAGGGGCAGAGCCAGAAGACCACCTTTTTACCACACGTCTCAGGTCCGGGAGATACTTGTCGACGACTGGGTCTCGGACCATGCGCACTATGATTGGTGGCACGAGGATCAACTCCTCGATACGGTATTCTATGATGGATTTCAGCATTTGGTCCATCGTGAATTTCGGAAGCATGATGGAGTCGCCGTTCAGAAAGACGGGGTAGTGGCAGAAGCGCACTAGTCCCGTGATGTGGAATAAGGGCATCACGGCCAAGATGCGGTACCTGGATCCGTCCGAGGGGAGAACCTGGAGTTGTTGCAGTTGTTGACACTGAGCTATGACATTGTGATGAGACAGCATGACAGCTTTGGGTAGTCCAGTGGTGCCCGAACTGAAATTGAGGTATCCGCAGATGTCCTTGTTCGTCTTTCCAGGTGGAATAAACCATGGAAGCTCCGGTTTCAATCCCTGAATTTCGTACTGCGCGATAAGTTCCTGAATGTTAGTGAAACCGGGAGCCGACCCCTCGAGAAGTAGGACGTGGGACTTGGGCATGCCGACACTTTTGCCGGCAGCGATAGCCACTTCCAAGGAGCTCGGCAAAGTCATGAGTAACTTGGCCTCTGCCGTCTTCAGCGCCTGCTTCATTTCTTCGACCGTGTACGAAGGCGAGGCTCCGTTAACTCGACCCCCTTTTCCCATGAAGGGTATTGGTGAGCGTCATGGCAGATATTGCGCCCCCGACCGCCTCGGCCACCTACCTGCTCTCACAGTTGCCCACATTGCCACCGGGTACCAGATTGTGTTTGTGCTAAACAGCGTGACAGTCTCCTGTGACTTGAGTCCATAGTTACGGACTAAGATAGTGCTCAGCTTCGTAGCCTTTTCCTTAACCTGTGCAAAATCGAGTCTCTCCCTGGTGACTGCATTGCAGTAACTACCCAAGTCAGGCGAGGGTTGTTGAAGTGGCGAGAAAACCGCGGATTCAAATGCCCACTCCCATGTCGTGATGTCAGTCGGGACTGTACGGTTAAGTAGTCAGTCGCAGTACGCGTTGAAAAGGCTCTCGTTCGACATCATACTCGCAAGATCGGGATGAGGCGATTTCCAAAGCACCATACTTGTCGTGAAACCCAAGAAACGAACAATACGACAAGTTCAGGATGTGAGAAGGACGCCGTGCATACATCCCTTCATCAAGCGCCGGGGATGGAATAACCGCATCATCGTTGGATTGTGGGGTGCGGGGTATGGGGTATGGGGTATGGAGAACCTGGCGAGCGAACACACTATTAGTAATTGCATACTGTGGCCGGATGAGCATGTATGTATTAAAAGGGCCAAGCCTTGCTTTTATCTACATACATGGCATTTAATACAGATACTTGCGACTAAACTAACAGCAAATGCCTCAACTTCATCCCAAATTGGGTTTGTCCAGATCTGCTTGTCCAAAAAGTGCCTCAATCTTCTTCACGCCCTTCCACCCAGGTCATCTGACTAGTCCGCCGCCCTCAGAGCTCCCCATGCCAGTAGCACTGGACGCCGAATTTTCAATCGACGATTCCCTCTCTTGGAAACACATATGTCTTGACAAATTATTTCGTAAACACAAACCTTGTAGTCAAACAATATCCTTACACAACGTGCCGCCCACCAGGCGATATCAATATTAGATGCCCACCAGGTTGACACGTGAGAACCTCTTGTACCTGGACAGATGGATATGCTAAGCTGCTCTAGAAGCTCGATCGAGTCTGCTAGTCCCCGACGGCCGTGGGTCATGCTCTACGGCTTGCTATATCCAGGTGAATTCCAAACCTAAATCCCACGTGTTTTCCTCGCACAGAATTGATATTTGGCAGAGAAATTCAGTCCCTGCTTCGGCTATTCTGGCAATATGGTGACTGGATGGAAACATAAATTATCCTTATGATCCTGGAAAGGCTATGGACGCGATCTTCCAGTCTCCCGCCTGCGCTGAGGTTGGGACTGGGCCTTCCAGCCTCTATAGCACTCAGTTCTACAAAAAAAAGCAATAGAAATATTGTGTTCCCCCACACTCCACGGCGGGATGGGGTGCGTACGCCTCAGAACCTTCCCAGCAGCCATGGGCACGATGTTTGTGGGGGGGTTCCTTTGGCTCATTACTTAATCCAATGGCCGCGTGACAAGAAATTGAATTCTGGTCCATTGCTCTGGGTCTCTCGAAATTCTATAAGTAGTGAGGCCTTCCCCCAGGTTCATCTTTCTCCGATGATTCTTTTCATCGACCAATTGTGACCACATCGGTTTTCTCCGCATCCCAACGACCTACGCAATGTCTTCTCCGATAACTAACAATTTAACGCATGCTTCTCGAGCACAACAGCATGGTAACAGTTTCGAGATAGCCACGTATGAGATTGCTAGCCCAGTAGGCCCAGGGAAGGAGGAACTCTCAGTCAAGGAAGAGGACGACACTCGGTTCAGTGAGTCCAGCCAGGCCAAGACTATTCTTACCGAGGTCAGCAACCCCGAAATACTAGGATATGCTTTTTCTACTTGGAAAAAATGGAAAATCCTGATTGTCGTCTTCCTCGTGCAATGTTCCATGAACTTCAACACGTCATTGTATTCCAATGGCCAGAAGGGCATCTCGAAGGAGTTTGGCGTTAGTGAGCAGGACGCTCGTAGCGGTGCTGGACTGTTTCTAGTACTCTACGCCTTTGGATGTGAGCTGTAGGTGTTTTATCCCGTGCCTTCGCACAACGCACCGTGTTGACTTATTTCCCAGCTGGGCCCCCTGGTCTGAAGAAATCGGCCGCTGGATCATCCTGCAACTGTCTCTCTTCCTCGTCAACCTCGCCGCCATCCCCGTAGCCATTGGCCCCAACTTCGCCACCATACTCGCTTTCCGCTGCCTTGGCGGTCTCTTCTCCGCCGGCGGCAGCATCACTCTGGGAATCGTCGCCGACATGTACCGCGCCAATGACCAACAGTACGCCGTCGCGTTTGTGGTCCTAGCCTCGGTGGGTGGATCCATCTTCGGCCCCATCATCGGCGGCTTCGTCGAGGAACACCTCGCCTGGCGGTGGAGCATCTGGCTGCAGATCCTCGTCGGTCTCGTCGTCCAGCTCCTGCACGCCTTCATTGTCCCCGAGACTCGCACCACCTCGCTCCTGAACGCGCACGCCGAGAAGCTGCGCAAGCAGACCGGAAACGACAATATCGTTGGGCCTAGCGAGGGCGAGAGCTGGAGGGAGAGGCTGCCCCCCAAGAAGGTCATGCAGATCTGGATCCGGCCCTTCAAGATGTTCGTAACCGAGCCCATCGTCCTGGCTCTGTCGCTGCTCTCCGGCTTCAGCGACGCGCTGATCTTCATGGGTTTCCAGTCCTTCAGACTCGTTTACGGCCTCTGGAACTTCGGCCCACCGGCGCTGGGACTGACGTTCATTGCTATTGGCCTGGGGTACCTGTTAGCGTACGCCACTTTCATCGGGGCGATTCGGAAGAACATCAAGATGAGACAGAGGAAGCCGGACAGCGAGTTCGCCATGTTCGAGTCACGTCTCTGGTGGATGTGCTACACTGCCCCTTGCCTGCCCATCGGTCTTGTGCTCTTTGCCTGGTTCAGCGACAGTTTGACGTTTCACTGGATCTTGCCTGTCATCGCCACTGCTATCATCGGTGTTGCCAACTTTGCTATCTACATGGGTACTATTGACTACATGGTAAGTCACACCGAGCCATTTGGATCGTTCTTACACCTTCTTATTCGATTGACCGCCTACTAATTTCTGCCATCACAGGTCGCTGCTTACGGTGAGTATTCCGCCTCCGCCACTGGCGGCAACGGCTTCGCCCGTGACCTTTTGGCCGGTGTCTTGACCTGGGCCGCCATCCCCTATTACGAGGCCTTCAAGAGCAACCCCGATACCGCCATGTTCCACCTCCAGATCGCCAACACCGTTCTTGCCGCTGTTGCCTTCCTCCTCGTCGCCGCTGCCATGAGCATCTACTTCTGCGGCAAGAATCTCCGTCACAAGTCCAAGATGGCGGAGCGGCTCCACGATGACGGTCCTGGGGCTATTGTCGGGCCTTCGGCAAACCACCCCACTGTTTGAAGGATGCTTGATGGTTATCTGAAGGTGGCATTTTTGTTCCTTCTTTGTTTGCTTTGCAGTTGTTTGGTTTCTCTTTTTGGATGTGTTGTTGGGCTTGGATTCGATGTCACAGCCGGGGCTGGACAATATTGGGCGCGGCGTCTGGCGATGCGGACACAGGCACAATACGAAAACGCACATATCCGCCTTTGGGATTATATAGTCTCCATGGTTCCTGTGTAAATAGGTTGGAATCTGGGGGTTTTCGCGACGATGCCTGCATTATACCCAGGCCACCAGTTGGTAGACCTCTCATAGCCTTCGATAGCGTTGAAAAGTTTGAACTGTTGAACTGTCCTCGAAGGCAGGTTTCTTCCCTTTCGTTTTGCATGTGATTCAAGAGGATCGCTAACTGTAATAACCACCAGATCTCGTCGGCTGTGACGCCGAAGTGAGACAGCAATAACATCTTGCCGTTATAACTCTTCGCCATTTTTACATCTGACTTCCTTGAGAACTATGAGAATGGTTAGTCATAAGAACTTCCACAATAACCTCTCCACTAGATGTCACACCTAATGATTTTCTTAGTCCTTCTCCCTTCTTCTTGACCTTATCCTCCGCCTCCTGGTTTGGATCACACCAAGGCTTTCCCTTGAGGCTATGTTTCTTATATAATGCCTCAAAACTTTGCTCGACATCCTTTACCTGACTGAGAAACGCCTTCAGTTCAGAGGGCTCCGACGGCCGTGCCTCGCGTATGCGTTCCAAGGTGTGGACTTCGATCTTCCATCCCCTGCACTCCTCGCGCGTCTCCATAATCGCTTTCCCTAGGGCCGCATCATCCTCTTTGAGCACCGGTTTCCTGCTCATATTCTCACAAATCCCCTGCAAAGCCTTGATGTTCAACATCCTGTGACTCTGCGCCGGACTCAACATTACCGCGCTAAATGCCAACGAAGCATCCACAAGCCTCCGCGCGAAATCCAGCAGCTTCGACCTCGTCTCGTTCCTCCCATCGACAGGGAGCCGGTGTATATCCTCACCATACACCTCAATCATCTTCCTCAACCTCGCCAGCTCCAAGAACGACTGTTCCGTGTCGACTCGCTGGTCAGCAGCGATAATCGCTTCGACGTCCATTTTTACGAAGTCCCCGCAGAACATAGGCACAACTTCCAACAACCTCCTGTACTTGGTCTTTCTGTCTCGGAAAATCCGCGATACCTGGAGACACCAATAATGCAAAACATGGACCAACTCCCTCCTGGGCGCGCGACGCATCGAAGTAGCGATGTAATACAGGAGCAGCATCAATCGCATAGTCCCCAAGATGGGTGGCCTCCTATTTTCAACGGCCGCCTCTTGTCGGTAGCTCTTGTGCTGGCGGTCGATGTCTTTTAGTGTCGCGACGACGAGGTCGCTGGCTTCTTTTTCGGGGAGGGAGCCTAGGCATTCGGGGCAGGGGAGTGGGATGTTGGAGTCGGGTTTGGTGGGGATGAGATGTCGAATGTGTAGTTCGCGTTGGATGCGGATCGGGAGCCAGCCGCCGGTGTGAGAGCATTCGAATTTGATGCCGGGGGCTGTCTCCATGGTTGGGGGCAGGCACGAATTAAATCTGAACGGGAGCTGTGGGTCGACCTGTCAGTGTCAATGTATCACCCGTCAATTGATTGTTTGCGGTTCAGTAATTCAGAATTGCATAGGTGGTGTGGTGGGATTAAGATGGCACTTCTGTTTGTTGCCGACATTCTGGAGATGCCTTATTTCTACCGTATTCCGCTTGGTTGAGGATGTTGAAAGAAGGCTAAAGGAGGTGCCAGGTTTGACTTTCAATATTTGTTATCCTATGGACAAGTACTTTGTTGTCGAGATTTTCATGGATTTTCGTTGAAACATCAGTAGTTGTCGAAGAAGAAGCACGACGACGACTTTTGTGTTGTACAAAGGTACGTGGTATTAACCCTAAAGCCTGTAGGCCCCTCTGGGGAAAGCTCTGACTTGTCATCCTTAAAAGCACATTTTTATCACATCTATCTGGCCAGTGTACTGTGGTTCTGTTACAGGTCACTTTGGTCCAGTGGCACTTCCCCAGTCTTTCTCTTGAGCCTGAAAACTCAGGTCTCAGGATGCCACTTGATACAAAGTTCACGGCCGACTACTTTCAGGATAGCACACCGGTACAACATGGAGGATTAGATAAGATATGGAGGCCTGCGCGCCTGACAACACATGAACATGATTTGAGAAAGGGTTTTGGCTCAATTGGAGTCTCGCAAGTACGATCAACCTTGCAAGACCAAGCAGCAAACATACTATTGAGAAACCAGAGTATTCCGGAAGGATCGAACCATTCACCGCATCGGCACTATCCGGCCTTCCCTGATCGACAGTTTCTTGCCATATAGTGATATGAAATGACTGAAGGGTTCAAGAACAGTGGCATTAGCCAAGGGGGCAGCCCTGGTTCCACCATCCGGAGTCAGCTCGAAGCCAAGTAATGAGTGTATTCAGGGAATCAGCACTCTCTTGATGACTCTGGATGGACCTCGTGTTAATCGCTATGCCTGCTCTACGCTTTGTGCTAAGTACGTAGGCCTTGAGAGGCTCTGTGAGGTGCTCTTGCTTTCTCCGTCTGAGAAGGCAGGATCTGACCCACTAGCTACACCAGCAATTGTACCGCTTTCGGCCGAAGGCACAACTGTGGCGCTCAATCCCGCATGTATGATCCAACTATTTGCTCCACATATCTAAAATACGTTAATATATGCTGCACCTAGCACCTGGACTAATTGAAACCCTACGAAGTCATAACTTCAAGCGCACAGCCAAGCTCTGGTCCTAGTTGGGATATTGATCCTGGTCAAAGAGGGTGAATGGGTCTCTTGCCTTTCTCTGACACAAGTAGAGCACACCTCCAACGCCAATAATTTTAATGAAATCGAATATTAATCAGAGAAGGATTTTGATTAAAAGGATGAATATACTGATATCTGCTAGTGGAATGGATATTGTCTAAGAGCGCTTGCCGACTGGCTCCCAACCAATCAGAGATAATATAAAGCGGTACCACATTGCTTAATCCTCATAATGCCCAATGAAGCGGGTTGTAGTTGGAGCGGGTCCTACTACATCGACTTCAAATCATGCCTTTTGCTTGACTTGATCGTGGATGGCCCATGCAGCTCCCTTCGCAAATCTATGAAAACACTTATCTGGAAGATCAGAGTGCAACCTTGGTTTTTGGGCATCACCATTGCCTTTTTATCGTCTGATTCATTCCACCTTCTCATATCTCAGCAAGGGGTTTCTATCCGTCAGTCTAAAGGCTATGGACTCGAGAGACATAATTGACTTCATGCTTTCCCGGTTGTTTTCGCAAGCAACGTGTGTTACAGCTGCGTCTACAGTTCCGATTGGTTTCCTCCAATCATGTCTTTAGGCTCATTTCCCTGGCATGGTTATGTTTGACCATCTGTTGCTGCTACCGATCTCATCCATATTTTCCCTTTGACTGGGTGCCCTTTCAGCTTCACCGTCGGTATGCAATTACCCCATTCAATCTCTGATATTCAAGACCCTCTGCATTCTCGTGTAGCTCTCTTAGAAGTTTCAGAGCCTCCTTATCCTTATAACCACACAGCACGTGCGCCTCACAGTATAACAGCTTGACGTCCTCCACCCTCTGCTTCGCATAAATCTACTCGTTCTGTCGCCCTTCTGCTCCCTCTTCCCCATCCAGCACCGGCTGGCAAATCTCCGCCGTCAACTCATCCAATTTCTCGTGGAACCAATCGCAATCCTGCTCCGTCCCCTGCACGGACACCGCCACATCATTCACTCCTTCATAGCGTACTTAGCCACCGGCAACAGAGCCGCACACCACGGCCCCCCGCTCAAGGAGCACCCAGACTAGCTCCAGAAACGACCCTATCGCCTCGGGCCACTCGCTCAAGGTCAACTCGCCCGGATTTTCTACACCCCGTCCTCGAGTCGCACCAGACGATATTACTTTGGGCGTGGGGGAGTTCTTGGATGGTCCACATTCGTCTGCAGTGTGGTCTCGCATGGGTTGTGAAGTGACTCAACTTGTATTTTTCAAGACGAGAAGGTGCTATCCGGAACTTCGCTGAGGAAGGGGCTGTGACGACTAGTCTGCGAAAAATTGCATCGCTAGGTCACTACCATCGGTGTTCATCCCTGAGTACACGAAAACATCGGCGGCCGCGGCGTAGATGCGCTTCATTAGTCTGATTTGGTGGTTATGTTCATATCTGATTAGTTGATACAGGTCATATCGATCCGTAAAACAGTCGGCCGAGGAAAGGTTGAGCTCTGCTGATGGAAGAACGACCATAGATTCTCCTCGGGTTTGATTGAGTCATCTCTAAGGAGTACTCAGTCACCCCAATTGTATAAGATTGTCGTATAATCAGCGGATGTAAATAGGTCTATGTAGATGAATTTGTCTGTAATGCGAGATAACAATGTGATGGGAGCAAGCTGGAACAAATGTATTAGCTGATTCTCTCGGCTTATAGGGCAATTAGACTTTTCCCGTAGCCATGTTTGAGATCGGTAGAGATACCTCCATTTTAGTGTTCCTCGCAGACTGCGTGTGGAGTTGACTCTTCATTGGTTGTTGGAAGGGCTTCAGCTCGTGGGTACCCATGGCTTGAAGTACAGCCAAGCTGAGGCTCTTACAAAATAACTCTGCCTCTCTGGCATCTGCGTCGACCCTAGAATCAGCACTGCGCAGTTCCTCGTGCAAATTTTGTGGGATTATTTATGGCCTGCATACCGCTACAACCCCTCGTATTACACTATTTACAGGTCTCGTACAAAGAGCCGTTGGCTTCGGGGAGAACACATGCCTCAAGAGTACAATAGATCCACAATATCCATCTTAGAACTTTCACGACATTCTCGAGCGGCAGCACCTGTTACGGTCCTTGCCGAAAAGCCATATACTAATACGCATCCTACTTCATGTCTTCTACCCTAGAGATCTATATCCAGCGTGAATAATAGTATCTTGTGTGTTTGGGGCAGTGGTTAGTCCTGTTGACCATGGTAAACTTAGCTTCAGTTGTTTGGGACGCGTGCCATTCTGCCAGAAGTGGGTGCTCGTGAATTCTCCATAGCTGCATTTTCGCTCAGTTACTTTGATGACACTAGATTTGTACCAGGCAGGTTCGCGATCATGAGATTGCTTGCGTCTAGCTTAGCTTAATGCGGAAGGGTCTCTTTGAGAGACGAACGAAATGTGGTTTGTATTGAGATCGTGACCATCTGTCGGCAGCATCAAATTGATTGATAAGAAACCTCCACCCTACTGAAAAGAAAGCTGATCTTCGATGTAGTGGCACTGTCTTTGCTGCTAGTGTCGAGTGATGGTCTTGCCACTAATGAAATGTCAGATACTTCTCTTTTGTGGGTGATTGTGTTTCAGACTTATACAGTTAGCAGCTTTGAAAAGTATAACAATTGGGAAGAATTGAAGTCACTAATTCCCAATTATTAGTAATGTCATGTATAGAAAACTACACTTGCCAAACACCAGTAGTAAGGATCATTGTTAACTCCAGCAGTAAAATCTAGTCAAACCGCATATTGTTGGGAGTAATTATGAGCAGCACGTAGAGAAACCTCCATTTATTTATAAATCGGAGAGTAAGAGACCAATCCCAGGCCCTTCCGTCCTCTTTGTGTGCTTGAAAACGTCAGCAGGATATATGACACTCTTTCCGCCGTGAGTTTTCATGGCATGCATACAGGAAGACCTGACCGTTCCTTGGCTCAGCATTGGGGTCCAACTGATGCCTCACCAAAGTACAATTCAAGACCGGTCAGGATACCCAACCGCCCAGTTTTTGCCTTCATTTTTCGACAGATGCCTGTACACCACCATCATGCAGTCATGATTGTCCCGCGCTTTGGAATTGGCCAATGGCCAAGCCACCTGCAGGCTACTATATCTGCTATCAAGTAAAATCATGCTGGGGCTGCTGCGGCTGCATGGACAACTCATATCTTCCCCGCAATTGTTGAGCGGCCACATCGGATGTAACTATGACTTGAGGCTCTGCAAGAATGGTGCGACGAATAGGAGATTGGCTTTGGAATATCACACTCCCTACTCCAAGCGCTAGCGCTTCTGTATCATGGATTTCACATAATTTAGCCTGCTGCGTTGGCCTGAATAACCCAATGGCAGCCCGACAGCCTCGTGGTCTTCATGCCCAAAGTCCTGTGGAAGCCTCATTCTCGAATGTCGGAATTGGAAAATGGGATAGATAAAAGACCATGATTACCCGCCGTTTTCCGCCTTTTTTCATGCTCATGTGCTCAATTCCCTGCTTCGATTCGCCACCGGTTGACAGCACGGAGAAGCAGGATCGACTTCAGTCATGGCTTCACAATCTGACCTTGAGCTCTTGAGCTCATTGAAAGAGTAAGACTACCCTTTAACTTACCAGGGTTATACTGAGTACCGTCATAGTCTCCTCAGTACTGGTCAATACTCCGACTTGACTATCGCCAGTGCGGACGAGCAACACCAAGTCCACAAGGTCATTGTGTGCCCTAGGTCCCATGTCCTCACGAAGCTTTGTTCTGATCTTGATGCAGTAAGTTGACACCAAAGACCCATCCCGCACTAGTTCACTCCCGCGGGGGCTTTATACTGAACCCGAAATAGAATAAGGAGCAATTGATCTCCATTCCCGAAGAAGACTCCCAAGCCGTGCAGCTGATGATACACTACCTGTACACCCTCGACTATCCTCAGGTCACGCCCCGAACCCAAGTCACCCCGAAATCTCCTGAACACCAACCTCTCGGCGCCAATGGCACAAATGGAGCCAACGGAGCCAACGGCACGAATGGCACCCACCCCATAGACCCCAAGCAATCCAACGGCCATGGAGCTCCCCTTGTCTCCCCGGTGGAATACTCCATCGAGCAAGAAGAGTTCATCGCTGCCACCGACTTGGCCAACAAGGCCGCTGCCAAAAACAAGAAGAAGAAGAAGCGCGCCCAGAGCACTCCTACTACCACCTCGAACCTCGTCATCCACGCCCGAGTCTACGCGCTCGGCTCTAAATACGGTATTAAGGGGCTCAAGAACCTGTCGGCCGATAAGTTCGAGGACGAAGTCAAGCGCCACTGGGATACTGAGGACTTCCTCGGTGCGGCGCAGGAGGCTTATACTTCGACTTCGGAGCAGGATCGCACAATTAGGGATTCAGTGTTAAATACTATCAAGTCGCACCCGGAGCTTTTGGGTAGGAAGCAGGTCCAGGAGGTGATTAAGAAACTGGAGTTGTCGTTTGATCTGTTGATGCATCATCTCCAGAACTCGACTGGCACGTTAACGAAGTAGTGAAGATAAGTTGCGTAGTTTGTTTGACTTGAGTAGAAAAATGATACGAGACTGAGTTATGAAACTGTTTTAACCAGGTTGGTCCGCTGAAGTCTCTTTTCAGAAACGCTTGTGACCTTTCTGTGATGTGAACAGACCCTTGGGAATGCGTAGATCATCACTTATTCCAGTAAGTTCCGGTTGGACTTTTCTGACGAACATGGGCACTGAAACTGAGGGACGACGCTTGGAAGTAAATTATCTTGTAATATTTTCCTGATCACTAATCCTTCAGCGGATAAGTTCGAACTTCCACTCTAATACCCCTTAATCCTATCACGCAGACCTCTCTTCACCTCATCTTCGCATTTCTCACAGGGTCCCTTGATTGTCCCACCATTGAATTTGACCTTGAACTTAGGGCAACGCATCGTTCCCGCGAGATCTTCGTTGCAGCAGTCCCAGTTGCGCGGATACGGGTCTGTTCTGTGACAGTATGGGCATAAGATCCAAGTAGCATCGGCCGCACACATGTTCTCAGATGTCTCCTGCTTGGATTATATACAGTTATGTCATTTTATTAGTTCGTATAGTTGGAATTGTATACTTCTGCCATGAATATACGTGTTGTAAATTGATCGATGATTTTCTGTAGGGGGAAAAGAGAAATGGGGGAAGGAGAGCCGAGCGAAATTTATATTGTTCCTGGGGAGGTGATGCGCAACAGGCTGCGTGTAACCATGGAGGAACTGGGAAAGGATAGTGAAGCAACAGGCACATAGCAATTGACGCGGCGGACGGTGACTGGTGTGGTGCAAGCCGATAACCAGTCTCAACCGATGCATGGCCTAGTCTGGCAAGCTTGGAGTTTTATGTTCAGACTGTGATTCAGGGAGAACTGCGCGTCACTCGGCCGGGGAAGTTAACATTGTCAAGAACCACCCCAACCTGACGGTAGAAAGTAAGGACTCCTGAGAAACTGTTGCGTGCCCCAGGCACACAGGGTGCAGCGCTTGGGCCAATTGCCCTAGTGGTATCCCGTAATTATTTCAACTTCTCAAGAAACCTAGAAGTCAATGTCAAACTACCTGATCATAGCGAACAAAAGGAACGAAACAAGTAATTATTATGGTGACCGGCATCACTTCAATCATTACCTCCAATACGACGATGGTCCGCAGTCGTTTCCTCTATGTTGTCAGGTGCAGATAACACAGTGGCTTGCTGGGCCCTAGCCTATGCGAAGGTTGGCAATGTATAAATAGGCTGCTGTAACCCCCCCCCCCTCTTTTGAGGAGGAACAGCAATTAACTTGTCTTTATTGAGTCCCCTACAATACACTGCTAGTACCCAGCTGGTGACAGGCAACCGACTTCTCTCTAGCACGCCCGTCCTTCACTCTGTACTTGAAATACCCATGAAATATGACCTTCCGATCATGCGTCCAATGATAGCTTGGACTTTCTATGACGTGCACCGGCATCGGTACATCAATGAATCCCAAGCCCGACTAGTAACACAAGTTGGACTGGTCAGTATCACAATAGTACATCTGTGAGAGGAAAAAATATTCAGAAACGGTAGGAACATTTCGTCCGCCTAAGCCCCGAGACAACCCAACCACTTCAACCTGGTTGCCAAGGGTTTGACGTTAACCAGCCAACCCAACCCACCAATTCTCCAGATTTTGGTTGCCAAGGCATATCAATTTCGATACTTGGTTGGTGACTTAGTTGCCAAGTGGTTGCCAAGCCAAGGGCTCACTATGTTAGTAATTTGCACGTGCTAGAGGGCCCTACTAGCCCTGTAGGGACTTTCGCTATCATCTCGGCGGTCTTCTGGCGCTCAAGTCACCCAATTCTACGGAATCCAGGATAAATTTAGCTACTTCACGCTCGACAACGCGGGAAATAACGATACAGCGGTCGAATGGCTTGGCTAACAGCTTGGTTTCGATGGACGGCGCCGGCGAGGTTGATGAAGACCTCATTTCCGGCTAGTTATGACAACCAGTCAACCCAGCCCAGTGTGGATGGCCGGTTGGTCAGTCCAACGGTCATTTTGTTTACTAATTTGAACGTCAATCCAACGGAAGAGCATGGTGAGGTTTATGTCTGCCGACTTACATCTTTCCTGTCAACATATTCCACATATCAAGACGAGTAGTAAGATATTTACATCACCTAGCGATTAGATGTATCAAACCCCGTTTCTGTCGACGTGGGCTCTTGGGCAGTAGATCAATACATAGCTACCAAGATACTGGTCTCGGCGGTAACACACAATGTTAGGATGGGTGACAAGAAAGCTCTGTGTGCAATATCGGGGTAGTCATGTAATACAATGTCAGGGTACGGCTAGGCCGAAGGCAATAGTACAGAGTGATGGGGAGTAACGGGCGTCCCTCCTACGTAATACCGGGTGGTCACTGGCGGTCTCAGGTAGGGGTGCCCACGGTGATGCATTGATCTCTGCTCCTTCCCTATCCTACTTCGAGATGGTCCTTATATAGATAGCTAGGCCGCCGCTTGGACCCGGCATAACAGCAGGGTCGGCGATGCCAAGGATCTCGACTCTCGTCATCCCAAAGCTTCACATAGATTGTAATCATGACTCGGGAGTCTTTTGTCCGAAACACCCCTCCGGCGCCCCACCCGTGTCTTGCGTTCAGTGTCCTGACACCCACTGGTGCCTATGGCATTCTGTTCTCTGACATACAACGAGTAACGTATGGATGTATGTAGACACGGGTATATAAAAGCCTATGCATACACCTCGAGTTTTGCCTGAATATTTAACTTGTAAGTAGCTGTCTCTGTAAGCACAACCTGAAATAAAAGTTTCCATTACAATAAGGAACAACTCAAGTACTTTTGAGGCACGTTAATAGAACGAAAACAGACGCATGATATCTTATGTGATATTTCCGTTAAGCAAATGCTATATCCAGTTCAATACAATCGTGTTTCGGTCAAGTCACATTGACACTCAAATTTGTTAACGAACCAAACCAAGGTAACCCCGACGGGGCCAGTTAATGGCAAACTATATCAAAGAGCTCCTCACTATGTCCCAAGTATTTTGATAGTACGTGCAAGTTCTAAACCTTTCCAATGCAAAAGCTTTAGTTGTTTTGAATTAGAGCTGCCTATGGCTATCCCCCTGATCTCAAACCACCACAGAAAATTCAACACTGAAGCGCGACTTCAGTCATTCAAATTTCAAAGCCTTTGTAATATTTCATGAAAGGAATCATATTAGCAGTCGTAAATCGAATCTTTCGGGCCATGGCGCAGCCAGGCAACGATCTGGCAAGCAGATCAACCAACCTCAGTATCACGATAATGGTGAAACGAGCAGGCCGCTGACATAACCTCCACACCGTACGAATCATTCAGGGGCCTCGGTTCGGAACCTCGTGATGTTGCTGCCAATCAATAGTAGCCATGCCACCTTGCATGATTCTTTTTTCTCTTTTTCAGGAAGGTGTAACGGCATAGTTGGCTTCGTTGACGGGGAGATAAAAGTATGGTTCGGGCGTGATATCGCGCCTATCAGGTTTTCGGCTCCGCGACGAAGGCTCATTATCATAATCCCAGTTAACAAATCCTAATATGGTGATACGATGAGAAGTCGAACGATGTACAACACCCTGCTGGCGAAGATGAAGTTTCAGAATTAGTCCTGGATACTGGTGGCTGGGAAGACCGTAGTGGTTGTGACGGCATTGCTCTTTTATTCTTGCGTGATCATATAACAACAAAAAGGGAATGAATTGTGCGAACGCAAATTGTGATATTGACAAGGGTGGGATTTCGGGCGCCAGCCCATCAAGTGTACAGGAAGCGGTATCGCATTGTGCGTCAAATACTTAGACATACAGACAAGGTGGTGGTCTCTATACCTGCGTGGTCGAGATATTTGACAGGATTTTCTGGGCTGCCAGATAATTTTACAACTTCGAAAACACCGTCGGCACCTCCCCGCCCATTTCCACCAACGTGCTCTTATTCCTTACCCAGGCCTCCAATCCCCTCTTGCCATTCTCAACCCCGACACCACTCTGCTTCCACCCACCAACCGCCATCTCGGCGGGAGACTCGCCCCAAGTGTTGATCCATGTAATGCCAGCCTGCAATTTCGAAATGACAGTGTGGCATTCATTGACGTCCCTGCCAAACACGCCAGCGGCAAGACCGTGCTCCGTGTTGTTTGCCCTCCGTACGACCTCGTCGACGGTATCATATGTGAGGATTGACATGACGGGCCCGAAAATTTCCTCCTTGACAATTGTCATGTCGTCCGTGCAGTCAGTGAATACCGTCGGCTCGATCCAGTACCCGTCTTTAAGCCCACCGGGCAGGCCACGGGGTTGTGCTGTTCCACCACACAGTAGTGTGGCCTTGTCCTTCTCAATTCCCTGCTTTACCATGCCCACAACCTTGTCGTAGTGTACCTTGCTGTTCAGGGGTCCAAAGTTGGTGTTCATATCAAACAGGTCGCCTGCGCGGACAAACCGTATCTTTTCCAACACGGTTTGCTCAAATTCCTGCTTCATGGTTTTTGGTACGAATACCCGGGTACCGTTGGTGCACACCTGCCCCGAACTATAAAAATTGGCCAGCAGCGCCCCGTCCGCAGCCTGGTTAACATCCGCATCGGGGAGCACGACCAGCGGGCTCTTCCCGCCCAGCTCCATAGTGACGTACTTCATGCCACCGGCAGCCGAGCCCGCGACCTTTTCCCCCGTGCTCACCTGCCCCGTGAAACTGACCTTGGCGATGGCCGGATGGCTGGTTAATTGCGCGCCGACATCTCCAGCACCGTACACAACGTTGAACACGCCATCAGGGACGCCGGCTTCCTTGTAAATAGCAGCCAGGTACTGCGCATGCAACGGCGTAAACTCGCTCGGCTTGTACACCATGCAGTTCCCCGCGGCCAAACAAGGCGCCGACTTCCACAGCGCAATCTGAATGGGATAATTCCAGGCGCCAATGCCGGCACACACTCCCAGGGGTTCCTTAGCGGTGTAGACCCAAGCCGAAGGACGGAGCCGAATGGATTCCCCGTTGAGCCCCCCGCCGGCGATGAGATTGGCGAAGTACTCGAGGACGTCGGCGCCGGTGACAATGTCGACGGCGGAGGTCTCGGAGAAGGGCTTCCCCGTGTCGAGGGTCTCGATGCGGGCTAGCTCATCGTTACGGGCGCGTAGGAGGGAGACGGCGCGCTGGAGGATGCGCGCGCGGTCTAGGGGCGGGGTGGAAGACCACGAGGGGAAGGCATCCTGGGCGGACTGGATGGCGGCGGTGATGGAGGCGGGGGACGAGGTGTGGATGGTGCACACAGGTTTGGCCGTTGACGGGTCGGTAGAGCTAAATTGGCCGGGTGAGTCTGAGGATGGCTGCGGTTTCCCTGCGTAGAACGTGTGGCGGTCCTCTTGTCCCTGGTGGGCGGCCATTTTGAACTTCGGGGGTGGGATGAGTGAGATTGATTGATCGAATGAGCGGGTGAAGCGACGTATGAATCGACGTGCCGGGATCCCGAATTGTCGGTCAGAGATAACCAGGGATGAAGACAAGCAATGCTGCTCAAGTGATCACCAAGCTATGCGAGGTTCCCAGCTTCCAATCGGTGCTCTTATCTGCTCGGTGGTCTTTGCTACGAAGTAGAACTTCGATGCTGTGAGATAAGGCCGTGGTCAACGGTGCGGCGTACAATTGCACTTTTTTCTCGCCCTCGGCCTCACCGAATGGACCCTCAACAGTGCTAGCATCCGTTAAGCGCGGCGGTGAAAACCAAGGATCTACGCAGCGTAGTGGGCCCCTGTCAGACATAAAACAGCTGGGACATCTGTTAGCCAGACTTGGCACCTACGTCATTGGCCGGTAGGGTAGTCCGGTTACAATCTCGAGAGCTTATCTGGCCTAAGTTTAGTGCATTTTACGGACGATTCTGCGAGCTGACCAACCCGCAGCCAATCGTCTTATATGGCGTGCTGCCCGTACGAGGCTCCAGTAGTGTCGAGGCTAGCCGCACTAAATAGGGCAGTCGGACCCGTACAGCAGGGGACCGAAATGCGGCTGTCAGCTCATGTTCGGTCACATTTTGCCTCTCCTCAAGCCCGCAACTGGCTGGTATCTGGGCAACGTCAAGGCAAACAAGTCTGAATGCCACAGTGGACCTCACATCATTACGAGTCAGGTTCAGGCACTCCCTACTAGTTACAGTGGACCGCTTCCCGAGTTCCACCCCCACCTCGCGCTCCAGTTTCCTCGTTCTAAGCCCGTCGCGTGTTGATTCACGGCGTCATTTCACTGGGCTGTATCAAAGTTTTTTTCATCCGTGGTGGGCCGGCCGCAAAGCTCGCAGCAGCGCATGGCACCGGCATCTTGGATCCCACGGGCAACTTTAAAGTCTGCCATGGTCACCTGAGGGCATTGCACATTCTTCCATGCCCATTTTGAGTTGACAGTTTGCTGTTGCTTCGCAGACAAGTCACCCATTTTTTGCCCAAACTTCCCCACGCACAATTTCTGCAATCATGGCCACTACCGACCAGCTCCCCGCGTCCGATGTGGAGAGGTATGACTATGTAGTCGTAGGCGGAGGCACCGCCGGATGTGTCGTCGCTGCGCGGCTGGCCGAGTACCTGCCTCAGAAGAGGATTCTCCTGGTTGAGGCCGGACCGAGTGACTTTAGCGACGACCGCGTGCTGGACTTGCGCAAGTGGCTGAGCCTGTTGGGCGGCGAACTCGACTACGACTACGGCACCACCGAGCAGCCGATGGGTACGTATCGCATGCCATGCCCGCTTCCCAACGTGTAATCGTCCGCTCATTCGTGTCGCATTAGGAAACTCACACATCCGCCACTCGCGGGCCAAGGTCCTCGGAGGTTGCTCATCGCACAACACGCTGATCTCCTTCAGGCCTTTTGAGTATGATTTTAAGATCTGGCAATCGCTGGGCGCAAAGGGCTGGGACTTCAAGACCTTCATGAAGGCCATGGACAAGCTGCGCAACACGGTCCAGCCCGTACACGCCAAGCACCGAAACAAGTTGTGCCGAGATTGGGTTGACTCTTGCAGCTCCGCTCTCGATATTCCCGTCGTGGAGGACTTCAACAAGCAAATCACCAACACCGGCTCGTTGAAGCAAGCCGTCGGTTTCTTCTCAGTCAGCTACAACCCGGACGACGGTCGACGATCTAGTGCGTCGGTCGCGTACCTCCACCCGATTCTGCGAGGCGAGGAGAAGCGGCCGAACTTGACCATCCTCACCAACGCCTGGGTGTCCAAGTTGAACGTGAAGGGAGACGCGGTGACAGGCGTCGACTTGACCTTGAAGGATGGCTCCAAGCGGACCATCACGCCCAAGAAGGAGACGGTCCTCTGTGCTGGCGCTGTCGACACGCCCCGCCTGCTGCTTCATTCGGGTATTGGACCCAAGGGTCAGCTCTCCTCCCTCGGCATTCCGGTCGTCCATGACCTGCCGGGTGTGGGTGAGAACCTGCAGGACCACCCCGAAAGCATCATCATGTGGGAGCTGAAGAAGCCCGTCCCGCAAAACCAGACCACCATGGATTCAGACGCGGGTATCTTCTTGCGCCGGGAGGCCCCCAACGCCGGCGCTAAGAAATCGGCGGCCAACCCGGACGGCATCCCCGACGGCGACATCGCCGACGTCATGATGCACTGCTATCAGATCCCCTTCACGCTCAACACCTTCCGTCTGGGCTACCCCGACATCCCTGACGGCTACGCTTTCTGCATGACGCCCAACATCCCGCGCCCCCGCTCCCGCGGCCGCCTCTACCTCACCTCGGCGGACCCCAGCGTCAAGCCCGCCCTCGACTTCCGTTACTTCACCGACCCCGAAGGTTACGACGCCGCAACCCTTGTGTACGGCATGCGCGCCGCGCGCAAGGTCGCTGAACAAGCCCCCTTCAAGGACTGGATCAAGCGCGAGGTTGCCCCCGGGCCCAAGCTGCAGTCCGACGAGGAGCTGAGCCACTATGCGCGCAAGGCGGCGCACACGGTGTACCACCCCGTCGGCACGACGCGTATGGGCGATGTGAGCGAGGACGAGCTGGCCGTCGTGGATGAGGTGCTCAAGGTGAAGGGGCTGCAGAAGGTCCGGATTGCGGACGCGGGTGTTTTCCCGACCATTCCGACCATTAATCCTATGTTGACGGTGCTGGGCGTTGCGGAGAGGGCGGCGGAGATGATTGCTGCGGATGACAGGGAGACAGCTAAGTTGTAGATGATCACGGACGGAATGATGGAGTGAAAGATAGAGGAAGCGTGTATTAGCATTTTTGTACATGTTACTTGGCCAAGTTGGAGACAGACATTTTGGTCTCGTTTGGCGTATAGCTAGGGCATATCTGGGCCGTTCTTGTTTGCTAGAGACTAGCATAAGCATTATATCGTTATGCATTTTCAAGTTGAGTTGCTGCGGTGATATGCTGTCTTTGGGGCCTACTTTGTGGGACTCTGTGGTGGCAGTGTGGGTGTACAGGTTGCAATGTGCAACTTGCGAAAATCGTGGATGTTAGTTATAACTTGCGTGGCTGCGAGTCACCGTATGGCATGGAATCTCATGAGCATGTCGCGAGGGTTGGGATGATCATAATTGATTATTGGGGAAAAACTAGGGCTGAGTCTGCCTCGGGCTTGGAAGGCACCTTATTCATGTAGCCATGGGGCACTTTACCGGCATCTTCTGTCGTCTTTGCGGTTCAGAATTCCACCGTATCCGACGAGTTGATACCAGACTGGCCCAAATACCGGACTGGAGGATCAGGCCAGGTCACCCAAGCGCCTCTTAGCGACGGGAACATACAATCCTAGGTTTCACCATTTCTGAAAATGCGTCCACACCACAGGTCATCTTCGCATTGGGCTGCATATGAAGTCTTTAAGGTCATCGGCCATCAGCAATCTGCCGCATACAATGACTTCGGAGCTTGGTTGGGGCTTGTGGTGCACTCTTTGCTAGCCAGTGTTCAAGAGTCACGACACCAGGAGTACCGGCAGCCACAACCGCCGCCCAAGAGAATGTTCCCGAGAAACACGCACTGTCGCTACCCGCGAAATTTGGAATTGGTGTTATTGGGTCACCTGGCAGTGTCCTACTAGCCGCGATTGTTTTCCTGCTTCGAGTCTAGCACGCAAAGAACGAAAGGATAGCATGGATCAACAAACCAACCAAACTCCAAGCGGGATTGAATACATTGTCAAGCCCGAGCTATTTTCTGAGAGCGCCAGCATCCAAGGGATTTTGACATCCAATTACCCCTCTGAGATCGTCTCGGGTGAACAGGATATGCCGCAAGGGGGGCCGTATGAGAAAGAAGCTCCGAGTCAAGGTGGGTGACGACGTGCCAACGCCAGTTGTTATACCAGCCCACTGAGAGAGCTTCTCGGCATCGAAAACTGGATAGTAGGCGCGTTTTTCCCACTATACTTCGCAAGAAAGAACGGTCAGAGCTTCGACAGAATGTTATGCTAGATTTGGTTTCTCCCTGGGGAGGATATCTGCACTACACAGATGAACTTATCATATTTAATAATGCCGAATAAATTAAAAGTTTCATCGAAAGGAAGGAGAGCGAATTCGTGCATTTATGTCAGCTGTCAAAGGAAAACTCCATTTCGGCACAAACGATATTCTCTCCATTTCGATGGAAAGGGAAGTTAACGTGCATTGGACTCTTTGAAATCGACTAGTTTGAAACAGGGCTGCATACAAAAAGGCTTTAAATACATACATATTATAGACACTGTTCAGAGAGATGTATTTCTTGAGATGGTACATGTTACGGATATACTGTTAAATACTTTGAAGCACAAAAGTTTTGGCGGAGAATTTTCCAAGTATCTCAACTCTTCGAGAAGAATAGGAAAGTAGAACAGAACAAAAATGTGATTCTTGTACCCAGATAGAGAGCGACCGGCGAAAAGAGAGAAAACGTCTTCCTCAACTGATGTGGCCAGATGCAGCCGGCGCAAAGAGAAATGATATCCTCCGCTCCGCAGCTCATATGCCTGACGAATTCCGACCAGCGCAGAGCTGTAGTCCCTTACTTAGATTTACACGCTTGGATATAAATCTCCTCTCAATAGGTTATTGAAGATCTATTTCCACTGAGGTCCCCAAGTATACACCAGGTCTCAGGTATTGGCTTTTCAACGGTTGGCGAGGCGTTTCCGGGAAATTGACAGCTTAGCTTGTGACGGGCGAAGTCGTCTCGGCGGGAGCGTGCATGGTAGGTCTCTCTAGACACAAAACTCACCGTAGCCACATGTTAGTACCCATCTCATGTATGCGATCATTTCGCCAAGAGTTGTGCTTTCCAGTGCCGTATGAAACCTAAGTCGTTCTCAGCTGTCCTTTCTTACCCTATTTGTGCAATGGATCGAAGTGCTCAAAGAAAACCACACTCAAATTGTGCACATGACTGTCGATCCAAGATTTTCCGCAAGAACATGCATTTATGCAGGAGTGCTTGTCGGGGTGTTGCAGTGTTATTTGCGTAGGTGGTACCATTAGCTAGTGGGAATTTACGACTGCAGTAAGTAAGTTAAGTCATCGCAAGACCAACGTCGTTACTCCTGCTTCATATACATAATTGTCATTTATCAGCAATTTGAAATCTAATACTATAATTACGTACAATTGGGATGAGCAATGTTCTAACAGTACAGAGATAGGCATCTGCTAGTGTCCATTGCTCGTTATATTCAGAGGTAATATACCTGGGTGATAGGATCAGGCTGGATCTTCTTTTTTCATATTGAGCACCGGGTTTAATGAGGTTATGAGAATGCCCATTATCGAGAAGAAGGATTGACGACGTGCAGCCAAACCTAGTATTGTATTTTTTACAAGTATGTCGCTGTGTATTCTAATCTATCAGGAAGCCTCCCTAGCACGCAAATATGTTACAAAGCTCCCTTCCCTGTGCCCTCTTCGTCTTAACTACTCACCAAGCCGAAGTATTAAAACTGGACAAATCCTCCTCCACCAACCCCAAAGTATAATTACTCCCGGAGAACCAATCCCCTAACTGATTAGTAGTCTGCATCATTCCCCCTCCACCTGTCCCTGCACCCGTACCCCCGAACCCTATCTCCTCTCCCTCTCCCCCCGCCACCCCCGTCCCTGTCCCCATGCCCTCATCCGTAGGTATGAACCCCAACTGGCTAAGATACATATCAAACTCGTTTCCAACAGGGATCATAGCCTGATCCATTGCCTGCTGGGCCTTGGCTTCGACGTACAAGAGGGCGACGTTGTACAGCATGCGGGATAGCTGGTGCAGTTTGTCGATGGCGGGGGATATGTGGGATGATCCCTGCAGGGACTGGACGAAGAGCTCAAGGCAGCGAAGGTCGTCAGCGTTGGAGGTTTCGATAGCGTGGCAGAAGATCACAATGAAGGGGATGAAGGGTGCGTAGAGGATGGTCCTAAAAGTGTATTGATGTCAGTGATCCATGTTCATACATGTGATATTTATGTAGTGAACGCGGACATGGACAGACTGTGATAAAGATTGCGATACGGAATAGGGTTGGACTCAGGGGTAAGCTCAAGGGTAGGTTCACTCACCAATGCAAATACACCACCGTTAAACTCGGATCAGACATCATATTCATGGCCTCCTGATGAGTCCTCATAGCTGCCCTTGCCGTATCCAAACACTCATCCGCAAATGCCCTACTCCCCGTTCCCGCCCCTGGCGAAATCGGAATTGCCCTATACGCCAGCGCCAAACTCGAAAAATACGACACCTGATCGCTCTTCAGAATCAGCACAAACATCCGACTCTCTTTATCGTCCTGCCTAGCCGCTTCATCGTACAGCTTCAACGTTTCTGAGAGTAAGAATTTCAGGTCATTCACGAGAATTTCCACCTGCTTCATGCGAGTGGCGTCCGTCTGCCGCAGCGCGCCGGGCGAGTAAAGACGCTGGTATATATTTCCCTGAACCTCGGAATGCTTGATCCACAGACTCAGAATCGCTGATGAGGGCTGAGTCAGGCTGCCGTGCGTTTTTTCCAGCACGCTGGGGAGGCTAATATCGTAGTCCTGGAGGATACTTGCCCGGCCCAGTCGGAGGGAAAGGCCCTTGTCGAGCATGTACGTACTCCAAAACAACAGCGCCTTGTCGGACCTTACCCTGGGGCTGTCATTGCGGACACTACTTTCCTGGTGCAGACCTAGTGCGCGGCACATATGCGTTGCTCTACTCGTCAACAGCCAAGCTAGACTGGGTCGGCTGAGGTCGATGGCAAAGCTGGCGCCCATGAGGAGGGCCTCGATGTTTTCGAGGGTGGCGGGCATGAGTAAAGGGAGCTGGGCGAGGGCGGTCTCGACGTTGGCTTGGCACATGGCGCAGCACTGCTCGAGCTGCGTCTTCTCAGGCGAGTTGGCCGTAATCGTAATGGCGTTTTCGAAGAAGAGGTAGTTGAGGGCAGCGTTTACGACGATGAAGGTCGAGATGGGGATGTCATGGTCGTCGGTGCTGAAGTAGATGCGCCGGCATTTGTCCGTGAATGCGTCGATGTCGGTGAAGCAGGTGACGACGAGGAGCATCATGGGCCCCGGTCGTCCTGGTAAGGTATTAGTTATGCATATCACGACATTGCCCCTTTTCACAAGTATAGAAAGGAAAGTGGGTCGACAGCAATGATGAAGCCAGACTCATACGTTTGGTCAGCCTCAACTTCTCCACCACCAAGTCCATCGGAGGCATGGGCAAATCTTTCAACTTGACTCCCGGACCCCTTCCAATCATATTGCCTTTATGGTTTCCCTTAGGGTCTTCATCGCCACCTGTTGCCCTGGCATTCTTCTGCAGCTGAACCATAGCCCGGAGACTCGACAGAGCCGCCTCCATGCGGTCACTGCCCCCGCTGAACGTGGTCACATCGTGGACTGCATTCTCGAGGAACTCAGATGCGAAGGCGGCATGTGCAGTCAGTGAACTGCCCCCTTCGAAGGGCTCCACATCCTCCGGGTCGAGCGCGGTAGACACACTGTCTTCAAAAGCCGAAGGGGTCTCCTTGTCCGCTGAGCTTCCCGTCTGTGGTCCACTGTGTGATGAACTGTGAGAGGACTGGCCCGAAACTTTCGGGTTGAAAGATGCAGATGGGACAGATAAATTTCGGAGCAGTGACTCAATGCCAGCTAAACGCTCCTGCATATCATCGAGCTTCCTCTCACTGGAGCTGAGTCAGCCACTGAGATGGATCCAGGGGGCAGCATCCTGGGGGCATACTATTGGCGAGAGATGAGCACCCTTTGCCCAGGTTCCTTGGGCTTCTGTCCCAGACCGAGTGAGCTACAGGAACGTTTGGCACTTTTGCAATTGGCGCACGGCGATTCCTTGTCACAGCGGATCTAAAGCACGAGCTTGTCAATATACGGTATAAGTCAATATCAAGTATCGAGTGAATTGCCGACAGACCTACCTTTCTCAGTCTACACTGGTCGCACTGCAAGCCAAGAAGTCAGTGGCTGTCTACAATGATTTCCGAAGTCCACGGATTCCGGCCGGGAGTAGCTTACCGCTCGCCGAGTGCCTGCCGGCGATGCCCCACCATTACCACCCGCTGATTCGGCATTCATAATATCTTTGCTTCGAGATTATGTCGAACAGTTGGGACTGCAACCATCCGATGACTGAATGCAGGAACCCAGTACTATGTGGGGTCAGACGACAGCAGAAACTTGGGTCGTACGATGGGCGAGCTCGGCTCAATGTGCTCAATTCCCCCAGACGCCGCAGGTACGACTGTTTGTCCAATCATGATCCATCCCGGAATTCGGCATCCGCGGGTTCCGATGCGAATATTGTTCAAGTCAATAAAATGAACGTTCGACAAACTCATTCTTGATTTCCTCTTCTTGATGACTTGGTTGCGAGAATCGGTCTTCAAAACCAAGCTCAATCATATTTATCTATGCCGTTGGTATCATCACGTCGTGACTGATTGCTGCACATGAGATATAAGCATTTATACCTTCATTTACGGCTTTAAAATCCTCACAAATCCAGAAACCCATTTCTCCCATCGAGCCTCTTCCGTTGCGTGAATCCGTAGCAATTTCGCACTCAGCTCGTTCAGTGACTACCCACAATCCACTAGATTATAGTCGTCCTTAGCAACTCAACTTTCCCAGATCTAACCCCCTCCACCTCCATACCTGCGAACATTTGCGCCAGAAGGCTGGTGCCGAGCCCCTCTGGCGCATGATGGCAACTCCCTGGCTCAATGTTGCAGGCATGAACAAATACGCCGTCTTGCCCCACTACGCACACTTCCTGTGAGCCCACCGTGACCAATGCTTTCTATCCTGTCAAAGTATTACATAAATTGTTGCAGTAGCTAGTGAGCTCGTCATCGAGGTCTTGGCAAACAGGAGAGGATTGTTAGATGATGTGTATTTGCGCTTCTTTCAAGCACACGATTCGAGTAAATGTCTGTGTTCATGGTCCCACGGGAGGTTCTCAGACTCAAGCTGCCATATTGGCCAAAGTCGGCCATGCACCAGGACCAGGGACACGCTTAAGAGAATGAAATCGAGACCTGAGTTTCCCTATGCGTGGAAGTGATGTCTTCTCCCGGGAATAGCTTCCCACTTACATTTATGTACAATGCTTTCTTCCCTTCTCCAACTCTCTCTTCCGTCGTCTGGAATTCCCTTGCCCATCTCCCTTCCTCGCAACTCCCCGTCCTCAACACACCCGATTCAACCCAGCGCAGCGACCTCCCTTTGCGTTTTAGATGTCCTCTCGGCCTCGAGCTCCCTCTCAGCCTGCTTGTAGTACTTGGCCGTATCGACACCATGCTGGGGGTGGTTGACAAAATTGAACCAGGGCAGCAGATGCATAGCCATGGCCGAGTATCTGCTCTGGCGCGCGGCGACGCCCTGCATGTGTGGCGTCAGCTTGCTCTCACCATACAGCGGCTCGCCCGCCTTGACCTTGGCCACCATCTCGCGCATGTCCATTTCGACTTCGCGCGAGTTCTCGAGGACGCCGTAGAATCGGACTGTATATCGCGAGGTTAGTTTTCCGTTCCAAGTGGCGAGTACATAAATATGTATCTGGATAGCATTTTACGCACGAGAGGATCGCTGGTAGAAGTAGAGGAAGCCACCCAGAGCTCCAATAACACCGCATAGTCGCATTGCGCGGGCGAACCCTCCTCGGCCGACTTGAGACGGCGCGAACTTCTCCATGGCGTAGAGCAGACCCGGTCCTCCTAATCCGGCGACGATGCCATGAGCGTAATCTGAGGGTCTCGCATAGCCGATAACTCTCTTGAAGTGCCTGCCATAGTATCAGCCTCCCTTACGGATGAGTGGTCGGCAGCGACAGCCACATCGATTGGGATATTCGAGGATTCGAACGTACGGGTCATTGTCGATGAGCTATGCGCGCATATTAGCCACTTGATATGCGTTCTTGCTGGCCAATTGGGCAAAGTCTTACGGGATACTCGGTCCTCAGGACCTTGCTGGGCGTGTAGCTCGGCTGCTGTGGTGTCGACATGGTGATGTGCACAATTGGGCTGTCCAATATTCGAGCTGCGGAGCTCCTCGAATCGAATGAGGTCGTTCTTGGAAGCTTCAGCAAAACAGCCGAGTTCCAGGGCGGCTAAACATCGGGTGCTGACAACTCCTCAAACAAGATGGTTGAGACTGGCTGCAGGCGCTTAGACCCCCATCCCACCACCAACGCAACCCACTTTAAAGTGATCTAATTGCACGACGCGGTCTTCCATCCGAAGACGCGTTTTGGTACGGGTGTTAGTGACGATCCTGGTACAATTCTGTACATCTTCTCGATCGAACTGCATATTTCATTGTGCAGAGACTGTTAACATGGCGCCAGTGACTGTTGACTACGATATCGACAATTTCGATGTCGACGATTTCAACGATCCGTTTGCCTCGGACGACGACAACACCAGCAACAAAGCCCAGTCTAAGAAGCGCGATGCAGAAGCCAGCGGACTCGGTATTGACGAAGCAATCGCCGTCCACAAGAAGCCCAGAGCGCCCAATGTCAAGTTGGATGAACACAGGTTCGTAATTAAGATCCGTTGTGCTCAAGCCCAGATTGACAATCAATACAGACTACTAAGCGACAATGGCATACCCAAATTACGAAAGAAGGCGGGCGAGCTGAAGTTCAAGGGCAAGGGGCACGAGGTTCGTAGAGTCGACTCTCGTGTGCTCCTACATAGAATGCTAACGCGCATAGTTCTCCGACACCAAACAGCTCCTCGACCTCTACCAATTTTGGCTCGACGACCTGTTCCCGAAGGGCAAGTTCCTCGACTCTCTGGCCATGATAGAGAAGACGGGACACAAAAGCCGGGTTATCAGCGCTCGCCTGAACTGGATCAATGAGTTGAAACCGAAAGCGACTCAGGACAGCGACGAAGAGCCAGAGGAAGAGTCGAATCCATTTGAGGAGCGACAGCCTGCCAAGTTCCCAGCGAGAGTTGCGCCGATATTCCAGAACCAGGTCAGGGCGAGCCAGCGACCAAAGACACCAGATAAGGAGGATTTGTTTGGAGATCCGGATGAAGATATATACGATGCCACTCCGAGGAATACCACAACGACGGCGGCGGCTGGGGGGTCGTTGTTTGGGAACGGTGCGATAGGTGGTGGTGAACCGGATGAGGAAGACCTGGATGCGCTCATGGCAGAGGAGGAAGCGCAGCGAACTTCAACCACTTCAATATTTGGCAGTGGAAGGCCTGCGCCGAAGCCCGCACCACGCCAACAGGCGCCTGATGATGATGATCTGGATGCATTGATGGCGGAAGCTGAAGCTGAGTCGAGTATGCAGGAATATACTCAGGCAAAGGGACCGAAACCCAGCAAGCCAGCCGTGGAAGATGAAGATGAACTCGATGCCCTTATGGCCGAGGCGGAAGCAATGGACGCTGGGACACGGGCGGTGTCAACAAATTTGCCTCGACGGGATAAGCAGCCAGCGGCAGATACAACATTCAATGCAGATGATGAGGAAGCTATGGCGGAAATGGATGGATTATGGTAAGAGTTGGTGTACGAGGAGTTCAGGTGTATTATGGTGTCGGAAATTTGCCCTGGCCCAATAGCTGGGTACTGTTGAACACCTTTGAGTTCTAAGGCCAAGGAGAACTAGGTATTATGATAATATGAAGAATTACGGCTATGATCAATGTCTAACAATAGCATTCAAACGAAGGCTTACATTACAGGTAGAGAAGCACGAGCCTGGGAGTGTAATTGAGATTCCCAGGTTGTCATTCTTTTATTAGCGCGGGGTCGCAAAGAAGTCGGTGTTGCAGCTTCCGACACCCCACCATAATTCCAGTTTCACCAACAAAGACACCACCAATCTGAGGTGTCAGCGTCATTCAATCACCTATTATTTCCGAGCTCGCTTGAGTCCTTATCACTTCATATTCCTCATACGCCTGTCATACGCCTGATATCTGCGAATCGAGCGTCAAGATGGCGTCTTCCGAATTAATAGATGCCATGGAGAAGCTCTATGTCAGCCCGCAACCTGACGATTTCAACATCGACGACATCCTTTTCCAGCAAGGCCCGCGAAAGCGCCTAAAGCAAGACCCCGCGGCGCTCAAAGCCCAGCTCGAGAAAGACTTCCTCACCCCATCGCCCAAGTTCTCAACTGAATGGCTCAACCGTCTGCAGCAGCGATGGGACTGTCCCACCTATGTCACGGATCTCTTCCGCATCGCGCCCACCCAAACGAGGACAGTGACGCGGTTCATGAGACAAGGGCTGGAGGGCAGAGTTACTGGCTATAAGAATGTCACGGTACCTGCGAACAGCGCCACAGCCAAGAACTCCACGAGCATGATGCGCAGACCTGCGGGCAAGGCGGACATGATCAGAGGCGCAGCTGGCTTCTTCCCTTTCGCGCCTGGTGGATTGGAAGGGGTAGACTCCATTGATGCAGTTGAGGACCAAATTCTGCGATCTGGTGGTGTGGGTACGAGTGGGACAGGCAATAAACTCGAGCGTGTCATCAAGCTTGGTGCCGAAGGCGGCTTGCTCGAGGTTGCCCCTGGTCTGGAAAGAGGTATCGACTTCAGCAAGAAGAAGAGCAAGGTCAGCGAGAAGGAAGCCAAGGCTATCGAGGAAGAGCTGGGTCAAGAACCAGAAGACACGCCAGAAAATAACGGCAATAATGGTGTCGGGACCAGCGGAGTCAACAAGGATGACGACGAAGAGAAGGAAGAAGATGGCGAGGATATCGATGCTCTCCTTCCTGTCGAATTCCCAGCTCTTGAAGCTCATGGTAATCTGAAGCCTTCTAGCGGTAGAAAGGCTGGGAGAGACTGGGCGCATATGGTCGACATTAATCGTGATATCACCAACTTTAGGGAATTGGTTCCGAACATGGCAAAGGAATGGCCCTTCGAGCTCGACACCTTCCAAAAGGAGGCTATTTACCACCTGGAAAATGGAGACTCGGTATTCGTGGCTGCTCACACCTCTGCTGGCAAAACGGTCGTGGCCGAGTATGCCATCTCTTTGGCCGCCCGGCACATGACTAAGGCTATCTACACTTCGCCCATCAAAGCTCTGAGTAACCAGAAGTTCCGCGACTTCAGGCAGATCTTTGACGAAGTCGGCGTCTTGACCGGAGATGTTCAAATCAATCCTGAGGCTAGCTGTCTAATCATGACAACCGAGATTCTCCGAAGTATGCTCTACCGTGGTGCTGATCTCATTCGGGATGTCGAGTTCGTCATTTTCGACGAGGTTCATTACGTCAATGATGCTGAGCGTGGAGTGGTATGGGAGGAAGTCATCATCATGCTACCCGAACATGTGACGCTCATTCTTCTCTCTGCCACTGTACCCAATACCTTCGAATTTGCTTCGTGGGTAGGAAGGACCAAACAGAAGGACATCTATGTCATTTCCACTCCAAAACGACCAATTCCTCTCGAGCACTACCTCTGGGCTGGCAAGGATATTCACAAGATCGTGGATCACGAGAAGAAATTCATCGAGAAGGGATGGAAGGAAGCTGACCAGGCGTTGCGCGGCAAGGACAAGGTCGTCCCTCCGCCTGCTGCTCGAGGCGGCGCCAATCAACGAGGAAGCCAACGAGGAGGCGCTCAGCGCGGTAGCCAGAATCAAAGAGGCGGACAACGAGGCGGTGGTCAAGGACGCGGCCGAGGCGGACCTCCCAGAGCTGGCCATGCCCCTGGCCATATGGGTAGAGCCGGTCGTCCAGGTGGATTCACTTCCATGGCCCAGGACAAGAACCTGTGGGTGCACATGGTGCAGTTCTTGAAAAAGAAGGCTCTTTTGCCTGCGTGCATATTTGTCTTCTCCAAGAAGCGATGTGAGGAGAATGCCGATGCTCTCAGCAACCAGGACTTTTGCACTGCGCAAGAAAAGAGTCATATTCATATGATTATAGAGAAGTCCCTGGCAAGACTCAGGCCAGAAGATCGGGTGTTGCCTCAGATTATTCGTTTGAGGGAACTTCTCTCAAGAGGCATTGCTGTGCATCATAGCGGGTTGCTGCCTATCGTCAAGGAGTTGGTCGAAATCTTATTTGCGCAAACCCTGGTGAAAGTGCTCTTTGCTACCGAGACGTTCGCCATGGGACTAAACCTACCGACCAGAACGGTCGTCTTTTCAGGGTATAGGAAGCACGATGGACATTCGTTCCGCAACCTGTTACCTGGAGAGTACACTCAGATGGCAGGTCGTGCGGGTCGTCGAGGTCTGGATACCGTTGGTTCGGTCATTATTGTCCCACCTGGCGGAGGTGACGAGGCACCCCCTGTTGCTGATCTGCAGAAGATGATCCTGGGCGAGCCTAGCAAGCTGCGTTCCCAGTTCAGACTGACGTACAATATGATTCTCAACCTACTGCGGGTAGAGGCTCTCAAGATCGAGGAGATGATTAAGCGCAGCTTCTCTGAGCATGCTACCCAGCAACTGTTGCCCGAACACGAGAAGGGTGTCAAGATTGCCGAAGCCGATCTGGCCAAGATCAAGCGCGATACTTGTGACATATGCGACCCGACCATAGAGCAGTGCCACCAAGCTGCCATGAACTACAGGCAGCTCACCCAAGATCTCTACAAGGGGTTGCTGACAATTCCCATTGGCCGCAAAATGTTTTCCAAATCGCGCCTTATTGTCTTCAACAAGGATGGTGTTCGAACCCCCGGGATTCTACTTGCCGATGGTGTGAGCAAGAAAATCATGGGCAGCCAACCAACCGTCCATATCTTCGAGATCCGAACCCTGCGCGAAACTCGCGATTCAACCGATCTACTCCCCTTCCTACCCGCTTTCAGGTCACACTTCACGGCGTTGCCGCAGGCCAAGAGGCACGTTCAGTTTAGAACATTACACGTGCCGCTGAGCGACGTCGAATGCCTGACCACGAAGGTGACAAGGGGGATTGTGCCGGAGATTTTTGAAGGTGGTGAGGGCTATGTCAAGGCCAAGGACCGTATCCACGGTTTGTGTAGGTCGTGGGACAACGACTGGTGGAACGAAATGGATCTATCCAAGGTCAAGAGCTTGCCTCTTCAGGAGATTATGGAGAAGAGGGCCAAGGAGGAATCTGAAGCGGGCAATTTCGCACCGCAATGGTGCAAAGACTTCTTGAAACATGTAAGCCCCCTGTACATCCCTGGTCGCCATTTTCTTTCTTTTTCATATACACGAAGCTAAATAAGTATTCTGCTAGTTCGCAATGTGCCACGATCAATGGCTCATCAAGGAGCATATTATCTCGCTCCGCCAATCCCTCTCAGACCAAAACCTCCAACTCCTCCCCGATTACGAGCAGCGTATCCAAGTGCTCAAAGACCTATCCTTCATCGACGAGAACTCACGCATCCTACTGAAGGGCAAAGTCGCCTGCGAGATACACAGCGCCGACGAGCTCGTCCTCACGGAGCTCATCCTCGACAACGTCCTCGCTGACTACGAACCGCCGGAGATTGCCGCCCTCCTCTCGGCCTTCGTCTTCCAGGAGAAAACCGACTCAGTCCCCAACTTGACGGGCAACCTGGAGCGCGGTATGAAGACCATCATCGAGATATCCGAAAAGGTGAACAACATCCAGACGTTGCACCAGGTGATCCAGTCTTCCGAGGACAGCAATGATTTCGTATCGCGCCCACGCTTCGGACTCATGGAGGTGGTATACGAGTGGGCCAGGGGCATGAGTTTCAAAAACATTACGGATTTAACGGACGTGCTCGAAGGAACGATCGTACGCGTTATTACGAGGCTCGATGAGACTTGTCGCGAGGTGAAGAACGCGGCGCGAATTATTGGTGATCCCGCTTTGTACCAGAAGATGGAGAAGGCGCAGGAGGGGATTAAGAGGGATATTACGGCTGTGGCGAGCTTGTACATGTGAGCGGGCGGTCCAGGGTCGGTTTTGAAACATGGTGAAGTCGAATGATAAAGCGTGTCAAGGGGTTGGTTCATGTTTTGGGGGCATGATGAGCATGAGTCGGCGTTTGCAGATTTGATGGCATGGGGGATTTTAAGTCCGGGAGGCCCATAACGGATATTGTGAGATGATCAATCCGTTGCTGAGCTTTGTATTTGTACGAAACTTTAGCAACGTTCTCGCGCTGAGCCGTGTGATGGCCATAGACCGATGCACCGGGTTAGGAATCATCCTGACTGTGCCACAACCCTTCCATCAGGGAAAGACAACCCCGTCCGTTCATAAATGAGAAATGAGCCCTGTGCTTGCGCCCGCACCTATTCCAGCTAGAAGTCGCAAAATTTCCTGTGAGGTGATAGCGGAACTCGCTCCGTTAAGGACAGTATCAAGATGACTTCTCGGACAAGCTTGACATATCCAGATAGACCTTTAGCTTTTGAAAACACGATCTGGGGGAGGCGCATCATTTCCTATACCATCCCAGTAGCATAAACTTGGCCAAGGTTCATAAGAATGTGTTTTCTTCTAATCATTTGCAAAGTGACAGTTGCTATCCCGATCATCCCACGGTCCGAACGCCAATGCTCCATTATCTAATCAACGACCTCAGCCACGTCATCTGGAGACCCCTCCACCACCCCTTCCTCACCTCCTCGCTCATCCGCGCCTTCCTAAGCGCGCAAAGCCCTCAACCGCTGCTGCAGAGCATCCTCCTCCTCAGCCGTCGGCTCATTCGTTTGGGATTGCGCCGGCGTTGGCTCCTTGGACGGCGCAGTTGTAAGCTCGGTATTCAACTGCACGCCCGCATCATCCGCCAGCTTGCCCAGCAACTCATGCACCGCATCCTCAGAAACCTGTGCGCTGGTCGTCTGCGAGATGGCATCCTGGTAAATCCCGTTGTTCATGGCGTACTCCTCGTTCTGCGTCTTGAACTGCTCGAGCGTCGTCAAAGTGCGCTCCGGGTTCATGCTACGCTGCGCCACACTCATGGTCCGCGAAGACTGGCCCATCATGTGTGTCATGCGGTTCATGGCATTGTTGGCTTGGATCTGCGAGGCGGAGAGCTCGGCCATGTCGGCCATTTGGTCCATTTGCGCGGCGAGCGCTTGTTTGGAGAGGAGCATCTTGGCTTTTTGGTAGGCTTTGGCGGTTTCGCCTTTCTTGAGGAGGTCTTGGATTTGCTTGCGTAGGAGGGGGTCTTGTTTTGCGGCTCTCTGGGCCTCGCGGCGGGCTTGTTTGGCTTGGAACTATGAGGGGGAGGGAAGATGTTAGTGAGATAGATGGACGATGGGCCGGTTTTAGGGAGGAGGGGGGGAAAGACGTACGCGAGCTTGGAACTCGACTTGCATGTCGCGAGCCTGTTGGCGGTTCGACATGGTGGCTATGGTGCGATATATGAGATTTTTGACGATTAACGGAAGGTTTGCGGACGTGGATCAAGATGGACGTCGTGGGGAGATGAATCGCAAATAGGTGTTGATCTGGTCGAGGCTGAGGATGTCAAGTGGGGTGCTCTCAGTGGAAGATGTATGTGGCAGGTGACAGGTGGGGCTGACTCGGTGCCACTAAATGACGCACCTTCCCGCACACCCCGGATTCAGCCACAACTCTGTTCATAGACTATAATCAAGAAAGTCCATGATGCTTTCATATCCCAGTGTCGATCCAATCAATCCTTCCATCCTCACCTCCGCCCGTATATAAATTTGATTTGATTGCTTTGTACCAATGGCGCAATAATCTCTAGCCTTATCTCACTGGTATAACGATCACTTTACTCTTTGTCTCTGCGGGTATAACACGCGCCTGACCCTGTCCTCCCACAAGTAAAGCAAGTGGAGTGAACCTCAAAATATATGAGGATTCTCAGAATGGGCAACAAGCAGAAACTCAACGTTCAATCCTTCCCCAGACCTCCACTTCTCGAACGGACCCCAAGACATCTGCAAATCAAATGGAATGGACAATTGATCGCTGATACCAAGGAAGCATATTGGGTTCTAGAAACCCATCACCCTCCAAGTATCATACTCCTGTATCCTCTTATAGTCAACCAAACTTAAATTTATGCAGCTTACTATCTCCCGCCATCTGCTATTCTCGTAACCCTTGCCCAGACTGGCCGCTCGTCTTATTGCGAGTGGAAAGGCAAAGCGACGTACTACGATATCCCCTCAGCGGAGATGAGGGTCTCGGGCCGTATTTGGTCTTACAACACACCCACTAAGACTTTTGAGGCCATCAGGGGATATCTCTCGTTCTATGCTGGACCGTGGGACTGTTATGTGGACGGTGAGAAGGTCGAGCCGCAGCCAGGTGATTTCTATGGAGGTTGGGTCACTAGCGATATCGAGGGTATCGTCAAAGGCAAGAATGGGAATTACGATCCTCGTGTTTGAATTTTAGTAAAGTGAAAAATTATTTCCAATCCATTCGTCTCTACCTCGTCAATGTTCCGTGTCTACTGTCTACTGAATACCGAGTACGGGGCTGAGTCTCCCGGCAAGAAATCAGGTTTAGGTTCGTGCCAAACCTCGATCCCGCAATTCGTCCGTAGATCCCAGCACAAATCACGCTTTGTCCAGCCGTGCTGTTGATACGCCATGTCCCATTGACGGTTCTCCAATTGCCACTGGGTCGGAGTAACCTGCCAGTAGGGATTGGCTGGCGCACAGAGCGGAAGAGCTTGATACTCCCGACCGGTCTTTCTGGCGAGCTGAACTATGCCCAGATACTCCTGTTGGTCCTTGTTAGAATTCGGGAGTCTTTTCACCGCCTTCAGGAGCTCTGTTTTCTCTCTCTGTGGAAGGGCTAATAGGCCGAGGCATCTCACTGTGTTCGCTGTAAGCGGTGGGTCTTCGCGAGGCTCTTGAGTATTGCGGTGGTTGGTCTTGAGGAATCGAATAGCTTTCTCGAGGAGAGTGCGATTTTTCACGGTGTACACGACGGTTTCGGCGCTGGAAATGCCGAGTGTCTTGTTTTTGGGGATGTACTGGGCATATGAAGCCTTTGTCGTAGTAGTAGCAGAGGCCGTACGTCATGCCCAAAAGATATCCGTCAGCTGAATCTTCAGCATATATCTGGCATGTATCTATCTGGGTGGTGCAGCCGCAAGTAAAATGCTCCTCGATCCAGAATATGAGTGAGTGCGCATATGGAGGCACGGTGTTGGGAGAGCCGAACAGCATTGCCAAGACAGTGGTCGGAGAGATAATAACAATTCAAAGCTTGCCTGTTGCCTGAAGTCTTTAGCAAATGCAAGTAGCTGTTTTCATCTTCTCCGACTAACCTTCGACCAAAGGGCCCAACAAGCTCTGTGTCCCTGCTTTATGGAATCCATATCTAAACCTAATGGTGTTGGTTTCCAACGCCCAATTCTGTGGTATAACAAGAATCGTCTTCAACCTGGGTCTACTGAATGTGTTGCAACTGTATCCTCATGCATTACCTACTTATCTCTTTCATAGGATTTGGCAAGAGTTTACAAATGCCAGCACTGTCTAGGTACTAAGTAGTGCTAAATGAAATATCATGATAATATCCTGCCATGGCTCACAACAAGTAAATAATTTTATTAACGCTCTCCTCCCACCAGCAGCATTTCCAAACTCAAATGAATAGTTCAACTCAGCTATCCTGACTATTGCTTTTGGGAAAGGAACACGCTTTTCCTCATTGGCCCCAAAAGAAAAAACAGCCGCAAGAAAATCACAAATAAAAGAATTTCCCTATAGATAATAGATAGCAACCCTATTGTAGGCCAAATAATCTGGGGGTAAGCCAGTCCAGAATGCTAATAGAATTATTGCTAAAATGGTAGAACCGCACGACTCGTCGGTGTGAAGTAACTAGCAGTCAGCTAGAACAATTTAGGACGGAAACCAGATCTCATGACTGGAATGCTGCGCCCACCTTGAAGAATGTAGGCAGTTTGGGGTGAGTTAGTAAGGATTTATTTAGTTTCATGGCGTGGGGCTGCGATCTCATACGGGCGAGACTACTGTACACGTCGGTTATTCGCAGCGCGATCGCCTTCGGGGCGGCTGCGTGGCACACTATAAGCGAGGAACCAGCGGGACCAGCTAAGAGCCTAGTCGGGATACAGAATGAGTGCCTCCGAATAGTCTGTGGCGCCTACAAAGCGACACCGGTCCGACACCTAGAAATAGAGGCAGCTATCCCGCCACTAGACCTATATCTCAGTGCCCGGGCGGCGAAATTTGAAGAACGGCTACGGAATAACGGCAAAAGGAGCCTGCTTCGGAGCGCGAGCGCGAGAGCGTCACACATACTCCGACAGGACACGCCGGCGAGACGGAAGCGGACGTCACAATCGCTCAGACCAGCGGGGTACACGATAGAGAAGGAGGCTAGGGGCTCCGAGTGGATAGGCAAGGCGAAGGAAGTCCCGGCCGCCCTCCTAGACCACTGGGAGAAGAGATGGCTCTCCGGGGTAGTATAATACGACTGCCAGTGACGCGCTATCGCCGAGGAGTAGGAAGGCCCCTTGATGCGAATGCCGAAACAGGGCAAGTACTCAGACCTAAACCGACCGGAGGCGTCTACCCTATGCCAGATCAGGACCGGAAAAATAGGACTATCAGCTTTCTTATTTAAGATAGGAGCCTTCGGTGTGTACTCGCCGTTATGCCGCTGTGGAGAGGCCCCCGAGACGGCAGAGCACGTAATCCTCTTTTGCGGCCTGCTGGAAGAATCGAGAGAGCGCCTACGGGCCACTATCGCACCATGGCCGCTGCATACACGTAGAGACCTGGCAACGGCGACGGGGAAACCAGTAGTCAGCGGGACTATCACAAGGTGGCTACTCAGGACTGGCCGGATAGCTCTTAGGCCCGGATAATATCGATCTTCTCAGGGGGACTTTGTTAGTAGGGTGAGAACTAACATAGTATTGTGGTGGACGCAACGCAGTCGCTAATAGAGCGAACCTACGTAGCAGCGTATGTATTTAGTCCAGCCATTAGGGCACGGTTTGACATACGGGAGCACTTGTAGAGGTACCGGGGGCTTCGAGCCTACGGCGTATTTAATAATAATATTTAGTTTCAGATTTCTGTATCGATACATTGAGGGGGTGCTGCGTGATTCAAGTCACCCTCCTCGAACTTAAAGCCATCAACGGTTGCTTATTCGGCAGAAAAGTTGGCTCAGCCGTATACTGCGTGTTTTTCGACCTCCAAGCCAATAATTGGCATGATCACAATTGTCATGCAGGATGTGAGGGGAGGCTGTGTCATCCAGAACGTGGGGAACCAAAGCCTTCTTCGATGGCTATTTTATATAATAGATTCACCTGCGAGCGAAAGAGAAGTGTTAAACCGTCGACAGTCCAGGGACGAGGGTCGTCATCCTCTTGGAAGGACATCCCAAATCGTAGCCTCCACACCTACAACGCAGTGATCATGATGCGGGTCGCCTAGGCCTCAGGGATCACTTTCTTTGCAGAAGAGTCGCTTTGGATGCACTACTCGTTTATATTGTAGTCATCTCACCCCTATGGGTAGGCTCCACACCGGAAATATTCATGCACACGATTGTGGATATCGCTGCAGAGGTCGATGCATTCAGTCTCCCAAGATGGCGGCGCCAAAGTGGTGAGTTCTTTTTTCCGGGACACGTCAGGGAATGCGTTCTGCGCTAATGTACAAGGGTCAGAAAATTGATACATTTCCATTGGCACCACTTGCGGAAGGGTGGGTGGTTGAAGGACCAGTTCGCCTTATGACAGGGGAGTCAACAACAGTAACCAGTTCCTGGGTATCAGGCTAGATTTGGCGTTAAGCAATGGGAGCACGGCGCCCATTGCCTGTCATAACGGAAATGGCGTTTCTATAGCATTGCCAGATGGACATGGGCGGCCTCCGGCCTTGGGAAGTGGACAGAGGAGGAACGAGAAGAATAAAGTATGGAGGCTTTTACTGTGTGCAATCGCGTTTGGAGTGTTGTATTGGTCGTACAAAGGTGCTTGGGGGAACTTGACCAGATTAGCTAGGGGGCACCCTTCAGTCGCCTTGGTACCGAGGTGATGGAAACAATAATCCTCGAAAGCAAAAAAGAATTAAGCATAATATAAATCACTTTCTTGCCTCAAAGCCGCAAATGTGTCTCGGTCTCTTCATGAAATATTTCGCGCTGAGCTAATTCTTCACTTCCCGCCCTGGACTTTCTTGGGAAGGGATCCTCTTAAGAACTGCATCAGGCACTCACAATATGCCAGGCGCAATGATAAATGTTAAACATCAATAGCAGCTGAACGGACACTAATGACCAAGATGGAAATACAGTCACTCTTGTTATTGGTTCCTGGCGCCGTCGTTTGCAACAAATGACTTACACCACTGGTTGACGTTAAATACTCGGCAAATGATGGGAGATCTGAAATCATAAGGGCAACCATGTCACCCGTATGCGTCTTCCTCCCATGTCGCAGAGCAGTGTCATCAGAGTTTTTAGGAAGTTGAAGGAAGTCGGTCATGCCAAAGCGATTGTATCCTTCAAGAAATGCCCAGCAGGCTCGAAGTCTAAGATAGATGAAGCATGTCATCTCAAGACGATGAGATTAGGGTAAATATTTCAATTGGCGCAATCCTTCTCATAATTCAGTATTGTTCCCCATGGCAATAATGCGACTGATCGTCGTGAACTATCACAGATAGCATATCCCAGTCCGTTCATTGTGTGTTAGTGGATGCAGGCCCCACGCTAGGGCGAGACAATATGAGCAAGTTTTTGTCAAGTTTTCCCAACGCCGTTGGCCCACTCCGATGGGTCGGGCCCGACTACGACGTAGCTGCCACATATCCGGGGAGTCGTCCAGATCTAACTGGGTTCTTCCCATTTTCTCATCTTACCTATGTATTGTGCTACAAACCTAAAATTGTCAGTCCTGGGAGGAACCAACCTTTATTCGCGCATTGTCTCACATCCGGTGCCTAACCTCTACTCGTTCAATGATGATCCTATCCGTACATATGTAGATCCAGGGATTCGAATCCCAGATTCTTGCTCACCTCTGCTGCTTGTGAGCGCAAAAAGGTGAAACAGGTACGGCCGGGCCCAGGTTACTGGAACCTGAGGTAGTGGGGGAGTTCATTGCAAGTCGAGGTACTTAGTTGAGTACATCTAAGCAGGTAAGCCGCATGGGTGCCTGTACAGGCGGGCGTGGATCCCGAAACGGTCCAGTGAGACTACAGAATGGAGAATACTGGGCCTGAAAGCTGACGATTTGCTCTTTAAGTGGATGCAGCCTTACCACAATCAACAAATAGGTCTTTCTTTCAGATTCAAGCGATTTGAACATACAGTCTCTAACCATCTCCTCTTCCTATACGTCTGAAAATTGTTGAGTACTCGGTCAGATATTCAAGATGGATATGTCAACCATGACGATGTCAGGAATGTCAGGCATGACTCCAACAAGCAGCAGCGCAATGTCTACCAGCACCATGGACATGTCCTCCTCCTCCTCTTCCTCCTCTTCAACAATGTCCATGACCGCGGCCGAGATGGCCATGGTTTTCTTCCAATCCGTCACGACGCCCCTTTTCGCAATGGGGTGGACTCCCTCCAGCACCGGTGCCTACGCGGGGACATGCATCTTCCTCATTGTCCTGTCTTTCGTACACCAGGTGCTGCTCGCGCTGCGGTGCGTGTTATTTCCGGCAAGTTCGAGGCCTGCCCCCGACCGCCTGCCTTTGAGCGATGAGTATGGTGATAAAGAGTCGGTTGGAACGAGGATGAAGGCAACTTGGAGTAGTCATCCGTTTCGGGTGGCGACAGAGAGTTCGAGGGCCGTGTTTGAGGTTTTAGTTGGAGGCGTGGCGTATTTGCTGTAAGTTGAACACTGTTTTGCGATGACCTCATGAGGACTTGTTGGAACGTGTCTGACTTATTATGTATTAGTATGTTGGCCGTCATGACGTTGAACGTCGGATATTTTCTCTCGGTGCTGGGTGGTATATTTTTGGGGACATTTGTCTGCGGCAGGTTCAGCGGCGTCGATCATCATCATTGACGATTGGCGGTTGAACTATGAGGCATAAGAGACTTCTGTGTTGTGAGATTTACCGGTGAGGATTACATCTTGCGTATAGCATTCTTGCATGAATGGGGGTTATCAACGACACCAGATGCCTTCGGTCATTTTGTTCTGTGTCAGTTGAATGGGGTTTGAATTTCCTCGAGCTCATTCACTTTTAGCGCATAAACACCTGTAAATTCATGGGATGGTATCCCCATCAAGACCATCTGATTGTTCTTGCATAACTGCTGTCGGACGAGTGCTGGGACTCGGAGGCTGTCGTCGTCGAGGACGATTTTCGATGTCTGGGCAGCAACATGCCATTGACTGCTCACATGAATTTGCAATTTGAACTTCATTTTGATTCATGATGTAAAAATCGATCTGCATAAGCTTGGCATCAGGAATTCGGTCGACGCTGCGTAACTAGCATATGTTCTCACGAACATCGTCGTTCTGATCAAGTACAAAACCAGAGTGGACTCGAATAGTGGTACTGGATATCTATAATCAAATTTGCTAACTAGTAATTATTTCGCCCAGCACGTAAATATCATGCATATCTTCAGGCATATACGCCTCCGTCCTCGAAAATGAATAAACCATAGCTTGTTGCCAATCCAACATACCCCCGAAGATTTCCTTCGCCGACCGATTACCATCTAGAACAGATGAAGTCAGCATCGCGATTATATGTAACAGAAAAAGAGGAAACTTACGTAAAAACTTCGGAATGCAAATAAACTTCCCGCGCTCCCGCCTCAGAGCTCAGTATCCTCAATTGCGCATCCGCAGCTGCATTCTGCGTGTCCTTCAATACCGCCGCCGGACCACAAGTGGCTATTCCAACCGACACTCCGGGCCTAAGCGTGCTCTCCCTAACAATAGCCGAGATGTCTGGTCGTCCACACACAATTTTGAAAGGGATACGCCCGGAGGTGCTCGTGGGGGGGCCAGTATTTTCCACCAGCCCCTTCTCGGCCCGCGCGTCCAACTCATCGGATGAATTTATCGCTTGCGGTCCATAAACAGCTGTGAGGTACACCATTATCTGGATGGAGTTCGCGTCCCAAGAGATGCCGTTTTCTTCCATGAACTCCGTCAAAGCTTCCTCGTACCATTCGGTAAACTGGCGATCTCGCGTGGCGATGACGACTTGCATTTGATGCCGTGTGCCCTCTTCGTCAGATTTCGGCGTTCGATATAGGTGCAGCAACGTGTCCATGACCAGGCCGACAGATAGAGCAGAGCCAGCACCACAAGCTATCACGAGACTGTGGTCGTAGCTATGGAGCGGCTTGGTTTTGAGCCCACCATATGGCCCATCTAGCAGAACAGGTACGCTGAAGTTGGGTTGCTGCGCCGCGAGACTTGCCAGGCGGCCCGTCATACCTCCCCTGGGAGAAACGTAGAATACGAGTTTAGACTTCTCCGCGTTTCTTTTCAAGCTGGGCACGCTGCAGATGGTGAAGGGATGCGCCGTAAGCGCGTGGGGTCCCAGAGTCAGGAACCGGAGGAAGAAGTGCTGGCCCGGCTGCCATGTCGTGTCGATGGGGACGGTGATCTTCATGACTAGGTCAGACACCAAGGCGAAACTGGCGCGGTGCGAGACCCCAAACTCGAAGTATGTTCTGATCTGGGAGTACAGGAACGATAGGGTGTAGAGAACTCCGGTTGCGATGAAGTAGTCCCTGCTTCATGTCAGCCTCGCTTGAAGTCTTGAAGGTAGTCAGCAGTGTAGAATTACCACGAGGTCAAGCGGAAGTCACAGTGCAAGAAAAAGAACACAACAAATAGGATCGCGGCAAAGTAGTGCGTGGCCTTGAAAAACTCATAGTATCGGTTCCTGTCGCAGGTTGATTCAGTACTGCAGTCATCCCTTGTCAAGGATAAACTTACCTGATCCAAGGAAGAGACATGACTTGAAGATACGCCTGTGGAATAATAGCAGCAACACCCGTCCAGTAAACCACGCTGGTGTTCCATTGCAGTACCATGTCACCCTTCCAGATGTGGAAGATGATGAATGGAAAGGTGTGTACGAGAGCCAGGGCGAACATAGCCCAACCAACCCAGTTGTGGAAGACGATCAGGCGTTCGTGTGATACGCCTGTCAGGGTAGCAATCATATTGGCCTTGGTCGGTAGTATTCTGTGTTCATCGTATAAGCTGAGAGCTTTCGATGTCGCATTCAAACATTGCATGCTCACATTAGAAAGGGCAAGCAAGCTAGTGCCATCCAACCTGTTCTTGTAGCAAGTGGCGGCGAGCTTCCGTAACTCAGGGTGCGAGTGTTAGGCCAGTAGTAGGGCGAAGGGCCCAGGGTCATTGCTGTGTGAATTATACAGTCAGATACTGCCATTCAGAGCATTGATGAGCAAGTTCAAACGGACTTACCCAAAAAGAACGCAGCACCAATAATCAGCAATGCCACTACTGCCACAGAAGATGTACCCGTGTGAAGAGCTTTTACTTCGTAACGACGATATGCGATAAAGCGAACACTGCTGACCAGTTTCTGCCACCATGCCTGTTTCCTAAGTCCAGAAGGTGCCAGCCTCAAACTCCAGAAAGCGATGGTACACAGGGCGATGGCGGCGATGAATAAGTAGACGGTGGGCAGCGCGAAGCGATGATCTGCTTCATACCTGGACGAATGGGTCAGAAACTAAAGAACAAGTATTTCGGTGTTTCTTTGATCGAAGACTAACCAGTACCGCCAGTATCCAATGCGATAGGCACATTGCTCTGCCGTTAGCTTGCAAGTGTCTGCCCGCGACGAATGGAGCATGACCGGCTGGTCAAGCCAGCGCACTATTTCCATATCCATCTTGTTCGATTTGGCAATAACCTTGGTGTCCAAACAGAAGTGCAAAGGTCGGATCCCCTAGATGACTTTTGAAGTCGTTTGGAGGAAAGAATAAACACGCTGTCGCACGCTCCGAGGGAGCAGCTCGTCTGATCTTTTGGGCATTGAGAGAAGGTTTTAGATTGCACCCATTTCCCGTTAAGTTAGGGTGCACTCTTTGCGGCGCATCACCCGTACCCAGAATTCACGCGTGCCGTCGAATCATGTTCAATGCTTAGTCTTCCTTACTCACTGTGAAAGGATCGCTGAAGGGGTCATTGCTGGGCTGCCAGGTTTTGGCGATGCGGCGAGTGGACCACTTCTGCTCACAAGTGCTGTGTAAGTACCGCATACAACGGGGTATATTCCCAATGACAAGCTTTCTCTCCCGTAATCTCACCACCTGCTTTAAATGAGGCGTTATCTCGGAAGAACGCCTCAACTTGCTCTTTAGTACATGTTCACATCTTGCTGGGCGAATTACGTCCCGTCGCTTTGACTAATGCCTACTACGAGGACCCAATGTGGCTGTCCTCGGTGTATGGCCTCCGCCAGCGCGGGTCAGATTGCAGGGAAACAGCATAGTGGGTTCGGCCGTTCGACAAGTTAGTATGAGGAAGTACTTTCGCATGTTTCTTCGCCTGTGATGGTACTTCGCACAAGGTTATTCGGCCGTTTCACCGCCCCACCCTGGGTATGCGGAATGGACCCGGCAAAAAGGGTATGGTGATTTGGGGGGCTGATATATTTGCTCAAACGTGCGCACATACGTGTAGTCGCAAAGACGGTAGCGGTAATCGCGGGGTCGGATCTGTCGCTCTAAAATTTGCGCTTGTTTTGTCAATTTTGCCGCGAAATGCTTACTTCAACTGCTTGATAGCTGCTTGTCTTATTGACGGAGAAGTTGGCAAAGTTGGCAAATTGTTTGATCCAGTTTGGCTACTGGGAACAAACATGCTCAAAAAGAGATAGAACCGAACGTGCAACGTCTGGAGTTCCTGGAAAGCATCATGTGCCAACCGGAAAAAAGAGAAACAAAAGGAAAGAAAAAGAAAAGAAAACATGGGTTATGCATCTTGATCCTCATCTTCGTTTTTTCTTGTCGACCTTCTCCCACACGACGCAAAGGCTTCAGGCACCACTATTCGAATATGAAGGCCTGGTTAGGCACAAGTAGCCACGAGTGTTAAAAGAATTTCGTAGCTACTTGGAACGCGTAATTTGTCTTGGTTGTGATAAGTTCTTGCATCTACGGAAATTCATGTCATGATGACACGTGCAATAGGTTAAAACATTCGCAGCCGGAAAATATAGTGTAAATACTTATGTCTTGATAAGCCAACACTTCTAATCAAATGCTGTAGTTTCCCTGGTCAGGATGGCTGCTACTTATAGCGTAGAGTATTGGGTCTCCACGCATAACATCGGTCTGTTTCTGTCCTCCGTTCAGTATACTGTTCTACGCAAGCCTGCGGCTTATGAAGACAGTGACGTAATAAGCCTTCAATCTACGAAATACAACCCTTAACACCTAGGCTGCTTTCTAGGGAGCTTAAGGAAGTCACCTTATAGGATAGCCCCTTACTCTTGTATTGTTTTGTGCTCATAAATTCTAGGTTTCCTTATCTGTTCCAGTCCCAAGTTACCGACGTTCTAGGTTGCTACTGTTTCAGATACACTCCCTAGTAGCAATTTTTGTTCCATAGGGTTAGCTATTGCATTGTGGGCAAATGGTCTTGTATTGATGGTGTCATGATCTCTGCAGAGTCCTGAAGGAAGTGAACGGCGGCCGTAAGGGCCTTATACAGGCAGGACTTGTATGGTTCGATGGGTGGTGGTCATCTTAGCCCATAACGTACGGTACGTGGCCATATGTCCTTCCAAGACTGGCAGTCTTGGTGTAGTAGCCTTGAAGGTCCGACACACCCCCTTAGGGCCGCACCCTATGCGTCGACCCCATACGAAAAAGAGTTTTCAAGGTTTAGAAAGTGATTTGTTGTTTCTCCTTTAACCTATACTGCTGCTATACAATCTGGGAGAAAGAGCAAAATATAAGGGAAATTCGAGAAACAATTTCAAAAGAATTGTGTCTGGGACTTATTGATAGTGTCCTTTTTTATTCTTTAAGTGATCAGAAAGTCGTAACCGTGGCCGTGGCCGTGGCCGTATCTCCACTGGCGACGGCACCATATTCGGCACCATATTTAGCATCTGAAGGAATCATTGTGCTGCTGGGGCCTTAAGGCCTTGGTGAGTCCATCAGCGGCAACTTCGGCTGACTTCCGGTGAGTCAAGTCCATAGTGTCTCTCTGGTATTCCTAGCGTAGCCAGTGGTTGTGAATGTCGATGTGCCTTAGCTTGGTCTGCAATTTTGCCGTTTCTTCCACAATAAGCCGAATAGTCTGTTTTTTTTCAATCTCAATTGTTAACCATTCATCCAGATCGACTCTCAATTGGGGAAGTTGTCTCTCAAGTGCTATAGCTTCCTTAACGGTAGCCGCCACCCCCTTAAGTTCGGCCTCCGCATTTGAGGTGACTACTATATCTTGTTTGCTGGATCGCTAGGCTATCGGGCCACCGAAGAGCTGAATGACGAATCCCATAGTAGACTTCCGGTCAGTGTGATCGCCAAAGGACGCATCACTAGACACTATGAGATTGGGGGGTTGGTCCTTGTCTGGAATCTTGCCGCAGGACCCTCTGTATTCGATCACAAGATCCTTCGTGCCAGATAGGTACCGGATTTTCACTTGGTCGATAAAGGCTTGGTGCTATGGACCAGGATTCTGACTGAATTAAGCCAGTCTGCAGACGGCCTCTGCCACGTCAGGTCGTTAGGTTATCGCGTACAGTACGCTACCGACCTTCCTGATACAGTCGTCTAGTATCTTCGCTAGCCTCGCCGTCAAAGGCTTCAACTCTTAGTAGGGATTCCTGGGCACTTCTGGAAAGCTACCGACCGTCTGAATTTGGTACTGTTGGACCAATTTGTCAATATATGACCTCTGTGACAGCCACAGGCGCCGAGTAGCCCTGTACCTGGCCACTTGTATGCCAAGGAACCATTTGAAGTCCCCTAAATCCTTCATCCTGAAGCGCCTGCTGATCTTCGTGATAAATGCGTTTATTGCATCTAACTGGCGCATTTACAGGTCGAATTTAGCTGCAATTGCCATAAGCGTACGGAAAGATCGTCCGGCCAGTGTGCTGGCGTACGTACTGGGAGATGAGCTCGGCTGTAAGTCGCCTTTCACAACTAGACGAGCCTTATACCGTACTAAGTAACCGGTTTTATCGAATTTGTACGTGAACACCCACATCAGAGGGATGCTGAACTGTCCTGCCACCTCGGCAAGTGGCTTTCTTTCCCGTGATACTTCGTTGACGCTGTGGAATTATGTGTTGATAGCTTCCAGCCAGTAGTCCCTTAGAGGATGTCTCATCATTTCCTCCCAGTTCCTTGGGGGAGGGGGGTGTCTCTGCGATGTAGACCCTTATGATAATAGGCGACGGAAAAGGCAAAGTAGCTGGTAGGCATAATCTCTGGCATCGAGAAGCTCTCACGATCTAATTCCTGCAGTACTCCGATTGGTCCTGGATCTAAGGCATTTAAGTCCCTGGATTCACGACCGGTAGCCGGAGGATACGTAACTTGGCCTGAGTGGTCGGCGGTTGCGGTTGAGGGGTCTGTTCTGCCGCAATTGGGGCCCATTGGATATCTTTTTCAGAGATACTGGGTGCTGGAGATGCCAGCTGTGGTGTAATTTCGGCCTCTGGGGTCTTTGCCAGATAATTTCGTCTAGGATTACTTCATCCTCTTCTTCAGGCCCTCCTCTCATCCCCTCAGCGAAGCCTGTTACAGGTTCTGGAATCTGTAGCCCTTGAATGAGCTGGCCCAGGTACCAGTGCGCCACGTGGCTTGTAAAAGACGTCTTTATCGAATTTGACGTCTCTGGTTATTATGACCTTGTCAAGGAAGGGTACGGAGTATTCTTGAGGAATGAGACCCACCTATGGATTCGAATTCTGGCATCTCCCCAGAGCACGATATCCAACTTCGTCCCACCGGCCAGTAGTACGTCAGACTCTATAGCCGGTCGCCGATTTGTGAGATTTGCGTCACTATTGATTACGTGGACGTTAGCTCCAGTGTTGTAAATGACCAAATTCTCCAACGAATAGCTGGGATGGAGTCTGCGGTCAACGTGGAGTTGAGAGCGGCTGGGTTCTAGACTGCTGACGTACCAGCTAACGCTAGCCTCTGGTCATTGGGTTTATCTTGACCGAAGATGCCATTGCGAATAGCATGGACTTTGGCCTTGAGATGCTGTAGCAACTTGGCGTAGTTGGATTCCACAGTCTTCTAGACACTCATCCTAGTGGTCCAGTTGGCCGGTTTGATTAGGATAAGGTGGTGGCACTCCTGCCACAAGTGTTTCCGGCCGCAGAGACATTTGGGCTTCTGCAAAGGTAGCCCTGGATACGCTACTGGTATCATCGGTGTTGAAGTCCAAGTGTTGTTGGAAGGCCTCGGAGGTCGTGTCTACCGTAGCATGTCCTCTCGACTGGCAAGATGTTGATGCTCCTATGTGGAGTTGAATTATGGGGCAGCTGGTCGTATTCCTTTGACGAAGCTGTACTGAGGGTGCTTGCCTTGAACTACTTCACAGCCCGCTTCGAAGGCGTTGATGTAGGCCGCCCACCTGTCAGAGAACTGAATGCTACAGGCCCCGGTGTAGGGACGTGCGAGTCATGACCTAATATGGAAGTCTTGGTATACGGAACAATCGGAGGAACTAGTGCTCTACGGCTCCGACTCCGCGCTCTAGCTATCTATGTAAGGGGCAGGTGTCCGGGAAGAAGATAGAGAGGGTAGAGATCAATGAACCATTGTGGGCACCCCTACCTGAGACTACCCGTGATCGCCAGTGACCACCCGGTGCTACGCAGGAGGGACGCCCATTACTCCCCTCCACTCTGTACTATCGCCTTCGGCCTAGCTGTACCCTGACACCACCAAGCATCGGCCTATTTGGCTGCATTCTGCTTCTGGGCTGGCCTACAGGCCCTCAATTAGGCAGCCTCCATAGCCATCTTGTGGGCTTGGGATTCTGGGTTGAAGTAGCCCTTGATAGCCTTCATCTTGTCTGTTAACGTTTTCTTAGTGCGAAAGATGGGGTATCGTTCAGGGCTGATAGTACTGAAGAACCAGACGGCAAATTTGTCGGCTTTCTCTTGAAGAGCTTTGAATTCGGCAAGTTCCTCACGATATTGGTAATAATGTTGTTGCCAATTAGTGTATTCGAGGTCCGTCAGGTCCGAAAGGTCTGTGGCGTCCTTATTGAAGGTACTTGGATGCGGATAAGTTGGTTTCTTTGGCATGGCCGTGGGCGTGGGGTT